GTTCGTATTCATGGCGAGGACGATATGAAGTGCGAGCGTGTTTGAGAGGTTTTTAAAAACTGTGGAAAGACTTTTGTTAATTATAGACTGGTATTATCGTCTTCGTGGTTTGACATTTCCTCGTCATCATCCTTATTTGACGTTTGTTCATCATCATCATCTGAAGCAACATCTATTCCTACAAATTTCTCTTGCATCCTTTGTAACTCAAGACCATTCTCCAGTTTGTTTTGTACTGTAATGGTTTGTGTTAACTCTGGAATAAGTTGCCTTTCTCGTGGATAATCCACTCCTTCTTCCATCCATCCACGATGATGTGGCAGCTCTTCGATGTCGACTGCTTTGACAAAGTTGCGAATATTTAGCAACAGAAGACAAAGGCGGAATGTAAGATTAAACTCCTTTTTGGATCCAACTCTTACAATCTCCTTGTTATTAAACTTGGCGAATGTTTTCATGAGATCACCAAAGACAGCCTCTGACGTAGATCGAAATCCACCAAACATAGCATTAAAGTTGGATTCCTCTTCGTGGAGTTGCTGTAGTCGTTTCTTACGAATGGGAAAACAGAAGTTACGCTCGTCCAACTTTTCTTTTTCCACAATATCGCCAATGTATTGTGTATATCCTCCATCGAGAGCAATACAGTCCATGCTGTCCATCTTCTTGCCAATGCCCATCTCTTGTAACATTTTCCCATCGTTGTTATCACGACATGACGCTGATTTGGATACAAAGAGAACCATTCCATTGGCATCGATGGCCACTTGCGTTCTCAAACCCGATTTCTTTAGCTTATAAGAATACATTGCTGCTTTATCTTCCCCATATGTTGCTCGAGAGTCATGACCATCCAAGTAGAGAGTTACATGCTTGAACATTGGGGGATTTTTCCAATTGGCTGTTCGAATACGAATTTCCAGCGAAGAGAACATAGGGAAATGTCTTGGGTCGAAATAGTTAAATATGTTATGGAATACCAATGGAAGTTGCAAGAATTTGTACAGACGATTATGGAAGGAGTTTTTAAAAAGACAACAGATATATCTATAAAGAATACATATACAAAAGCAAAAGAATCCAAATGGACATAGTTATCTAGCAGTATTACAAGAGCAAAACGTAAGGAAAGAGTATCAACATAAACATATTTTACATATCGGTAATCGAGGAATAGAATTGGGGGAGTGCGCTTTTTTTTGGGCGAGGGAGTACACCCCCCAACCATTGGAATTATATAGTATATCAAGCGGCCCCTTCATGTGCAGAGGATATAAAAAGGCATATAAAAAATATCCAAAGTCCAAGGAACGGAGTGTTGACTTCCATAACTGGCATATCTCTTCATAGTGGGCAACAGAACACAGAATAAAATAGCAATAGACAGCACAAGAATTTTTAAAATGTAATCTCTCCCCTGTATTTCGCCCCAAAGATACAGTTGAGAGTACAAGTGCTTTAGATGATCACATACAAGAACTACTCTGGCGAATCTTGCAGTGAGGGGTACAGGTTAATAGTAGATGGACATATTCAAGAGTGTGGTGTGCGAAAAATAAGAAGACTTTGTTGTTTGGAGAATAGGTTGGTGTTTAGTAGGATAGTTGAACAAAAAATGTTACAATGGTTGTCTTATATGCTTGGTATCATATATACATTCTCATCCCATAGTCGCTATGGATATTGTCGAGATCTACAGAGATGTAACAAACACCATATGATAACTTGGACCTGAAAGGCCTCCGTAGTGGGTTGTGTACAGAAGATGGTAGTAAAAGAGGAAAGAACTGGAAGAAGATAGGGTTTGGTTTTGTTGTGGAAAAGGCTTTTTTTTTTATTATTGAGCGCTGAAGTATATCAATAGAAAACAGACAAAGTTTGATCCAAGGTTCTTTAGGTGTATGACTTGGTATTGTCAAGAAAGCAGACCAAGCAATAGAATGAAGTAGATAAAGAGAACCTTGATCAAGGGCTAGGAAATGAGTATAAGGAATAGGTTAAGGCGTATGTTGTATTGGCGATACCAAGTAAAGAGCTATAGATTTACTATCTAAGGCCCTTTTATATTTGTTAGGGCGAAGTCACAAGAGCAAGCTCTTGTCTCGTGACACCCTGCTCCCGTAGTGACCAAGACGCATAAGAGCAATTGCCAGTTGCCATGCAGGACGTGTTTGGGAGTAGTTGGATTTGTTGATAAAAACGTCGTTGTGTTCTATCAACTCCGTGATTACTGCAAAGCTGTATCTTGTTACGCGGAAATTATGAAGAAACTCTGCATCGTTGTAAGAGTAAAACTTTGTGGTGAAAAAGTAATCGTCGCGCTTTCTATTTTGCACCGGTCTGTTGGAATAACGGGTGGATAAAGCAATGGCGTAGTTTAGTAGTGCAAGCTCCTCCTGCTCCTCCACTTCCGAGTCTTCCTCATCCAAGCTATCCTTAAGAAGGCTCCGTAAAAGAAAATCGGTGGCAGACTCAAGGTTTTGTTGCTGTTGTAAAAGGTGTGATAAGCCCGATGGTGTATGTGGATGGTTGTCAGCTTTCTCTAAATGTAATGGAAAGGGTAGAATCAGCATTATTGTTTTCCATAGTCAAAGCAGCAGTATGGAGTAAGGTCGCTAGCACCTACGTGGTGGGGTATCGTTTCTTGCCATTGCGGCGTTGGGCAGTCGTTGACAGGAGCGGTCACTGGTGGTTGATGTGGATGGGTGTTAAGAACGGACGTCAGGGCGAAAAAAACAGGACGAGTAAAGAGTGTGAGAACGAGCGTAGGAAAGAAGATGGTTGATAAATGAATGATGAGAAAGAGTACGAGGGAAAAAGTGAGGAAAAGGAGGAGGAGGAGACAGCTGGTGAAGAGAAAGGAGTGAAAAGAAGAAGGAAAAATTTGGGAAGAGGGGAATAGCTATCTGTATATTGTTGCTGGGCAATAGGTTGTCTACACCCAGGCGCACCCCCTTTTTTTTGGCGCCCATGTGCATTACATGGAAAAACAATATGTAATTTGCATCCCACGCATAACAAAGATGCACAACGTTGACCACTTTTTATTTCCTGTTTTTTAGGAGCCATTTGGGAGGTACTTGAACTGATGATCCAAAGTGCCATCATGGGAAGAGCTACAATCCTGCTCTATCAGGTACAACTTATCCCATGACGCCAGCACGTCTGTACACTGAGCAATTGATCGGCGAAAAATAGTGGTCATGACCACTTTCAGGTCTGAACGAAAACGACCACTTTTGCTTTTTTTTTCGTTATCCCCTCGATGGTTTTAGCGACATTTATGTCCCTGATTTTTACAGGCATTTTGTTCAGTCATCGGTTTCCCTTCATATTTGCACAAAATTGAGTAACCAGACACCCCCCAAAGCAAACATGAATAAGAGGGCCTTTGGTGAGAGGAACAACTACATCCACTTTTTGTTCCATGAGCTCATCAATCCGTGAAGCAAATGCCACTTTGAAATTAATCAATCAGAGGGGATGCTCGACACCCATGTCGACATGTGGGGTTCGACGATGATGTCGGATCCCAGAAAAAAAAAGATGGGCAGACTCGATTTTCTCTTCGCTCTTTTGTGCGTTTTAGTGAAGCAACATAAAAAAATGTAAAATTTGTCAAAAGACAGGTTCAAACGTCAACCTTCATAAAAGAAACAGAGGCCGAAAATGCCTGACCATCGAAGGGATAAAGTCTGTGTCGCCTACCACTGACCTTGCTTACCACCAATATTGTCACCATTGTTTTGTCATCATGCATGGTGGCATCAAAACAATGAAATCATAGCACCAAAAGCAACTGAAACGCTCACAAAGACAAACACACGCAGACACATTCATTTGCTTGGGTCCAAATGGTTTTTTGGCCTCAAGTGTACGATTGATGTTCAAATACATTTTGCCAATTATGGACAAAAATCGGTGGCGCCAAAATGTCATGGAAGAGAGAAAATGATAGAAAATGGGAGTTCCCTTTGGAGGCGCGGACCATACATTAAAAAGAAGAGGGAGGGATTTGAACCCACGACTGTTCTTGGAACAGACCGCAGTTTTTGAATCCAAGTGGAATCAAACAGACCATCGGGGTTTGCGGCGCCTTGGACCACTCGGCCACCTCTTCTTGTACTGGTGTTGTGTTTTGCTTTACTGATCTGGGGTTTTGTGCCTGCTCAAGTCCACCTGACCAACGCGTGGAGAATGGAAAATCCTGTATTTTCGTCCGTGGTCCTCCGCGACGATCGCGTGGGAGCAGACCCAGGATATCTCTGCCAAGAACAAGACATCCAAGTACACAGGCCCCCGAGGTGACTGGAGTCAAGGATATGGTTACATCACGCATGATGGTTTCTGCCCGTGTGGCGCTTCGCTAGCCACACATGATGAAGGAAGATGCCCTGGAGCGACCAAGGACCCACGCGCTGCTGACGAGCGGTTGTTGGAGAGTTTGTTAGGAAGGAGGAGGTTGTCAATGATGGAGAGGATGGGAAGAATCCCCTTCATTCGTATCTAGTTTTATTTTCGTCCGTTTAAGCTGTGAAGAGCAGCGACAATTGTTGCGCAGAGCCAAGTTCCGGGCCAGACTGCAACTGGTGGATGGCGCACTGGCGAGCTTGGTTTGTTCACCTTTCTTACTTCCAAATACCTTCTCTGTGCTGTTTGTCAGAGACATAAAATTGTGTAGGAAAAAAAAAAAAAATTTGTTTCGTGTGCCGCTTCGCTAGCCACATGAGACATACCCCGGAATAGCCCAAGACCCACGCGCTCCTGACGAGCGGTTATTGGATGGTTTGTTACGAGGGAGAAGGTTGTAAATGATGAAGAGGATGGGAAAGATTCCCTTTAGTTCTATCTTGTTTTTTTTGGAATTATGTTAAAGATTTGAAGAGCAGCGACAGTTGTTGTGCAGAGCCAGGTTCTGGACCGGACTGCAACTGGTGAAAGGTATTACAGACATAATGCTGTTGAAGAAGCTATGCTATTGGTGCAGGTGGATGAGGGTACTACAGTTGAGGTCGGTAGAGTGGTGGCTGGTTGTAGTTTGTCCAAGCAGAGATCCCATAAACTGCCAACAAAGACTTCAACACATCCTGTCGTCGCTCATTTGAATGCAGCTTTCCTTGAAGTACTCTCAGCTCTGGCCACTGCTCAATCATCCAGCGGACATCATCTTCTTCCATCTCCTGCTCCAGACCCGTGAACCGCAGGAACTGCAAGTTCCTAAGCGTCGACAGTTGGCCGAGTCCATCATCCAGACTCAGGTGGAGACCGTCGATCCGCCTGCGACTTGTTCGAGCAGAAGGACGTCCTGACCGCTCGGTATAACTTCGTGGAGCAAATAATGCTGGTCCAGAGGATGATGGCGTTGTGGCTACCTCCGGTATTGCTGCGTTATGCAGTGGTAGGACAGGAGGCGCTACCTCTGTTGGTGCCACAGCCGGCTCGACTCCATGTGGATGTGGGTGTGGATGTGGATGTGCGCTCTTACCACCAATAGAGAGACTGACAAGGTTGTCCATCTTGGCCAATTGTGAGTACACCATCCATTGAGCCGAAAATGCATCCTTATAATGATCGACCGCCATGGTAGAAGAGTGACCTGCAAGATGAACATCCAACACCCGGAGACCATGGCAAGACCAGCCCCTCCGTCTGCCGCCGCACAAGCCCTGAGCCACATCCCGAAGCAAGAGTTTGTTGCCCTCAAAGCTCTCCAGGAGAGGGCAGCTCTCAAGGATGTACTGTGTCATGTCGCTGCCAAGACTAGGGCATTGAAACAGATCCAGCTGTCGCAGCGTCCTGAAGTGTCTCTTCAAGGCTTGAAAGGAGGACTCCCCAAAGTCGCTTCTCCGGATGGACAACGTTGTAAGAGGTAGTGCGGCAGCAAGTACCTTGGCCAAGTCACCATCGCTCAACCTCGACTCTGGTAATGTCAGCGAGACAAGATTTGGCCAGTCAGTCTCCAGGGCATCACATAGTCCCTGAACCGGAAATCCAAGACGAGGCACACGCCAGTTGAGCGTCCGGAGCTCGTGGCACTGGCGAAAAAACAAGAGTTGGCTCCATAGACTCCAGTCTTTGATCCGACCAAACTTGATATGCCTCAATCGAGGGAATCGAAGTCCCTTGTAATACTCGTCATCCAACTGTCGAAGACTGCAGCCCTCAAGGTTGAGGGATTCGAGTCGGGTGCACATCTGCAGGAAGGACTTGATGTGTTGATGGACATGGAGGTTGACGAGCGACTGGAACGTCAATAGTCGAGGAGACGTCTTTGGAGCCACAATGGTACCGAGACTCAAGTGACCGATGGTTGCTGGAGACGACGATGTCAGCAGAGAGGGTGGCCTTGGTTCAGTTGTTGCCAGAGCTCGCCAAAAGCTGCCTCCGGGGGACCTACGTTCGACATAGACCTCAACATGGACCAAGCCTGGGTTACGGAGGATGAGCTTAGCAAGAAGACTCTGGTTCTCCTGAGAAAAAATGGGAGGCTGTTCCTGTTCCTTCTCCTGCCGCTGGTGGTGGTTGTAGTGTTGCTGCTGAATGTGCAAAGGTTTTTGGTGCTGGATGGTGGAGTGGGTGTGTGGTTGAACCGTTTCAGCAATTTGAAGCAAGGCAACCTCTGCGTCCAGCGCATGAGTCGCGGTTTCTTCTCCAATACCACTGTCACGTCTGACCTTGTCCCACTCCCACGCCCCTACCGCTGTATTTTGCCCTCTCATGTCCTGCACCCACCCGCAGCCACTTTCGCTCCCACTGCTGTCGACACTGCTACCACTATCGTTGATGCTGTTGCCGCTGCAAGAAAGAGGCCCCATACGTCTTTCCGTCTTGGTCCACGAGATGAAGGAGCACTCGTTCCCGAACAAAGTCGAGAGAGCATGGCTTCCAAACAACTGGTCTTCCTCTTTCTCTTCTGACAAGTTGTAGCCCTCGCTGTAGTCATCGTCGTCATCGTGTTCATCCTCAAGGGCGTCAGGCCACAGAACTAGAGTTCGAAGTCGAGTGCAGCACAGGAGGGCGGCCTCGAGTCCGTTGGTGCCGGCGAGGGAAAGGGTGCGGATATGATGGGCGTGTTTCTCGATTGCCTGTGGCGAGATGTTGTTGGCGGTCTCGACGTGTTCCCAGAGGACGGGCAGGAAGGCGTGGTACCAGGCCTTGGAGACGAGAACACAGAGGCGGGTATCCTTTTGTCCGAGGAAGGAGCCTAGGTGGGCGAGGATTTCTGGGATATCAAGAGCGGGGTTGATGGACGACATAGTTGGGTGGGGATGTTTCCTGCGATTTTTTTTGGGTGGTGTCACTGAAGGAAAGAAAAGGACTGCTGAATTTTAAAGAATGGAGGGAAAGTAGAGGAAAGAAAGAGGAAGAGAAATGGCATAGGGAAGAACGATGAGGTAGGCACCAAAAGTGTGGGGGAAAACAGTAGACAGAGGGGAGACGACAGCTGAAAGAGGGAAAGGCTCCATTATGCAAAAAACAATGGACGGATGGGTCAAAAGGGGAAGGGGTTTGTGCGTTGCGCAAAACCCTTTAAGGCGGTCAATGGTCGTGTGGGAACAAATTCAATCCGTTGGTATTTTCGATGCAAAGAGTGTTAGCATTATTCAAGTGCGCCCTGCACAACCTCAAACATGAAAAAAAGATATGATGAAAGCGAATTGCAGTCACTGTGATTGGAGATGTAAACCAACTCGCATTTCTTACCACTCAAGGGCAATCACGCGACGCACGTTGTGCAACAACAAGGCAAAACAAGGAAAACGTGAGCCTAAGACCCATCGGACCTGACAGGTCGCGTAGGGGATGCGGTGGCCTGGCTCGGCGCTGGCCATTCCAAAGCATTCATGCGACCAAGTTGTGCAACCATAGGCATATGGGCCCCAAGGGATCCGTCTGACAGCTCAGTTACTTCGACGCTGTCAGCCACTGACACCTCCTTCCTTGCACGCCGGGCATTTGTTGGGATCTGACGTCAAATAAAAAAAACCATGCCATTAGTTTAGCAGGACAGACGGTGAAACGACAGAGAGAGAGAGGGAGAGAGCATGGGTGAATAAAACGCAAAGGGCAGAGGCCATGGTTAGAAAGGCGGAGAAGCGAAGGAACGAAAGAAACCCATCAGCGAACACTGATATAATTCTCATTCAGGCACCGTCGCATCCTGGGTTGCAGGCGCCCATGGTTGGTTCGACTTGAGCTTGCAGCTGAACGGGAACGTCTTTGGAAAGAGGCCTGCAGCTGTCGGCGGGATTGAACAAGCTACACTTCATGGCAAGAAAGGGAGGATAGAATTAGCGTGTATGGATATCGAGTGCATGGAGTCAAAGTGGTTCCGTACAGGAAGGTTTGTTTGTTTCTCAGTCAGCGTGTATGTAGGGAGTGAGCTGAAGTGAGCTGAGTGAATCTTGCGAAATGAACGACGCGCTTCACAAAACAAATCGCATCGCAGCTCTCTACCTTTTTTTTTGTATCCTCAGCCATGTGTTTTCTTTTTTCTTTATCCTCATCTTCTTTTTCTTTTTCCTCTTTCTCTTCATTTTTTTTCATCTTTTTTCTCATCATCCATTTCTTCGTTACAACATCATCTCTTTCATTACACTTCTCCTCGTTGTTGACCTTGATGAATCCTGCTCCGAATCTTCCTCCAGAGCTCTTGTGTCTCATCACACACCACCTCTCCCATCAGGATCTGGTGCAGATAGTCAGGATCAACAGATCCTGGTACTCAACCTGCTCTCCGCTGCTCTGGAAGACCGTCCGGCTCCTGTACACGTCCCGGCGACTCTCCGAGCCAGCACAACGGGCCTTCCTCCGTCACAGCCGTTATGTTAGGCCCCTTCAAACCCGCTTCTTTCGGCCGATCAAGGCCTTTCTCGAAGCGCCCGATCTGTACCTCGAGACCATTGATATCCTCAACAACAACCTTCATTCGGATGTCATAGATCCTTGCATGAGCGCCGACTCTGAAGCCCTACTGATCGCCCTGTTGAAGAAGAGTCCCCACCTTCGGACTTTGCGCATCAAACGATCACCCAAGGTGTCTCTCCCGCTGCTCAATATTATTGCCACAGTGCTACCACGGTTCCGGTTCTTGTCCTTGTTTTGCCCACAGGGAATGCCCTGGGTCAGTCCTGCAACCATGAAGGCGTTTCTTGAAGCATGTTCGCCAGAGACGGAGCAATTGAGCGCCTGGGTGATAGTCGAGGAAGACAACGAGGAGCAGGTCGAGTCACCCTTGTGGGAACTGAAGGACAAGGACAAGCACGCGTGCGAAATCGAACGCAAGCACCACCAGTGTTTCATCAGCGATGGGCACGACAGCGTCTCTGACCACAGCAGCCAGAAGTCTCCACCATCACATCCAGCCCTACACATGCTCTGTCTATCAGGGTACTTCTTCGACCATGAGGAGGACGTTGTGATACCGTTTCTGAGAGGCTGCAAGAATCTGCAAATGATCGAGTCACCCGACGAGTACCGAAACGACAAGTGCTGGATCACCGACAATTATCGGATACGAGCTGCGATTGAGGAGGCCACAGGATCGACCCTCAGGAGGTTGGCCATTGCGCCTTCAGGAGCAGGAGCAGAATCGGAGATCACGGATGAGGATGTGGCACAGTTGATTCTGGCAGGACAGTCGCACCGGTCAGACGGACGCAAGGAGGTCTGGCACACTCTGCATCTGGAAGGAAACCCGCTTTTGGGACCACTAACAGCGGATGCGATTCTTCAGACTTGCACGAGTGGGCTGGTCTGGCTCAACATTTCAGGCTGTCAGGGAATTCGTGGACACCACATCCAGGCCATTCTCACGATCGCGGTACACTTGCGGAATCTCGATGCAGCATGTAGAGGCGACTCCGAAGCGACGGATTCTCGACTCTACGTTTCTCAGATCCTTCAATCGAACACGCCCTGGGTCTGTTGGTCGCTCCGGAGAAACTGAATGTGCAGATTTCCGGGTTCGCAAGACCAGACTTATATTGCACAGCAGAAATGGATGCTGTCTGCTACAATACCTCCTTGAGGCAGAGTCTGGATGTCCAGAAACAGGTCTACCGCCAGATCGCCAGCTTAAAGTACTTAGAAGAGTTGTGGCTAGGAGATGGCGCCCTCTTTCCGGAAGATTTTGAGGATGTCGACGAGCCCTCGGCTGCGTCAGCAGGATCGGGGACCAAGGAGGTAATATGGGAGCCCTACATGTATGGCCTGAATTATGGAAATGGACACCAAACAACATGCTTGGAGCTTACGCTTGACAGCGGGCTGGATATTCTCAGGACGTTAACTGAGTTGAGGGTCATCGACATCACAAGAATGAAACACCCGCTTGGAGTGGAAGAGATGGAGTGGATGGAGGATAATTGGCCGAACCTCCGTACCATCAAGGGGCTCTTTGCAAAACTGCCAAGATGTCCTTAAGCCGTGATGCCTAGTAGGGATGACAGGAGGCGACGGGAAGATCTGGTGGATTGGGTTGCAATGAGTAGGCCACCTTGGTCAGGTATGGACGAGGATGAAATTGAGAAATACCGCGAGAAGCGATCCTTTCATGTTTGTGAAGGGTACGAATCCGACACCTCAATCTGAAAATAAACATTAATATTCTTGCCCACGTTACAATACGCTGGGAAGCTTTTTTTTTTTTTCGTACGCAATTGTAATCTCTCTGATAAACACCCCAAAGTAGGCATTTGAGACTGGAAGCAAAAGGAAGGTTACATACTAGTACCATTCACCAGTTGCTGGCCGGCGAGCCTGGCTCTGCGCAGATATTGTTGCTCATTCTCACAGCTTTCAGCGACTTCAATGAAATCATGCAAGTGGGGGCTTTTTTTTTTCGTACACAATCATATTTCTCTGATAAACAGCACAGAGAAGGTATTCGGAAGTAAGAAAGGTGACTACAAACCAAGCTCGCCAGTGCGCCATCCACCAGTTGCAGTCTGGCCCGGAACTTGGCTCTGCGCAACAATTGTCGCTGCTCTTCACAGCTTAAACGGACGAAAATAAAACTAGATACGAATGAAGGGGATTCTTCCCATCCTCTCCATCATTGACAACCTCCTCCTTCCTAACAAACTCTCCAACAACCGCTCGTCAGCAGCGCGTGGGTCCTTGGTCGCTCCAGGGCATCTTCCTTCATCATGTGTGGCTAGCGAAGCGCCACACGGGCAGAAACCATCATGCGTGATGTAACCATATCCTTGACTCCAGTCACCTCGGGGGCCTGTGTACTTGGATGTCTTGTTCTTGGCAGAGATATCCTGGGTCTGCTCCCACGCGATCGTCGCGGAGCACCGAGGTTTCCAGATCAGCTCCGAGGCCTGCGCCTCCAGGTAGCCAACAACTTCTGAAGGACTGTCTTGGCGATGGACATTGGGGTCCGGAAGACCGCGGACCATTCAGTCAACATGCTCAAGGGGGTGATGCCGCGGAGGAGATCCGACACGTTCCACATCGGTTTCTCGTCTCGATCGAGAGCTGGACTACCGCTGTGCACGGCTCTAGCTCCACCGATGGAGGAAAATCCTCGTACATGATCCGCATCCGAAGGGGGCCACCAGTGTATGGGTACTGGCCTTGGTACCTGACGACCGCTGTCCACCGTGCGTTTGTATTCCCGCTTCCTGGCTGCGTTGTAGCTGTTTGTCGCCTGCACACCCCACTCGTTAATCTTGCCCATGGCCTCCTTCCAGATCTCAGTGGTGGTCTCGGCTGCCAAGGGGCATTTCCAGACATGATCGTTATCCTCCTTCTCGAGCTCGCATCGTCGGCATACGCATGTTGGGTACAGGTTGGGCTTGCGAGGACTTGCGAGACCTATGCCAAGGCATCCTTCCAGGCATTTCTGGGGGGTTTAAGTCCAAAACCATGGCAGTGCAACGTTTTAAAAGCCCAGACAATTCTGAGCGGTCATCGCAAAGCTGACGAAGAGGTGGCCGAGTGGTCCAAGGCGCCGCAACCATTACCAATACATTTGATCTTCCCTTGGAATATCAAAAATATTGCGGTCTGTTCCAAGAACAGTCGTGGGTTCAAATCCCACCCTCTTCTTTTGTCTTTGTCTTTTCTCTCTCTGTTGTTGTATCGTTGTTTTTTTTTGTTCCTTTGGTGATGCTAGTGCACGTGCACGTCATTGCATGCATGACGGGAGGAAGGAGCAAAAAAAAAGGTTGTGAGCAATTATTTGTTGTCCGTCTTTATGGAGTGGGAAGGTCACCTCCAACTCTGGTCACCCGTAATGATTTCTGCCCGTGTGGCGCTTCGCTACCCCCAAATGAGGATGAAAACTACCCTGGAGCGACCAAGGACCCACGCGCTGCTGACGAGCGGTTGTTGGAGAGTTTGTTGGGAAGGTGAAGGTTGTCAATGATGGAGAGGATGGGAAGAATCGCCTTTGGTCACATCTAGTTTCATTTTGACTTGTGTTTAAGATGTGAAGAGCAGCGACAATTGTTGTGCAGAGCCATGTTCTGGACCGGACTGCAACTAGTGGATGGGCGCACTGAAGATTTTGGTCTGCAATACACTTGTGCTTCCAAATGCCTTCTCTGTGCTGTTTATCAGAGAAATATGATTGTGTACAAAAATCAGCTCTGGGTGCCCATCCTTTCTTCTGCTGGTATGCAGGTGACGGTCTTTGTAGTGGTAGTGTGAGAACACAGAGCTACAACAGGCTTGGCGGATCACTGTCTCTTTCAAAGGGATTGGATATCCATGGATGTGAAGGTGCTGCAGAAAAAGAGTGAACGGGTAGGTCCCAGACCTCTTTCTGCCGGGCTCGCTCAAAACTGTCGTCGTAGATGGTCTTGTGGATGCAGCAAGATAGGTGATGTTTGAAAAAAACACAGGTAAACCTGAGGTAACTAGCTGGCGTCTTTGTGGCAGCTCCAAGGCTCATCCACTTCACCTAATCGAGCCTGTAACAAATTGTTGGGGGCACATTCTCTTGTCACTGCATCATCCAGTTCAAACACAGTAATGTGCCTTAGGTAGAAAACGCGACAGATAATGAATTGGGGAGTGACCGAGGGTACAAGTGAATCAATCTCCTTGTCGAGCGATTCATGTTCAACGGATAGCTTCATCTTCGACTTGTCAGGCATTAGTTGTTGTTATTGTTGTTGGGGTGATCGTGATGTGTAATGAAGGGGCGGTTAAGCTTATTGCTATAAGAGTAAAGCACTGGTGTTGGATCTTTTTTTCTCCATTCATAATCGATAGCTGGGCATATATAAAATCGTTTTGCAGGAAGCGAGCGTTACGTGTATGTGTGTGTGTGGGAGTATTGACAACTGTATGATCCTTTTCTTTGCTCGTTGCCTGTTCAATTGTGAGCATTTATTGCATTTGGAGGGCCATAGAGAAGTGAGAGGAAGGTGGACTTTGCACGTGCCACGACCTATATCTTCTTTTTTCTTGCTCTTTTTGGTTGTGGGGAGAATGAAAAGAAAAGGAGACCTCTCTAATGTCTCCACAAGGCGCAGTGTCAATTATGGCATGTCGCTTTGTTGATTTCTGTACACAATTAAAAAGTACCAGCCCTTGCCAAGACACCTCCACACTCTCCGCCGCTCGGAGGACGTTTTTAAATAAATGTAGATTCAATAACGGCTGCCTGCATTAGTGGCATTTGCGATAAAAATGGACGAAGCGCTTCATTGATGGTGATGGTTGAAAAAGTCAGTGAAAACAAGGCTACGGAATCGACGATGCGATCGGCCGAGCCATTGCACGTTCACGTTATCGTACTTTGCGTTGTTCTTTCCTTTCCTACTTTGCCCCATGTCATTCAAATGTGCCTTGTTGTTCGCCCTGGTGTTGATTGTGGAAGACGACGACAAACGAACATGAGATTGTACTCTTGAAAACCAAAAAAAAATGTGGTGGATGGAAGGACCAAGGTTCGACGACAAAGGAGGAGACCCACAAGAGCGCAATGCAGCCAAAGGCGGGCACTCAATAGACCAGGGACAGAGTAAGAGAGAGCAGGTGGGTTGCACAAGCGATATTTCACCTCGTGTTAATACAACCCAACATCCCCCTTCCACCCGCTCGGCTTGCCCGAGTTTCAAACAAGAAAGCGGTTTCTTCCTCCACGCTCAGAACTAGAGTAGAGCGACTTCCTCGTGAATTCGTCTCCAGTAGACAGACAGAGACAGGGCTCTCACCCTTCTCTCCCGAGCTAAGCCACCGGACATCTTTAAAAGAGCAACCCCACCCGCCTTTTTCTGAGTTCCTTAGTCCAATAACTCTCATAACTTCACCTACAAGCCCAACACCCATCCCCCCTCTCACGTATCAACAATGACCAAGCTCGCTAAGGGAGATATCCTTACCACCCCCGGTACCGGCTACATTGGCTGCCTAACCCCCGATCAGAAAAAGTCCCTGAAGGAAGTCTGGTCCATCATCTTTGACATTGCCGACTCCGGCGAGGCCGTCCTGCCCGCAGACATGATGCACGAGGTCGAGAAAGAGGCCAAGACTGCCTCCGGCGTCAACACCGCCACTGCTCAGGCTGCCGCCAAGGCCGGTTGGTTCACTGGCAACAGGTCCGCCAAGGCTGAGGCCGATGCCAAGGCTGCAGGTTATGGCGCCGGTATGGCCAAGATCTCTCTTTCCGATCTGGGATTGAGTGTCGATAAGTTGCGCCCCATTCTCTGGGACAATGCCATGGGCGATCACCCTGGTAACATACTCTTGTGTCTTTGTACAAACGGTTATTCATATCTATATATATGTCTGGCCAACCATTCTCCCTGCCATCGCAAGCTTCAGTCTTCTAACTGGCCTCTTTGTTGTTTATGTTGACATTCCATGGGTCCAATAGATTCGCTGTTGCTGAGATTCATTCGTGCCCGCAAGTGGAACACTGTCAACGCCTTGAACATGTTGTTCAAGGCCTTCAAGTGGCGTTTGGACGAGGACATCCCTTCGATCAAATATTCCTCTGACGGTACCCTCAATGAGCAAAACCCCAAATTCTTTGAGCAGCTCGAGATGGGCAAGTTCTACATTAACGGAACCGACAAGGACAACCGCATCGTCGCCTACTTGAACGTTCGCCTCCACCACCCTGGCGACCAGCCAGCCAAGACACTCGAAAAGCTGACCATCTATGTTATGGAGTGCGGTCGTGTTCTGCTCGAGCATCCTGTCGAGACTGTCTGCTTGGTCTTTGACTTGACTGGATTCGGACTGTCGAACATGGACTTTAACATGGTCAAGTACCTCGTCACCGTCTTTGAGGCCTACTACCCCGAATCTCTCGGTCGCATCATCATCCATGGTGCGCCCTTTGTGTTCTGGGGAGTGTGGAAGGTCATCGAGCCTTGGCTGGATCCCGTCGTTGCCTCCAAGGTGTGCTTCACCCGTAAGGATCAAGATCTGTTGGAGTACATTCCCGCCAATCACTTGCCTACGCATTACAAGGGTGGCCTCAACAAGTTTAAGTATTCGTACCCCCACGCCAAGGCCGGAGAGAACAAGAGTATGGAGGACACCGAGACCAAGGAGCGCCTTGTTGCCGAGTGGAAGGCAACATTCTGGAAGTTTGAGGCCCTCACTCGTGAGTGGATCAAGGTCGGCACCAAGGACGCGACGTCGACGAGGACTGAGGCTGAGATTGAGGCCGAGCGTGAGCAGGTTGCCAAGGATCTCCGAGTTGCGTTCTTCAAGATGGACCCATATATCCGTGCCAGGAATATGTTCCATCGTTCCAACCCTCCAGTTGCCAGCACCGACGGCAGTGTGAACTGGGTGTACGACAACTAACTTACGCGTTAAAGTTTTTATTATTCAACCAATATACCATTCTGCTTATCGAAATGAAGAAGGCTGAGTTGGATTGATGCAGCCTGGTTGTATTAACATGTCATTGCCATAGTGTGAGACACGGGTGTCCATGCTTGTCTTTCTTTTCATGTCTTTCGAGGTGACGACTCTGGGCTGGGAGCGTTTCAAACAAAAGGCTGAGGTTGAGCAGCAGGAGGGTTTCCATTCATTATCTTTGCCGCCACTCTTGTTCGAGGAGGATCAGATCATGTTTAGCGCCATGCGTGCACTCAAGAGTCAGGAACTTGGCGATCTCCAGTGCATCGCAAAGCAGCTAGAATGGCACCACCGTCGAGGTCTGAACGCCGCCAAGCGCAAGAGAGGGATCGACTATTTGGAGAACTCCTTCCTCCTCGTCGAACTCAGTTCCAGATACCGGAGACGAGTCGGTTAATTGGTCGAGCCTGTGAGATTACATCTGCCGAAACTGCCTGTCGGAACTTTTGGTATGCAAACAGCTTCGAGCCTTCTATGGTTCCATCATGTTCAAGGTTAGGAACAGGAACTTGAAGTTGTACACTGGACAAGGCCATTAGCGCAATCATCCGGTCGTGTGAAATCAAGGGCAAGCGGTGAGAGGGAGACAATAGGGTGCACCCTTTGTGGCAGTTCAAGAAGCAGTAGACCAAGGTAAGCATAATAATGTTTTTTTTCTCCACTTCCTTTTTATATCAAATGCTTGCTTCTTCTCTTGCCTTTGGGCGTCTTGAGGTTCGTGATCGTGTCGGCTGGCGAGACTTCACCTCCAAGCCTTGCTGTCAATGGCACACCAACAGTGAGGACCATATCACTATGGACCGTCGCTCTATCCAATGCAAACAATGCAACCGAGCCAGGACCGTAACCATAACGGGGCGCACATTAAGGCTCGTGCAGCATTACTGTGGCGTCCCACCCCACTCCAGACCACGGTCAACCACAACCTCAACCTTATCCACAACCTCAACCTTATCCTCAACCTCAACCTTATCCTCAACCTCAACCTTGACAGTTTCACGCTACGCACCAGGCGCCCCTTGCTAGGGCTGCTCATTGTTGATATTATGTTCAACCATGTCTCCTCTAACATCAAAGCACTCCTTTCTTCCTCCCCTTTTCAAACATTAAACGAGCAACTCCCTACTACTACAAGAACAACAAAAGAGATGCCAAAGGACATTCAGACACCTCCAGGCACAGGTCATGTCGGCACAATGACCCCCGACCAGAACGAGCTCCTCAAGGAGATGTGGTCCCAGATCTTCAGCATCGCAGACTCGGGCACCGTCAACGTCCCCACTGATATCCTCACCGCTACCGAGACTGCGTCTGCTGGTTCTGAGACTGCGTCTATAAAGTCCAAGACGGCCACCAAGAAGGGCTGGTTCGGCACCTCCAAAGCTGCATCTCCAGCTGTTGCTGCTGGTGAGGATACTCCTTCGGTGCGTGTTAACCTTACCGACATCGGTCTCTCGGTCGAGCAGCTGCGACCTGCCCTTTGGAACAACATCCTCGGCGATCATCCAGGTATTCGCGCAGGTTTTGATTACTTTATTTGTTTTACTTTTCGTTCTTTATCAGTGGATGAACGTTTGTGAGTGAGTGGGATGAGTCGAGAGGCTGTTTGTGTATGTTTGTTTGTACCAGTTGCTTTTCCCTCCTTCCGCACCACGCCCAAGCAGTGGACACTTGACCTCCCCCCTCCCCCCTCCCCCCCCCTAACCCTTTCTCTCTTCGACCTATGACTGACAGCCTTCCCTTTCTCCCCCTGACTCTCTCTCGCTCATAGATTCTCTGTTGTTGCGATTCCTGAGGGCGCGTAAGTGGAATGTCAATAACGGGATGACCATGATCCTCAAGGCGTTCAAATGGAGACTCGAGGATGACATCGAGGAAGTCAAGTCAAAAAGCGAGGACGAGCTCGACGCCAAGTACCGAGGATTCCGCCTGCAGATGGAGCTCGGAAAGTCCTTCGTCCACGGCACCGACAAGGAGGGTCGCCCCATCGTCTACATCAACGTTCGTCTCCACAAGCCCGCCGACCAGGACGCCAAGGCGCTGGAAAAGTTCACAATCTATGTCATGGAGGTCGGCCGTTTGATGATCCAGCCCCCTGTTGAAACCGCTTGCTTGGTCTTTGATATGACTGGATTCGGACTCTCCAACATGGATTACAAGTAGGCATTGCGGGCATGTGTTCTGCTCTTTGGAGATGGTTCTATTATGCACATTGTCTGGACGAAGACGGCAACATTGCGATTCTGTTTCTTTCGATTGCTCTTTTTTCTTTGTGGGGTGCATGGGTTGGGCAATGTGACACACAAGCAAATTAAGAAAAAGTGGGCGTGATGCAACACCAGTGACTTTATCGATCAAAGGGAGATCACTCACTCACTGACAAACGACGCCTATTTCTTTTCCTTCCTTCTATATGGTTTTGCACTGGCAGCTTTGTCAAGTTCTTGGTCCAGTGTTTCGAGGCCTACTACCCCGAGTCACTTGGAATTCTGGTTATCCACAAGGCTCCTCTGGTCTTCTGGGGTGTCTGGAAAATCATTGAGCCCTGGCTGGACCCCGTCGTCGCTTCCAAGATCCGCTTCACCCGTAGCGACAAGGAACTGACTGACGTGATCGAGGCCGAGCGTCTCCCCAATAAGTACGAAGGAGGAAAGGACCAGGTACGATAACAAAAAAACAATGACAATGGGTGAGATGACCTCCTCTTTTTTATTTTGCCTTTACATTTTCCTCACTTGTCCTCACTTGTCCTCACTTGTCCTCACTTGTCCTCACTGATTGGGATTCATCCGTTATCCGTTGCCCGTTGTTTGTTGTCTGTTGAACCTATTAAGCCCACATAATCAAAGTACTGACGTTTTTGTCTTTCTTGTAGTTCACATACCAATACATCCCCGTGCAGACTGGCGAGAACGATCGCATGAAGGACGCCGAGACCAAGGAGCGACTCTTGGACGAGTGGAAGTCTCATATGTGGAAGTTTGAGTCTTTGACCCGCGAATGGATCGAGTGCAAGAAGGTCGAGGGCGCCAGAGCCGAGGATGTGATCGAGAACGAGCGTAATGCTCTTGCGAAGGAGCTCCGTGTCGCCTACTTCAAGCTCGACCCTTACATCCGCGCCCGCAACCTCTACCACCGCTCAGAGCACCCCGTCCTCCAGGCAGACGGTGCCACTGTCTGGACCTACAAGAACTAGACGGATAACAGCTCAGTTTTCTTCAAACTTGACTTGCATAGACCGGTTTTTTTTCATCGTTTTATACAGTTCAACGCGTTGGCACAGTATCGAATATGTTAATACATACAAATGAGGCAGAAAACGGTAGAAGAGAAAGTGACTATGGACAAAGAAAGGGATGATAGTATTGACAGCAAAGAAACGGACTAAGACCGCCGACCGCTTCCACTGGCGGTGCTATTTGTCGTACCGCTGCGTACTCGTCCAACAGGTCGGGATATCGTCTCGGCGATCAGCGCCGTCGTCTCCTCGTCACTTGTCTGTCCTCCGTCATCCGTCAGACTCGAGTATTGAGGAGGAGGCAGTCCTCCAGCTGGTCCAGACATTGTCGATAATGAGATGTGCTGAGGGGTTGTGTTGACCTTTTTGCTGTATTCAGATCCGTTTCCGCCTTCACCTGCACTCATGCGATCCTCCTCGTCAATTTGAACAAGAACTCCCGCAGCTTCGATCCTTGCTCGTGACTGACTCGACTGCAGATGGGGTCGACGCATGGGCGGCGCCACCGTTCCTGTTCCTGCTCCAGCACCTGAGCCTCCCAACGCCGACCCTGTCTCCAACAGAATCGAGCCTCGCTCTTTACCATAGGCGGGGGGAGGCGCCAACGATCCGCTGGCGGGAGCCAAGCCCCACTTCTTCACATTGGCCTCGACGAACACGAATCCAGATTGACCCAGGTTGACATGAAGCACACAGGGACCGTTGGCTCCAACAGTCGGGAACAAGTTGAATGTCAATCCTGTGTAGGCATCCTCGAGTCGTTTACCGTTGCGGGTGAAAAAGATGGTTCCTGTGCGGGGTCGGTAGCCACAGCCAACGACATCTCCCTCAAAATAAAATGGCCCATATGGGTGTCCGCTGAAGGGCGAGTTGCAGTACTTTTGGCCGTCCTTTGAAAAGTAGGCCACAGAGTGACGGTTCCAACCTAACGGTTCGATGTGATCAGAATAAACAGCGATCAATTAGTCCCTTATTTTCCTTATTCTAACATCATGAGATGATGCCAAGTCGTCAGAACGCTGAAGCGTGTTCAATTCACAGTACGCCAGCACAAGGACACATACAATAACCACAAAAGAGTGATGAGACGCAAGGTATAACAAAAAAAAAGAGTTTGCATGATAACCATTGAGCATACAACTTTGCTCACAAAAATATGTCAGCAGGATCGATCGCCCCACCACTTGCACTTTACGCTCTCCTTGTCTTCCCGCTCGCTCTCACAAACCTCTCCTTCCGCTGCCCCATTGACCCCTCCCCCTTTTACCCCATTGTCCCTTTGTGTGTATCAACAAAATAAACGAATGTACGTCCTCGGAAAGGGGAGTGGATTCGAAACGAAGAAGCAGGAGACAGACCCAATCTTACCAGGCATCCTTGTGTAGGGGTATGGCTTGGTCGAAACACCAACAGAGACGACGGTATCGGGACTCTTTTCAAACATCTTGACTTCCCAGTAGTAGACCTCCTGTTGCTTGGGCATGGGCAGGTTGGTCTGGACAGACGTTTCGGCTTGATTCATGGCGAGGAACGACATCTCTGTCCGATCATGAACCTGCACTCTGTGATTGTCGTATGATGCCTCGAATTCCCATGCAGAGACGCCCTTTTCCTGAATAGAGAGATACTGTGAGAGTGAAATGTCTGTTGGGACGCTGAGAGGTGGATGGGCGACTTGGAAGGCTGGTTGGTGAGAGTGTCCCGGTTATGTCATTGTGTTCGATCGGAGTGTGTTTGTCATTTATGACATAGAGTTCGGGCGCAAGAGCGGGCGGAATAAAAAGAAATATGGAAAAAAGGAACAGTTCGAGGTTAGACATCGGTTGACCAACAACTTGAGGGAGTATGAAAAAAGTGGGCAAAAGAGTGAGTTCCTGGAATCCTGTTGTTCCCGTTTAGCAGCGTTGATCTAGAAGTCAGAGTGAGCGGCCGCCTTGGACATGATCATATCCATTAGCCATGCCTCCTTGCATCCAGAGTCCCGGAGGCCGGTGTTGTCGATGAGTTGTCACTGCCAATGGGTCACTTGAGTTGTATACGTCAGAGTGAAGATGCAGAGAAGAGCGACACCGCTACTATTATCCTCACTGGGGCCGGGTTGATAATGGAGCTTTCTTTGTTTGGAGTGAGTGTTTTCTATCACACTCCTGATTTTTTGTTGTTTCGAGATGTCTCCTGAACAAACCATCCCTCATTGAAAACGAACACGAGAACGAAAACAAAAAAGTAAGGTCTGCTCTCTCGTTCCTCCCCCGTTATGATCTCTTTCGGCCCCCTTTCAATGGCCATCTGCCCAATGGAATGATGATACTCGTTCTTGAATGACCCTCTTTGTTTGTTGTTTCTTTGTTTGTTGTCATTCCAGACACGATCTGTCCTGGATGATCGTCAATGGGTTAGACTCCTTGTTGGTCTCCCTTTCCCATACTCGGTACCCAACGACCCATGTCAAAAGCACATGTACGAAAAGGGACAAGCAAGTGGTCTATTTTCTATTCCCAAGGCATGTTGATATCTCCAGAGGAAGGAAAGAAGAAAGGAGCAGACGACCAGTCATGAAAGAAGATGGCAGTGAAGCGGCATGACGAAAAAAGAAAGGAATCGAAACAAAAAGGACAAAGATAGACCTGCTGCACAAAGATGTTATGCTCTCACTCTGCGACACACTCTTCCTCTCTTTCCAGTCCTGCCTTTTTCTTTTTCTGTTTTGCCTTGTCCAATCCTTCAATACCATGCAAGAAAAATGCTTCCTGGACTGTCCCTCCCGGCTGTTCCTGCTCGCTTTTGTTTGTCCAGTTGTGGAGTGTGTATCTTTCTCGTATCTCCTGTCTGTCTTTTCATCCTGCTGTGCTGCTTGGACTGTCTGGTGCAGGCTGTTCAGAGTGGGAAAGGAGTCCAAAAATAAAAACAACTGAACCGTTTCCGATTGACAAAGTGGCGAGGCAAAGGAGAAGGGCTATGGGAGATAAAAGGTAGGTACAGGAGGAAAACAACCAAAAAGCCAAGGCCAAAAAGGGTAACAAAAAGGGCCAAGCAACGCAATTCAGAGCAGAGCCAAGCCAAATTGAACAAATAAAAATGAGAAATAGTATACCTCTGGAAGAAGTGTACGCTTGTCGTTGGGCACCAGTAAGCAGTGCCCAGCGCTCGTCGTTCTCGTTGAGGGTCAAGTCTGGGTCGGGTTCGTCCTCGCTGGGGACCTGGTGTGGGCCGGAAGAATGATGCCGGGAAGAGCCGCCTCCGAGACCGTGTCCGCCGCCTGGCCCTCCCAAGAGCGACTCGTGACCGTCTTGGGAGCTGTGCATCGACAAGGGGAGCCAGCCGGCTCTTTGGCCACATGACCGAATGACAGACGCAAGGGTGACCAGCAGCGCAGTGGTCAAGACCACAGCGACCAGCCAGGTGGCATCGTCGTCGTCATTGTCGTTGTTGTCGTCGCCATTGCTGTCGGTGGGGAGGTGCATGCTCTTGCTGTAGTCGTCTAGCTCTGGCATGGAAGGAACCAAGCCAAAGGAGTTGACTGGCTGGCTTGGCCTGTGCAGGAGCACGAAGGGGCCGCCTGTGGTTGGTTCTTCTTTTGGGGATGAAGAAGAGGATATGGAGTTGACGTAGTCTGAAGGAGAGGAGAGGGTGAAGGGGGGTTGATGTTGTTGGGGATGATACTTGTCGCTGTCGCTGAAAAAAGCCTGGTCTGTTTCGGATAAGACAGGATCGTTGCTGTTATCGTTGTCGACGGGAGAGAGTCGCCATGGGTGGTTATCCTGCCTCCTGTTGAGATAGCTGCTTCTTGCCCTTGCTGTAGTCATCCTCTGCTACTTGCGGTTGCTGTCTTTGTCAGTAAAGTTGACGGTAGTAGAGAGTAGTAGTGTGTTGTAAGAGAGAAAAAATGAGAAGCAGAGTGACAAGAAGAAAAGGAAAGAGAGACGAAGGAGATGAAATAAAAAGGGTGCGTGGTTCGCAGAGTGGGAGAAAGAGGGAAGTTGACAGGTGGGTGGATAAGATGAAGGTGAAGAAGGGATGAGGGAGAGAAGGGAAGAGGAGGAAGAAGAAAGAGAGAAGGAAAGAAAGGAAGGGAGGAAGGAAGGAAGGAAGAAAGGAAAGAAAAAAAGAAAGAAAGAAAAGAGGGCTCTGTTCTGCTTTTCGCCCCTCTATGATGTGGATGGCCACAGCGCATGTTTCTTCGAAAAAGGGGACCGAAGAACGAGTGATGGACGAAGAAGAGTTGCCACTGTTATTGTTTTCTACGATACTCCTATTGACCATTGTTGGTGACGATAAGAATCAATTGTCCATCCACGCAATGTTTGCCTTCGATGACAATTGCGCGAAGAATAGAATGGATCGTCGCTTCTGGAGTAAGGAGGGGGGCACTCTCGTCTTCTTCCATACTCTCCTTTTACCTCCAAAATGTGAAGTGCCAGATCAGCCTCACTTCTCGCCTCATCCCGTGGCGATGATTGTCATTTGCCACCAATTATTTTTTGGTTCTTTGAGCACGTGAGAAGTGACATAGTAGAAGTAAATCAGTCGCAAATGTTTCTAAAATAGACACTATTTCATGGTGGTTGTTTTGATTTTCTTGTTGGTTCTTTCACTTTGTGTCTGTAAGTTTTGTGCCTGTTTGGTTTGGTCTAGTCGATCAGTATGCTACCCATCCGTCCCCTCGAGGAAGGCGAGCCAACGATCCCAATTAGTTCGCAGGTTGGCTGGCTGGGGATATACATGGAGTATTGCGCACTTGGACACAGAAGAAACCACGATCAACGATCACCTCTCCACCTACAACTACAACTACAACATCACCGAGATCATCTGCGGTACACACTTCGGGAAAAAAAAAGTTTTGCTGTCTCTACTATAGCCACGATCGATCTCACACCCCTTCTTACAACCCGACACACGCTTCTCATATGCACGCACTCTACCTTACTACACAATTTTTCCGTCTCAGTGTAGCCACCTCTCGCCTGAACACCATCGGGATACATTGACTCTCGCCCCTCTCACTCATCTAATTTTTCCTCTTTCTCGATCTCTCTTCTCATCTCTTCCTCGAACTAGTTAACCCCTTCACTACACTATAATCAATCATGTCTGATGTCAACGTTGAAGTCGAGGTTGCTGCCGACACCACTGCCCGCGGCCAGATGTCCGTCGAGGAGGCTCTCCAGGATGTCTTGAAGCGTGCCCTTGTCCACGATGGTCTCGCTCGCGGTCTCCGTGAGTGCGCCAAGGCTCTTGACAGGTACTTTATTTCTTTTGTGGTTCATTGGGTAGTTGGATAACTGGGTATTGTGTGTGGCTTCGTCTGTTCAATGTTCAATTGATCATAGCAAACAATACAGCGAGATGTAGCAAAATCTTTTTCAATTGATTGCTTCTTTGAGGGAGGAGTATCTCTTGTCCAAACGCCAGTGTTCTAAATAATTACTTGGTAACAAAACAATGAACGAACATCTCTCTTACTCAAACCAATTGCCTTAATCCCTACCTACAATAGACGCCAGGCCCATATGGCTGTCCTCGTTGAGACCTGCACTGAGAAGGAGTACATCAAGCTCGTTGAGGCTCTTTGCGCTGAGCACAACATCAACTTGATCAAGGTCTCTGACGCCAAGAAGCTCGGCGAGTGGTCCGGTCTCTGCAAGATCGATCGCGAGGGCAACGCCCGCAAGGTCGTTGGCTGCTCCTGCGTCGTCGTCAAGGATTTCGGTGAGGAGTCCGAGGCCATGAACGTCCTCCTCGAGTACTTCAAGACCCGTTAAAGATCTCTTTCTCTAGAGTTCTTTTTCCTTGATTCATTATCAACATGCATGAAGGGGAACAAAAACACCCAACCCAACAACCAAAACGGAATTCAAACGGGAAGAAGAATGGATTATCCCTTTCTATTTTTCTTCTCTTTGCTCCCCTCATTTTATCATCCTGAGCCCTGGATCTACATTCTGTCAGAGCAATGAAAGAATAAAATGCAAAAGCACCGACTTCCTTTTTCTCTCTTCTTTTGTATGCTGTTGATGCGACATTCTCCTGTTCCTGGTTGGTGGAAAAATACTACAACAGCCAGCATTGGTTGTGTGTGTGTCCACAACGTGTTGAATTGGTAGAGTCGCCTATCGCTTTCGTGTAAAACGGTCGCGTCACCACTTTTTTTGTCCCTCGCTACAAACAAAAACAAAACACTCTCCCTCCATCTTCCTTCCAATATTTGTCGCGTCCCCTCCTCTGTCTCAAATGACCACGAACGCCCCAGTACCAGAAGTGTTCACCAACCAATACTTATATCACGGCCTCCGCTTCGACCCCAAGCACGGCTACCGTGTCGTCTTCCTCGCCAACGTTGACTAGATTTGGATCCACCTCGATGTCGCCCCCGCGTACCGTGCCCCTTACCTCCTCATCTCGTCGAGTCCCTACACTACGTCCATACTTTTACCCCCGCGAGCGAGAGGAGCACCTTTTTCACACTTTTTATTCCAGCAGGAAGAAAAGCCAACGCAACAAACCGTTGCAGAATTTGTCCAATGGCCCGGTCCTCGTCGCCACCAACTACTACTTGAAAAAACCATGTCTCGCCCCCGATGTCTGACATTACAACTGCCGTCAACAACGGGTTCGCAATAGTCTCACATGGTTCGCCACAACCACCGCAACCCCCTCGCCACCACAAATGTCTCGCCCAATGCATCTAACCTTCCCAGACCGCCAACAGCTACATCACCTCGTCCGTCAAGTCTGGCGATCCGTGGTCGAGGGCAAGGAGTCGTTTCTACCATGGGTTGAGACCTGGGATTTGGTGTCGGTCAGCGTTTTGCAACCTTGCTCAGTTCAGCAGACGCCCGCACATAGCTCGCTCTACTTCATCGACTCGGTCTTCAGCTGCGTCGTCGTCAAGGCCATTTTCTCAATCGAAATCCCAAGGACCCGTGAGACCCGTCCCCTCACGATTCTGTACAACACTCGCCGATGTTGTCTACACTTAGCTCTACACTTAGCTCAACAAGTTCGTCTCCTTGGACGCCGAGCAGACCATCACCACAACCTCGATCTCCAAGGGTGTCGACGATCGATCCCTCTGTCCCTTGTGTGGGATCTGTGGAGACTGGACCAAATGACTGTAGCAAGGAGAGCCGCCCTGTGTCTGAGGCATCGACAGCCAGCGCTACTTCTTCGGAAGTCGGTGCAACAAGGTTTCCTTCGATAGTTGCTGTTTCTGTCAGCAACACTATATCCGTGTGACTCAGGTTCATCAAGTGAAGTTTTGAGTGGCATCACAGTCGCGGTCCAACCCTCAAGCTCCAAGTCGACTCCTCAATTTCCGAGCGTCAAGACGATAGGGCTTCCGATTCCAGAGGTGAGGAGTATTTTCCTGCGCTGTCGCAGCATGATTTGGATACCAAGGGTGACGGTGCGAAACCGATCAAGGTCCTTCACTTGCGGATGATGGTGGAGTTACCACTACGTCTGTAAACTCGCAGACCTTGGTTCAGCTGACGGCGTGAGTGGCGGTGCCGAATCGACTAATGGGACTCGCCACTATTATTTCTGAGGCAGGTCCAGTTTTGTTGAGGTGGTACAAAGCCAGCGGACTCAGACCCAAGGATACGAAGGAGCGCAAGTCCAATGAACCTACCAGTATCCCTCGCTAACGACGGCAGACGACTCGGTCTGCTACAGACACAATATCTCCATCACCAACAGCCCTTCGACGCGGTGAGCGAACCCGTCTCAGGAACCCAAGGACGACAATTGTGTCTGTTGTAACTGTGCTAGCTCCAAGGTCAGTCCGAGTTAGTACAGTAGAACGGGCGCCTGCTCGGGTTGCAACTTCTGCTCCTATTGCTATTCGACGCAGTGCGAGGATCCAGGAGCGAGAGTTAAAGTTGAGTTACGGCAACAAGGACAAAGGCGTGAAGAAGCCAGCAGTCAAGAGCAAGCGTTAGATATTAGTTGTAATGGACATATTGTAGAGACATTTCTCGCCACCTTCAAACTTTTCTTTCTTCCTCCCTCCTCCACATACTTCACCATCTTCCATCCCTCACTCCTGTGAACAGTTGACGGCATGGTTTTAGTTGTCGCGAAGACGCCACTTGTGTGCGCAGCGAAGACGAGGAGTGACTCAATCTCTCTACAAAGGGTGTCGTGCTACTATTTTCTTCTCTTCTTTCAAACCCTCGTTTCCTACCCACCCTCCATCTCCAGTCACCTTTAGCAATGACAGCCTCGACAACATCAATGTACCCATTCTACCAGATCGATGTCTTCACTGACAAAGGATTCCTCGGCAACCCTCTCGCCGTCGTCGTCGCACTCGACCCTACCCTGCCCATCCCCAACGACGAGCAGATGCAAAAGATCGCCAACTGGACCAACCTCTCCGAGACCTCATTCCTCCTCCCGCCTACCGACCCCACTAAGGCCGATTACAAAGTCCGGATCTTTACACCGAATGTTGAGCTCCCCTTTGCTGGTCACCCTACCATCGGCACCTGTCGTGCATTCCTCGAACACACTCAGTCGAAAAAGAAGAAGGTTGTCCAGGAGTGTGAGGTTGGACTAGTGGAACTGCAGGTCGCCAACAATGGGTCAATTGCTTTTACTGCTCCACCGCTGCGCAAGACAGGACCTGTGGATGAAGGGACTGTGAGGGCTGTGTGTGAGTCGATGGGAATTACGAGGGAGGATATCCTAGATACACAGTGGGTCGTCAATGGGCCACACTGGTTTGCATTGCTATTGAAGGATGCCGCGACGGTGCTGAAGGCTAGCAGGATCCCGACGCTGGCGTCGAAGCAGTTTGAGTTTGGGATCGTGGGGCAGTACCCTAAGACTGCTGCTGCCGCTGCTGCTTCAGGAGAAGGCAAGGAGGATGGTAGTGCTCCGTTCTTTGAGATCCGGGCCTTCCCTCATGTGGATCTGATCGACGAAGATCCCGTCTGCGGCTCCTTTAAGTAAGCACTTGTGATGCTTAAGGCTTTCCTTTTATTATTTGTTGCATCTTTTGGTGGCGCTCTAATTGAGATTGACTTTGCACCGTTTTGATCGCTTACACTCAAATAGTGCTGGTGTCGCTCAATGGCTAATCGGAAACGGCGTAGCACCTGCGAGCTATGTGGCATCACAAGGACTGGCAATGGGCAGGCGAGGTCGCATTGTTGTGCACCGCGATGACTCTGATCTGTCATTGGAGGCGTCCAAGCGTGCTGTCTGGGTTGGCGGCCAGACCGTCGTTTGTATCCAAGGTACCATCCAAGTCTAAATCAGGGTCGACCTGGTACATCTCCCTTCGTGTCGACTCTACTCATACAACCATCGCTACGGATCACGGACACATGAACATCCGCCTTCCAGAAGTGAATGCCATGAATTAATAAAGCTAGCTGGACCATCACCAACACCCATTACACACCTGCTTTAGAATGAGAGAATGACTTAGGATGATACTCTTCACTTTACCTGACCGGAAACAATGCCCACAACCAAGGGTGTCAATGTTCTCCATTGGTTCCAGACATATCGTGCACTCTTCACAGTCATGCCGGTTAGCAGACTCGATCATCAGACCACGTCAGATCGTATTCTTGTCGGCCTCAAACAGCTGGCAACAATTGTGGTCCTTGACATCCACCCAGTCGGGCGTATATTGCTCTTCCGTTCCCCTGATCCCATGAAAGCGGTACTTGCAGGACATGAAACCGACGGTGACAGGGACGATCCTGTCGTGCCAGTCGCAGTTGGAGCAGACAAGCGTTGTTTCCGCTAACTCCAAAGACCCAAACTTCTTCGCACAGATGACTTGGTGGCTCGGGGTGCAAGCACAATTGCACTCGACGTTGGTTTCAGCACTGGCAATACGACCTGGTGACGCACGATCCAAGAAGTTGACATTGCGCACATTGGAGCTGTTGGAGACATCCGAGAAGACAATTCCAGGATTGATTCCGCCACCACCTCCTCTCAATCGCAAGACCAAGTGGAACGTCGTATCCTCGTCGGTATTGTAACCCTGGAGAGTCTTCTTATCCACGAATTGCGTGCCCGCAAATATGAGTCGCTGCAATTCCGGGCGGCCTTTTTCCAAAGGGTCGACAATGGCTTTGATGTCTGAAATGCGGAAGTTTCGGTGACAGTCCAGAAAAGCGTAAACCCTGCCGGTGAGAGTCCTGAATTCTATTGTGAACACGGCATTGGCCAAGGCCCGGTAGGTCAACGTGCGTTTAAATATGCGGTAGTGTCTGATGGATTTTTGATAGCCCTCGATGATTTTCCCATTGAAGTATGGTCCTGCAGACTGATGTCCTCCTTGTTGGTGAGTTTCGACCGAACACGCTCGAGGATGTAGTAGACAGGCTCGGTGTCTTTGTAGGATACGTTACGTCTAGCTAAGCTTAAATTGTTTCTAGAAGTCGAGAAGGCGTGAGAATGGGGAGAGTGTGAAAGAGAAGTGGACTGAGGTGAGGCAAGGTTTTATATACAATTTGTTTGCTCCCTTTCCTTTTTGTCACCACCGCGGCGTCGAAAATGAAGGTTTTAGCAAACGGCAAACGCAATGTCAGAGAAGCGTTGTGGTAGACCCAAACAAGACAAAAGAGGGTGGTGTAACGAGAGTAAAGAATGAGGTTTTATTCGAGCTCACTAGCAAACTGTTCAACAGTCTGCGCTGCACGACCACCATGAGATGCAGCCTTTGTGGAACTGATGCCAGCAGCCCAAGGTATCAAAGGCAGTAGGTATGTTAGGAACGAACCACTCGTTGCCTTCAGCCCAACACGACCACGTTGATCGTTTATGGATCACTCAGGCTTTGGTCTTAGAAATAAAGTTACTATCACCTATGTTGGCATGGTCGGTCATGTGGCATGAGTAGACGGCGTCTCTTTGTTTACTTATTTTTTGTGGGGGGGAGGAGTGTGCGTTGCATGTCCAAATGTGCAAAAATACACAAAGGAACCAACCTTACAACGTCGTCCCTCCTGCCGTTCGTGAGACCATGCCTAATTGCCGCAGAAAAAATAACATAATCAAAAAAAAATAATCTTACATTTTCGACTGTCGAAAAAAATGCAAGGAGGCCTTCCTCGACTCCTTCGCCATCTTTCTCGACCCTTCTCACTAAACTAGTGTACTCAAGCTGCGCGACCAGTGGTCAGATGCTGGTTGAATCGGCAGTTGGGACAGGATCCGCTCCATGCAGAAATGCAATTGGTGTGGAACTTGTGTCCGCACCCCAAAGTGTCAAAGGTTTGGAGACGCACCAGACAGGTAGAACACTCGTCACAATCGCTTGCATTCGTGGACTCAATGACAAGACGCCGCCAAGCAGTCGACTTGTCAGGGTTGAACTGCTGGTAGCAGTCCTCATCTGTGACATCCTTCCAGTCCGAGGTGTACTGCTCGCCTGTCGCCTTGATCCCGTGGAATCGGTACCTGCACTTCATGAACCCGACGGTGACAGGAGAGATCTTGTCCGACTTGTAGCAGTTGGGACAGATGAAAGACTCTTCCGACAGCTCCAGAGCTCCGAACTTCTTTGTGCAGATGACATGGTGGCTCGGGGTGCAGGCACACTTGCACTCAACATTCGTACCGGGTGCAGCAATTCGACCTCGAGGGGCTGTAATTGAGAATTGAACCTTGCGGACGTTGTTCGCGTCAGATACGTCAGAGAAGACCATTCCGGGAGTTATTCCACCACCACGAAGTCGGAGGACCAAATGGATCACGCTTTCCTTTTGGATGTTGTACTCCCACAACCGAAACTGGTCCTCGAGTTGTCGTCCTGCAAAAATGAACCGAGCCTGGTCGATCGGAACCCCATCCTTATGGTGGGAGAACATATCCTTGAGCTCCGATATTCTCATCGATGAGTAGACTTCCATGGGGACGGAGGCGCCTGTGAGTGTCTTGATAGTGATTACCATGTTACTCATGGGATGGGCCTTGTAGGTCAAGGTGCAACCAAAGATCCGGTAGTAGGCAATGGTCTGTTGGAGGTCGTCGAGACGCCGTCCGTTAATGTGGAGATACTGTCGGCTAATGTCTTCTTCCTTGGTGCCAAGCTGAGACCTGATACGTTCGAGGAGAAAGAAGATGGGCTGATTGTCCTTGTAAGGGACGGTGACATGCTGACCTGGGTTGTCGGCAATGATGACATCGAGGGTGGCGGCCATGTTGTCGGGGGGGGGGGGGGGGGGTTTGCTGGTGATTGTCAGTTTTCGGTGTTCCTGGAGGTGCGAGAATTTGGAGAGAAGGAAAGGAAGAAAGAAAGGAAGAAAAAGAGAGAAGGAGGAGTCGATAAAAATCAATTCGACTGATAGATGGTGACCGCAGCTACAGCGTCGTGGTAAAGTAGAAAGATAAAAGTGATGTTTGCTTCGCCTCTCTTCAGTGTTAAGCATGGTCTCGATGCCCTGTGTCAGCATACATGCGTGTTTGGATGTTTGGCCACCAATTATTTTTTTGGCTTTCCTTCGCCGCGTCGTTTGTCGTTGTGTAATTGTGTATAGTGTTTTCGTATTGCCGAAAGATGAAAGGAGAATCCGAATAGAGGGAGAGAGAGAGTGTGCGATCAAATGAGAGAGAGTAGAGCGCTTTGAAGAATCAGCATGGGACAAGACCTGCCCTGAATTGGTGAGGACCAGCAATATGTTTTGCCACCAATTTTATTTTCGACGTTGGTTTGGGATCGATGTTCACAAGTCCAGGGACGATCACTCCCTCTTGACTTTTCAAGTTTTCTTCCATTCACTCACCAAAGCAACAACCATCACACATACCATGACAGATTGCATTCGTCCCTCCCCTTTCTCGAGCACAGAAAGGTCGTTCTTTTTAGAGAAGTATTTCCGCCCCCGACTCGCTCGTTTACTCACGCCCTTTCTCCTGTATTCGCTTGTTACAGATGCATAGTACAACTCCGTCTTTGAGAAGGGTCTCTTCAACGACCAAGTCATCCTCGTCACCGGAGGAAGCACCGGTAAGCCTTTTTGTCACTTTCTCTATGAATTGTCTACAACTCGGTTACCCCGGCAGCCCTTGTACAACAATACAACATTCTCATCCAACATTCCATCCTTTGTCCTGCACTACCGTATCTCTCTAGGAATTGGACGATGTGAGCTCGCAGTGTAACCTTACAAGAACGTCTATAGCCCCACTCTTTTAGCTTACCTCTACTTTCTCGTTCTCTAACAGACATCCCTCCTACCTTCGCTCGGTCTAACAACGTAGCCTGGGCGCGTCAGTGATAATCGCCGCTAGAAAGTCAGGTCAACTCAAGAACACAGCAAAAAGTAATCCGGCTCCCGAGAGGACGCTGCGAGACCATGACCCTCAACATTCGCGATACTGTCCAAGCCCAAGGCCTCACCAACAGCATCGTCGCCAGGCACGGCAAACACACCGGTCTTTGTCGTATGTCTTCTTCCTTATATATTTTTTTCGAACTATCATTTCCCTTTCCTTTTTCTGGGGTCTCGGTAAGAAATTTCCCTTTTTGCACTGATGAATTAGTACAATGCGGGAGGGCAGTCCCACTCGCCGGCAACGGCAAAAGGGTTCACAGCAGTCGTCGATCTGAACCTCAGGAACATTCTACCTCTGCAAGGCCGCCTTTGAAGGCTACATGGGCGAGCACGGTGGATCTATCGTCAACATTGTCGCCGAGTGCCACAATGGCTTTCCCGGCATAGTTCACACCGAATGCCCTGCCTTCTACTTTCTTCAACGCTCGAGGAACACGGACGTACCTCACACTTTCGATTGCACATTGCACACAGTCTGCTTTTATTTATCAGATATTATCAATTATCATATTTGTTAACTTGTAGAGAGCGGCGCGCTCGGGAATTATCAACATGACAAAGACACTGGCAGTCGAATGGGGGCCATTATAACGGTGTCAGTGCCAACTGTGTCATCTCCGGTATGATCCCCTCCTCTGGAGTGAAGAGTTATCCCGAAAAAGTCCTCGACAGCTTCCTTGGCAACTCATGGTTCGTAAGTTTACTCTCATCTTTGTCCCTTGTCTTTCTTAACAGTTCTCTTTGTTGGACCTGATGACAATATTCCTCCTGTATCAAAACACTTTCATCTCTCTCTTATTTCCATCAACATAGAATCCAGCGGGGAAGAATGGGCACAGATTCAGAAATCGCATCCAGCTTCGTATTCCTACTATCGCCCGCAGTATCCTACATCATAGGGATCAATCTTCCCGTCAACGGCGCCAGCTCATTCAGCAAAGGCGACGCAAAAGCCAACACCGCCCAGCCTAGCTTCAACCCTGCAGGCAGCAAGATGCCACTTACATCGGCTGGCCTCAATAAAAGCAGGGTCAAGGTCCTGTGTTGAAGGGGTTGGATTCCCCTGGGCCCATGATGCAGCTGTACGTAAAGTACAAGTCCAAAGCCCACAAGCTGTGAGAGGGCCAATAAAGTATGTTGATGAAGAACTTGGAATTGTTCGTGTGTGCTGATGTTCCTGTGTGTGTTTCCTTTGAAATGTCAATTGTCGGTGTGTTGCTGAATGATCCTTTCATGGCCCAAGCATGGCGCACGCAGTTGACATGTAAGAGAACAGAGGAAGAGAGAGAGAGAGAAGAAAAATTGACGGTGAGAAAAACAGAGCGTACAAGCGACAGAGTGAACATAATTCATTTGAAAGAAAACGCAGGTTTTAATAAGGGCTGACTCGACTCCAATTCGGCGCCTTGGGCGTGTGATGATGGTTATCCAGATGGCGCAGTGACTTCAATGTCGGTCTTCCTGATACTCCAGGCACATTGCGAGCAACTACAACGAGTCGGTGTTTCCGTAGAGATGCTTCCCGCGCTGCTGGAACTGAGTCATTCCTTTTCCGCTCCCAACCACGCCGACTAATCATCGTAAATACAATCAAAGCAAAAAGAATGGTTGGTTAGTAACATGTGTCGTAGATAAGTCATAAACGCACAATATCACAACGTTAGGCAAAAATTGTGAATGCAATAAACGTCATAAGACACTTTACCTTTGCCTTCAGGGTTATCAGGTGTAGCAAAGATACTCTTCTTCAAGCCAACGACGCCACCACTAGCCTTGCCCTTCTTGACACTAGACTTGCCCTTTGCGAAATTCTGCCACGCCATTTGCTTCTGGACCTGCTCACTCGGCCCCGTATCCTTCTTCTTCTTCTTCATCCCACCACCTGCTCCTGCTGATCCTACTGATACACCGGCATCTGGTCCACGCTTCTGTCCAGCCTTGACTTCCTCACTGTCGTCTCCTGCTGCTGCTGGGGTATGCTGCTGATGTTTTTTGGGGTCATAGATCGGCTTGAGGTTCTCAAGTCCCAACGTGACAGGTGGGGAGTTGGCATACCCTGTATACTGGACAGAATACGCCTGTTGACCATCAGCGACCGCCAATATCGTCGCCTCGTAGTACTTCCCGTCCTCGGCGTATAGTGCCCTGCAGCGATCACCGACGGCCCAGAGCCGTGTTTGAGCTGGGGGCTGATAGATGGGCTGGTTCGATCCTTTCGTTGCTGGTGCTGCGGTTGAAGTTGATGCTGTAGTTGATGTGTTGGGTGTTGAAGCTCCTGACCCAGACGCTGTTGAAGTTGTCCTGTAAGGTGAAGAAGTGGCCGAGACTCTTCCTCCATTGACTTGTTGTGCTACTGGCGTCGTCTCGACCGGGGCGGCAAGGGCAGGGAGGTCATCGGCGAGCTGCTGCTCTTGCTGAAGCAGTGTCTCTGTGAGGGAAATGAGTTCGAGGAGTTCAGTCTTGCAGGTCAAAAGGTCTTCATTGTTGGGATCTGAGAGTAGGGCAGTCTCGAGGTCCGCTACCTGTTCCTTGAGGCTGATCAGTTCACTGGGATCCATTATTGGCTTTGATTCCTGTTGTTGATGAGGAGAGGGAGGGCTTGTTTTGTGTGCTGTGTGTTGCTTGGTGGCTGTGGGAATGAAGGTCCTGTGTGTGTGTGTCTGAATCAGTGGTTGGTTTTTGGTTGAAGAACAGCATGGACTTAAAGCTGTCCACACGTGCAGTGCAAAATGTTAGCGTCACCGTAGTATTTATCGCGCATAGGATGCTGTCTAATTCTAATAATCTACATGACTTTGCAGTTCTCGTCGTCGGGGCCTTGTTGGTCGGCTTGGCGTGCGCGGTCGTGGCGGATACGGCGCATAGCTCCAAGCTTCTTCATGTCCACCAGTCGCTTCTTAGCTCGGTTGTTACCCTGTGCCGCAGATCTCAGGTACCATCTCCTTGCTTCATCCAGATCCTGCTTAACACCAATTCCAACCTAAGAATTGTAAAAAACAAATGCTATGTCAGAGATACGCTTTTGGACTTTGTACACTCCAATTGATACTCATTCATCCACATACAAATAAAAACACAAATAGACAACGTTGATTGTACCTCAGAATAGTATCCAACGGCATACTCGGCGCGGGAAAGTCCCTTGTCAGCAGCTTTCCGCGCCCAGAGATAGGCCTCGGTATCGCTCTGCTTCAAGACACCCTCGGCTCCGGTCAGGTACCATCCCGAAAGTCCTAGCTCACTCTCCGCATCTCCTTGTTCGGCGGCTCGGGTGTACCAGGCGATACTCCTCCGTGGATCGACAGGGCATGTCAACGCTCCATACTCGTAGCAGTGGCCCAACTTGAACTGACTGGGCGCATATCCAAACCCTGCTGCCTGAGTGAACAACTCGCGCGAGTAGCCCTCGTCGGGGATGACAGTCGGGATACCGGCTTTCTCGAAACAAAGACCTAGTTCGTGCAAGGCGTGTGGGTTGTCCTCGTCCGCATTGGACGCCGCGCGCTTGAGCCAGGTGATCGCCTCCCTTGGATTGCTGTGCTGTCCCAACATTCCTTTGAGAATAACCATGCCCAACTTGTACATTCCAGCAGTGTCGCCCAAAGCTGCTGCCTTGCGGTAAGATTGGACAGCTCGACTGCTATCTTTTTTAGTTCCGGCGCCAATCTCGTAGCACACGGCAGTTCGATATGTCGATGCGGGATGATTCTGTTTTGAGGCTTGGACATAGAGGTTGAAAGCCTTATCGTGATCGATCTGCAGTCCCAGTGATCCGTTACCATAGCAGTTGGCCAAAAAGAATTGTGCCTCCGGGTAGGCAGGCTTGCCAATACCCACTCCTGTTGTTGCCAGTCGCTTGATGATCTTGAGTCCCTCCAAGAAGAGCGCCTCCTTATTCTTCTTCTGCCGCTTGGGGTCTGGGTCGTCGTTTCCGAATGTCACTGCTGCCTCAATCAAAGCCTTGGCATAGTCCAGTTGTGTGGCAGGGTCATTAGTGTTCCTAGCCCGCTGGCGCATCTCGTTGAGAACCTCCAGAGTCAAGGTCCGCCTCCGTGGCGCCATGTTGGGTCCTCCAGCAGGGCCACCCGGCCTTACAGGACCTGGTCCCATGCCATTTCCTGTATCGCCTCGGTGAGGTGGACGTGGTCCATAAGGTCCTGGGGCTCCTTGTCCTCCGGGGCCACCTGGGCCCATCATCATGGGGCGAGGGCGACCGGGTCCTGGACCACGCATAGAGGGCGAGGGTTGCAGGTTGGCTCCTCCGGGCCGAACAGGGAAAGGTCTCGGGCCACCGAATCCAGGCCCATGAGGGCGAAAACCAGGTCTTCCGTTGGGATGATGGGGTTGTTGATTGTGTGGTGGATATTGCGCATGCTGAGATTCGGGGTAGTACTCCTGCCCGTATTGCTCATTTCCTGCTTGCTGGTATCCGTTAGTATAACCACCCGGGTATTGATGAAGCTGCTGTGAGTATCGAGGATCCTGTTGGGGGTATTGGCCATAGGGTTGAGGAGGTCCACGGGGGCGAGGTCGTGGGCGGTCTTGACCGTGGGCTGGAGGAGGACGATGATAGTCGTTACCGTAGGCGTAATCGGCAGCCTGGTGGACGGGATTGTTGTGCAGCGACTGCGGAGAGGTCATGTAAGGCGACCCAGAGGGGTTATTGTTGGCTGCAGCATATGCTCGAAAGGAGGAATGGGTGGAATCCATGCTTGTACGCTGCGAGGCAGGGGAGCTCCGCATAGGGACAAAAGCTGCATTGACAATAGGAGACGCAGCAGCAGCGCCTTCAGAGAGAGTGGACGGAGGAACATAAGAAAGGGGATATCCTTGATCCGAGCCCGAGAACCGAGTATCGTCAACGTAGCCTGATCTTTCAACAGGCTTTTGGGACTCTCCTTCGGCAAAACGCAGCAGAGGCGAGTTTAGGTCTAGGCCAGTAATGCTGCTGGTGTCAGACCGGTCGTCGAGGGAAAGACATCCGAGATCAAAGTCGAGAGGGACTTGGACTTTGACGTTGTCGTTGGTGTTGTTGTGAGTATACGACTGGGACGATACAGGCAAGTCGACCGAGGAAGGTCTACCCGCGATTGTCCAATTAGAGGACGAGGCCGAGGACGACGAAGAAGCCGAAGTAGGTGAGCTCAGGGGAAGTTTGTTGTGTGGCGGTGGTGGATGATATGGATGTTGAGTTTGACGCTGGTGTGCCGGTGGAGGAGGTGGGTGATATTGAACGGCATCGGACTCGTAGAGGTCGTATTCAGCCACGGTCTGGGTCTGGTAGTAGTCTCTTTGGGGCAATGGAGCAAGTCTGACTTGAGGATAGGCAGCATTGGCAGTGTTCACACGGTCCATGGTGGTATGCTTGGTGTATGTGGTGTAGTATCAGCAGACAACGACGAGTCGTGAGCTTGGGAAAGAGAGGAAGAAGGTAAAGAGACCAAGAAGGAAAAGATGTCAATAAAGGAGTCAAGAGGGCAGACGATGGTGAGTGCACTTTTTTTTGGTGTTTGTTTTGTCTGACTTTTTTAAGTTTGCAGGTAGGCCAATTGACGGGACCATGACGAGCATGGTCTTTTCTCCTTTTCTGCTTGGTTGATTGTTGTTATTAATACCGCTCGCTGTATGAACTGACAACATACATATATACATTGATGCATATTCTTCGGAGGAAGTACGCAAGGGGCTGGGGGAGGGAGGGAGAGGAAGGAGAGGCATGACCAAGTTGTGAATGCGGGCAAGGAGAACCAACAAACAGAAGAAAAAAAAAAAAAAAAAAAAAAAAAAAAAAGTGAATGTGTGTTCATGGACCAAGGAGGTGGATCCATGAAAGAAGGAAGAAAAGAAAACTTACTTGTGGCCGAGAAAGGTCTAGTCCCCCCGGTAAGGCAACGAATGTATCGAGCAATTGGCTCCCTTTGTTAAGGACCGAGCGAGAACAGCAGGGGAAGGAAGGGGTATGTATGTGAAAATAAGCGTTGGTATGTGTGAGCGAATGACCGGGTGGGGGTGATCAGGTGGTGGAGGAGGGAGTTTCTGGAGATCAGACAGAAGGGTGATCAGAGGGAGTGAGTCGAAGAGAGACCGAGGAGGGGAAAGAGGAAGAGGAATGTGCAATGGAGTGGAGAGGAGAGAGAGAGAGAGGAGAGAGAGAGAGAGGAGAAGAGAGAGGGGGAGGGAGAGAACAAGTCCAAAAAGGGGGCTGACTCTTTCTTTTTCTGGCTCGTCCTTGTCCATCCTCGCTCATCATGCCTTCCTTGTTTGAACAAAATAATATGTACGCCGCACTGCGTCATTTCGGCGTCTAAAACCAGAGTGCTAACCCTCTTTTCTCTTTTTGTTCATGTCCTTGTCCTTGTCCTTGTCCTTGTCCTGGGGTCTCATCGATACGCCACACTCGAACACTCAACTCCAAAACTCGAGTTTCTTTTCTTAGAGCTGTCCACACGATTGACTGTTCCCTCGTCTTGTTGATGTTTGCTCTCTCTCTCTCTCTCTCTCTCTCTCTCTCGTCTGTTGGCACGGTCCATTTTTTTCCTCTTCCTATTTTTATTCCTCCTTGTCACCTTCACCAACCCATTTACGGGTGTAATTACCTTCATTGTGCACCCGCTTTGGAGGTTCAATCATCCACCTGGCATGAGTTATCAGCCCCAAAAATAGCGGCTAGGCTAACCCTTAACTCAAAGACCATCTAATATTAAACATTCGTGAACACCAATCGTGGTAGGATTAAGGTTCGTTACCAGGAGCTATCAGATACGTGATACTTGTTGATGCCGTTGATCAGCCAGCGAAAGGAGGAATGGTACGTACCTGGACGGGTATGTCTCTCTCTCGAAGAAAAGATACTACAAAAATGCTCATTACGGTACTTTACTCATCCCGTGGGCGCCAGAAAAGATACCAACGACAAATGGACGATCATCATCCTTCTTTTCCGATCGTGTCTATCTGCATCCATATCATGTCAACTTTATGTTTCTGTTTTTTACATCCGACAATATATATGCGGAGGACTTGCAGCCCGCTAAAGATTCTTTCTCACCTACTCGATCGCCCCACTCTCATCCTTCCTTCGATCACTGGAGCTCGGACATCGATTCTTTTCTTTCTTTTTTGCTTTTTTCCATCATTCAAATACAGAAGTATAATCCCAGATACTGACAGTACCTCCAGAGAGGAGATGTAGAAGTATGGCATGTTTATATCTCCGTGTTAGATCGCGCGTGGTTTGCCACCAATTTTTATCAACGTGCCCTTAATCAAATGACCTAGAGCTGCTTGAAGAAAGATTTGCCTTGGTGGCTTGCTCTACTCTGTCATTCCCATCAGTCAGACGTGTGAATGAATAAGAGAGCTTTTCATGGGATACACACATGTTGAGCCTGTTTTGTTCTCATCCTTTTCTTCTTCTACTTCATCTCCGTCTTCGACATCTCCAAGACTGACAGCAACAAACCTTCAACAACATACCCTTCCACACATCAGGACAGGACAGTCTGTTGACTACAAAGAGGAAAACACACAAACGCCAGACAGCAAGCACAGGAACGTTTTTTTTTTTTTTTGCTCACAGGGGTGAGGAACACTCTCCACTCTTCACACTACCAACACCTTTGCCACCATCATGAGAGGTTCAACAAAAGGCCCGAAGGACCCCGAGGACTACGAGAATTCCTTCCTCCACCAGACCATCGGAGGCTCCCGCATCCGCTCATATTCACAACGACATGGCCAACACCGTCTCAATCGTCACCATCACCCCTCCTCACAACCCGAAGGAACAACATCAACATCTTTCAACTCTCAGACGTCATCTGCAGGTCCTGTAGGGCCCACCGCCTCGTCCGTGTCGTCCTATCTCGAAAACCTGCCCTCCGTCACCCTCGACAACACAGACTTGCCACCCAGACCACCTCGCCCGCCCGGCGGACTCCTCGGTATCAGTAACGGACGTGGGATGGGCTACAATCGGAGTCTCGGAAGTAGTTACGACAGTCCTCAGGCGACTCACGGATCCTTCAACGGCCATGTCCGCAGTGGCGCCAACTTGTATGGAGCCAAGAACCCCTCTTCGTCCGGTCTCTCTCCCGCAAAGTCCTCTGGAAACCACCACCGACCGTCCATGTCTGTCTTTCCGATTCAAAAGGCGCTCGAGATTGCCATGAAAGAGTCCCGGCTACTGGCTGCAGCGTCGTCACGAGGCGGATCAGGAACCTCTGGAACGGGTATGAGCACTGGTATAACCTTTGTGAGAGAACTCAGGAAGGCCAGGCACGCACGCGGTGCCATCATCACGGAACATGGACCAACACCCGACATTTCTCTGGATGAGGCAGAAGAGGGAGATATGCAGACGGATTCTGCCGTCGGCCATCCAAATCCCAAGAATGTAACGGACACCGGAGCCAAGGCTGCAGGACAACAGGCGGACGACCCCATGAGCGAGTTTGAGTCACAGACAACGGCTCGATTCTTTAGTCTCTCCACGGGATCGAATTCGAGCAGCTCAACTCAGCCCGAAGCAGGCGACATTCGGATCCAGCGGCCTGCTGTCATAGCTCTAGATGCCAAAGGAGCCTACCCTGGGATCGCTCATCTCCCACACTCACTCACAGCACAATCAGGAGCGGTTGCACTGCACTATCCCAGGGCCCTCAGGAATGTTGTTCTGCCCTCTAGACCGTGGCAACCGTCGTCCGAGTCCTATGCAGCCTTGGCATCCCCTTCGATCCCGACCATCCACTCTTCTGCCTCTTCCTCCAACATTGGTGCTCAGGATTCTCCCTTCATATCCTCATCCACCTCATCAGCATCGTCATCGTCTACTTCAACACCATACCAACCTCACTTTTCACCCGTTTTATCTTCTTCCTCTTCTTCATTTTTATCTGCGCCCATCTGGTCAACGAAATCGTCCATCAATGCCTCGATATCATCGTCGTCGAATTCAGCCGTTCATGCCGTCCGCGAACTTCTCGATTCATACCCGGCCCCCTCGCCTTACTGCGTCGACGACAAGAAGCGATCCCCTCTGCACTTTGCGGCTGCGTCTGGGGATCTGGAGCTGGTCGAGTTTCTACTGGAGCGAGGAGTTCGTCCTGACTGTGGTCGTGACATTGCCGGCAACATGCCCCTCCACCTCGGTGTGTCCCTTTGTTAGAGCCTTCGTTTTTATTACTGTCATGTCAGAGTTTCATGCGACTACTAACTACCTGGTTTTGATTCTGCAATTTCTAATTGATAGCGATTATCTCGAACAGGATTGATGTTGTCGCTGCATTACTCAAAGCCGGTAGGGACACGGACGGACCTTGGATATCACTGTGCCACATCGAATAAGTTTAGGCTACATGAACTCACACAACTCTTTCTTTGGATATTTAGGAGCGGACATGACACTGGCATCGCCGATGACTCACAAGACACCACTGGACCTAGCCGAATCCCGCCTCAGTTATTTGTTGTCGCGTGCACAGGATACGGCGAGATACCCTTCGGGATCCATGGGTCTTCACACCAGCCACAGCCACAACCAAATCGTCACACGGCCATCCTTTTACACGCCTCCTGCCCAATCTCCAGCATTACTCTACCAAATCAAGGGTATTGTCAATCTCCTTCGACCCTATGTTGTCCGGCAACAACGGTTGCAGCATGGCGAGCGGCACAAGGAGCGGCACAAGGAGCGGTCGTGGGATCGTGCGGACAAGTATATGAAGCAACACCCTTCACAGGAAGGAACCTATGGCAGCAGCAGTGGACTCTGGCATTCAGACCCACATTCGGACGCCCATTATGGAGATATGGAGGATGAGGATGAGGATGACGACGACGACGATGACGATGATGATGACATGGATACTGGAGAAGGTGGACGGCCGCTGGGGAAAAAGTTGCCATTGTTCCGTCAGGAAGCAGATATGGACGAGGACGATGAGCTGCCGTCATACTCGGCCAAGCCCAAGAAATTGGGACGACGACTGAACCGGAGGATGGATGCTGATGAGACGGAGGTGGCCCTGGAGAGTCTTATGAACGGCTTGTCACTTTTGGAGGCGACTCGGAAACAACAAGAGCAACGGCAGTTACAACAGCAGCAACAGCAGCAGCTTGTTCAGGACGGCACGGGCAGCAGCGGCATGTCACTAGGTGCAATGCCTGCACTTGGAGGTGTTCCTGATATTGGAGATGGCAACTTGGCCGACAGTGAGCTGGACCCGAGGAGCGAGCAAGATGTGGATGAGGCACTGCCAGATCTGTTGGAACAGGTGCAGCAGGTTCTTCAGGCCATCAAGTTAAATGAGAACAAGGCCACATAGATCGCTCTGTTTGTCTCGCTTTTGGGTGTGGCGCCTTACTCTTTTTTTTTTCTTCTTGTTCCTTAGAGACAGTCCTTTTCAAAATTGTACAACGCACATTAAAAAAAGCAAAAGAAGCAAAAAAAAAAAAAAGTCGACAGCCAGTCTGTATTTTGTAAGGATCGACAGGGGAGTCTAGACAAACGAGTAGAAAGTCGACGAGGACATGGATTTCATGCGGGGTTTTTAATATTGTTCGAGCTTAGAGGAGTGTGACCCATTTTGTTGGAAAATGGGAAAGGGGACCATGCACCCGGCTGCAAGGGAGAGAGACAAGTCGACAATCGACAGACAAGGTTTGTCGGCGATGAAAGAGCGACAAAAAAGAAATGTATAAATCAGTGGGTAAAGTTTCTTTATTAGCCTCTTTTTGTCACCAACCCTTGCGCTTTTTCTCATACCCATTCCTACCTTCTCTCCTTGCTCGCTCCACATAACACCCTCGCCTCTCTCCGTTATTCCCTCTCCTCCCCTCACCCTCTTTCCTCCCTAACACCCACAACTCTAAGCAAAAACCATGTCTCATCACCACCACGATGGACAGCAGCAGCAGGGCGAGATTCAACAGATTCTGCCAAAGACCTCGGTCGTGAACCAGCCCAAGAAGAACAACTCCATGAACACAGCAGGCAATGTCACCGTCCAGACCCACGCCCAAGGTACAGTACACCTTTTTATTAGCAATCTCCTCCCCTCTCTTACCGTTACAATGCAGCCAAAGACTAAACTATGTTCTCCTTCCTTCTATGTTGGCGGGTGCTAATGAATGATAGAGTATCCGGCGCAGCGTGTGCATGGCTTCTACGGTACGATGGTGAACGCCTTTGGTAGCATTATCGGAGCCTGTGGCATGGTAAGTAGGCCCTTCCTCGTTCTTGCAGTTCTCCCACATACGACCTTGTTCTGTGCCCTTTTGAGGGACCCGAAAGTCGACAACCTGTTTTTGGGCTCTGTTGAAGAGGAAAAGCAGTCATAGCCACTTTAACTTTTCTGAGTTCCGTGGCTCCGCACGCGAGGGCGTGGATGTTGATGGACGCTGAATAGTTGCGAATGCTCGTTACGCGTTGCACACACGGAGTCTAACAGCTGTTTCCTCCTTCTTTTACTTCTGTAGATTCCATGCTGTATCTGGTATGTCTCCTTACCACTTCACTTACAAAGTTTCCTTCAGTGCTTTCTACTTTCTCGTCTGACAGAAACAAGAACTAACGCGATCTTATCTTTTTTTTTTTTGCTTTCATTTGCGTCTGGTACCATTGACTCAGCTGCCCCAACCCGTAAGTTATCGATTGACGCCTTCCTTTGACTCCTCTCGATATACTGTTAGTCGATTCTCAAACTAACGACCCCAATCCTCCATACTTACTTCAAAACAGATATAAAACAATTGACCAGGGTACAATTGGTCTGGTGACCCGCTTTGGACGATACTACAAGACAGTCGACCCAGGTCTGATCCGCCTCAACCCTTACACCGAGTCTGTCTACAAGGTTGACATGCGTATCCAAGTCTCCCACATCCTCGACCAAGTTATCATGAGTAAGTCAGCGCCCATTTCCGCATTCTTTTCTTCCCATTTAACGTTCACTCTCTGATCCTATATTCATCTCCTATATATCCAATAGCGAAGGACAACGTGAACGTGCACATTGACTCGGTCGTGTACTGGCACGTCATTGACCCCTTCCAATCAACCTACGGAATATCAAACGTCCAACAGGCCCTGGTCGAGCGTACAAAGACCACCCTCCGACAAGTCCTCGGAGCCAAGCTCCTCCAGGAGATCATTGAGAACCGAGAGCAACTTGGACACGAAATTCAAGAGATGATCGATGGCCCTGCGCATGCATGGGGTGTCGCTGTAGAGAGCATCCTGATCAAGGATATTCAGTTCTCAAAGAGTCTTCAGGAAGCCTTGTCGTCTGCTGCTCAGGCTAAGCGTATTGCCGAGTCCAAGGTTATTCAGGCGCAGTCGGAGGTTGATAGTGCCAAGTTGATGAGACAAGCTGCCGAATGTAAGTCTTTCCTTTTGTTTGTTCACTGGACACGCCGATAGTTTCATTGAAAAGAAGACTGGCCCAGTTATTTGTGCTAACGATATGTCCTGCAAACCCATTCTTTCTTTCCTTTCTCACGTACTAGTTTTGAATACCCCTGCGGCAATGCAGATCCGTTACTTGGAGTCGATGGCATCAATGGCGCGTCACAGCGGCCAAAAGACAATCTTCATGCCCACTACCGATGACGCCAGAACACACTTCCATTCCACCCCTGCCACTGGCGGTGACTCTGGTAGCGGCACTGGCTTCAACATGCCTTCTGTCCAGATCGCCGGCTCCAGTGGTGTTCAGACTTTGAAGTATTAAGTACGGCGTTGAAGAGCACCTCACGAGAATGGACTCTGGAACTGTAGGAGTGACGTGTTATCATAATAATATGTACATCTAGCGGGTGCTGGCATTGACTATGCATAATAAATGGCATTGGCCGCACTTTTTTTTTCTAATTTTTTTTTGTTGTTATTGTTTGGAGCATGAGTTTGGACTATCACCGAGCTACAGTCGCCTTCTGTGTCCTCATCTCCACGTGTGTTGGTGCTGCAGCAGCAGCAGCTGTTGTTGTTGTTGTTGTTGTTGTTGTTGCGAAGAACGAGTCGAAAGTGAATCCACAGAAGCCATGGCCATGACAACTGAGAGTGCTACACCTAAATCGTATTATATCTCGTTAAAGAGTACTTCTGCATCGTGTCGAGAAAGTGTGTTCCTTCTCAGGACTTGTTTCAGAAGTTTGTAGGCGTCCGGAGGATCTGCACGCTCGATATCAAAATCTTCCTTGAGACTGATCTTTGGAGCATTGCCGCAGATTGGTGTGTTGGCGAGCAGGGGGATGCAAATGCTGGAACGGTTGAGCCCCGGTGTAAAGAGGGGGGCACAACAGGAGGAAAACACAGTATCAGGTCCTTTATGACGAAAAGTATCCCAATCGGAAACTCTTCAAAATCACAAAATATAATAAACGAATGCGACAAACGCGTCTTTATCATACCAAGTTCACATACTTGTACGCGAGTTCAACATCCTTTTTATGACTTTGTCCCGGACGACCCAAGCGCAAATCCCGAACAATGTTTCACCTCACACAACTTTGTTTGCAGGGGCAGCAATATGTTTTTACTCAATGTCATTCGCTGAATCTCACCAGCATATTTTCCGCCGTTCTATGAAACTCGCCCAACTGCGCCTTTTGGTCTCGAAGGGTCGCTGTCAGTTCCGCCATCTGCGCGTCCATATCCTGTCGGAACGCCAACATGGCACTCTGTAGTCTGTTGAACCTGGGTAAACCTGAACGAGTCGTCCGTCTCAGTTCTTGGTTGTAGGCTTTTGGACCTCTGGCTGGGTTTGGTAGTGCTGTTGACCGTGAGCCACGGTCGTCGCGGTCATGACTCCATCCTGCGACTTGTACTGAGACTCTTTTGTGCCGATGTGGATCGACGTATCGACTGTCGCTGGCGGTGCTCAAGGGTATTGGTCCAGAATAGTGGGCGCGCGAGCTACTGCTGCGAGGAAGAGGGATGGCTCGCTGGTCTGGAAGGTTGTAGACGTCGGGGTCGTCGATGTCACTGTCATAATAATCGTCCTCATCATCTTTCTCATCGGGAATGGCAGGTTGAGGCCCTTTCTGTCCTGGTTGTTGGTGGTGTAGTTGGCGAGATGAGGAGGATGACGACGCTACTGCAGCTGGTAGTGACCCTTTCTGTCCTGGTTGTTGGTGGTGTGGTTGGCGAGATGAGGAGGATGACGACGCTACTGCGGCTGGTAGTGACCCTTTCTGTTCTGGTTGTTGGCGGTGTGGTTGGCGAGACGAGGGGGATGACGACGCTACTGCAGCTGGTTGTGGTTGATACATTGTATCCTGTCGCGCTGCCCTCTTGGGCTCTGCCGATGATGTTACTGAAAACTTGACCGCACGTTTCCGTTTACTGGTCCTGTTCGCTAGCGCCTTTTCCTCCTTTGCCTCCACTGCAGTCGGAATCACTACCGCAGTGATTGTTGCATTGGAAGAATGATCACCAGAACCTCCACCACCCGTTTCTCGACGACCCTGCCCGCGCGTCCGCGGATGTTTCTCCCTTTCCTCCTCCTCTTGTAGCGCAATAACATCAGCTGCCTCTGGACCAATATACTCCAACCTCAACACCCGCTTCTTCCCCCGGAACCCTCTATCCAGATTCGCCAGTTTCTCTGCAGCTTCCGAGAAAACCGTCTTCCTAAAAGACCCCCGCCACCCAGTCTCAGTATCCGTCTCCAGAATCCTTGACAACTTCTCGGCCATCTCAACAATTCGAGTGTAAACAGCCACCAGATCCTTGGAGGTCGTTCCTCGGAGCCTAGGTTCTTGTTGACTAATCTCCCGTGCGAGGGCATGGAAGATGGATCCATTACTTGTGGCGGTGAAGACAACGTCTCCGTTGTCCTTTAGGTACTCGGGGATTCGTCTGTTGAGAAAGAGAGCCACCATGAGGAGGTTACGCTTCTTGTCATCGCTGAATCTTGTAGGGTCCTCTATGCTGGCTGTGATGGCTTCCTCAGACTCATCCTCTGACCTATCCAGCTCGGGTTTGGCGCGGTAGCTGTAGCTGAGTCCTCGGTACCTTTCCCAGAGTTCTTCTTCGTCTATGTTGTCTATTTGGTAACAATGAATCAAGTACACCATTAGGGACATCTACTTTATATGCTTACATTATATCGTTGTAGTTGTAGTAAGGAAGGATACCCTGGGGCAAGAGAGGGTGACTGTGTTTACCGCCGGCGTACTTGCGCCACCTGCGCCTGGCGATTCCTTCTGCGCCGTCTGGGTCCTGGAAGAAGTCCTCGAAGGGATGATATATCTTCTCTGACATGTATCGTCGCTTATATTGCGTTGTCGTAGCTTTCGGCTCTGACATGTTGGACCGTTGGCTTGTTGGGCAAGAAGGGGAAGGAAGGGAAAAGGTGTCTGTGTGGGAAGGGGAAGAAAAAACGTAGATGGGATAAAATGGAAGGGGGAAGTGAAGGATCAGAAAATTTATAAGCCACAACTTGCGCGTGAGCATTTAAATGGCGATAAAGCAGACAAGAGTCTGATGGTTTTATTCTTTTGGCACTAACGACGCCCCTTGTGCGACGGACGACTCTGACTACTGTGGCTGTTGAGGCCGTATCGACGATGCGTGCGTTCCCCCTCTTGGTCATAATACCGCTCATCAATGGTGTCCGGCAACATCAAGATCCGTCCTTGACGCTGCTGGTGTTGTGCGTGAGAGGAACCCGTCGGGATCCTGCGCAAGATCGTATCCAGTGTGTCCTGCAGCGAGTTTAGCTGCGCTTGCTGCGTCTCAATGGCACTCCTCATATTCGCCATTTGGATCCTCGTATCACGATGAAGGGACCGGATCAGATCCTCCATATGTGCTGTGTCGTCCAACTCGTCCTGATATTCGAAAAGACCTGATATTGTGTTCCTCGAGTGGGATGTTCTGTTGCGGGATGGTGATGTCGGTAAAGGTACTGTCCGTGAATGCACATAGTCCTGAAATGTGGTGTCGCCATGGTCATTGTATTGTTGGCCATAGGACCGCGAGTCGCCTTTCGAAGTTTCCAGAGCGCTTGTGCTATAATGTCGCTCGTCCTGCTCTGGACCTGATAAATCAGGGCTTGAAGGTGAGCGGGATGCTGTTACTACCCTCCTTTCTTCTGGGTAGTGGCGTCCATTGACCATATACGACAATGCTCTCCCTTTGCCCACTCTCTGAGCTCGTTTTGCAGCCGACGCAGCTTCCAAGGGTTCCGTAGTGTCAGCCATCCGCTTCCGGCTCGCTCTTGAGTCGCGATCATGCCTTGTTGACTCTTGCAATCCTGTCGAGGATTGTCCATTGTAGGTGATGTTGAAGTTGTCGTTATGTGTTGGCGGGTGCTCATCTTCTTCTTCCTCCTCCTCGTGCTCCTGAGTCTCCTCATGCTGCACAGTGCTCTTATCGACCACGTACTCAATATTCGGTTCTTCTGGCTCTCCTCTGTGAATTGCATCCAGCTGTGACAATGCTGCAGCAGCCTTCCACATGATGGTATCTGGTGTTTTATAGATATCTCCTCGGACCTTGGACAGGAGATGGACCATGCCCCTGTAGTTCCCGAGCACTCGGTAGTACATGCCCCAAACCGCCCGCTGAGAGATCCCTCGAAGAGTCGGCTCAGTCTGAGAGAGTTCTGCTGTGAGGGACCTGAGGGCACCACCGTGATTCCCTGCCGTAAAGGGCGTCTGCGTCCTGTCGGGATTGAGAGGAAAGTCCGGGATACGGTGGACCAGAAACCGTACTGCTCGAAGAAGGTTGGCGTTGTTGCCTTTGCCCAAAAAACGTCGTTCGACAATTACTGTTTTTTTGATATTTACGTCATGTCGTATGTGCTCTATTGACGTCCATTGCGAAAAAAAGGTCAAAATTAACGTCGTGTTCGCGCGTGTATATGTGCTTGTCAACGAAAAAAAGGACCTTGTGTGTACTTGGGTCAAGTCTCTTGAAGGGCTCGTTCCATATGTTTTCAGCGCCGGGAGGGTCGACAAAGAACTTAAAGTATTGCACATATAGCCCCATGGGAGCCTTGCGGACAATCTCCTTTCTTGCGCTCATCCTTAATGTTGCATGCGATGGCCAAGTGAGAGGGTGGTGTGGAGATAAGGCAGAAAGAAGTGTCCGTCTTGAATTTGAATGCCGAGTCTAAGCCACAAGGACGACATATGGGAACCATTGTACTTCCTCCTCCCAAGGCTCGCTTTATTCATGCGTGTCTATTCTATTTCTATCTGAACTACCAACACCAACGCTCCCTTATTTCCGCTCATTATTTTGTCTGATGTATCCCCACAAAAAGTGGATGTCTCGAGTTTGGAACGTCCTTCTTTATGTGCCCTCCGCAACCCGAGTTGGTGGCGTTCATTTTTATCTCTTTTTCATTTTGTAAGCCGACACAAGAAGGATATGATAAAAACGATGACTACGAACCTCGCTCTCTTTCTCTTTTCGTCTTTGTTTTTGAAGTGATGTATTTCTCATTGCTTCGATTGTCCTCGACATGCCAGCGGAATTGCTGCTGTTGTTGGTGTAGAAAACATGTTGTCATTTCATTCTACTAGGGTGCAGGTGAGCCGATATTAAAAGAGAAGAATGCTTGTTCCTTTCTCTTGAATGGCCACTGGAATTGCTCGCCTTTTTCGCATGCTCGACTGCGTGGCGATAGATGAAAATGACACTTTTTTATCTCCTTGGTGATTCAGTTTGTTTCAATTGCTCAAATGTAGGTTTATCTTTTCGCAAGAGGAGAGTCGAGTACTTTGTATCCCTAGATGCGTTTGTCTATATTGGCTTCTTGGCTTTGGTTCATGTTGCTGTGGTAGAGAGCGTGAGATGTCACTCAAGGCGAGAGGAGAGGGTTCAGAAGTATCGGAAAAAAGAAGACATGAGGATGGCCGGTTTTTGCTACCGACATGATCAAGTAGCGAGTGGTCATTGTTCCTAATGCAATAGGCTCGTGAAAAGCCACGTCTTCCTGGCGAATGATCTGATCATGCAAAAGACGCGTCTCTTTGTCGCGTCGCGTTATTACTCATTGATCAAGGATCTTTGGCCATCTCAGCGCGTGTTGATATCTTTTCTGTGTTCAATGTATTCGTTGAGCAATAAGGTTACCTTCCGCTAGAAGGGACAGGGACACCCCCACGACACGATGCCGGATTTAGATTTGAGTTCCCTGGGCAAGGCCCGTTTCTTATTTTATCCGCGACGATGTCCCTGCCAAAAAGATATTTGATGTTCTGAGGCAAATGAATGCCAGTGGACTCAGGTTGAGGGGCATGGATCTCCCCCTCGAGGCCCGAGGGCACAGGCTTTAAGATACATTTCATAGACACATACATGTGCATCTGTGTTGTTGACAGGTATTGCAGCCATGGAGTCGAAAGAAACACAGAATAAGGCATTCCCTTTTGTTTTCTCGCCCCCTTTTTTCTGGCGTGCTTACTTGTGCTTGCAGTGACCATTTATTTTTTATTTTTTATTATTTTTCTCTGTGGGCATTTCTTTTTTTTGTTTCCTCGGATCCTTGTCGCTCTCTGTCCTCTGTCTCTTGTTCTCTCTCTCCCTTTCTTTCTTTCTTTCTTTCTTTCTCTCCTTCTCTCTTTCTCTCCTTCTCTCTTTCTCTCCTCTTTTTAATCATCACCACTTTTCCTTCCCTCACTGTCCATCAACCCACTGACACCCAGCCCTTCTTCTCTTTCTCTTTCTCTTTTTTCGTTCCCCTTGCTCTCATCAACTCTCTCGCTCTCCCACTCATTCTCTTCTCCTCTTCTTCTCCTTTTCCCCTCTTGACATCACCTCCTCCTTTTTCTGTCCCCCTTCGCCTTACCACCAACACACTTCTCTTTCTTTATCCTATTGTCTTGTGTACTACTTCTCTCAGCACCACTCTCCCTCGCCACTCCCTTCGCCACTCCCCAGGTAAACTGCAAACAACTGCCACAGACCCACTGGTCTCACCGCACTCACCCCTTGGACTCTTGTCCATGGGTACCATGGCAACCGAGCAGCAACATCAACAATCAATCCCCACACCAACCTCAACACCAACACCGAAACCGGTAACGGCTCAATCTCTGACCTGAACTGAACACCCACACACACACACCCACACAAGTGCACTCTTCCCCTCCCCCCCCCCCCTGATCGACTGATTTGCCGAAAGAATAAAGACAAGAGGGAACCACACGATCCCGAATACAACACCCTACCTACACACAACAGTGTGAAGTCGTTCCCTTTTGTTTGCATTTCTCTTGCTCATCACTTACTGGCAATCTACAACCTCGTTTCTTCTTCACATTACCTCTCACTTCATGGTTCTCAAACACCCTCCATCTTTTGAACAACGGCCGATTACCCTCGCATCATCATCGACTTTTGAAGACCTGACAAGACGGGACACTGACCTGCTCACAATCAAACCATCCACTGATCCCTTGCATAGATCCCTGTCCCTTGACCCACCCACAACCCCTCCATGACCCTCACAGCGACGGCGTCCCTGCCTAAGCAGACTTCCCAGGCCAGGAGCAGTAACGGAGACACCAAATCCTCAATACTGACAGGGACAAACAACACAGGGGCAACACCAACACCGCCAGGACCAACGCCGACCCCACTGCTCGTGCCTGTTGCCCTTCCAGCCTTCCCCGGCGGTGTAACCCAAGCTCAGCCAGACACAGGCCTCGAACGGAAACATAGCACAGCCAATCACAGGATACCACCCTCACAGGACTCGTCTTTGACAAACCCGGGCGACAGCAGGGCCGCGGGACCTAATGCCGATATGGACACCAGCAAGGATGAGAGTCAGTCACGGACAGATAAGGAGGACATCAACAAAAGCGACTTTGACACCGACGGTACGCCAATTGACTGGACAGAGATGGAGATCGACCCAAGCACAGCGTTACTCCCACAGCCAGAGTCGTTCAATGGCTGGAGCAACAAAACAGGATATGTCTACGATGTCCGGATGAAGTACGTATCTATCACCGCGTGCTCTTCTTGGCCATTTGCTGTTCTGTTAATGTTGCCGAGAGTCAATTGGTCAATTGGATTATTGGGGATATGGGGATAATAACTCGATTCCTGAGCTATGCAGAAGCAAAATTCTGCGTTAGACCTGAATCTAAAAAAAAAAAAAAAAAAAAAAAAAGTCAAACCCCTTAGCACACACACACGCAAGCAAATAACGACACAGGTCTTATTTCTCCGACAACTTATCTAACGATCTCGTTTTCTCTTGTGGGGACACTCTCATAGACATCACAATAACGTGCACGGAGACGATGATCACCCAGAAGACCCAAGGCGGATCTGGCGGATATACGACGCCATCAGGACGGCCCACTGCACAGACAGGATGATCAAAATCACCTCGCGGGAAGCGACTGTGGACGAACTCGGTCTTGTTCACACCGACAACCATATCGAAAACATCACCAAAACATCAGGTACTGTTCCCAACTTGACTCATGGATTTAGCAATAGGCGCTTCCTGTCCAGACCAAGGAGAACGTCAGAGTTAATTGGTGGCATATCATGCTGACTATTTTCATTGATATTTTTTATTTGTTCATGATAGCCATGTCAAAGGACGATCTGCTGGAGATGGCCAACAGCTACAACAGTATTTACCTCAATAATCTTTCAGCATTCTGCGCCAGGCTATCCTGCGGAAGTCTCATCGAGATTTGCAAGGCCGTTGCTTCGGGGCAGGTGCTGAACGGTGTCGCTATCATCCGTCCTCCAGGACATCACGCAGAGCCACATGAGGCAGGAGGATTCTGTCTATACAACAATGTCGCCATTGCTGCTCGGTACCTTCAGCAGAATCATGGGCTCAAGAAAATATTTATTCTGGATTGGTAAGGCAGTAGCAGCGCATCGAGGACTTGACGTTGTTTATCTAAAGGCTTGTATCTGCACAATACACTGTAAGGAACAAGGGACTGACTTTTCGTTTCTGGGTGTTGAATTCGCTCTAGGGATGTACATCATGGAAATGGGACACAGACGGCCTTCATCGATGACCCGAATGTTGTGTACTGTTCCATCCACCGCTTCGATCACGGCGCTTTTTATCCTGGAGACCCTGTGGCAGCCGCTCATACAACTGTCGGAGAAGGCCTGGGACGCGGAAGGTAACCACGTGTGGCATGTCAGTTCGCGGCGTCAGGCTGTTATTGGTGTCTCCTTACTTATTTAATTTTCGCTCACAACATGATACCTTGCCTTGATGTAGAACAATCAATATTCCATGGAACTCGAGCGGGATGGGCGATTCGGAGTACATCTACGCGTTCAACAAGGTCATCATGCCGATCCTCTACGAATTCGCACCAGACTTTGTTCTGGTCAGCGCAGGATTTGACGCTGCCAAAGGTAGCCAAACGTGAAAGCTGTAAACTGAACTTAAATGAAACGCATGTTGTCTCCTTGCATGTGTCATATGTGACTAATCTGCCTTTTTGTATTTAATTTGACAGGCGATCATATTGGCCAGATGCTTGTGACACCAGCGGCATATGGACATATGACACACATGCTCAAATCGCTTGCAGGAGGAAAGATTATTCTAGCATTGGAGGGCGGCTACAATCTCGATTCAATCGCGGTGTCAGGACTGGCGTGTGTCAAGGCATTATTGAACGACCCTATCGAGGCATTAGATCCTATTCGGCCGAACCCGCTCTGTGTGCAGACCATCCATGAGGTCATCAAGGTCCAGTCGAGATACTGGAAAAGTCTCCCTCCCATTTACGCCAATGCCGAAGATGGTATGACACGTTGCACTTATACCGATTTACAATTGATGTTGGACCCAGCCTGGACGTGTTGCATTAACGGCCTTTTGATACCGCTTATTTTTAGACATACCGATGGATGTACCTACTATTGGGATGGACAAAATACTGGCTGTTTACCAGGAGAATCATTTGCGGGAAACATATGGAATGATCAAAATGCCTCGGTTAGATGGCAAGGATCGTGGCGAGTTCTTGGACAACGTCCACTGCACGTACGTTTGACATCTTACGTTTATTTGCTAGCGTGTTGAATGCTTACATGTTGTCAAGGTCTCTCCTAACGCTTCGTATTTTTTTTCAACCATGGCTGCATTAGACAACAATTGTACAACAATAGCCCGCTGTATATATTTATTCATGATCTGTAAGTACAGGCATTGCCGCATTTCGCTGTTGTATGGCGAACATAACTATGCGGGTCATCACCAATATGATCTAACATACTATTGTTTGCATTTTATGTAGGGGTGAGTTGTGCGCGCGGACAGTCGGGACCAACAATACGATTCGGCCGCAAAAGTCGGTTCTTGTCGATGCCATGACACAGTATGTCGACTATATCATCAACGCAGGAAACGAGCTCGTCGATGTAGTGGTACCATATCTCCCAACTACCGAGGAGGAAAAAGTGATGCTCAAGGATCAACAGTCGAATGTGCTTGCCGACCTCTGGAGCACTTTGGTGGCGACTTCGGCCATGGAGGGCAGGCGAATAGTGGTGCTGGCAACAGGATTTGGATGCCATGGCCTCGTCGCGTTTTTGAACGAGAAACAGAAGGAGGTTCCTCGGTACCTGAGTTCTGTGACGCTGGTCCTTGGCGACGACACGGTGCCAATGGTGACCAAGAAGTTGAGCCCCTGGTATATCGAAAACTCTTTTGTGATGGCGTCCGACGATCATCCCATATGGGAGCGAGCCAGCCAAAAGGTGAACAGTCGGACAGGAAACCTCCTGCGCACTGGTATGTATCACTGTAATTGCATTGATAACATGAAAGAAACATTATTTGATGTCAAGTTCAAATATTAATGCTGTCGTCCTACAATATGACATTAGAGCGCCCATTGGAGAGACTGGCTGAGACATTGCTGTATCTACGGAAACGGATTTTCAGCGACATCGAATCCAAGTTGGAATCTCTTGCACCTTTCCCATCAAGCGACGCGGAATCGGAAACGAAACTTGAAGAGGCAGCACCAATGGAACTCGAGTTCCCTCCGATGCAAACCAGATCAGGACGACTCTCGATGCAAATGGACAAGGTTTCAAAGTCAGAGGCGTCGACACCAGAGCGTCAGCGACAGGCATCCTCACCTCAGATGCAGTCTTCCGCTACCAACTTGGCCCCAACAGCCAGGAACGGGACCCGGCGTGGACGGCAGCCGAATTCACGTCCAGGATCGCCTCTTCTTAACGGGTCCATTCCCGGATCGGTACCGTCTCTGGTTGAGCGGCCTACAGTGGTGGGTCCTCAGCGGACGCAGCCATACTCTCAAGGGAACAACCGTGACTCGGGTCCACCATCGCTCAACTCCTCACCAAGGTCCACGGCTGCTGTGCCTCTGCGCAACAATGTACCACAAAGCCGTGTTGTTGATCCCAATTTGGAAGGAGTAGAATCAAAGTCGCGACCTGTCAGCATGCAGCAGCAGCAGCAGCAGCAACAACACCAACACCAACAACTACAGCAGCAATTGCAACATCAGCAGCAATTACAACATCAGCAACAACAGCAACAACAACAAAAGGTCCAACAACAACTCCAACAACAACGAGCCCAGGAAACGTACAGCCAGGAACCTCATCGTCGACAACCTCCACCTCCACAGCAGCAGCAGCCGTCAGGACCACCGCCTCCACAGCAGCAACAGCAACAGCAAAAGCAACCACCGTCTCAACAACAGCAGCAACAGCGACCTCCGCCAAGGCAGCATCAGCAGCAACAACAGCAGGCTCGTCATGAGATGGGTCCTTATGGTTCTTACCCTACTGGATCTCATGGCGATGCTCGGCCGAATAGGGTGGCATCAGGACCTGGCGAGTACTACCCACCTCATTCGGGATCCAATGGCTCATCTGGTTCACCCTCAACGATGACTCCTCCCCACGAATACCCGGTCAACGGAAGTCCTCGTGGTTCTATCCATGCAGGCATGAAACCCGGCGCGCCACCTCTGACTCAGCAACAGCAACAGCTGATACAGAAGCAACAGCACTTGCAGTTGCAAATGGAGCAGCACCAGCAGCAGCAGCAGCAGCGACAAAAGCAGCAGCAGATGGAGCACCATCATCAACACCAGTCGGAGCAGCAGCAGTCGCACTTCCAACAACATGGCCATAGTCACCCTCAGCATTCACAGCAGCAGCAATCCCAACAACAACAACAGCAGCAGTTTGGATACTCTCCATCGATGCAAGGGAGTGGATCATCGAGGCAGGGCGCTCCTCCTCCTCCAGGCGGTCCCCCCACAGAGATGCATCCTGGTCACAGGAGAACTTACTCGACGCAAGGGCCGCCGCCGCCACCGCAGCAGGGTCCTCCTGGACCTGGACCTGGCCAAGGACAAGGACGGGAACCTCAGATCCACGGCCCGCCTATGCATCCTAATGGACGGTCATCGCAACACCTGCAACAGCAACAACAGCAGGCGCATCATCATGCTCAGCAACAAGCGCAGGCACAGGCACAGGGACCACCTCCCTCAGGCAGAATGAAGCGATCAGAGCCGGATATTGACACCTATGGTAACGGCCAGTTTGCTCCTCATCCGTCCAGGCAGCAGCAGGAGGCGGAGCGACGACAGATCTGGATGGAGCATCAGCGGCGGGAAATGGAGCAGGCCAAGCAGGCGGAACATGCTAAGCAGGTGGAGCACGCCAAGCAGATCGAGCACGCAAAGCAGATAGAACACGCCAAGCAGATCGAGCACGCCAAGCAGATCGAACACGCCAAACAGATCGAGCACGCTAAACAGATCGAACATGCTAAGCAGATCGAACATGCCAAGCAAATCGAACATGCCAAGCAAATCGAACATGCCAAGCAAATCGAACATGCTAAGCAGATCGAGCACGCGAAGCAAATCGAGCACGCGAAGCTGGAGCACGCCAAACAAGTCGAACATGCAAAGCAAATAGAACATGCCAAGCATATGCACCATCGGCAGCAGCAGCAGCAGCACCAACAACAGCAACATCAGCAGCACCACCAACAACATCAACAGCACCATCCTCAGCACCATCAACAACAGCAACACTCACACTCTCACGCTCAGCAACAACACGCTCATCAACAACATTCTCATCATCAGCAACAACACGCGCATCATTACCAGCATCATTCGCAACAGCTTCAGCAACAGCATCCTCAGCATGGACACCACCTTCAGCAACAGCACCCACACCCACAGCAGCAACAACAGCAGCAGCACCCACATCATCAGCAACAACAACAGCATCTGATGCGGATAGACCCAAGGGCGGCCATGGAGATGCATCCCAGTTCCTCTGGGCGGAAATAAACCCGACTGGTGTGAGCCTAAAAAAGTCGCCCACTACAACCCATCCAGCTTATTAGATCTCTCTTTTTTTTTTTTTTTTTTTTTTTCTTCTTGTAAAATACAAATGCAGGCGAAGCAGAAAAGAATTGACAACGATAAAAAAAAACCAAAAAGTAAAGAGTACATGATTTTATTTTGTCAATGAAAAAAAAAGGTATAGACAAAAATGATGAGGAAAATGGAAGAATATCGATGTGGTTGATGCAGATCTGGTAGGTCAAGGGCTATTGACTCCAGTATCCACTTCCAAGCCAAATATTCCGAAGATTGGGTTGTTGAAGCAAGAACCGTGTCACTCTCGCCTCCAACGAGCCATCGTTCACGAAAAAGTCTAGTGGGGTCGGTGCCTTTGGCGCCAACATATCGCATCTGCTGCCCTGGTTGCCATTGACTTGTGCAGTCATGTGGTTTTCATCGACGGGTTCTACCTTGACAACAATGTCCGCAGGTACATCTTGCTTTGCCGTTCCTGAAAAGCCGACGCTGCTGTCCTCGAGAAGCGGGTTTGCAGACTGACGAAGGACATCCCTGTACTTGTTCCAGCATTCTACCCATGCCGAGAGCGCCTTTTCGATCTTTTGCTCCGTGTCCAGGCCTTCAATCCTGACCGACAGTTCCTCCAATGTACCCCTCCAAGGCTTCTCCTCCATCCACTCAATCTTCATCTCGTGCGCATGGAAGCAGACAGTCTTGAGCGGCAAGATCTGGAAGAGAAGTTGAATGACCCGTCCTTGGTCTTTGAAAAAGTCGTCAATGGGCTCTGGTCGTCTAGAGTCGAACGCGGCGCTCGGATCTGCATAGGTCATGATGGAGGTGAGCGTGGAATGATGGTGTAGGAGGCCGTGGAACACGCCGACGGTGTAGTTGTGTTGTTCAAAGTGTATTGCTGCCAAGTTCTCGAACGCGTGTGTTATGAGCTCTTCAACGGCGAGACTGGGTGATGAACTGAAACCGACGGTGCAAAGGTCTGGGCAGCAGGCTCGGACTTCACTCCTGACAACCGATGACTTGATAGACGATACTAATTCCAGCTCTGACAGATACAGGTCCTGTAACCGAGGGAAATGTCGCAAGAGACTCGGGCTGGGGACATTGGGATCGGGTTTAAAAATTTCCTGGAGAGTGGCTGCAAGCTCGACCACGCCCTGGTGTCGGAACGGCCTCCATTTAATCTCAGCCCCATCGACCACTACCGTATCTGTGTCTTCCTCCTCTGCATAATAATCGTCCTCACTGTCCTGATCCGTCAAACGATCTCTCCCAGTTCCTTTTACGCCCACTGTGTTAATGTATCCTCCTGCCAGAATGTTGGACGTAGTCAAGTCGAGTTTCTTGAGACAGGGCGACGCTCGCAAGATGTGGGCGAACCCTTCCCTAGTTAGGATGGTGTTGTGTAGCGAAAGATCGGTCAACCTCGAAGCAGTCGGGTGAACAAGCACGTCGGGCGGGATGCAATACTGGACCGGGACAATATCAACCTCTGGCTCAAACGGCTTCCTGATAATCTTCAAGAACGTCAAACTTGCCCTGTTCCTCCGCAAGAGATCGAATCCATGAATGTTGACCTGCTCAGACTCACAAAACGCAATCGACAAATGACGGAGGTGCCTGATCCCCGAGCTGAAGCAAAGCAACCGGAGAGTGTCCCCCTCCTCCTTCTCGGAGAGTTCGAGGTACTCGAGTCGTCGGATATGGCGCGCGTGTTTCTTGAGTATGCTGAGGGGGATTTGAGGCTGTAGCGAAAAGTCGACGGTGTGCCAGAGGAGGGGGATAAACGTCTGGGCCCAGTCTCGGCAGACGAGCGCGCAGGAGTAGACATCGCTTGGGTCGAGGTACCAGCCGACGTTTGTCCTGATTTCGAGGATATCGAGGGGCTTTTGTGGTTTCATTGGGTTTGTTGAGAGAGCGGGGGCTCGCATGGTCTGGGGTTGAGGTTTGTTGGTTGTGGTTGTTGCTCGATGCGTTGTGTTTGTTGCTTGTTGCTGGTGTTTCCTGAGGATGGATGTGGTGTGCGTTTGGCAGTTGACTTGATCGAGGACAATAAGGTGAGGAGAAGGAATGCAACGGCTGATCAACAAATGAAAAGGGCGAAGGAGTTGATTTCTAAGCCACATTAGAAGTTGAAAGTGATAAAAGGACACGAGGAGTTTGCTTTGTGCTCCACTTCTTTCACGCTCACTCACCACCGCTGCTGATTACACTTTACCGCAAGGACAGGGCTGCATCAAGGAAAACAATAACTACACACGACATCACCCACAACTCACACACTTACTTCTCTCAAGAAACAACTCATCAACTTCCCTCAACAAGCAAAAAACAACATGGCTGCCACAATGACCATGAGCACCTCCTTGCTGGACGGTACGTCAATGCACGAAACGTCTGTCTCTTCAAAGCTGCGGACGAAAAATATTGGTGGCAACAAGTGCCCAATCATGTGTGCTCATTTCCTATGTCTTTTTTTTTCCGTTTGTGTGTATCATTAGATGATGTGTGTCCTGTCTGCCAGACCGACAGATATCTCAATCCTCAGATGAAACTCAAAGTCGGACCTTGCTTCCACAAGATGTACGTGCCGTTTTTTCCCTTCCAAAGGAACGCATTCATGGAACTCTCAGTAGAGTCGTCTCTTTGGAATAGTACAATCTAACCACTTGCTTTCATCTTCCATAACTGTAGGTGTGAGAACTGTATAGAACGCCTGTTTGCACACGGACCAGCTCCTTGTCCAACGTGTCGTCAGACCCTCAGGAAGGCGACTTTTTCAGAGCAGACGTTTGAGGACTTGTCGGTTGAAAAGGAAGTCAGGATCCGGAAACAAATGTCTTCCAAGTAAGTGAGGGCGTTGTTTGTCAATTGGGGGGAACTATTTTTGTATCCAAGGTCGTTTTTCTCTGAAGCCTGATCTAATCTGGACCTCTCTTGTAATTATTCAACGAAATCAGGTTCAATAAGCGGCGTGAGGATTTCAAGACGCTCAAGGATTATAACGACTATCTGGAGACAGTCGAGGACCTGAGTGAGTCTCGTGGGATGTAGTTCTGGGACCTAATATTTTCGTCCGCATTTTCGTTCGTCAGGAATACCAAGACCACAAAAGTTGGCTGACAATTTTCTTACAATTTGGTTGTGTTCGAAAATAGCATTCAAACTGGTGAACGAGATCGATGTGGAAACTACAAAGCAAGCGATCGACAAGTTTTCTGCAGAGAACCGAGATCTGATCAGGATAAACGCTGATCGTCTGGTATGCCTTTTTGTCATGAGGTGCTTGTATGAGCATTGTCTGCAATATCTCTCGAACGACAGATATCAGCACACAAAGGCTAACTCGGATTATGTTTTGAATGTCAATTTCTTCTAGCTGAATGAGTCAAGGATGGCGACACACAGGCAGGAGATGTTGCGAAAAGAGAGGCAGCAGCAGCGTGAGGCATACCTGAAGGAACTGGAGGCAGAGCAACTTGCCAAGAGCGAGGACCGGAAGAACTTGATCCAGGAACTCGCCACCTCTGACAAGTCTGCAAAGACCATTCTCGCAGCCCGTCAGGCGATCTCGCTGAAAAAGACATCAATGCGCAAGACAGAGGTCAAGCCAACCACTGCCAGCTCTGCGGGCTCGACACCCATGTTCTCGGACTCTTACCGGTGGATGCAGCAGACTGAGGATCTTGATCGACGGCAGCAAGAGGAAGAGGACGACCACGCAAACGATAACTTTGATCCAGTCCAGTCACAGTACATGGATGTTGACCTTGGTGTTGGGTATGTCAACAGTGTCAACAACAACAAGGCCCATGCTGGTGGATTGGTCTACCCGCTGTTAACGTCGAGTATCGGTGTCAAGGATTTGTATGTTGAGCCGCTGGGCGTTGGAAACTTGAGTCAGGTGGCCAAGGCGGGAGGGTACCGGAATGCTTTTGGATATGAGCGTGCGATCGAGGATGCACATACTGCCCTCTATCTGCCTGGACTGTAATAGTCACTTGTCTGTGCTTCTAATAAAGAGATTATGTGGCACATCAGATTGGCATCGGTGATGAAGCTTGTTGATTTTTTATTGCTCTGCTTCTCTAGTAAAAGAAAGCTTTCTTCTTGTTCATTGTCTCTCCTTGCCTTCTCGCTTGCGTGCTCCAAAGTTACGCGTAATGCCTCATCTTCAGTTCTGTCAAATAGCCCGTCAGGTCATCCAACTCTGTCGTCAAGGCCTTCCTAGCCTCAACACCACCTTCCAGCTCGGCACCACATCCCAGATAAGCAACCTCCTCAGGGACCTCCTGATTGTTCTTGTCTCCAAGGTACCGGTCAAGAGCAGCCAGCCTCGCCTGGACCGAGGCAACCTCATCCTCGAGGTACTTCTCAATCAGCGACGCGTTCTCCTTGACTCTGATAAACTGGTTACAGTACTTGACCACACTGGGGTCCCGGTTCAGCTCAGCATGCTCTCGAATCTCAAAGACGTTGCTGTACATGACCTTGCCGGGCAGCATCAGTTCCTGAGCAATCAGACCCTTGAGGCGATCTGTGCGGTAGACATCTGCAAGGTGCTGCAGGGCCACGAGGTACTCGACGCGTTGTGACAGCTGGTCCTCTGCATCCTGTTCCTTAAAAGTCTTTGAGGCCTCCGAAAGGGTGGTTGGTCCGTTTGTGCCAATCAGGTCGTCCGTGTAGAGAAAGTACAGCAGGCCCCAAAAGGTGACATAGTCGTCCTCCTTCTGGATGATATCGATCGCCGGGTTAGAGGGATCACGACGAGCAGTCAAGGCCCAAGAACCAGTGAGCTGCCGGATAACCTCCTCGTTCATACTCGCCAGTACAACCTTGTGGGCCAGGATCGACTTGCCGCCTTCAAAGGTAAACTTGACATCCATGAACCCATTCGTCTCGTCCTGCGTCTCAAAGTACGACGTGATCCGGTTTTCCATCTCTCCGACGTTACGCTTCGAACGAACAGTGACCTGTCCAGCAATATGTTTCATCTCGTTGGCACCGACAGTGACCAAAAAGTCGCGGAACTTCAGCAGCGACGGGTGGGCTTGGTGGTGAGCACCAATCTTGTGATCGATACCAAAGACAAGTTCATGTGGCCAGACCCACGACTCTGCCTTGCTGGGATCCTTGTCGTCGCCGTTGAGAATGTAGGGTACGGTCATAATCTCGCGGAGTGACTGCTTGAGTTTGTCCCTTATAGTCTCGCTCTTGGATGCGTTCACCTCAAACGTCTTGTAGATCTTGAAGATTATCGCCTTGAAGGCGAGTTGGCGCTCCGTGGTCGACATTGTAGGAGCAACTTTCTTGGCCAAGACCCCGAGGTGCTCACAGTGCTCGCGCCAGGTGTGCTTACCAATGTCCGGGAACATGAGTTTGAACCTTGCAGGGGGAACAAGATCTTGTGGAAAGAACCCTCGCTGAGTCCAAATAAAGTCGCGCTCAGTTGGGTAGCACAAAGTCGACAAGGACATGTAAGGGGGCAAGTCCGGGGCGTGTTGGTTGTAGGGGTACTCGGGCGTCATCTCGCGGGGCACAAATGTCCACTGGGGATCCATCCAGTTTGTATTTCCGGGGTCGGTGTATATGTACCGTACAAGATGGGCAGCTCTTGAGAGAATTTGGTCCGCAGGGGCACTTCTGTTCGCAATCTCGCTCAGAACAAACCTCGCACACTCCTCCAACGCACCTGTCGACAATCGCCGGATTTCAACCTGGAACCTTCGTCCATCAACAAGAATAGTGTTCAAGTCACTGTTGAGGAACCGGTGTTGCTCGTTGACAAAAATCGTTTCGGTCAGATGCTCTCCGGGGACAAGCATGTGGGCCAGGGTTTGGAAAGATCCATCTCGCGATAGGAAACATGGGGCGTGGTTCAAGGCTTGCCTGGCCAAGACATTTTCTCGTGGGTTCAGAAGGCTGGCTGTAGTCGCGAGGCTGCGACAGAGGGAGAGGTAGGCCGTTTTCGTAGCTCCTGTACACTGCAGCGCGTTGGATGCAAACATGGGCATGATGCGCTCCCGAAGCAGAGTTGCGGCTTGAGTCGGTGTGGCGCCCATTTTTTCGAATGGATATGTGCTGTTTGTCTCGTGAAGGACGGTGGGGTGGCGACCAAGATGTTCGAGGTTCTCGTGGTCTATCATATACAGGGATCCAATAGCCGGGCGCAGAGGAGCCCCAGGAGGGCCATAGGCTCTCCAAATAGGGAGGTCTCCGAGACTGACGAGGACAGAGGCATTGCAGCCGCGATGGTGGGAGCCGATCATGTTGCGCAGGAAATCGGCTTCCTCGGTAGAGATCACAAACGAGGGGGCATGCGTGGACCAGTGCTTGGCAATCAACTCGAGGACTCGACGTTCGGTGTACTCGACTTGAAGCCTCCGAAAATACGGATGGTTCTGAGGATCGGAGGCGTCAAACATAACGAGTCCCATCCTGCGGAAGAACTCGGTTATGATGCGTCTAGGGCTCTCACCTAAGTATGCTGTCGACATCTCCAAGCCCTCCGCAGCTTTGGCCACAGTCACCATATCTCCAGCCGCCGTCTTCACAATCGGTAGCTCGCAGGCCGGGGTGATATCGTCAAACTCGCAAAGATATTTCCAGATTCTCTCACGCTTGTCTTCAGAGACTCCGAAGGCGTTCTCGGAGAGGAAGATCGATGCGAATGCACTCAGTTGAATCTTCTCGATGCCGTAAGATTGCTCCTTGACCAGGATAACCAGGACCCTCTGGAGAACAAAAGAATCAAAGAAATCCGAATCCACCAACTGCCCCTTGCCCTCAACCAACTCTCTAGCCTCGGCAGGTGCGGTGTGGTAGATCGGGGATGCTTGGAGTGCCTTCCAATCTCCACTCAGCAGCGGCTTCCATTCCCCACTCAGCAGCGGCACAACGTGAAGTCCCATGAGAGATTCCTCCACGACGATGCGGGTATCCACCAATGGCCTGAAAATCTCATCCAACAACCACTGCTTGTCAGTCCTCCCAATCATTTGGCGAGTAATAAAGCTTGGATCCTCTCTAAAACGTCTGCGGAGCAAATTGCAATCGATTTGCTTGAATGGGCGAGAGCCATCTTGGCCCCATTCAAGCATCAAGCAGGCCTGGAGATTGGGTGGCGTCTCGGCTATGGAACGACCTCCCACCCTGAGCCAAGCGTACACCCGCAACTCAACAGCTTCGGTAATAAGGGAGCCTCTCATTGTCGTGTTCTTTCCAGCAACAGCCGCGATCGGCAGCTCGTACGGGTGTCCGCGACAGGGAAACACGGGGCTGGTGTATGCATGCCGGAAAAACGCTCGAAGAAAAGCAGCAAAGTCGTCATTGGCCTTGAGTGGCCAACGCTTGTAGAAGAGGGGGATGGCCGTATTGAGATCACTCATTCGAGGTCCGTCAAGGTCGGCAGGGCGAAAACTCCACGTAAGCAGTTGCCCGTAGGCCTGAATGGCTGTCAAGGGTAGGAGGGTCTCAAGAAGGTAAGTGTTCCAGAGAGTTTTTGGGTCACTAGCCTCAGATCCACCAGCCAGAGTCTTGCGGTTGGTCGTCAGCGCAAATCCGCCGTGCATGTGAAAAGGCAGCTTAGTCTCGATCGGGGTCGGCAGATAAACCATCAGTCGTCCGCGGCATGACTTGATGGCGCTGTCATCGCCAAGGGGGATCGCAACTCCACTCTGCGTACTCCAGTGTTCCGTTTGGACATGGTTGCGAATGGTTTGAGGGGTGTTTGCTGGCAAGGCGTCCTCTGTGTACATCAACCATCTCGAAGATGCAATGTTGCCTAGGCCGGTCGTCTTCGAGGTGATGTCGACGATGGACACCTGACTTGTGTGGGAAGGGAGAGATCCGATCAAAAACTTAACGGCTGGCATATGGGAGAGGTCGTCCTTGGTAACCGAAACCATAGGGTTTGTTCCGTCAGAGAGGTTGATGGACTTGATGCTCTTCAAAAAAAGACTCCCAATCTTGGCGTCCTCGATCCAGGAGACAAACATTTTCTGAATCTGGGCAGTAGTCCAGTCTTCGCTGCCGAAACCCGACTTGCCAGCCATCACCGCTCCTTTCAGCCGCAGAGGAATACGGAAAATGGTGCCATCGAAGTGGGACCCCATATCAAAGCCAAAGAGTCCCTTGTACGGCTGAAACTGGTCGGCCAACGTCTCCGTGGAAAGCTTGCGTATGTCGTAGCGATGGCCCCTTTGGGCGAAAAGTTTCCCGGAAGCGTCGCGGCTCTTGGGGAGGTTGACCATGTGGGGATCGAAAATCACGAGGGTGCTGCCGCTGATAACACTAGGGACGTCTGTGAAGTGATAGGCGGAGTTGAAACCGAGGCCATGGCGACCAACCTTGGACGTATCCTCCCCTAAACACAAGTGTATCAAATTAGTTACATAATATATTAGCAGACTGCAGGAAGAAAAAAGAATACCAGTAGAGAATCAGGATGTCCACACAAAGATACCAACTTACTCTTGTTGCCGACACCCAGCTTGCACAGGGCAGAGAAGCTCTCCTCGGAGAACTCGGCATCGTTGTAAAACAGCAAAGCCGGCCCTTGCCATTCCGCCATTTGGTCGCTCAAAACTTTAGTCTTGTCGTAGGTCCGAGGGTCCAACATCACTGAGAACTTGGTGGCACCTGCATCTGAAGCGTTCTGGAGGTACTCATTGAAGATTCCTGAAGGGTCGTAGTCATTGAGGATACTCCTGATGCGGTCAACAATGTTCTCTTCCTGGAAGAACGGCTCGAAGGTGGCGTCCTTACTCTCCTCCCACGCGCGGACAGAGAACATGTCGATCTGGAGGCGTTGAGCGACGCCCTTGGGGATAGTATCATCGAGAAAGGTGTAAGGCAACAGATTATCATCCAACCCTCCGCGCCGAGAAGCCCTGTCATCATAAACAACGTCAGCGGCTCGCTTGAGATATCCGCCTTTGGTCAGGACAGGAAGGTCAGACATCGAACGTCTTGACTTCATGTAAGAAAGCGCAGTGAGGAGACGACGAACGAGTTCGGCATCCTTGTCCGAAAGGCATTCACCATTGTCGTAGTTCGAGCCTATTGTCGCCAGGATCGCCTCAATGTCACGATGGGTAAAGTGGTCTCGCACCCCAAATGCTCGAAACAGAGCATCCAGGTTGGAAGAATGCACTTGACCGAACTGAGGCCTGAGATTTTGATCCAATTTGAAAGCGACTCGGTCGACGGCATAGAGCGTACCGGACAACAAGATCCAAGGTCGCTCGCCCAATGCCTCCTTGATGGCTGTCAAATGGGAGGGATTCTGCACCATCGAGGCAAGGTAGTAGTAGATCGGCGAGACATCTTGGTTCAAAAGCTGGGAGGAGCTATCCTGGGAGAATTGGTCGAGTAGTGACGAAAAGTGTGCCAGGACTTTGTCCAACGGTGGCGGGGTCATCCAGCCCATGTGTATGCGGAGCAGCTCGTTCGATGGACTAAAATCGGATATGGACATTTGGGTTCCAACTAGACATTTGTCTTCCTTGGGCCGACACTCGGATGGACGGCATCGCTCGCTTTCCCCAACATAAAGCCACGGCAGGGACGATATCATGGAAAGGATATCCTCGGTCACGAACTCCTTGGAGAACATGCTGTTGAGGCGATCGTACAGAGCCGAAGATGCCTTCCTGTGAGAGTCATCTTGTCCGGAGGAAGCGGGGCCGAAGAGAGATGACAACCTCTCCTCGACAAAAGTAGGGTTGAAAGCGAGCCTCATGCCCAGTTCCTCTAGAGGACCACGGAAGGCAGATTTAGCGTAAATACCAGAGGGAAAAACGGCCTCTTCATCCATAAAGAACATAGATAAGGCAGGGTCCGCAACGAATCGAGGTATGATCCGAATAGGACTGGCTATCTCCTTCGATGTAGACGATACATTGACCTGAACAAACGGCAGTTGGCGGAGAAGGGGTCCAAAGTCGACCTTCTTCTGGTGTTCGTAGTAGCCCAAGAGCAGCTCAGACAGAATAGAGTCCCATTCACTTTCGGGTTGCTCTGTCAACTCCGAGACAAGGTGTAGCAGGAACTTGGCCTTGGTAAGGAAAGGGATCTCCAGTAAGTACCGAATGTGGTGCTTCATCGGCTGGTCATCAGCTAGGAGTCTGACCGAGCTAGGCATCCAAGGTTGTGAGGAAATACAATATCCTTGAGCGACTCTCCACTTCATCGAGGACGAAGACGAGGGCGTATCCAAGGGAACGAGACGGGTATCTTGATATGACTCAAAAACCGGCAAGTATCGCAAGACCTGGCGCTGTTGATTGTCAAGCGATGCTCTGGGCGAGAGACATATAGTCAAGTATTGTCTGAGATCCTCGCAATCTGCTGGAGTTAACTGCTGGAAGCAACTGGGATCGACGTTCGAGAGGAGGCCGAGGACTCTTGGACCAATCGATACATCCACGAGATATCCATTCAGGGGTGATGATGGTTTGATGGGCAGCTTTCGAAGGACTTGGCAGTCAAAACGGTGACCCAGAACTTCAAGGGCCTTCTGAGAGACCTGGACATCCTTGCTCGTCCCAGGGTTGAGGTAGAGAACTGATCGATCCTTAGAGAGTGGCGCCAGAGAACCCCGGTTGATTGGTATCAGATGGATGCCATCAAGTCCTGAGAGGAGCTCCCTCTGAGCAACTGCAATTGGAAAGGAGTGAGCCATATTCCAGAAGTCCGTCAACCACTTGTCCATCGGAAACTGCTCAGAGGTCTGGGTGACACATCCGCCAGGGACTACACCGTCTTGATAGAACGACTGAAGGTAGACCGACTTGATTCGCTCTGCAACCAAGGAAAGTTTCATGGTTGACCAATACATCTTAGACTTGGAGCCATTCTTGGCTTCAGACTTACAGCCCAACTCGATGTCGTTGAACGGATAACCCTCAACGTCAATGTCAACAAGCCCGTCGTTCGACATGGACAATGTACGGAACACCGCCACGGACACACGGAACCTATTTAGATTCAAAGCACATCATACCACGTTAAAATCATATGTGCCTCACCAACAATGACCAAATTACAGCTAGTAAAGCAAGCATTCAAGAAGCGCTACCTTCCGCGGGATTGCTTGCGATTGAACTCAACCCAGGACCCTCCAGCGAGAGGAAGGAGAGGAAGACCGACGAGGCTTGCAGACTTGTCGTCCTGGAGACAGTACTTGACCATTTCTACTCGGGTGGCCGCATCGGCAGTCGAAGACCACTGATTTTTGGTGTCTTGAAGAATGGAAATCACTAGGGCCGACGTAAGAATACGAGGGACCAAATCAACAGACTCGACTGCCACAGGGAGCTCGGCCAGGATCACATCAGGAATATTTTCCGCCAAATCTACAACCGCACGGAGGGCCTTCTTCAGCAATGGGAAAGCATCGGTGTCTCTACCGGCAATGTAGACCTTGGAATAGGGTTCAATAGACATCACGTTGCCATCGAGCTTGGGTCCGCAGAAAAATACTGGTCGATCATTGGACAGAACAGCACGGAGCACGCTCTTCAACATGTCCTTCCAAATCGCATCTCGGCCGATCCCATCTCCGCAGTAGGTAGGCCAGAGTTCATAGTTAGCGCCATGATCAAGACCTATGTTCTCCAAGAAGAGCGCGTAGGCTTCAGGGATCTGCTTGTTGAACAGATGTACGTTCCAAAGTGACTCAATGCCAGCGGAGGACTGGGTCTTGATCTTTTTGTCGATGTTGGTCCAAATGTCACGTCGACTCTGCTCGACAGCAAAGTGACCATTGACATGAACCGGGAACGGGAGCTGAATGTCGCCGACGGGTAAGAAACAGAAAAGACCAGACGAGTCCATCTTGAAATCAGGATCCGAGGGAGCAGCAATACCGACCCAAGGGATCAACTTGTGGTCAGCAATATTGACGTCGCCATGGGAAGCCTCTAGCATGGAGGCGCGAGTCTTGCCGATGTTGCCGATCCGGGTAGTGACCTGCCAGGTTTCCTCAGTAGTGTGACCGTCCTCATGTGTCATCCTGTAGGTGGGTCGAGTAGAGCACTCAAGGACTTTGGCTTCATCAACTGAATCGCATGCGCGGACATGGCGCTTGAAGTTGTCAAACAGTTCAGACCGCTGGGCCGCAACCTCGGCGGAGTTGACAATCTCAATCTCGAATAATTTCGTAGGCTTGTCTTGGTCCTCTTTGCGCTCGTAGATGACAATCTTCTGGACATGCTTGAGGAAAAGAAGAGCCTTCAAGGCTTCGCCCTTTAGCTCGTTTAGCATCTCCTGCACCTAAAAGCGCGAAAATGAGAGATGCATTAGTTAACATGTCCTACGGAAGTGGTTCCGCTCTGCAGGCATCATCTTCACTTCTGAAAGTGTGTGTTACCTCCTCGAGAGTGCGAGAATATTTGGTCAAAGACGAAGTCTTGGTCTGTTCAAGGGTTCTGAGAGGGAACCTGAAAATGGTGCCTTTGTAAGGCTTGGAGAAATCAATATCTTCGAGAACGGAGAAGGCTTTGAGCTGGTCGGGATATTCATGCAAGCCTTGACTTGGATTCAAAAAGCTGCCGCGGACAGCGCCCTCGCTGAGCTCGGACCGCTCTCCGTTGAAGATGCGCTCGTGGGGCTCGATGATCATGAGTTGGTCTCCAGAGATAAACGAGGGGCAGTCTGTCAGATGGTAGATGCTAATAAGGGGAAGGAATAAAGAAAGCATGCATATTAGATAGATCCTTGATATTCTATGTTACACATCGGTCATGGTAATGGTAGAGATCAAGACAGTATTTTCTTCCACCGCACCTGTTGAATCCAATACCCATCTGACCAATCTTAGTTTCGTCAGCACGCTTTTCAGATGAGGCCAGGTTCTTGAGCGACTGAAAGTCCTTGTCTTCAAAGACAGAGTCGCTTCCAGAAAGAAGAGCCGGACCCATGTATTCCTCGAGATCTTCGTGGAACAATCGAAGCCTTGCGTCCTTGGACGAGTCCGAACCAAGGTTGCTTTCAGCAGAACGTCGAGCGTGCTTGGCATGGTCTCTGTGGTCGAGGAGATACCACTGGACAGTCGACCCGGCGTCGTCGCTGTTCTGGAGAAGCTCGCGGGCGATCTGTGTGCTGTCGGGGTAGGACCTGAGGATGCCGGCGATACGTGTCGTCAGAGGTTCGCGGATGCCATGGGATATGAATCCCTTCCGCATGGGTTGTTGCAGCATGGGTTGTTGTAGCATGGCTTGCGTTGTGTGAATGAATGGATGCGAATGTGGGGTGTGGATGTAAAGTGGAGCAAAGTAGTGGATATGTGAGAAAGGGGAGAGGAAGAAGATGAAGAAGAGGATGAAGAAGAGGAAGAAGAAGAGGAAGAGGCGAATATGCGAGCGAGATATAAAAAGGTGGGAGGATAGAAAAGAGGCAAAGTACAGAAGAAGGAACAAAGTGTGGCGAAGGCACAAGAGGGTGGGAAAAAAAGGCTTTGATGCCACAAGGCATGTAATGCTAGTCTCATGCCATATGACAATTGCATAACACTTGTGTAAATTTGGTGCATAGCAATGAAGTGGCTGCATATGTGAGACATGGCGTAAAAGTCGCGTAGCACAGTTCTAGCACGTTATCATTTTCGCAAGTCAGCAGTGCTATGCAGACTTACACTAGCAGATTGGCCATGAGTCCATCATTTTCTGTAGGTAGAAAAAACAAAGATTGGGAGATGGCTACGTGTAAGGCAAGGGCAACTGGAAAGGATTTTTGTTTGCAATCATACAGCACATATATTTTTCACATGGTAGTTTTTGCAGTGCCCAGGCAAAGACAGCGGGTAGAAATTGACCTTCACCAATGTTGATGTCGGGCTAAGAAAACAAGTTTGTGCAACCAAGATGGAAAGAGATGGAAAGAAGACAAGAAGGGGGAGTCAACATCGACCCCGTTCACTCCTTCCTACCAATTGCATTCACAAAAGTAAAAGTGTGGTGTAGAAAATACTCGCCACGGAAACAATGTCGTGTGTAAGTGCCAGAGCCATCGAACTGCATATTTCGAAGGTATGGCTTGTGTTTGTTCACATTAGGAGAGGCACAGGTTGGCCCTTTTTCTTCTAGACATCCACCCTTCCTGGTTCCTAGTTCATCCCCATCTCTGCCATTTTTGGATTTGCAGTTTCAGTGCTGGAATATCTCCCTCCATAATTACACAGCTATGAAGGCTGGTTAGAAATACGTTGAGCCAGGCTGGTGCATAGATCGGGGTGTTCTTATCTTCAATGATGGTGGGTCCAACGATGACAGTGACACCACAGAAAAGGGTCCATCGCTCCCTTCGATTTGCTCTTTGCTCTTTGCTCGTTCTTACTCCGACCGCTTCTTCTTTCTTCTTTTCCCTTCCTTTCTCGTCTCTTTTTATTCTCACCCCTACACCCCTACTCTTACACACACACCCCACACCCTAATCGCCGCCTGCCATGACAACCCACTCCCAATCAACAATAACATCAACACTCAACCATGCCCCCAAGATCCTCGCCATCCCAGAACTCGTCCAACGAATCGCCCATTCCCTCGACTCAAAAACAATCGTCGCATGCGCTCGCGTCAACAAGGCATGGCACTCCATCTGGCTCCCTATCCTCTGGCACACCATAGACGCCGGGAAGCAGTGGGACAACGGAGGCTTCCTCAGCGCCCTCCACCAACACGCCGACCTTATACGTACCCTCAAGTGTGGTCGCTACGACGACATTCGACCCCTCTTCAACTCTAATGCTTCCTCCTTACCTACTCTCGAATCTTCGACGAGCTCGGGATCAGAGAGCGGACATTCTACTGGAGGAGGATCCACCGGGCCCATTGGAGCAAAGGAGCAGGTTTTGTGCAAGAACCTTATCACCCTCGTCCTCCCCAAGACAACCCTGATAAACCAGGCCGATCAAGCGCGTCTCCTTTGCCTCAACCCGCACCTCCTCGACTTGTCTCTTACTCTTTATGACGACCCCTCCTCTAAATACACCGACCTGATCGAGGCTGTCTGTAATCTCCCTCTGCTCCGACGCCTCGCGCTCGACGAAAACAAGACACTCGAGTCCAAGACCCTGGAGACTTTCCTGAGCCGACTCAACTCTACCCTCCACGAACTGTCGTTGAAGAAAACCTTCTTTGTCAATCACCCCTTCGGTTCTGGAGAGGAATTTGCTGCGTCAGCTGATAATACGAAAGAGTCGTACGGGATCCAGTCCCTCTGCATGGATGGCGTCGCTTGTAGCCAGGAGTTTCTTCTCCAACTCATCAGTCGCTTTCCCTCCCTCACACACTTCTCGCTCGGAGGTTATGCCGAGGTCTACATTAACGACAACTTTGGCGAGAAGATGGCGCGTTTATGTCCCCAGCTCAAGAGCATCGATATCTCCCTCCTTGACAACATAGATGACGAGTCTATTGCGGGTTTAATCCGTGCGTTGCCAAGACTGCAAAAGTTCCGCGCTGCAGAGACCATGTTTGGAGATAGGAGCTTGGAGGCCCTTGTTGAGGATGGTCGTGACTTGAGCATCTTGGACATCAACACCACCTACGTTACAGAGAGCAGTGGCGTTCAGCGTCTTCTAGAGCGATCAGGAGCGTTAACAATGTTGGATGCGTGGGAGCTGTCAGTCAATGTTCCCGAGATGATGTCCGAGGCGTATGGAACGCGCGTGTCGAGTACGGAATCAGGTACAGCTGGAGACGAGGATTCGAGAGTGGCTTTTGCACCTACTCTTCTTTCCAGAGCATCTACGCCAACTACAGGAGAACTTTCTGGAAAGCGTACTCGAGGTGCCTGGGGCTGTACGGGCCTGGAGTCGCTGGTCCTTGGTGTTGACTATTCTACCGATGACTTGACAGAGCAGGAGCGCAAGCTTTACCCACCATCCAAGGCTCGCCAATTTATTTACGAGCAAATTTCTCGACTCACCAACCTCCGCTACTTGGCTATCGGTGGTGACATCCTGGTAGGCGCTGATGAAGACAGTTGTCAGGAAAATGAAGGTGCTGATGAAGGTAATGAAGACGAAGGAACCGGTAGCGGCGATGAGGCGGATGGTGTCGATTCTGAGGACCAGGGTGATGACGATGATGAAGATGACGAGGACTGGACCCCTTCAGCGGACAAGTCATCAGTGGCCAAGTTGCAGAAAAAGATGGCCAAGCTGGAGGTGATCGATCAGGACAGCAATAACCTCTGGATCGAATTCTCGCTACGATCTGGGTTGGAGATCTTGGCTCCTCTCAAAGAACTTCGTTGCCTTTCTGTCAATCAAGGTGCTCACGCCATCGGCGTCCGTGAGGTTGAGTGGATGTGCAAGAACTGGCCCCGTTTGAAATCGATTGAGGGGCTGTACGAGGATTATGCCGAGGAGGCAGTTGCCTGGTTGAGGAAGCATAGGCCTGACATTGAGCTCGAGAACGACGATTAGGAGAGTTCCAGGGCTTCGTTTCATGCAGTGAGGCAATATATTTTTTCCGCTACTTTTTTTCATTTGCTTTTGGTGACACGAGATGCAAAATATTGTGCATGATATTTGTGTTTGAAAAAAAGGCGCAGGGCAAAAATGGCGAGTAAAGTGAGATGTTCAATTTTTCGACGGTGGCTTTGGCGCAATGGACCAAGGCATGACGAACACCTTCCTTGCTGCCTTCCTTCTTTACTTTTCTTTTCTTTTCACACGACTTCTTTCATCGTTCTTCCCTCCCCATCCTTATTGCAGACACACACACACACACACACACAACCTCTCTCTCTCTCTGGACCAACTCAGCTATTTTACAACGTATGTACACTCTCTGCTACAGCTTCCACCTCCGAGACCCCTACTTGATGACCTTCCGAGACCCCCGCCCCGTCCACGCCCTAGACCTCCCCGAAATCCGGCACCGCATCGCCCGCCACCTTCAGCCCCGCTGCTCCGACATCTTCTCATGTATGCTCGTCTCTCGAGGATGGTACCAGGATTTCGCTGGCGCCCTTTGGCATACTCTTGGGGGGAGGGAGATTTCTATCCTTGGCACATGGGATGCGGAGAGAACTGAGTTGTTGGATAAGTATGGGCGGTATATCACTGTGGTCGAGACCAAATCTGTGACGGATTTCCGGACGCTGCAACATGGCAGTATAAGGAATTTGGAGGGGTTGACGGTTTCGGTGACCGAGACTGAAGGGTTTATGAGGGAGTTGGTGTCGGATTTGGTGCGGCGGTGTCGGGGGACGTTGAGGAGGGTTAATCTGCGAGGACCCCCAGCGGTAGCACCACATGGATTTCTTCAGGAACAGGAGGACGCGAGATTGCTGTATAATTTTGATATCAACACCTTGGTGCCCGACATGGAATCGAGGCTGAAGGAGGTGGACATCCACAACGTCGGAATCACGCGAGAGGGGTTCTCGAATTTCTTGAGGGGCGCTTCCAGTCTTCGCCACCTGCGCCTCGACAATGTCTGTATTGCGACCTTCAACCCTGGTGTGGAACTGTTCAAAGAGTCGAAACTGACACGACTGGTCTGCTCCGTGTCGCAAGTCATGAACCCCGAGAAGGGACAACCCCTCGCTGCTTCTGCAACACCAGGTCCTTGTCTGCTGGTCCACTTTCCGGCACTCCAACACTGGACTGTCGAATCCGGCTTTCCCAGCACCGAAATCTCCGCTCTTACTCAATTGCACCAAGCCGTCGTCGAGTACACACCCAACCTCCGCAACATCCAAATCAACCACACTAACAGCCACATCGTGACAGAACTCCTCGCCCGTGTCTTTGTCAGCCTCCAGACCAGCTCCCTCCAATTCAGCGACTTCACCTCCGACGTCCTTCTAAGCCTGCTAACCCACCAATCGACCCTCACACGTATCCAAATCCAAACTCGAACTGTCAGCACTAACTTCCTACGCACAGAATCTATGCGGTCTACACATTTGATTTTAAGAACTTGTGCAAAGTTGGAGGTGTTGTCGATTAGGGGGTATGAGGTCAAGATTGAAGAATTGGATGTGGGCGAGTGGGCATGTAGAGATGTGTTGAGGGAGTTGAGGATGGTGATTGTGGGGGTTGGGAAGTTGGAGGGGGATTCTTATTTGAAGCGGTTACAGGAGCTCAGGAACAAACGTATTTTGGGACAAGCGAGTCGAGAGACGGAGGCGCCGATGGAGGTTGTAATAGCTGGACTAAGTAGTGTTGGGAATCGGGTGGTGCGAAGGTTGTTGCCGTTGGGCAAGTTAAAGACTGTTTGTTTGGGTGGAAAGGACTTTTACTTGGCAACTACGAGGCATTAGAACCAATATTAAAATAATAAACATCGTCGTACTGAATAGATATTTATTTTATTGCGCCTTGCAACCAAAATAATTAATTCGGACAGCTAAACCCTGATTAAGTTGCTGTTCACAACTAAAATTTTGTTCCGCGCCTGTGTACAGTACACTCCGCTCTCCACTGAATTTTGTTGGATTAGTTTTAATTTTTTGCCTCATTTTGTTAGAAAGGCACAATAACATGAATAGGTGTTATTAGTAGTGGGCGTTCTCAATTTCAAGATGCAAAGTAGTAATTTTATACGCAACCTTATGATCACAGGCCTGACGTTTCCTTTCTTTATTGTGTCTGTTGAAATGATTCCGACTGTGAAAGTGCTCACCGTCAATGGTCATTGGGTAAAAAGGCAGATCCTTTGCATCTTTACTTTCTGGATTATACTACTGTCAGTTGCAGTTGGAAATAAAAAAAAAACCGTAAATAAATTACTGTTAAGCTGCACTAAGGCCATATTATGGACTAACCAGTGCCTAAAGGTTCTGGTTTACTGTTAGCACTCCTTGCCTTTATTCTCCTCCATCCTTTTTATTTTATTTCATTTTGTTTATTCTATTGATTTCACATATGCGAACTCCTTGGTCCCTTCCCTTTTTATCCTCACGGACATAGTCCTTACTCCACAGCCCATTTGTTTAGACTAGGTTCCCCCACATATAGTCCTGTTTACATCATTGCACCGTGGAGTTTTTGTAGATTGCGTTAGACAGCACCCGAGCTTGGTTGTAACTGACTGAGTTGCTCCACAAGTCTAAAGTGGTCAGAGTCGAGTTGGTCTTGAGTGCCTCAGACAGTGCCTGAGCTCCGTTGTCTCCGATCTTGTTATAGGACAAGTCCAAAGTGGTCAGAGTCGAGTTGATCTTGAGTGCCTCAGACAGCGCCTGAGCTCCATCCGGTCCAGTCGAGTTATTACTCAAGTCCCAAGTGGTCAGAGTCGAGTTGGTCTTGAGTCCCTCAGACAGCGCCTGAGCTCCATCCGGTCCGATCGAGTTGCGAGACAAGTCCAAAGTGGTCAGAGTCGAGTTGGTCTTGAGTGCCTCAGACAGCCCCAGAGCTCCGTTGTCTCCGACCGAGGTGCTCCTCAAGTCCAAAGTGGTCAGAGTCGAGTTGGTCTTGAGGGCCTCAGACAGCACCTGAGCTCCGTCGCTATTGCTCGACTTAGTGCATTGAATGTTGTATGGCTGTGAGTGTATGAGCAAGATAAATGACATACCTGCAAGCGAGAGTGACGGCAGAGGTAGAAATACGCATCTTGGATTGAGTTTCTATGAGTGTGTGATAGCGTTAGGTTTTGATCGTTTGGGAGATCATTAGATGAGAGAAAAAGAGAAGTGACAGTGAGAATAAAGTAGAGGAGAGTGAAAAGCAGAAAGGCGAAAGGAGAATCTACGCGTGCCTGCACTTTTATTTTATGTTGAGCCGGGCAGCATCGTACGGGAAGCGTCGGTTATGTTTGAGATGGCGAATCGGATGTCGAATAAAACATGATAGTGTCCGAATAATGAGCATAACGGACAAAAAAACATGGAACGAAAAACAGCATTCCACATTCTCCCGTCTGACAATAGTTTTGAATGAAGAAAACAAAAAAACACTAACGGTAATGAACGTAAGCGAGCAGCATAGGAGGCCTTTCAAGTCTAAATTATCATATGGTGTTTGTTACATTTTTGCAGATCTTGACGATATCCACAGCGACCATTAGAGGAGGATATATGTATGATATCAAGCATGTAGAACAATCAATATAACATTTATTGTGTGACTATCCTACTAAACACCATGATATTCTTCAAACAACAAAGTCTACTTATTTTTCGCACGCCTATCTCTTAAATGTGTCCATCTACTGTTAAACTGTACCCATCGCTGCAAGATTCAGCAGAGTAGTTCCTGTATGCGATCATCTAAAGCACTTGTACTCTCAACTGTATCTTTGTCGTGAAATACAAGGGAGAGATTACATTTTAAAAAATCATGTGCTGTCTGCTGCTATTTTATTCTGTGTTCTGTTGCCCACTATGAAGAGATATGTCAGCTGTGGAAGTCAAATCAAAGCAGGGATCAACATGTATTCATCTCGTTCCCTTTCGGTCCTAGGACGCGCTACCATCGTCAACGCCCTTATCCTCTCCCGCCTTTGGTACCTCGCATGGGTGACCCCATTCCCCACTTCCTTCCTATCCAAAGTCAGAGAGGCCATCACACCATTTGTTTGCCCTTTCAAACCACAGCATCATGGAAAGTCATCACCACCCATCAGCACAACGGCGGCCTTGGGGTTCCGGCCAAGCAGCAACAGACCTTCCTCATCAAGCACCTTCGCAACGCCACAACTACGTCAGTACCCTAGGGGAAGGACATTGTACTGGATCTCATCCTCTGGAAGACGAAGTCCACCCACTACCTATCCTTTATGCTGAACCCCCAGGAGAACCAACTCCACCAACAACTTAAACAATTCCTCCACCTTCTTCAACTAGTCAAAGCGGCCAGCACACTTCCCCCGCTCAAGACAGCTGCCTCATAGGTATAAATACAGCAAACATCATCCTCTTCCTTCACAAACACACACAGTCCTCGGAGGAAATCTCTGACCGTATTTCCATAGAAATTAAGAAAGCGATAGCGCAAAACGATTACCTCTTCAAACTCACGGCTACAAGCCTCAAATAAAGTCATAGAAAAGCCAAAGAAAACAACTTTTCCTTTATTCTTTTTGATCCACTCATTTGATTGTTATTCAGACCAGCAAGGACCACTCGACCACCTTTCGACAGGTATTGTCATGAAGGCGTATCCTAGCCATGTGCCCGTCCCTTTCTCAGTCAGCATTGAAAGCAGGATCTCTCCGTCACCCCTGCGCATTGTCAACAATGAACACAATGCGCATTGGGTAGCACAAGGAAGCCTACCGCCGACCGGCTGGTCCATCTTAAACTTGACACTATTTGCGCCAACCCTGGTCTCATAGAGATCCACTTTCCGCACTGCCCTCGTTTACACCAGTTATCGATCCGCCCACCAGCATTGGAAACTGGCCGACCTATCGTCTAACGGCGGACTGCAGTGCACCTGTCAACTTATATTATGGAATAGCCGGTGTCCAGGGGCCCACTTTACTGTTAGCACTCCTTCCCTTTCTTCTCCCCCTCTACTTTTCATTTTTGTTTGTTTATTCTATCGATCTCACATATACGAACTCCTTGGTCCCTTCCTATTTCATCCTCACTGATATAGTCCTTGCTCAACAGTCCATTTATTTAGACTAGGTTCCCCTACAGATAGACTTGTTTACATCATCGCACCCTGGAGTTTCTCTTGATTGCGTCAGACAGCGCCTGAGCTCTGTCGTCTCCGATATAGTTGCCACTCAAGACCAAAGTGGTCAGAGTCGAGTTGATCTTGAGTGCCTCAGACAGCGCCTGAGCTCCGTCGCGTCCAATCGAGTTGCCCCTCAGGTCCAACGTGGTCAGAGTCGAGTTGATCTTGAGTGCCTCAGACAGCGCCTGAGCTCCGTCGGATCCAATCGAGTTGTAGGACAAGTCCAAAGTGGTCAGCGCCGAGTTGGTCTTGAGTGCCTCAGACAGCACCTGAGCTCCATTGGGTCCAATCCAGTTGTCGGTCAAGTTCAAAGTGGTTAGAGTCGAGTTGGTCTTGAGTGCCTCAAACAGCGCCTGAGCTCCGCTGTTTACGATCGTGTTGTCGGTCAAGTTCAAAGTGGTCAGAGTCGTGTTGGTCTTGAGTGCCTCAAACAGTGCCTGAGCTCCGTCGGATCCAATCCTGCTGTTCTTCAAGTCCAAAGTGGTCAGAGTCGAGTTGGTCTTGAGTGCCTCAGACAGCGCCTGAGCTCCGTCACGTCCAATCGAGTTGCCGAACAAGTCCAAAGTGGTCAGAGTCGAGTTGGTCTTGAGTGCCTTAGACAGCACCTGAATATTACTCTCTGGAGACTGAACCGGCTCCGTGCTTCCCGTTGCTGTTGACATATAGTCGCTTGGAATAGGTACGCCCTCCAGAACGGTATCCTGGGATCGCTTCCCAGATTTGAACAGGATGGTGATGGCATTCGCCACGGCTACGCTAGGAACGGAGGACGCCTTATACTGCTCGATGACTGAGAGAAGCCGTTTCTCGAAGAGAGAATCTGATTGAGCGCGCTCCACCAGAAACTCCAACACTTCCGGGTCCTCGATAAGGTTCTGCGTTGAGAAAGAGTCGCCGAAGGGGCGAGACTTGTTTTTGCTGGCTTTTCTTCTGGACCGATAACCATCCTTGCCTTGATGAGAACTGTTGCCGTTTCCAGAGGGACCATCCTTGCCATCAGAACCATCATTTCCTCCCATTGATGCGCTGTTGTCGCCGAGTAAGCCGTTGATATCAGCCGAGCCACCGTTACTTCCACTCGAGCCGCCGTTGCCACCAGAAGAGTCACTGCTGGCGTCTGTCGAGCCACTGCTGCTACCCATCGGTCCACCACTGCCACCACCATCTGATCCACCACTGTCACTGGTCGCGACAAAGTCTCCTCCGGACAAGCTGCCATCCCCGCCGTTGAAGTCGCCGTGATCAAAAAGATAATCGCCGCCATCGCTGAAGGAGTTTCCACCACCGCCATGAGGATCGCCCCTAACATCATCAGGAGCATCATCATCAGTCTCATCGGGATCGTAAAACACCAAGGAGCGAAAGTAATCGAATAGCGATTTGTGAATGAACCAATGACAAATTCCTGCTCGTGACAACAGGCTGGACTCACGCAGTAAAGTCGAGTCGATCTCCTGACCAAAGAACTCGACCTTCCAAGGCTCGTTATGCTTGCAGGAGAACCGGACAACAACATGACCTCTCTGGTGCTCACGCATAGCCTCTGCCAGCCTCTTTGAAAAGTCCTTGACGCACCATGCAAACCCGTCGTTCAAAAGACTTTCGAAAACAGACCGGTACTCCTGGCTGAGTGTGCTCCGTTGAAGGCGAGTAATGTTGATTCGGATCCACTTCTTGACAAAACCGTCATAGAGCTGCAGTCGAGTGGCCTTGTTTTTGGTGAGATCTTGAAGGTCAATCGACAACGACGGTAACACCCTCAAAGCAAGGGTCAATAGAAAGGGGTTCGAGACGAGGTCCATCAAGTTCGGAATGGCGCTGAGTTTCTCCCAGTAGTCATCGAAACTTGGAGCAGGCGGGTTGTCGGAAGGCTCTTGATCGGCAAAGCCGAGGACATATTGCTTGACGAATTCCTGGATGTCGCTCTTCTGGAATGGAACAATGGTCGCCTCCTGGAAGAGTTCGGAAGACTTGTCGTGGTATTTGTCGTCTCCAAGAGGGTAGAACCGGCATTGGTAATCCCGACCGAGATATGTGTTGCGGCAGCTGACGATCATCTTGACATCCAGTTGACCTAGTCGCTTGGTGTAGATGCTTGTAGAAAAGCGGGACTCGTCGTACCCATCGCAGACAAGCACAAATTGCCGTTGATGTAACAGCTCCTGAACATCTGCATCCGAAAAGCCGTGCTCCTGCAGCTGCGACTCAATCAAGTCATCACTTGGTCGATCAATGTCGCGCAGATCGACAAATATGGGGATCCTGCTGCCCTGCGTATAGTTGCTCCAGAGTGTTCGCACCAACTGCCTGCAAAAAGTCGATTTTCCTGATCCGGAATCTCCCAGCAGCAAGAAGACTCGTAGTTCAGATTCAAGGAATTCCAGTACCGTAGGCAGGAGCGGAAGAGCCGTTTTGTTGGACACCTGTGGGTTCGGGTTGGCTCGAAGAGGAACGTAGATGCGATCAGATTGACTCTCGGAAACCTTGTGTCGAATTTGGGCCAAGCGGTCTTCGACCTCAAGTACGCTCGGAGCTCGATCACGAAGAGCAGCTTCTGCGGAAAACCTTAAGGCATTTTCAACATTAACGAGTTGATCATTCGTCTGAGGCAGCACTGTCGGAGGTGGCGGCTCACTAGCAACGGGCGCTTCGATGATGGTCGCCTGTTGAGGGTGATCACATGTAGATCCAGATGCAAACGCCAGATCCCCCGTCTCGACCTCTGACTGACCATCGAGGAGTGCCTTCTCAGATGAGATCCGAACTAAGCGCCCATCTTTGTCTACTTGGCTCTCACATCTCGAACTTCTTGGGTGTAATTCCAGAGGGGATCGATGAGCTGCAGAAGATGCGATCTTAATTGACGACACCTCGGAGGAGACCACTGCCATTGTCTGAAGACCCCTATTACTTTAGACAAACATAGCGTTAATTGCCAGTCTGATGGTCAGCATGTAATATATGGCGAAGCCAAGGATATTTTACCTCGATGGTAAAGTGGCAGCCAGAATGTTCGTGTTGATTTTGTGCGAGCCAGGAGTAGGGACCGTAATGTGAATCTATGTGCGGACAAAATTATGTGAACTAGTAAGTTATCATGCGCAATGCCGACATCAATTTCAATTGCCGCGGTGCAGCGAGGACTTGCTTTGTACCTCTGTAGACTTCAAGGATAAGTAAGAAACGCGAGAAACCCGTTGATACACGTTCGCAATAGACAGGGGGGATTAGAAACACCGCAACAATACAACAACTTCCTAAAAAACATAACACGCTGCGACAATACAATCACATACAATGCTCTGTAGTCCAGTGCCGTCGTTGTCGTAGTCAAGTCAGCCCTTGCACGGTGACCAATGAGCAAGTGAATGGCAGGAAAGTTGATGTCTTGTGTTGAGATGAAATTGCGATGCAATGGAAGGTCGCGATGGATGCAGGCAGTGTGATGGTGGTGTGTGGTGTCGGAGCCGTTTCGTAGGAATGAGAGACGGAGGAGCTGAGAGGAGGAGAAAAGAAGAACAAAGAAGGATGGCAAGAGAGAAAGAGGAAAGGCGAAGGAAAAGGGGCGGAGGGTATGGCGGAGGGAAAAGGGCAGCGAAGAAAAGAAAAATCATGTGCCATGCCTTCAAAGTATCTACTTTTCCTATCATATTCAAAGTCTGGACATCTCTTTCCTCGTGTCATTTTGGCACACGTCATTTCTTCCTCCACCCCTTTTGCAGCCACCTTTTGTGTGTGTTATGTATGCCCAGCAAAAAGAAACTGTCCTATCTCCCTCCCCTTTCCTATCCCTCCCCTTCTTCCTATCCCCTCCCCCCAACATCCTCCTCCTGGGTGACCTTAACTACCAACACCATCGCCGTTGCACTCACCCTCCATTCCGAGAATGGATTAACACCCATCTCATCAACTGCATCACTCGTCCTTATACCACTCCCATCCCCACTTTTATTCACTCTGGAAATAAAAGCAGAACTACCATCGACTATATTATATCCTCTTTTTCTCTCTTCTCTCAGACTTCAACCCTGAACAGATATGTGAGAGTCCTTTTTCGGACCACGACATGTTGATGCTAACCTTGACTCCTAGCTTAGCGCCAAGGACGGGTCGTGGACTATGGCGTATGACCACACAGATCCTGGACAACGCTGAGTTCTTATCCGCACTGGACACACACCTCTCGACTCTGGAAATGCCTCAACCGTCCGAGACTCGACAACAATACTGGGACGGAGCCAAGGACAAGGTCAAACGTTTTTGCATCAAGCAATCAATCTCTACTCGTCGCGAACAACATACAACAATACGCGACCTCAACAACGTTCGCCAGGCCGTTCTCTTCGATCTATCTCAATCCTCCGGCACCACCAAAGCCTCTCTTGCCCAAGATTTAGACGAACTGGAACTCCCCCTCCAATAGCAAACGATAGAAGAGCTGGACCTTCATGCTCTTCAGTCGGGCACCACCTGGAGAGAGCAAGGGGAAGCTAACACTGGATACTTTTTCAGGGCGATTGCAGAACGCCGCAGTAAGCTCCTCGTCCCCGCGCTACACAACCCTACAGCAAAATCCTTGATCACAACGGCAGAGGAACTAGTACAAGTGTCAGCCGAATACTATGAGGAGTTGTACACCCCAGACCCTCGGACAGGAACGCCACTCAACAACTACAGGATTCCCTTCCTGCCACTTCCCTCCTCTCTCCCTCGGACAAAGAGACAATGACAGCCATGATAACAGAGACCGAACTTGAGGCTATTATAGCAAAGACCCCTTCTCAAGGGCTCCAGGACAAGATGGACTACCGTTTGAGCTATATCGCCACATCCTCATAATCCCCTGGACTCGCCATCTCCTTGTCAACATCCTTAACGACGCCTTACTGGAATAACCTTCCCCCAGTCCTGGCAACACACAGTCATGATCCTGCTTTACAAGAAAGGCGAAGCCTCACAACTGTCCAGTTGGCGTCCGCTGTCGCGACGCCAAGATGTTTACAAGGCTGATCACACTCCGACTCCAACCTTACATACGCACTCTAACGGGCCAGCACCAAACAGGATTTACGGCTGGTCGGCATATTGCCGACAATGGCATGGTCCTTAACAATCTTCGTGACTACTGCAGGAACAGGAAGCTGAAGCATGTTGGAGTTCTACTGGACCAGGAAAAGGCCTATGATAGAGTTCACCCAGAGTACCTGGAGATGGTGATGGAGAGATTTGGCTTCCCCCAACAAGTCATCAGGAGTATCTTGACCCTCTTTTTTTCACTCAAATACCTCTCAACATCAACGGCTATATCTCGGACCCGATCTCTCAGTCCAGAGGCCTCCGCCAGGGCGACGTGCTGTCCCCCTCCTCTTCAATCTAGCGTTTGAACCACTACTCGCCCATATCCAATCGTCACCTCTCATTCGAGGAATCAACATACCACAGCGCCCAGAGCCAGTCAAACTGTGAGCCTACGCTGACGACCTTATGACGGCACATCGCTTCAGTACAGGAATAGGAGGCATTGGACGGGGCTCTACGTTTATACGGGAACGCCTCAAACGCACGAGTCAACCTTAACAAAACGGTTGCCTTTCCAATGTCTACCTTCGCAGACCTGATCCTCAAGGCACACCTCACCTCTCTCCACCTACAATGGCACGGCAGCACAACAAACGAAGCACTCACCTACCTCGGCTTCCTAATATTTTTTTACAGAGAGCAGGCAACAACATTCTGGAACAAAATACTCGGCAAAGTCAAGACAGGGATCGACATGCATTCATCTCGTTCCCTTTCGGTCCTAGGACGCGCTACCATCGTCAACGCCCTTATCCTCTCCCGCCTTTGGTACCTCGCATGGGTGACCCCATTCCCCACTTCCTTCCTATCCAAAGTCAGAGAGGCCATCACACCATTTGTTTGCCCTTTCAAACCACAGCATCATGGAAAGTCATCACCACCCATCAGCACAACGGCGGCCTTGGGGTTCCGGCCAAGCAGCAACAGACCTTCCTCATCAAGCACCTTCGAAACGCCACAACTACGTCAGTACCCTAGGGGAAGGACATTGTACTGGATCTCATCCTCTGGAAGACGAAGTCCACCCACTACCTATCCTTTATGCTGAACCCCCAGGAGAACCAACTCCACCAACAACTTAAACAATTCCTCCACCTTCTTCAACTAGTCAAAGCGGCCAGCACACTTCCCCCGCTCAAGACAGCTGCCTCATAGGTATAAATACAGCAAACATCATCCTCTTCCTTCACAAACACACACAGTCCTCGGAGGAAATCTCTGACCGTATTTCCATAGAAATTAAGAAAGCGATAGCGCAAAACGATTACCTCTTCAAACTCACGGCTACAAGCCTCAAATAAAGTCATAGAAAAGCCAAAGAAAACAACTTTTCCTTTATTCTTTTTGATCCACTCATTTGATTGTTATTCAGACCAGCAAGGACCACTCGACCACCTTTCGACAGGTATTGTCATGAAGGCGTATCCTAGCCATGTGCCCGTCCCTTTCTCAGTCAGCATTGAAAGCAGGATCTCTCCGTCACCCCTGCGCATTGTCAACAATGAACACAATGCGCATTGGGTAGCACAAGGAAGCCTACCGCCGACCGGCTGGTCCATCTTAAACTTGACACTATTTGCGCCAACCCTGGTCTCATAGAGATCCACTTTCCGCACTGCCCTCGTTTACACCAGTTATCGATCCGCCCACCAGCATTGGAAACTGGCCGACCTATCGTCTAACGGCGGACTGCAGTGCACCTGTCAACTTATATTATGGAATAGCCGGTGTCCAGGGGCCCACTTTACTGTTAGCACTCCTTCCCTTTCTTCTCCCCCTCTACTTTTCATTTTTGTTTGTTTATTCTATCGATCTCACATATACGAACTCCTTGGTCCCTTCCTATTTCATCCTCACTGATATAGTCCTTGCTCAACAGTCCATTTATTTAGACTAGGTTCCCCTACAGATAGACTTGTTTACATCATCGCACCCTGGAGTTTCTCTTGATTGCGTCAGACAGCGCCTGAGCTCTGTCGTCTCCGATATAGTTGCCACTCAAGACCAAAGTGGTCAGAGTCGAGTTGATCTTGAGTGCCTCAGACAGCGCCTGAGCTCCATCCGGTCCGATCGAGTTGCGAGACAAGTCCAAAGTGGTCAGAGTCGAGTTGATCTTGAGTGCCTCAGACAGCGCCTGAGCTCCGTCGGGTCCAATCCAGTTGCCACTCAAGACCAAAGTGGTCAGAGTCGAGTTGATCTTGAGTGCCTCAGACAGCGCCTGAGCTCCGTCGGGTCCAATCCAGTTGCCCCTCAAGACCAAAGTGGTCAGAGTCGAGTTGATCTTGAGTGCCTCAGACAGCGCCTGAGCTCCGTCGCGTCCAATCAAGTTGCCACTCAGGTCCAACGTGGTCAGAGTCGAGTTGATCTTGAGTGCCTCAGACAGCGCCTGAGCTCCGTCGCATCCAATCGAGTTGCCACTCAGGTCCAACGTGGTCAGCGTCGAGTTGGTCTTGAGTGCCTCAAACAGCGTCTGAGCTCCGTCGCGTTCAATCGAGTTGTAGGTCAAGTTCAAAGTGGTCAGAGTCGAGTTGATCTTGAGTGCCTCAGACAGCGCCTGAGCTCCGTCGCGTCCAATCGAGTTGTCCCTCAGGTCCAACGTGGTCAGAGTCGAGTTGATCTTGAGTGCCTCAGACAGCGCCTGAGCTCCGTCGCGTCCAATCCAGTTGTCGGTCAAGTTCAAAGTGGTTAGAGTCGAGTTGGTCTTGAGTGCCTCAGACAGCGCCTGAGCTCCGTCGGATCCAATCGAGTTGTAGGACAAGTCCAAAGTGGTCAGCGTCGAGTTGGTCTTGAGTGCCACAAACAGCGCCTGAGCTCTCTCGGATGCACTCCAGTTGCTGGTCAAGTTCAAAGTGTTCGGAGTCGAGTTGGTCTTGAGTGCCTCAGACGGCGCCTGGGCTCCGTTGTCTCCGATCCTGTTGTTCCTCAAGTCCAAAGTGGTCAGCGTCGAGTTGGTATTGAGTGCCTCAAACAGCGCCTGAGCTCTCTCGGATGCACTCCAGTTGCTGATCAATTTTAAAGCGTTCAGAGTCGAGTTGGTCTTGCGTGCCTCAGACAGCGCCTGAGCTCCGTCACGTCCAATCGAGTTGCCGAACAAGTCCAAAGTGGTCAGAGTCGAGTTGGTCTTGAGTGCCTTAGACAGCACCTGAATATTACTCTCTGGAGACTGAACCGGCTCCGTGCTTCCCGTTGCTGTTGACATATAGTCGCTTGGAATAGGTACGCCCTCCAGAACGGTATCCTGGGATCGCTTCCCAGATTTGAACAGGATGGTGATGGCATTCGCCGCGGCTACGCTAGGAACGGAGAACGCCTTAGACTGCTCAATGACTGAGAGCAGCCGTTTTTCGAAGAGAGAATCTGATTGAGCGCGCTCCACCAGAAACTCCAACACTTCCGGGTCCTCGATAAGGTTCTGCGTTGAGAAAGAGTCGCCGAAGGGGCGAGACTTGTTTTTGCTGGCTTTTCTTCTGGACCGATAACCATCCTTGCCTTGATGAGAACTGTCGCCGTTTCCAGAGGGACCATCCTTGTTACCTGAACCATCAATTCCTCCCGTTGATGCGCTGTTGTCGCCGAGTGAGCCGCTGTTGATATCAGCCGAGCCACCGTTACTTCCACTCGAGCCGCCGTTGCCACCAGAAGAGTCACTGCTGGCACCCGTCGAGCCACTGCTGCTACCCATCGGTCCACCACTGCCACCACCATCTGATCCACCACTGTCAGTGGTCGCGACAAAGTCTCCTCCGGACAAGCTGCCATCCCCGCCGTTGAAGTCGCCGTGATCAAAAAGATAATCGCCGCCATCGCTGAAGGAGTTTCCACCACCGCCATGAGGATCGCCCCTAACATCATCAGGGTCATCATCATCAGTCTCATCGGGATCGTAAAACACCAAGGAGCGAAAGTAGTCGAATAGCGATTTGTGAATGAACCAATGACAAATTCCTGCTCGTGACAACAGGCTGGACTCACGCAGTAAAGTCGAGTCGATCTCCTGACCAAAGAACTCAACCTTCCAAGGCTCGTTATGCTTGCAGGAGAACCGGACGACAAGACGACCTCTCTGGTGTTCATGCATAGCCTCTGCCAGCCTCTTTGAAAAGTCCTTGACGCACCATGCAAACCCGTCGTTCAAAAGACTTTCGAAAACAGACCGGTACTCCTGGCTGAGTGTGCTCCGTTGAAGGCGAGTAATGTTGATTCGGATCCACTTCTTGACAAAACCGTCATAGAGCTGCAGTCGAGTGGCCTTGTTTTTGGTGAGATCTTGAAGGTCAATCGACAACGACGGTAACACCCTCAAAGCAAGGGTCAATAGAAAGGGGTTCGAGACGAGGTCCATCAAGTTCGGAATGGCGCTGAGTTTCTCCCAGTAGTCATCGAAACTTGGAGCAGGCGGGTTGTCGGAAGGCTCTTGATCGGCAAAGCCGAGGACATATTGCTTGACGAATTCCTGGATGTCGCTCTTCTGGAATGGAACAATGGTCGCCTCCTGGAAGAGTTCGGAAGACTTGTCGTGGTATTTGTCGTCTCCAAGAGGGTAGAACCGGCATTGGTAATCCCGACCGAGATATGTGTTGCGGCAGCTGACGATCATCTTGACATCCAGTTGACCTAGTCGCTTGGTGTAGATGCTTGTAGAAAAGCGGGACTCGTCGTACCCATCGCAGACAAGCACAAATTGCCGTTGATGTAACAGCTCCTGAACATCTGCATCCGAAAAGCCGTGCTCCTGCAGCTGCGACTCAATCAAGTCATCACTTGGTCGATCAATGTCGCGCAGATCGACAAATATGGGGATCCTGCTGCCCTGCGTATAGTTGCTCCAGAGTGTTCGCACCAACTGCCTGCAAAAAGTCGATTTTCCTGATCCGGAATCTCCCAGCAGCAAGAAGACTCGTAGTTCAGATTCAAGGAATTCCAGTACCGTAGGCAGGAGCGGAAGAGCCGTTTTGTTGGACACCTGTGGGTTCGGGTTGGCTCGAAGAGGAACGTAGATGCGATCAGATTGACTCTCGGAAACCTTGTGTCGAATTTGGGCCAAGCGGTCTTCGACCTCAAGTACGCTCGGAGCTCGATCACGAAGAGCAGCTTCTGCGGAAAACCTTAAGGCATTTTCAACATTAACGAGTTGATCATTCGTCTGAGGCAGCACTGTCGGAGGTGGCGGCTCACTAGCAACGGGCGCTTCGATGATGGTCGCCTGTTGAGGGTGATCACATGTAGATCCAGATGCAAACGCCAGATCCCCCGTCTCGACCTCTGACTGACCATCGAGGAGTGCCTTCTCAGATGAGATCCGAACTAAGCGCCCATCTTTGTCTACTTGGCTCTCACATCTCGAACTTCTTGGGTGTAATTCCAGAGGGGATCGATGAGCTGCAGAAGATGCGATCTTAATTGACGACACCTCGGAGGAGACCACTGCCATTGTCTGAAGACCCCTATTATTTTAGACAAACATAGCGTTAATTAACCGCCTAATGATCAGCATGCAATGTATGGCGAAGCCAAGGATATTTTACCTTGATGGTAAAGTGGCAGCCAGAATGTTCGTGTTGATTTTGTGCGAGCCACGAGTAGGCACCGTAATGTGAATCTATGTGCGGACAAAATTATGTGAACTAATAAGTTATCATGCGCAATGCCGACATCAATTTCAATTGCCGCGGTGCAGCGAGGACTGTACCTCTGTGGGCTTTAAGGATAAGTAAGAAACGCGAGAAACCTGTTGATACACGTTCGTAATAGATAGAGGGGATTAGAAACACCGCAACAATACAGCAGCTTCCTAAAAAACATAATACGCAACGACACGACAATCACATACAATGCTCTGTAGTCCAGTGCCGTCGTTGTCGTAGTCAAGTCAGCCCTTGCACGGTGACCAATGAGCAAGTGAAAGGCAGGAAAGTTGAGGTCTTGTGCTGAGATGAAATTGCGATGCAATGGAAGGTCGCGATGGATGCAGGCAGTGTGATGGTGATGTGTGGTGTCGGAGCCGTTTCTTAGGAATGAGAGAAGGAATCAGCTGAGAGGAGGACAAAAGAAGAGCAAAGAGATGGCGAGGGAGAAAGAGGAAAGGCAGAAAAGGGCGGAGGGTATGGCGAAAGGAAAAGGGCGGAGGGTATGGCGAAGGGAAAAGGGCTGTGAAAAAAAAGAAAAATCATGCGCCATGCATGGCCAAGCGATCTTTTCTCGGCTGTTCCTTTGCTGACACGAGCGCCTCATGCATATATTTGTTCCTCCATCCCTACTGAATTTCCCTCTAACCCCTACTATGTCTCCATCTCTCGCTGCAGCAACTCATACACAATGCAAGTTTGCTAATGGAGCATTCTCCTTCGCATGTGCTCTCACTTTTCTGCTCAACCGCGCACCACATGCAGGTAAGCCATTCCCACATGCAGGTAAGCCATTCCCACATGCAGGGAAGCCATTCCCACATGCAAGTGCTTCTAGGACGCGAAAAAACGCACAACAATGCCACACAAGGGCGACAGAGTGCCCGATGAGGCGCTGGCCACGTCGATGGGTGTAATCCGTGTTGAGGAATTCGCATTGTGGCCCGTCGGGGGAGCTGCTGTGATGTATTTCTTGTTCAACATCATGGCAACAAAGGGTGCTTCCGCTATTGACAAGGGGTGCCCCCCATCGGTGTCGTCGTTGAGGCGCGGTACCCGATAGATTTTCTTTTCAGGTTAAATCTGTTACCTTCTTGCTACCCTCTTCTGTCGCACACCTGCTTAATGTCACTTGCTCTCAACCAATTATGAAATCCTATCTAACTTGTCTTTCCTTATCTTGTGGGTCGGGCACTCATCGGCCCACGCCAGCTGCTAGAGTCGACAGCAGCTGCGGAAGTCCATTCCGAGGAGCACTCTGCCAGCACAGGCTGACGCCAACAGCTATCGTACCCGACGAAATCGGTCAATCTTCTCGGTCAGGTCTTTTACCGAGTTTCTCCTCTCCCCCCACCTGAAAATCGCGACCTCTCATAGGTCTCGCGACATCCCAAAGATATTGAACACTCCTTGCAGCACAGGGTCGATGGCATCGATCATGAGCTTGCTCTCGTCTTATCTGGGAGATGTGAGCGGTGCGGGAAGTACTTGTAATATCCTTGTGTGCTGGCGTTCAAGAAGCGTCTGACCTTGGATTTGAGGTGGATGCCGTAAACGACGTTTCGAAGATCTTAGAACGATGAATCGCCGTGGATCATCTGCTTCAGCTCCTCCAGCTCCGCAGAGATGCTAGGCAATGTAGGGGCGTCAGGCACCAAGAGATCATAAATACCATCGGAAAGCGACTTAACCAAAGACGGGCCAGCGGTAAAATCCATGATGAAGTCTTTACAAACATGTAACGAGTTTTGGTGTTTGTTCGCATACTGCTCAAAGGCGGCAATGATCCGATCATCCAAATCTACCCGTTGTTTTAACAGAGCGTAAGCTGCTATTCTCGTGTCCAAGGCGGGGCGGCTGTCCGGCACGACCATTGAAAAAGGGCTCCTGAATTTGTCACTTCCGTTTTCTCGTGGTCGCGATCCTGAATCGGGCGACCTCGCCACTCCTGGGGACTGAGTTCGGGGCATTTCATCCAGGGCACCTAATCAGTGCAACCAGCAACCAAACAGAGCGTTAACTTCGTATGCCCTACACACACGTACGCATTAGTCCAGTCCAGTGGCACCCACCGGCTGAGTTCCGTTTAGTCGCTCCTTTCATTTCACTCATCACCTGGCGCGCTTGCAGCCCTGTCTGGGCATTGGCTTGCTGCCGCATATTCATATTATGCTTGCGCTACACAGACGAGAACCCTTATTTCATTGCCGCAGGCCATACGATTAAATCCAAATCCATGGAGCGTTTTACAGTGTTTTTTTTTGACCCCATGGGTAGCAATAATAGCATCCACTTTTCCTCTGGGTCTTTAGGGCTCATCAAGGTTTCTTTGGAATCTTCCAAGGCATGCAACTTTATGGAGTTTATTAAGGGTTATTTTAGGGTCATTTAGAGGGTTTCTTGTGAGTATTGCCCACGAGATGGTATGGCTTCATTGCTCTGCAAGGGCATGCGGTAAAAAAATGAAGGGATCGAGATTAAATCGGGAGTGCTCCGTGGATGAGGAGTGAAGTGTTGATACCATTTTTTTTGTCCCGATATTTTTTTTCATGCAGGGAGACGGACGATAAACGCTGTTCACAAATCGAGCGTTGGGCCGATATTGAGTTCTTGGAAATTGAAGTTTTCATGACCAAGTGCGCCGTGCAATTTTGTATTGTGGGCGATAGAGAAAAAAATCGATTGAAGGGTGATAGGGCAGATGACAAAAAGAGGAAAAGAAAGAAGTGAAAGGGGAACCTCATCGAACAGCCATGGAAATATAAAGACGGCAAAGTAAATAGAAGGGTATTTTATTCGGCAGGTCAGTTGCGATGGTGTAATCCATCACAGTTCATCTCCTCGTGTTCACTGCGACAGCGTTACGTGACAAGAGGGACCCATGTCCATTGTTGCATATTGATGTTAAGTGATCTTGATACAGAGCGAGAAAATATAACGTGAGCAGGCACCATGGTCAAAGTCATCCTTTTTTCGAATGCGTCGCAGTTAATAAGGAACGCTATATGCTGTCGAGGGTCGCTTTCGCACCTTTTTCCAATTGAATTAGTTGTTATCAATAGTCTTTTTTCCCCTTCTCTGTCTGTGCATGGTCGCTCTTCAATTCAATACTCTTCCTTTAATTCATTCAAATGAGAGTGAAGGCAATCAAAACATAACAGTTCCCAATCATGTTATAAACAAACACCTCTTACTTTATTTGACCGTCACATTGTCATTACCTCCGCCCTTCATGCTTGACATCTGGTCTCAATCTCTGCATAAACACTCTCCTATGCCACCTCTCGCCATCATGCATCAACAATGGCAAATCCTCTAACTCATGCAGTCCTCGCATCACTCGTAACCGAGGCCACTTCCCTGCCATCCACCTCAGTTCCTCTTCATCGATCCTGTGATCCACACTCTCAAAACCAAACACCTCCAGCTTGGTCAATGACGACAACAAGTCCAACCCCGATGCAAGCGACAACTCCAACGTATCCGGGAATGGGTCGCCATAGTCCCTGTACGACTGTGCCCCACGTCGGATCATAGGGTTTCTCCATTGGTAATTGAGATTCCGATACTCCATACCCAGCTCAAAATCCGTAAGATGGACCAGCTTGGCGAGCTGACCATAGATCGTTTGATGTTGCTCCCGTACTTCCTCGTACTTTTCCAAAGCCCTCATCTCCGCCTCGGAAAGTACTCTGTTAAGCCTCCGAAAGAGCAATCCTTGCCTGTAGTCGATTTCCTCCTCCTCCGTCAGCCGAGTCACCCCAATGATCTGCAATCGTAGCACCACCAGCCTCTCACAGATCCATGGATTCAACACCATGCTCCTAGCCTCAACCTCATACCGAACACCATCAATCTCGGTCATATTCACACTGTTGCAGAGCACTATCCCGAGACTGTTGGTGACTCCTGCATCCCGGTAGCGTCGACAGATAGTGCCTGTTCCAGCGATATGCTGGAACGATTGCAGCTGGGGACAATTGGACGCAAGGGCGAGAGCTGTATTGGAGTCCAAGTAAGTGACACCGATCTGGATCAAGTCTGAAACCCACGGCAAAATCTCGGCCAGCATACGATGTTCGTTCTTCTCTAGGCCATAGTTGCGTCTAGTAAAGTGCAACCGTTGGAGTCGACTGGGTGCAAACTTGATCTCGGATCGTGGGAGTCCATCTTCGCGCATGTAATCCTTGTAGAGAGATCCTGTGGCGAGGTCCTGCAAATTGGGTAGATTTGTCAAGAGTGAGAAAAAGACAGCCTTTGTAATCCCGCTCCGAATCCGCAATGTGACAAGATGTGGCATGGGTGAGGTCAACAGAAGAGTAGTGCTGAGAGGGGCCTCATGGAGGTACGTGTAGTACCGCAGCTGAGGCATTCGCTCCAACAAGGCTTGCATCGGCACCTCGGAGCAACTGATCAACAGCTTCGTCAAGTGGCGGCAGAATCCCAAGACGTCAAGCAAACTGTCATGCTTGACCATGGCTACAAAGTCCCACAGTTCCAACTCCTGGAGTGTTTCTGCGTTTTATTGAACTAGTCTCCAGAGCCAATGACTGCCAATCCAAATACGGTCCAGTGTGGCGGATGGACGTTCTAGTGCGGTCGACAGCTCTGAGGGGTGCCAGGGGATCGGGTTGTCTGACTCTGTAAATGGGTAAGCCAAGAAGATCACCTGCGATGCCAGCGATGTGAGTCTGGTGCAAGTCTGAGCGGCTGCGTCACTGAACAGGTACCGTGTGGTGCAGAGACGTCGGACAAGATGCCCATATTTAGTGAATGCCTCCAAGATCCAGTCGGGGTCTTTCCTTAGTCTTATTGTTGTTGTTTCTGTTGCGTCGTTTTGTTCGTGTAGCGGATCGAGGATCTCTGGCCAGGCGTAGAGGCTGTCGTCAAGAGTGTTGTAGAGGTGTGGGATGAAGAGAGTGTTCCAGGCACGGCATACGAGGATGCAGCGAAGGAGATCTGGTGGTGTAAGATAGGTCCCGATAATGTCAACTGCCTCTGACATGAACAGGATATTGGTCGGCTGACGAGGAAAATGCGTTCTTGACATGGTCGTGAATTGGTCTTGGGGTCGGTAAGAAAGAAAGAAATGCGGATGGTGGCTATTAAAGACCTTTGCGCAAAAAAAGGGCCGCAGTAAATCGTCACGTGTGGCATCCAAGGTGTTTTTCTATCAAAACAATGAGCCATGGTGCTGCAGAAAGTCTGTCAATAATGCTTTCTGACCGTGTTCTCGCACAATTGAATGTTATCATGTATTGTAGAATCAGTAATATCACGAGTAGCGACTTTTTAACAATGTCAGTGTCCAAAGCCACAGTTCTCCACAGCCACATTCTCTCTTGTTTACGGCTTGCTTTTATTTTCTCATTCCTCCCATCACTCTCCTTTTTTTCCCCCTTGGAACTCTGTTTAATTTTATTCCATTGCTGTCCTTATCACAAGCATGCAAAGGTAACCAACCATAAAAGACGTGCCTCCGACCTACATCCTTGACTTGACATGTCATCGTCTCGATCATATCTTACTGCCTGCAACTTTTGATTCTGTTGACAGCAAGAGTCGCAGCAAGAGAAGGTGCAGTTTAGTGGCTGTGATGATGATATCCTTTTCTTGTTGAAAGGCTGACAATGCACGAGGAAGAAAAACGGTGGGATGAAGATCATTGTGCAACTCGATCATACGAGTACAAGAAGTGAGCGACATTCAGAACGTAAATGGATTTTGCCCAATGCTGTACTCCATGAAAGCAGGCGGCATTTCTAGAGCTGTTTTGTGCTACAGCACAATGTCCTGCGAACTGTTCCGTCCTGCCTACCCCTCAAGTAATCAAGTATGTGGCTACTCCCTTACTCCACTTCTTTCCACTTATTCAATTGATGATAGCACTTAACGAATAACCGAGGGCGACTGCGCAGATTGCAACGAGTAAACGTAATAAACATCTTCAACGAGAGCCACACAATGATGACTATGAGAGGGAGGAGTGCTGCCTCAGTAAAGAATAATATGTTCATGCTAATGTTGATTCCGACCACATGGACCCTCCATGTCCTGCATTGTGAAAAAAAGGAAAGAGAGCTAAGTGGCTAGAAAGTCATTGCTCACGTTACAAAGGCGGCATGCAAAGGAGTGAGACCAACAAAGACTCTCGAGCCAGTCAAAGGTCTTGCAGGAACCGCCGGCTCTTTTAGTCTTCTTTTTGGTGGCGTCATAGATGGACCGTGTTCTGGGCACACGAAAAAATTTTCGGGGTTCAAAAATGAACGACCTCCCTATTCTTTTTCTGTCCTTTGACCTTGTCCCTTCCCTCATACACACACACACACACAAGCACACGCACACTCGCACTCACACGTTTTTCACACACTACCATCCATCAGCTTTCTACAAACTACATCTCTTTCATAACTTACTTCGCCTTGTAAATATCATCCCTCATCCTACTCATTACTTATTCCAGGTCTTGGTTGCCAGGAACGAAACGAGCGACGTTAACAAAGGTACACAAGCCCACAATATCAAGCAACTCTTGTACCTAGCGTTCTTCATTCAGTCTTCTCTCTGACATCCCCCCCCCCTTCCTCCCTCCCTCCCTGATGGTATCTAGGCCAACAGAAGAATAACCATACCCTTCGACAACACCGACAAGTCTACCATTCAAGCACCCTCATCGATCAATTTTGGTAAGGGGACAGAATAACATGCATTGAAAATAAAGCACATAGCTTCATCGTAGCACATAACTCTGACCAAACCCCTCCTCCATTCAAACAGATCCACCCACTACCACTCACACCCAACACATACCTTCCACTACCAACAACAAACCATCGGCAAAAAAACAACAAAAAAAATGGTTTACGCAACACGCAGTAGAGCCATCACCCGAAAACGTTCAACATCCCCATCGGCACGAGCTATGGGCTCTCCCAAACCCGCTCCCAAAAGGAAGCGCCCCTCCTCTTCCTCTTCCAATCCACTCACTCGACGTCGTCATTCTATCACCAAGGATGCCACTACCCGCACCAAGGACGCCACCACTCGCACCAAGAAGATTGTGACGAAGAAGGCTGGAGAGGAGGAAGAGGAGAAGGGAGTGAAAGTGGCGGTGGATGGAGGGGTGCTTATGAGTATCGACACCCAAGATGAGCATGGTGGGCATGTCCGCGATGGGAAGGAGCATCATCTTTTGGAGCAAGATGGGCGTAATCGCCATCATATCTTTTTCGAGAACTTTGAGAAGATGGAGAGGACTGGTGGTCCTGGAGAGGCGATGGATGTGGATGTGGATGTCAATAGTGATATATACACCCTGCGCGATGGGCACCAAGTCCATCACGGTGTTCCCGATGACACCGCGTCTGGCCATGATGATGCGGCACCTGCTGCACCTACAGCTCAGCCCCGTGAGCATCGCCAGCGCCGTGCTTCGACCACAAAGTCCTCCTCCTCCCCCCCCTCGTCGGCTCAAACCAAGTTGAACACCGGTCCGGCACCATTGGTGATCCACGTCGAACACACCCGTCGCAAGCACTCCTTAGATGGTCTCGATCACCATCTCATTGAAGCCGATGGTCGTGATCACCACCATATCCGATACGGCGATTATGAGTCTACATCTAACCAGCATGGTTCTGGCTCTGGTACCCGCCATGAGACGTCGTCGCACAAGGTCGCCAAGAAGTCTGTTCACGGTACTGCTCACCATGCTACTGGCGGTGAGGCCCCGCTTCACAAGGAGACGAAACACTCTCACACACCCATGCACCAAATCGGGTCTGTGGTCGTCACAGATGATGGGCTTGGACACCAGGCAACCACTCGCCACTTTGAAGGCTCCGACACCACAACCATTACCACAACCACAACCACAGCTTCCTCGTCCCACGAGCAGAATCAGGACGAGGAGCAACACAACCGTCTTCGAACCCGCGACGCGGCAGCTGTACGCCTCGTCACCCAAAAGACTCAACTTGACCGGTCCAAAGCCCGCGACGCCATTTTATCCCTCGACAGTGATGTCGTTCAGTTGCAGAAGCTTCTTCAGGAGAATGAAGATGCTTTGAGGGCTGCCGAGAACCAAACCCTCACCGTCCGAGAGTCGACTACCGTCCGAACAGAGACGCTTACCAGAGAAGTCCATGACCTCCAGACCACTATCCGCGAATTGAGGACCCACCTCGCAGCGAAGGAGATGGAGCTGAAGACGGTTAAGAAGAGTGATCAGAAGGAGATCAGGGATAAGGAGAAGCAGTCTGCTAAGGTGGCGAAGGATCTTGCGGCGGCCACCCACCAGAGGGATCTATTGGCGGCCCAGGTTCGAACCATGTCTGATTCCATCAAGACCCGCGAAGCCGAGCTGAAGACCGTCCAGAGTTCGTTGAAGGGGTTGGAGAAGTCGAATACCGCTCAGTCCAAACAGAGCAAGAAGTTGTCGCATCAGTTGGAGGTTTTGAGGGAGGGGATGCAAAAGAAGGAGACGGAGCTTCGGGAGTGTCGAACTCAGATCCAACAACTTGAGGGGGAGCATGCCAAGGTCCTCGCCCTTTCTGCCCATCTCAAGGCCTTGCGGACAAAGTTGTCGGATCGTGAGGGAGCACTGAAGGGGTTGGAGAAGGAGAACAAGTCGCTTGCCAAGGATCACGAAAAGGCCTTATCGCTGACCGAAGAAGTTACCTCGCTAACACAAGAGATCCATGAGTCCGAGGATATGCTCCGCCGTGCCCAACTCGCCGTCGACGACCTTGTCGGCTTTCGTGATCGTGCCGCGACGCTCGAAGTAGAGGTCCACGACCTTCGCGATCAAGTCAACATCCACGAGAAGCACGAGACGGATCTGGAGGACGCGCTGATGAGACACGAGAACTGTGCGATGGAATCCCAGCAGTTGCAGGGGGCTGTGAATGAACTCCAAGCGAGGTTGAACTCCAAGCAGTCGGAGATCCGGGCCCTGCAGGGTGAGAACTCGACGATGCATACGAGGGATGAAGCGAAGATTGAGCAGTTGCAGGGGGAGGTTTCTGCACTCCAGGCCGAGATGAGCGCACATGATGCCGCGGCGGAGAAGTTGAAGGAGAAGAGTGAGAAGGATCTGGCAAAGATCAACTCGAGTGCGGGGACACTCCGGATGGAAGTCCATGCTCTCCGGCAGCAGCTCAAGGACAAAACCAAGGAACTCAAACAACACGACAAGTCCCATGCCCGAGACCAGGCCCAGAACTCTGCCCTTACCTCCGAGATTCATAAACTGGAACTCCTGATCGAGACCAAGGACCATCATATGCAAGAATTGGACAAGGTGATCGCCACCATGTCCAAGCAGGCCGAGGTCGTTGACCGACTTGAAGGTGAAGTCCTGACGCTCCAGCGGGATTCCCAGGAGGCTGCTGACAAGTCGGCCAAAAGCCTTTCTGCAATGGCCTCGGCAGCCTCCAAGGCCTCCCAGCAGATCGACGATCTCAAAGCCCAACTAGCGATCAAGGAGACGGAACTCAAGGCCGCCGATGAGGTCGCTCAGACACTCGAATCCAAATTTCAAGAAATCAAATCCCTCCTCGCGAAGATGACCGCTCTTGAAACCAGTTCCTCATCCCACCTCACCCGCGCCCAGAAAGCCGAAGAGTCCGGCAAGTCTCTCAAATCCGAGATCAAGGCTCTCGAAGCCCGCCTACTCGGTCTCCAGAACGACCTATCCACCAAAGAGAATGCGCTGAAGGATGCGGTGAGCAGGGCAGAGAAGGATCACGAAGAAGGTGTGCATCGCATTGAGGACCTGAGAGGGGTAGTGGAGGTGTTGAGGAACCAATTCGAGGATGCTGAGAAGAAGGCGAAGGCGCAGATCCGGGCCAAGGAGGGTGATATTGCTGCGTTGAAGAAGCAGCTCTCTTCCCTTGAGAAGCATGAACTCGCCAAGGTAACCTACTTTTTTTTCCTTTTAGGGGTTTGTTTTGGTTCGCAACATTGTCACGCATCTGAAAATACATCGTCCTCTTTTCATTCTTGGGCTACTTATTCTATAGGTCGACGAACTGCAGAGGGAAATCGAAAAAGAAACCGCCCTCCTCCACCAAAAAGAATCCCAAGTCCACGCCCTCCTAAAAACAAGCACAGAACAGACCCACGAAATCGGCCGCCTCAACACCCTCGTCTCTGAGACCCGTTCAGAACTCCTCACCGACCGCCAACGACGCGCCTCGGAGATTGAAGAATCTGACATTGCCAAGGTGGTCCTCGAGAGCCAGATCTCTGATATGAAGGAGGTTAATACTCTTTTGGAGGAGAAGGTCTTTGTTGAGCACCAGCATGAGGTGGAGTTGGAGGGGAAGGTGAAGGAGTTGCTGGCTTGGAAGCAAATTGCGACTGCACAGCTTAAGGACCGAGAAGCGACTATGGCCAAGTTACGGGGCGAGAAGGATCACCTGACAGAACAAGTTTCCGGATTCGAGCGCCAGGTGCTTGACCTCCAACTGCAACTCCAACAAGTCACCACCGCCCACACCACCGCCACCCAACAATGCGACAAGTTGACGCATACGATTTCCAAGCTCGAGAGGGAAGTGAACCTAATGAAGGGGGTTGTTGTACAGCACGACAAGGATGAAGCCAATGCTCAGGCGCATCTCGTGAACCTCCAGGGACACGCTCAGAGTCTGGAGAATGCGAAGATTATGATGGAGAGGGATTTGGAAAGGAAGGATGGGGTGATTGAGGAGTTGGAGGAGATGGTGAAGAGTAAGGCCGAGGGGGCCAAGATGATTGCGGCGGGGGCCAAGAAGGATATGGCGGAGGAGGAGAAGGTTATCCAAGGGTTGCATGCTCGTATCATGGACCTCGACCGGTAGGCATCTTTATGTTTTTTTTCCCTTCATTTCTGCAAAGTTGACATTATTCCTGTCTCGTTTTTCGCTTACTATTCCCCCCCCCCCCCCCCCCCCCCCCCCCGGGGATTATTCTCAATTTTCTTTTTCTTAGGACAACAACGACATTGCAATCAACACTCGAAAAATCCGAAGCCGCCCACGCCAAAACCCAACACGCCTTGGAAACCTCCCAAGCCAACCTCGCAGCCTGCACCTCCCAAATCTCCACCCTCACCACCCAAGCCCACGAATCCTCCCAACTCATAACAACCCTCCGCCGACAGACTCTGTCTCTCCAGCAAGAAATCTCAACTATCGAGACAAAGATCCAGAGCGAGATGACGACGACAAAGGAGCTGACCGAGATGCTGGCGCAGTTACGGAAGTCGATGACAAGCGATTCGGAGATGGAGTTGAAAAAGTTGGATCAGTTGGAGACGGAGCTCAAGAACCGAGCTGGATCGGTCGAAGACACAGTCACGACCATCAGGTCGAGGATGGATAGTGGTGCATTTTTGGAGCATGCTGAGAGTACAACTACTGCTACCGCTGCCAATGCTTCCTCATCAGCGGACGCTATCACTGGTACTTCTGCCACTACCACTGCCCACTAATTTAGTAACATACGATATGTTCATTGTTTCGAATACACAAGTAACTTGAAATGATAGTATGCGTGCGTGGGTATCAATAATTGTTTTTTGTGTGTGCTGAATGTATCTGTGTTTTTGTGTTGACAAATGTCACTATCTAGATATTTCAGTCATGCAAGCCTCACTCTCCTCCCCTTCTCCAAACAGCCACCTCCGTCCCCCCTCCAAACAGAAACAAAACCAAGTCTAGCGCAACTTCATATCAGGCCGCTTCTCCTTCAACCACCGGATATGCTCCATCCCCTCTTGGGACCCCGCATCCCTCACAAACTGGTACGGTTCAAACGTCGACTCGCGGGGGACATATCCATAGAACAGATACCACCGTGGCCAAGTCTCGTACATCCACTGAATCTCATCCTGCCCGACCTTGTGCTGCAGCATGAGACTCAGGTCCAGCTCTGCCAGTCGTGTCATCGTCTTAAGGTGACCCAGTCCCGAGGCCAATGTGAAATCCAACGCTGCTGTCTCTGTGCTGTTTTCGGATGTGGATGTAGATGAAGTCGTCGTCGTTGTTGTTATTGGCTCTGCCGTATCGGTAGTTGTTGTTGTTGCTGCGGTGGTGGTGGTGGTGGCAGAGGAGGTAACCGGAACCCAGCCGAGGGTGAGAGAGTACAGCTGGGTAAGAGACCCCAGTTGCTTGTAGACCTGCTCGACCATGGCAGCGCGGTCGACAACAGCCTTGGTTATTACTGGTGGAACAACAACCTTGGCTACTGGTAGCACCTCCTCCTGGATCTTCAAGTTCTTGATCGCCTGCTCCAGATCCTTAGTGTCCTCATCCTTGCACTCTTGCTTCTCTTTACTCTCCTCCGCACTGGTTGTACTGATGGTAGCTGTGGAGGCGCTGAGGGTGCTGCTGTCGGCACTGGTCGACGCTGTGCTGGTGGTGTCACTACTCGTGGTTGCTGTAACGATAGTCGCATCCTCGCTAGTGGTGGCAGTAATGGTCGTATCGCCACTGGTGGTAGCAACATTCGAAAAGTCGTTGCTGCTGCTGGCACTGCTGTCAGATTCGTCCGCTGAGACCTCTCCTTCCTCAGTAGCAACAATGTCGTCTTGGTCTCCAAAATCAGATCCAATGACCAGCTCCAACTCTCGCAACTTGAGCGCCGTCCAGGGTGCACTGACCAAATCCTTGATTTCCAGACGAGGGCTCTTGTGAGAAATGTTGTCGACTCGGATCTGGAACACCTGCAGAGCCTTGCAGGAGGTCAGAATAGTCTGGATATCAACACTCTGGATGCGTGTGTCATAATCAAGGACTAAACGCTGTAGAGAATCTGCATGTTGGGCTATGGCGATGGCGGAGCTGGCCTGGAGGTGCGGGATATGGTGCAACGTCAATTGTTCCAGTCGCGCGGCGGAGCTGATAAGTCCTGCAACATACTCGTCCGAAAAGTTGGTAGGCCCAATCTCGAGGTTGCGGAGCTTTGGGCAGTATTTCCTGATGGTCGTTGCTAGGACGTCTGATGGCTCCTCTAGGACCATAGGCACAATGAGGGTTTCGAGGTTGGAGCAGCGAGCAATAAAGGGGATCAAGAGGGGCTTGTCGTCGTCGCGAAAGTCGCCTTGGAACCAGAGCGTCTTGATGAAGGGCATGGGGTTGCGAGTCGAGATTTCGATTTCCTTTTGGAGGTTGAGGAGACGTTCGAGTGATGGGTTGGGTGGTTCAACGACGGCTGCGGCTGCAACGGCTGCTGCGGCGGTTGCCTCGGCTGCTGCTGCTGCGACACCATTGGGATTGGCTTCTGCGTCGGCATCGTCGTTGTTGGCCGCTGCATTGTCGTTATTGTTGTTATTGTTGTTGGTGTTGGGTGCTTCTTCCTTGGCAGGTGGGGACGGGATAGAGAGAGTCAACTCCTGAAGGTTAATTGGGCAGGAGGCGAGAATGAGTTGAAGGTTGGCGATGGAGATGGTGCACTCCTTGGCGCAAATAAGGGTGAAATAGGCGAGGTGTTCCAGACTTGTCAACGCAACAGCAAGTCCTGAACCAAGATCGCCCTCCGAGAACTGCAAGCCCTCAAGTCGCAGTCGGGTGAGCTTAGGGTTGAGGTCAAGGATCTTGAGTATAGCGTCCGATTCCTGGTCCTTGTTTTCGACCGAGTAACGGTCAGTGACGGCACAAAAGTCAGTGAGGTTATGACAGTGCTCCGCAATCTTGGAAGGGTTGGCGCTGTCGTCGGTGAGGAGGGCCTTGATTTTGTCGCCTTGGGTGGAGAAGGCGGCACGGAGGGGCCGTGGGAAGGAGTGATTCTTGATCATAGCCGGGTGAGTGAGTTCGACGGTCGACCAGATGTAGGGCTCGAACTGGTCGTGCCACTGTTTGGAGACCAGTGTGCAGGCATAGACATCCTCTGCCCGAAGGTACTGTCGCAGGAAGGAAATGAGCAGGTCATTCCTGAAGAAGCTCTCCAAGACAGACATTGTTGTTGCGGTTGTTGCTGAGATGTCTTGGCGGATGTATAGTTAGGTGGATGTTGATGGCAATGCAGTCTGCACGTTTTGTGTTCCTGTTGTCGTTACTGACGTTGATGTTGTCGTAGGGTCCTGTTGTCCCTTGTTTGTCCTGCTGGTGGGTGCTCTTGCGTGGGCTTGTGCTCTCTCGCTGTCTGTCTGACTGTGTTTGAGTGCACTCGTTGTCTTGACTCGAGTGCGAAATAGAGTTGTGCGGTGGGTGCGGTCGGAGAGAGTAAAAAAAAGTAGCGTAAGCAGTCAAAAGTCAGGCGGACTGTTGCAGGAATATAAGAGAGGAGGGAAGTAGAAGGGATGAGTGTGAATGAGATGAGTGAGAGTATGAGTGGGCGGATAGAAAGTAGAACGAGAATAGAAGGAGGGGGTGAGGCGAGGGGAAGGGGGTGTTAAAAGAAGAAGAGAGTGGAAAGGGGGAGGAAAGAGAGGATGGGGAGGGGAAGAAGAAAAGGGAAGTCTGGAGAAGAAAGGGGCACACGCACAAGAGGGAATACAAAAGCGGAAAATAACATATGTAACCGCAACCGCAGCCAAGGCAAGAAGGGTCGAGAAGGGACGCAAAGGGTAAACCACCCTTGAAAAGACACTATATGAACAACACCGCACTCAAAGACTCATAGAAAGGAGAAGGATGTCGCTGCGCCATCGTTGCTGTCAACTCGGGGTATTTATGAGCATGCCATTCAATTGACAGCCACCTTTCCCTATCTCTACTTCTCCCTTCACTTCAACCGAGGGAACTCACATCTCACACCAAGCCAACATGTGGCAGTGATATGGTCCCCTTCCCCCTTCTTAAATCTCACACCACTCACACACCTTGTCCAATCCAGGGTCCCCTGCTCATTCATTCGCAGTCACGAAGTAAGTGCATGAACACACATATAGCCTTTGGTGTACGCCACCGACACTCACATCGTCTAATCCCTTCCCATTCTCCCTCCTTGCACACTAAGCCCAGCATACAAAGCAGCACACTTTCGACCATGACCTCATATATTATGACCACACATAGTTTTCGAACCCTCTCGATCAAATACAAACAACAGGGATATTGCCGCAGAGAGGGATCAATCGATACATTGACTCTTGGCTCTTGGAAGGTGGCAGTGAGAGAGTGTCGACCCCCTCCCCTTTGGTGCTCCAGTCGACACAAGAATTTCAATCTCCCTTTTACCTTTTACGCATTTGCCACTACTTCGTTCTCTACACAGACCTGCAGACACACAGACATGCAGACACACAGACATGAAGCGTGCAAACACAAAATAATAGAGAGAGATAGAAAGACACCTGTATTGCTAATCTTGTTGTGAACAATCTTTACTCACGTCGCTTGTTTAACAACATCCCTCCCAACAAGCATCTTCTCCAACAAAGGCCACTTCTCCAACACCCACTCCTTCTCAATATCCCCAAATGAATGCTCAAATCCCGACAACGCCACATCTCTCAACGCCTTCATTCCCTCCCACTCGTCCAATCCATTCTCTAACGACAAATCTGTGAATCCTGGACGACCAGTACTGTTGTAATTTGAATCATGGTCGTTGAAGAGGTGGAGCTCTGTGAGCTGGTGGAGGCGACCGATTTGGCGCATGACGAGGCGTTGTTGAGCAGGAGTCAGGGGTGCAGTTGGGGTGCGTATTGCGAGCCAGAGAGTTCGGAGTGTTGACTCGCATGCCCATGGTCTTTGGGGTAGTGGGGGAGGTAATAAGAGTTGCTGAGGGTCGATCCCAAAGATTCCCTCACGATCTGGGAAGACTTTGAATGTGTTGAGGTTGGGGGACTGGAGGAGGATTCGGTACTGGGTGTCTGCGTCCATGATGTTCCCGTCGATGACGATGACTTTTTCGAGTGTCGGTGTGTGTGCCAAGAGGATTTCGGTGCTCAAAGGTCCCATTGCTGGTAGGGCTGTCGCTTCAAACACTTTCCATCTTGCTCGTCTCTCTGTTTGTTGTTCCTGCAAAGAGAGAGATTCGATCAAGGGGGTGAAATTTGTGTCGTTTGTGTCACCTCCGGCAGAAGAAGTGTCGTTTGTCTTGCTGTGGTCGCAGGCAGAAAGAAACTGCGCCAAGTACGAATCCGTGATACATCGTCCCGCCTCTCTCAAATGCAACTCCTCCAGCTTCGGACAATCCCGCTGCAAGATCTCGACAATCCTGCCAACATTCCAGTTCATCATGTTCCCTGACACCGAAAACGACCTCAAATCATGACACTTGCTGAGGAACGATGACCAGACAGATGGGTCGGTGTTCATTGCTGATGCGCGGAACGACAGAGACTTGATCGCTCGGAGACGTAAGGGTTTGGGTAAAGGTGGTGGTGGCGTCCTTGATGGTGACGTTGCTTGAGGTGGTGACTGAGCAGTGTTGTTGTTGTTGATGTTGTGAGAGAGGTTTCCTTTAAGGGAGCAGTCGATGGATAGGGTCTCTACGGACAGAGGGACATTTTCGAGCAACGTACAAAAGTCCTCCAGTGGCAACAGACCAGGAGATCCTGCAAACATGGTCAGCGTCTTGAGATGCTCCAGTTTCCCGATCAATTGAACAAGTCCCGACTCCGAGTCCTCTTCACACCATCCATACAGATGCAACGATCGCAGTTCTGGACTGAATTCGATAAGACGCAGAACAAGACTCTCATCCAAAATGTAATCCCGTCGCAACTCTCTCAGTTCCGTACACTTGTCGTTCTCCTCTGACGTCTGCAAAGAATCCGTAATGTCCATCGAATCGGCAAAGAGTTGGTTACCGAGGGCCTTGAGAGAGGTAGGATAAGGACCGGAGAAGGACCGAATAAACCGACGGTAGCGATGAATAGCTATGTGTGCTGCTGCTTGTGAGAATGCAACATCCTGAAGTGGGGAGGAGATCGTGATCTTGGACCAGAGCACTGGGGCGAATCCTTCATGCCATGATTTGGAGACACGGACACAGTTGACGAGGTCTGTCTGGGAGAGACGGCCGCTGAGGAGGTCTCGTAGCTCTGGGATCTTGAGCAGTGCTGTTGATGACATCCTGTCTGCTTTGTTTTCCTGTGAAAGGGTGTGAGTGGGAGGAATTATGGGTGTGAGTGATGTTGTTGAAGGTAAAGAAAAAGTGAGGGAAAAATAAAACGAGAGCGCAATTTAAGCAAGCGCAGGATGGATCTGTGGGAGTAGGCTGTTGAGTGGGGGCGTTCGTTTTGTTGTTTGTTGTGTCATTGAACAAGGGCTGTTGCATTGGCCAAAGAGGGAATATATCTTTGCTCTGTCGTGTGCCAAGATGACAGAGGAGGAGCAGCAGATACGTAATTAGGACTGAGGGCGAACGCGTACTGCTGGCGACCTGAGAACTGGCTGGTCCACTTTTTCTTTTTTTCCTGAAAAGGAGTACACACGTGACGTCTAGGAACACTAGCCTTGTGCAAGGGACCCGCGATTCTTATCTCACCACTCAATCAACCGCGCATGACAAAATGCGCCTACACCCCTTTTTGCGTTTTCCCTATGAAAAGTTTCAATGGGCACATAATAAAAAGTAGACGTAACGGTGACAGAGTAACACGGACTCCATTTGCAAAGGGAGTAAATCTAGGGGATATCGGTCTCTCTTTTTTTGTCCATGTTGATGCATGAATGGTCGCAAAGCCGCATTTCACTTTTTGTTTTTTATTTTCACGTCCAACACACGAACATTATCACACACACCGCTCCGTCCCTTTTCCCATACATCCTTCTCTTCGCTTATCCATTGCCATTCTCACTTCCTCCACCACCACTATCGTCTCTACCACCATCAGAGATGCAACTCTCTCCGGATAACCGCTCAAACAACCCCCTCGACCTCACCAAGATCCGAGTCCGGGTTTCCTCCTTCCTCGGCCGCGAGGATCACCTCTCTTGCATTCGTGTCTGCCGAGATTGGTTCCACGACTTTGCACCGCTAGCTTGGCATACCGTCGATTTTGACAAGGAAGCCGCTGCCTTTAAAAAAGTCCCCCCTGAGGTTCTCAACAAGTATGGCGGCTTCGTCTCTCAGACCCTCAACATCTCAACATTGAGTCACATCCAAGCCCTCCAGCATGTTAAAGTGAACTCTATCGTGGCCATGAAAATCCATTTCAACGGGAACTGTCTCTATCGGTCCATGCTGTCAGACCTCCTCCGGCGCTCCCACGGATCCATCACGTCTTTAACTTTCTGGTGCCACCCGCCAGAACCCAACACGTTTGAAAAGCAGAGGAGCGGAGCCTATCATTACATCCATGTCAATGACATATTCGCCCCTTTTCCTTCCTCGACGGACCCCAGATCGAATGCAAGCCTAGGAACTCGATTGAAGTCGCTGTCGCTGACGCACATCTGCCTCACGCGCGAAGGCTTCTCTTCGATACTGCAATACTCTCCGTTGCTGGATGAGTTGACCCTTGATAGAGTCATGGTCATGTACCACAAGCCTGGCATTCCCCTCTACACAGGATCCGCACTGAGATACCTCTCTGCAGACTTTGCTCAAGTCTGGTGCAACGATAGCTTGGATCCCTCAGCGCCCTGCCTGCTCCTCCACTTTCCGCTCCTCGAAAAATGGCATCTAACCTCACTGGCCCAACCCAACAATCGAACAATCGATCTCAAGAACCTGGACTTTTCTTCATGGTGCCCTTTGCTCCAGACTGTCACCTTTGGATCCGACGACACCGACGCCATATCGGCCTTGCTTCTCAACAATTTCAAGGACTTGAAGTCCTGTACCCTTTCAGCCAAGACCTTGGCAATGTCCACGGCTCTCGGACTGGTCTCCCATATGGACTCACTGACTACGATCAGGTTCACTGGCGAGGCACAGGAAGCAACATCGATGCAATTGCTCAGTGTGACCATGAAATTGTGCCGCAACCTTCAAGTCCTGTCTTTCGAGTCCCTTGTCTGCGATGTGGAGACTGTCGAGAAAATCCGGTGGGGGTGTAAAGGTCTGAGAGAGCTGCGGGTCCGATTCCAGGGTCTCGATACCCCTGAGGACATCGATGGCTGCCTCAAGAAGCTATGTGTTACGACACGATCTGGTGGTATTGGGTCGACCCGACACTTAGACAAGGATACGATCTCGACTCGAATTGTTCAGCATCTTCTCCAATTCAAGCAGCTAAGGACTGTCTGGCTAGGAACCAAGGATTACGACCTCCATCGCTCATCTGCCTAGTGCACGTCCATCATTTCATTCCCTCTCTCAGTCTCTCCTTTGTATGCACATACTTCTTTTTGCCGCAGTCGGCGGACTTCTTTTTTCCTTTTTTCGTTTTATTGACGATTATCCGTCAGGCCAGGACCATATATGTGATATCTTCTTTTATTATAAAAAATGCCAAAATCGAGAAACTAAAACGCGTGCAAAGAGAAAATAAGTTCTGCGATGGCACCTGATCTGTCCCTCGTCTTCTAGAAGGAGCCAGGGCGTAGAGAAAAACGAAAAGGGTGGGGAAAAAAAACCTAGGGCGGGACATATATGGTCCTGGCCCTCGGATAATAAGCTTGAGCCTTCAAGCATTCGGCTCTGCCAGATACATCGCGTTCGTTTTTTTTGAGTATTTTTTCGCCGATCTTCCCTTTTCCCTAGAAATAAACTAAGAGAGGAAAAATGTATGGTTCCGCCTGCCAGGCGCCATTAATTGCATGGTTAAGAGAACCATTGAAGAAAGATGGAATAATTTCTTTAGTCAATGGCACCATGCCACTAAGCAAGGCAGAGGGGCTCAAAAAAAGAATGCGCAAGGCGTTGCTCGAGGGCGGTTGCACAGTGAATCAGACCCGAATTGCAAAAGGGATAAATTACGTTCTCGATCTTGCCTTCCCTTTTTCCCTGCATAATGCATCCATCAGTGGTCATTGCTAAGCTGTACTTTATTTTTGCCTTCCGTTCTTTTTTCATTCAACACACAACACTCACACACGTCACATATTCCTTTTGTCATACATCTTTCTTCCTTTCTTATCTTGCCTTCACACTCCCTCCATCACAACTGTTCATTTCTTCCCTCAACGAGAATGCAACTCGCTCAGAATAGCCCCTTCGACCTCTCTGAGGTCCGAACCCGTATAGCCTCCTTCCTCGGCCGCAAGGACTGCCTCTCCTGCATCCGTGTCTCTCGAGCATGGTTCCAAGACTTTGCTCCCGCTGTCTGGCACACTGTCGACTTCGCCAAGGACGCCACCGCCTTTGCAAAAGTCACCCCAGAGATCCTCGAAAAGTATGGTGGTTTCATCTCCGAGGCGCTCAACACTTCTTCGGTAGACCATCTCCAACTACTCCAGCACTCCAAGGTGAACAGACTCGAGGTTATCAAAAGCCAACTTGTCCACTCCTGTATGCACCACCTGATGTTGGCCGACACTGTTCGTCGCAGCCAAGAGTCCTTGCAGTCCCTAGATATCCAATCCAATGCACCTAATCCGGACACCCTTGAAGAGCAACGATATCACGGCCGGCACTACTTGCTCTCTATGGATGCGATATCGTCCTCTGTCCCCCCTTTGCCTCTAGGAAATGGAACAGGACATGGAGGAGGGGGTCTGAGGAAATTGAAACTCTCATACATCAACATCACCCGAGAGACCTTTTCTGACTTCTTGCGACGCTGTCCCGGTCTTCAGGAATTGGATCTTCACCACGTCTTATTTCTGAACCACAAGCCTTCGATCTCCCTCTTTACAGGATCCAAGCTCAGACGCCTTGTCGCTTCATTCTCTCAGGTCTGGAAGGTGGATCCGAATGACAGGTCTGCCCCATCCCTGTTAGCCCACTTTCCCCTACTGAAAGAATGGCGCATAACCTCATTGACTCAACCAACCGACACCTCGCTCGTTGCCATTCGCGAAGAGATCACCAGGTGCTGCCCTCTCCTCAACCACATCGAATTTAACGACGGCGATTCTGCCATGGCCTCTTATCTCCTCGCCAATACATTCGCAGGCTTAGAGTCCTGCTACCTCGTTGACACAATCATCGACTCGTCAACAGTACTTGGACTGGTTACTCATCGAAACTCGCTCACCTCGGTCTCGGTCATGGCCACAAGTATCGTCGATGTCGATTACCGACCCACGACAGTAGATTGGCTTTACATGATCCCAAGGTTTTGTCAACACCTTCAGGTTCTCGACTTGGACTCTTATCTCTTAGAGATAGACGAAATCGAAGGTCACGAGTGGGTTTGCGAGGGTCTACAGGAGCTGAGGGTTCAATTCAAGGGTCTCAATACCCCTCAGGATATTGATGGCTCTCTCAAGAAGCTGTGTGATATGAGACGATCTGATGGTATTGCCTTGATCCGACCCATGGGCAAGGATACGATCTCGACTCGGGTTGTTCAACATCTTCTTCAATTCAAGCAACTGAGGACTGTCTGGCTAGGAACCGAGGATTACTACATCCCTCGCACATCTGCCTAGTGCGCGTCCATCTTTTCATTCCCCCTCGTGATTCTCTGATACAGAAGCACTTTTTTTTGTCACCCGTCAATATCGAACATGTTTTTTCTTCTTTTGCTGTTTTAAAAATAAATGATATAAAGATACGCATGCATTCTTTTTTACAGACTTCAAGGATTTCTTTCTTGCTCCAGTTGTCCAGACATTATCGTTCCATGGATGAGAAGCTCTTCGAACTCGAGCATTGACGGCGGAGATGGAAACGAAACTGGCCTTCCAGGATTGGGAGACCCGAAACACCGGCCATTAGCCAGGTCAAGTTAGTTGAGGAAGGGGTGTTGCGTTTTTTTCCCCGAGCCTACATTGGGAGAGATCGCCGAACAAAGTCGCGTCGCGTCCCTACTTTCTCGGTCCTTATTCCTGCATGCCGAGATGATAGTGAAGTTTGTGTTTGTGAGTTTGAAACGCGACGCGGGGAGGGCGAAGGCGAAAGGGGAAAAAAAAGGCCGCCCTTGGTGACGTGCACATGCTTTCAAGAAGTCGTACAAAAAGCGCTTTCATGCCAAAGAGGGTGTGCCCAAACTTTCTTTCCCGTTGAACTCCCCTACCCTCAATTTTCTTCGTTGTTTTTTTTGGTTCCTGCCTCGTGTTCGCTGTTGGGATACGGGGTTGCGTTCGCATTTTGTCCTACTTCGTTCTTTCCTTCATTACTTCGTCCTGTTTCTTTGTTCGAGTTCACGTCTGCAAATGGTAGGCTTTATTATTGCCACAGTTTGTCTACAAACACAGAAACCCATAAACATGGCGGCAAAAGAGCGCGTTGGTCGAATACATCTAAGCGCTCGATGGAGGTAGGTAGTAATCCTTGGTCCCAAGCCAGGCAGTCCTTAGTTTCTTGAATTAAAGAAAATGATATGCACCCCACATTGGGAACGTATCCTTCACCATGGATCGAGCCACCACAACACCACCAGCTTTTCTCAACCCACACAACTCCTTGAAAACGCCCATCAATCCCCTGAGGGGTATCTAGACCCTTGGACCTCATCTTCAATTCCCTCCGATCCCGACACTACCACACGCACTTGTCCACATCACACGCCAGGCCTTCAAAAGAAAAGAGTTGCAAGTGGCCACACAGATTCATGATTATGTAGACCCATTGCAACGATGTCGCGTCATAAACCTCGTTGGTGAACGTGATGGAGGTGAGGGTCTCCTGGTGGAGAGATCAAACCAGGTGCCATGGACGAGGATAGGTTCTTTGCGAGGAAGGTACAAGATTCTAGTGCTTCAAAGGAGTTGAGGAAGAGGTGTGGCCATGACACACTCGAAGCTTGCGGTTGCAAAGGTGGCCATTCAGAAAAGTCGACTTGAGGAGGAGTGATGTCGCGACCCAACGCGCTAGTTGAGTCGACCATGTGATGTACCATATCTTGAGGAGTGAGAAATGAAGCAAGAGACAAGGCGCTGAGGGATCTTCTTCGTCATGGCACCAGACTTGAGCAACCGATACCGAGAGTTATCGCAGTTTAGACCCAGTGTAGAGGGTCACAGAGATAATGTGGCAAATGAACATGACACGGGAAAGCTTCAAATCGTTGACTAGTCGAGCATTGGAGCAAAGCAGAGAAACCCTCGCGTGTGATGCAGACACGATTGAGTGACAATGGTTCTGAGGCACCGTCCTTGGTTTGATATCGGCCCTTTGTCCTGGTGAAGGAGGAAATTGCTCAAAACACATCATTGACGTGCATGTAGTTATTTGCCCCGTTTCCGCTGCTCCTCAAAAGTATCAGGAACGTGCGAGTCACTCCAAATACTAAGATCCCTAATAGACCCCACTACACACGCAACATAAGATCCGACAACAACTCTCGATAAACCCAACTTCTCGGAGGAAAAAAAAACATCCATGATCCTGACAGAGTCCACTCTTGAGTGCTGGAGGGTCGAAAGACGCTCGGGGACCCTCGACATTGAGGGTTTGGGTGATGAATCCTCCATAATTTTCGAGAACTTCCGGGGTGACGGCAGTAAAGGCAGCGGCATCCTTTCCAAAATCGAGGGTGTGCCTGACAGAAGGTACAAGGTCGTGGAACCCGTCTTGGGAGAGGAGGGACAGTCCTTGCGGTTGAGGAAGGTGCCGACACGGGTGCGGATCTCTGGAAGGTCGAGGGGGGGTCTGGATGGTTATTAATAGTTGGGACGAGATACATCCTGGATGGTGGGACGGACGATAGTAGTGGAGAGAAAGATTGTACGAAGCAAGGGAAGAGGTGAGGTTTAAGGGTGTTGTGTATTGGAAAAAATAAATAAATGGCAAGTGGGCACAAAGGGTGAGAGACAAAGAAAAAAGAGTGTGGCTTAGCAATGACCAAGCGTCACCATCAATGGATGCCAAAAAAAAATGAAGGCAAGATCTAGAAATGATTTGTCCCTATTGCAATTCGGGTCCGTTACACTGTGCAACCACCTTCGTACAACGCCTTGCGCCTTGTTCCTTTAAGCCCCTCTGCCTTGCTTGGTGGCATGGTACCATTGATCAAAGAAATTATTTCATCTTTCTTCGATGGTCTTCTTAACCATGCAATTATCCGAACCAAGAATTTTGTCTCTCAGTTTATTTCTTCGGAAAATGAAGATCGAAAAAACTGCTCATAAATAAAATGAACGCGACGTGACCGACACGAGAAAAACGAATTTGGCGACTGTGACAAAAAAAAAGGGTGTGTGAGCGAAGGAGAGAGAGCCAGCGGGAATCAAAAAGGTGGACATGCACTAAGCCGATGAGCGAGGGATGTAGTAATCCTTGGTTCCTAGCCAGACAGTCCTCAGTTTCGTGAATTGAAGAAGATGCTGAACAACCCGAATCGAGATCGTATCCTTGTTCATGGGTCGGGTGGAAGCAATACCACAAGATCGTGTTGTAACACACAGCTTCTTGAGACAGTCATCTATGTCCTCAGGGGTATCGAGGCCCTGGAATCGGATCCGCAGCTCTCTCAGACCTTTACACCCCCACCGGATTTTCTCGACAGTCTCCACATCGCAGACAAGGGACTCGAAAGACAGGACTTGAAGGTTGCGGCACAATTTCACGATCACACTGAGTAATTGCATCGATGTTACTTCATGTACCTCGCCAGTGAACCTGATCGTAGTCAGTGAGTCCAAATGGGAGACCAGTCCGAGAGCCGTGGACATTGCCAAGGTCTTGGCTGAAAGGGTACAGGACTTCAAGTCCTTGAAATTGTTGAGAAGCAAGGCCGATATGCCCTCGGTGTCGTCGGATCCAAAGGTGACAGTCTGGAGCAAAGGGCACCATGAAGAAAAATCCAGGTTTTTGAGATCGATTGCTCGATTGTTGGGTTGGGCCAGTAAGGCTAAATGCCATTTTTCGAGGAGCGGAAAGTGAAGGAGCAGAGATGGCGCAGGCGAAGCCCAGCTATCGTTGCACCAGACTTGAGAAAAGTCAGCAGAGAGGTATCTCAGTGCGGATCCTGTGTAGAGGGGAATGCCAGGCTTGTGGTGTATGACTGTGACTCTCTCAAGGGTCAACTCATCCAACAACGGAGAGTATTGCAGTATCGAAGAGAAGCCTTCGCGCGTGAGGCAGGTGTGCGTTAGCGACAGCGACTTCAATCGAGTTCCTAGGCTTCCATTCGATCTGGGATCCGTCGAAGAAGGAAGAGGCGCGAATATGTCGTTGACATGCATGTAGTGATAGGCCTCGCTCCTCTGCTTTTCAAACGTGTTGGGTTCTGGCGGATGGCACCAGAAAGTCAAGGACGTAATGGATCCGTGGGAGCGCCGGAGGAGGTCTGACAGCATGGACCGGTAGAGCCAGTTTCCGAGGAGATGGATCCTCATGGCCGCGATTGAGTTCACTTTAACATGCTGGAGGGCTTGGATATGACCCAATGCTGAGATGTTGAGGGTCTGAGAGATGAAGCCGCCATACTTGTCGAGGACCTGGGGAGTGACTTTTGCAAAGGCAGCGGCGTGCTTGTCGAAATCGATGGTGTGCCAAACTAGCGGTGCAAAGTCGTGGAACCATGCTCGAGAGACACGGATGCAGGAGAGGCAGTCCTTGTGGCCGAGGAAGGAGGCTATACGGGTTCGGACCTCGGAGAGGTCGAGGGGGCTGTTCGGAGGGTCGATTTGAGCGATTTGCATTCTCGCCGAGAAGTTGTGATGGAGGGAGTGAGAGGGCAAGTTACGAAGTGGAGAAAGATGTATGACAAAAGGAAGAAGTGACGTGTGTGATTGTGGTATGTTGAACAAAAAGGAAAAGTGCGGCTTAGCAATGGCTGCCGATGAATGCATTGCGCAGGAAAAAAAGGAAGGCATCGAGAATTACTCTGTGCAACCGTCCTCGAGCAACGCCTTGAGCCTTCTTCTTTTGAGCCCCTCTGCCTTGCTTAGTGGCATGGTACCATTGACCAATGAAACTCTACCATCTTTCTTCAATAGTCTGGCACCTGGCAGGTACATATCATCACTCTTCAAGCGGAACCATGAATTTTCCTCTCTCAGTTTATTTCTAGGGGAAAGGGACGATCTGCGAAATAATGCTCGCAATAAAAGCGAACGCCATGTCGTCAGCAAAACGAAGAAAGGAAATAAAGTTAGTCTGCCGACTGAAGCGAAAAGAAGTGTGTGCACGCAAAGGAGAGACTGAGATAGGGAATGAAAAAATGGACGTACACTAGGCAGATGAGCTATGGAGGTCGTAATCCTTGGTTCCTAGCCAGACAGTTCTTAGCTGCTTGAATTGGAGAAGATGCTGAACAATTCGAGTCGAGATCATATCCTTATCTAACTGTCGGGTCGACCCAATACCACCAGATCGTTTCGTAACACACAGCTTCTTGAGACAGTCATCGATGTCCTCAGGGGTATCGAGGCCCTGGAATCGGACTCGCAGCTCTCTCAGACCTTTACACCCCCACCGGATTTTCTCGACAGTCTCCACATCGCAGACAAGGGACTCGAAAGACAGGACTTGAAGGTTGCGGCACAATTTCATGGTCACACTGAGCAATTGCATCGATGTTGCTTCCTGTGCCTCGCCAGTGAACCTGATCGTAGTCAGTGAGTCCATATGGGAGACCAGTCCGAGAGCCGTGGACATTGCCAAGGTCTTGGCTGAAAGGGTACAGGACTTCAAGTCCTTGAAATTGTTGAGAAGCAAGGCCGATATGGCGTCGGTGTCGTCGGATCCAAAGGTGACAGTCTGGAGCAAAGGGCACCATGAAGAAAAGTCCAGGTTCTTGAGATCGATTGTTCGATTGTTGGGTTGGGCCAGTGAGGTTAGATGCCATTTTTCGAGGAGCGGAAAGTGGAGGAGCAGGCAGGGCGCAGAAGGATCCAAGCTATCGTTGCACCAGACTTGAGCAAAGTCTGCAGAGAGGTATCTCAGTGCGGATCCTGTGTAGAGGGGAATGCCAGGCTTGTGGTACATGACCATGACTCTATCAAGGGTCAACTCATCCAGCAACGGAGAGTATTGCAGTATCGAAGAGAAGCCTTCGCGCGTGAGGCAGATGTGCGTCAGCGACAGCGACTTCAATCGAGTTCCTAGGCTTGCATTCGATCTGGGGTCCGTCGAGGAAGGAAAAGGGGCGAATATGTCATTGACATGGATGTAATGATAGGCTCCGCTCCTCTGCTTTTCAAACGTGTTGGGTTCTGGCGGGTGGCACCAGAAAGTTAAAGACGTGATGGATCCGTGGGAGCGCCGGAGGAGGTCTGACAGCATGGACCGATAGAGACAGTTCCCGTTGAAATGGATTTTCATGGCCACGATAGAGTTCACTTTAACATGCTGGAGGGCTTGGATGTGACTCAATGTTGAGATGTTGAGGGTCTGAGAGATGAAGCCGCCATACTTGTCGAGGACCTGGGGAGTGACTTTTGCAAAGGCAGCGGCGTGCTTGTCAAAATCGATGGTGCGCCAAACTAGCGGTGCAAAGTCGCGGAACCAGTCTTGGGAGACGCAGATACAGGGGAGGTGATCCTTGCTGTCAAGGAAGGTGGCGACACGGGTGCGGATCTCGGTGAGATCGAGGGGGTTGTTTGAGCGGTTATCCGGAGTGAATCGCATCTTGGATGGATGGACCCGATGCTAGGTGGTAATATGTAGGAGAGGAGATGGATGAGGAAGGCGTGATGGTGGATGTTACAAAGGAAGAGTGATGAAAGATAGGTAAAAAGAAAAACGTCTAGGGTAGACGAAGGAATGGAAGTGTAAGGATGGACGAGAAAGATACATAAGCGTTGGATGTGCGGGTAGTATGTACGCGACAACGACCGGAGAAAGAGACACTGAACAAAGACTTTTTATTCGCCGCCTATTCCATTGCATCCTGCACTAAAGATAAAAGGAGACTGAACGTGTAGGTGTTTTATTCTGGTCAGGAAGGATGAGATTGAAATATGCAATTGCCAGCAAGGCAGACATGGTCGTAGTGGGGGTAGGAGGAGAAATGGTAGGTGCTAGTTGCACAAAGGAGGGAGATAACAGTCATTCCTCCCAAGCCAGACCGTCCTCAGACTCTTAAATTGGAACAAAAATTGGCAGACTCGAGTCTCGGCATTCATGTTGTGTTTGTGTGGGACAAAGGCCTCTCCGCCGAACCGACGCCAATTGCACAACTGCTTGAGACATCCGTAAATCTTCCAGTCGTCGTCCAGGTCCTGGAATCGAACTCTCAGCTCCCGAAGACCCTTGCATCCCCACTGGAGCGTGTCAAGCGTCTTGGAGTCAAATTCTAGGGATACGAGAGAGAGAACCTGGAGGTTGGTGCATAGTCTTGGGATCATATGTAACCATTGCGTCCAAGTTGAGCCCTTCATAACGCCCTTGATGGTAACTGAAGTCAAAGTGGCCTGATGGGCGATCAAACCGAGGGCGGTTGATGTTGTCAGATTCTCGGAGAAGAGGGTGCAGGACTCGACCTTTTGGAAGGTGTTGATGAGCAGGTTCGATATCAGCTCGGTGCTTTCCTTTCCAAAAGTGATGGTCTTGAGGTCTGGGCACCATGTAGAAAAATCCTCACAGACAGGGCCAGTCGGCCAATGAGGCGGTTGATACATCCATGGTATGTCCCATTCCTTGAGGAGCGGAAAATGAAGCAGGAGGGAGGGGGCATCCTTGTTTTCAATGTCGTTGGCGTAGATTTGATTCAGTGAAGCGGAAAGATACCGAAGGTTGGACCCAGTGTAGAGAGGAACTAGCGCATTGTGACCAAATACGACAATTCGGCGTAAGGTCAATTCGTCCAGATTTGGAGAACCTCGGAGCAAAGTGGAGAAGGCCTCACGCGTGAGGCATACATTTTCGAGGTTTAGTGCCCTAAGACAACTCCCATGTCTTGCCGTAACCCTGTTGTCAGCTGAAGAGGAGAAGGCTGGAGTGGCGATAATGTCGGCAACGCGTACATAATTCTCTGGCTGCGTTTGTTGTTGTTTCCACGTTTCCGGATCTGGAACGTCACAACAAATCACCAAGGTGCGTATGGATCCACTGCAGCGTAAGAGAAGGTCCGATATCATTTCCCGATACTGGTGATTACTATCAGGACGGACTTGAATGTACTTGAGGGCGTTCACCTTGTGGCTCTGGATTAACCGGAGGTCAGATATGTGTGTAATGTTGCGAGCCTCTGAGATGAAAGAACCATACTTGCCCACGACCTCCGGAGTGAGGTTTGAAATAGCGTCGTCATCCTTGTCAAAGTCGAAGGTATGCCAGACAGAGGGGGCAAAGTCCATGAACCAGTCCCTGGATACGCACATGCAGGAGGTACAGGCCTTACGGTCAAGAAATATGGCGATACGGGCTCGGATCTCGGGGAGGTCAAGGGGATTTGTTGAAGACGGTTTTTCCTTGGTTATTTTATGCATCTTCAGGGTTGCAGATGATGGTGGAGACGACAGTGGAGACGACAGGGCGTTAAAAAAATGACTTGTGACAGAGTATGTGTTTAGAGTCAAAAGGGTGAGGGTTGAATGAGAGGACTAATGGTGATGGAGGCGAAGGCGACAAACGACAATGACGGATGGAAGGGATGAATGGGAGAAAATGCGAGAGAGGGGAAGAACGAAAGTGATTGACAAGAAAAATGAGAGCAAAATGAAATACTTGCTGTTGGCCCGGAAAAAAAAGAGAGGAGGTTGGTGGAGAAGAGACAAGCCAAAAACACAAATCATGGCCACATGATGAAACCATTGGAAAAAAGGAGGGAGAGTAGCCCAGCACCACGTGCAAAATAGGGGTAACAAACAAGAAGGAACAGCTCATACTTTCTCTCCTTCCACTGTTGAGCAATTACAATGACAACGACACTCCAGATGATAGACAGAAGTCAAACTCACAACGGCCTTGGGTTACTTTTCTCATTTGTTGGGTTCAAGCATGGCAAAGCAATTTCGAAAAAAGAAAAAGGGCAAAGAGAGGTGTCGAGAAAAGGTCGTGGGACATGAAGAAAGAAGGGAAGAATAAAGAAGGGAGAATAAAGAAGGGAGAATAAAGAAGGGAAAGGGTACTCTAGGAAGATACTTTAGCATTGACCACGGAACGAAAGAAAAAGAAGTCCAGTTATCACATGTGACCTAACCATGGCATAGCATGCAATGTTCGATCCCAACAAAACAAAACACACCTCCATCTTCTGTTTTTATTTTCTAACTCATTAACAACAAGATCAAAAGACTGGATGAGGGTTGTTCGTCTGCTCCATCCCATTCTCACCACCACCGCCTTGTGTGTTGTTGTTATTAGTGAGAGGTACTGGATAATCGACAACGTTCAATGGCGAGGGAATCAACGGCGTTGGAACGTAGACCATAGGTACAGCAGGGTGAGGTTCATAGCTCGCCAATAAACGCCGCAGGATAATACTGTTCCATCGCGGAGGAATTCGTCACTGGCAACGCCTGCACCGTCCCTACCGTCGCCGGGTAATGCGACACACCCATCGTCACCGGGTACTGTACTGGAACCTGCTGCTGGTACTGCTGTTGTTGTTGGTATTGTGAACCAGGTTGGAAGGCTTGTGCCTGCTCTTCGAGGGTCAAGAGCTGCTCTCTTAACTCCATCTGCTTGAATTCTCTCAGTCGAACTTGTATGTCGTCAGCGACTTGGACACCATGAGGACTTTGAGGGTCCTGATATCCTCCTGCTGATCCGTAGACTGATCCCTGTGGGTTCTGGCTGTAGAGTACTGTTGCTGGGGTTGTTGCCGCGTTCATTCCTGGCCCAGTGGGGATGATGGCTTGTGGCTCTCGGGTATCCGTGGCACCATCTTCTCTTCTACCAGTTCCTATATCCTGCTCTCCCTGCCGTTGTCGTTGTTGATACGCCACGAATATAATAAAGCACATACCCAATACACCCAAAACACTTCCAGCGATGATACCAATAACACTATCACCACCGCTGGAAGCTACTTCTGTGCCAGTAGAACCCGGCGGCGACACTGCGGACAGGGTCGCATTTGTTGATGGTCTCGCTTCAACAGCACCTGGGATCGGTGGAACCGTCTGGTTCACATAAGGTGCCGTGGGTGTATACTGCTCCACCCAGGTATTACTCTTCATGTCGTAGATCATGACCTCTTTTGGTGCCATCTGCGTCAATGTGACGAGTCCACCCCAGACGATGAGTTGGTCACCTGCGATTGTACAAGCAGAGTAGATGCGGGGTAAAGGGCTGGATGCTCCCACAGCCCAGGTTCCGGTAGCGATGGTGAGGATGAAGAGCTCAGAGGTAAAGGCGTTGGACTCGAGTCGGCCACCGTACACTATCAGTTTTGTTCCATCATCGTCTGTAGTGGTGAATCGGCAGTGCAAAAAAGTGAAATGGATTAGAGGCATTTTTTTTATGGATGTATGGTCGTCCGTTGGTTTCGATAGAGTGATAAAGGAAGGGAAGGGAAAACTTACTGATGGCCATGCAGTGGTCAGCTCTGTTTGCCGGAGCAGGTCCGCTTGTGGGCTGGCAAGGAAAAAAGAAAGATGGACGATGTGGACGAGTTAATAGAGCAAGAAAAAAAAATCTTGAGAAAAGATTGAGAGCACCTGCACCCACCCATGCCTTGTTTTGCATAGTGTACTTGCATATCAGCTGTGCTAGGACCCCTTCATTTTCCTTCTGCGCAATATCATTGTCTGCAGACAAACTACGCCCGGAATAGAACAAATCCAACGATCAGACAACTTACCAGGGTTGACCAAGAATGAGGCGGCTTTAACTCGCTCACAAAATTGCTCCTTGTCACCCTCGAGTATCCACCAAAAAACAACACACTGCCTCTTGGCTTACACCACCCACTCGTATAAAACGTCCGGTCCGCAAACACACCCGTCGTCACCGGATCTGGCAACGCACTGTTCGTGACATTTCCTGTCTTCCAATCCCAAACATCTAACAGCCCATGGTCTTTATCCGTATACCCTCCCGCCAGGTACACTAGGTCTGTATTCGGATCTGTAACAGCCCCGATCCCTGGCTCAGTCCCAGCTGCGAAACTCGTCTGAGTGTGTGGCGACCAATTGCCGGTTTCTAAGGAGAACTGGTACACGGGGTAGGGTCCGGGGATCCCGAAGAAGAACAAATTCTTCCCGTCTGCAGAGGTAGCGCCAGGGAAGGTTATGGATTCTGGGCCGGGGCGGAGTTGGACCCATGCTGGGGTGGTGGTGGACCAGGGGAGTGAGAGGTCGAGGTAAAAAAATTGTGGGGTTGTTAGGTAGGGGGTTTGGGTGGGTGGGGCTATTCCGCCGGAGAGGATAAAGAGGCGGGTTGGGGTGCGTGTTGAACCGGGAACAAAGACTGGGATCGGGGTTGGGTTTGTGGATTGGGCGTTGGTGTAGTGGGATGTGAGTGCGATTGTGAGAAGGAAGAGAAGAAGGAGGCAAGGAGAAATGGAACATGACTGGTGAGGCGTCTGGAATACTGCCATCCTGCAGGAATATTAAGTTTAGATGATGAGTTGGATGAATGAAAGCACGAGGTAAGAAAGAAAAAAAAAGGACAAGAATCACGACGAGTGCAAGCGAGGAGGGGGATTAGGGAAAGAGGCGAAGGAAGGAGAGAGCGATGGTGAAGAGTGAGGGAACGAAAGAGAAAAGTGGAAAGAAAGGAAAGGAATGATGTTGGAAATATAAAAAAAAGGTGATTGCCCTGTTGTCTGGTCTGGACACGTTTTGATGAAGAATGAAAAAGGAGAGGGCGAAGAATAAGATTAACATCTCTTCTATTTTCATCACTCACCCACTTTGGTGTTTTCTTCGCCCATTGCTCAGCAAAAAACAAGTAAACTCTAATCTGGATAGACATTCGAGACAAGGGGCCAAGCAAACGGACAACTCCAGCACCCTCGGTGGAGATAAAAGTGCACGCAGTTTGTTTAATTAACAAACAAAATTCCTCTGGCCCCTTACTTTTGGACAAACAAACATACAACATACACAGCCCAGAACAACTCAAGGAACAGCAGATAAAGATGATGAACAAAAGAACACACAGGGGCGCATTTGATTAAATTATTAAGTTGGTATCTTCTAATTGAAAGTCTGGGGGTTGTGCCCACGATGAGTCGACCCGGAATCCGCGTACCCATATCCGTAGTTACTGCTGGTCGGCCGCTCTGGATACATCTGCACTGTTGGGTGGTGCAGCATTGCTTTTGGAGGAGGAGGGGGAGGAACATAATCATCCTGTTGCACATACTGGGGCTCTCCAACAATACCTGGGGGTCTTGGCCATCTTCCTCTGCCACCACTACCACCTCCACCACCTCCACCTCCACCACTTCCATCGGACGAAATGCTGCCAGCATGATTGAGTTCTGGTTTCGGAGGCGACGATCGACCTACAACTCGCTGTCCTTGCCGCTGCTGAAGAACTAGCAGCTGTCGCTTCAAGTCCAACTGCATCTGCTGGTTCTCGATCTCGTGCAGGTCTTGTTCGAACTCCTCGGTGTCATCAACGTCCTGAGGGGCTTGGGGTGGTCTCTTGTATTCGTCTTGGGTATCCTGCGGTGCACGAGGCTTTTGGCGTCCTGTAGCGACTGCATATGCTCCATCGTCGTCACCATCATAGTCGTTTTTGGTGTTCGCCTGAGGTCTTCCGCGCTGGGGCTGCGCGTTCCACTCATCCTTGCTTCCCCGACCACTAAAGTCTTCCTTGGCCGCAAATTGAGCATCATGACCATCTCCACCACCAACCTGTTGCTCCTGTCGCTTTTCCTCCCGCCGCCTCTGTCGTCGATGGTACAAAATATATCCGACAATGATACCCACGACCACAATAGCAGCCACAATCCCCCCAATAAGCCCGCCCTTGCTTCCGTCATCACCAGCTCCTGGTCCAGGGGAGGTCGTAGCTGTTGGTGGAGATGTCGAAGGTCCTGTGGAGGTTGTTGATGTGGGAGTCAACGTGCTGTTGGTAGGTGGCACCAGAGGATACAAGGGCTGTCCGATCGATGCCGGAGGGTTGTACTGGGTGATCCACTGCACCTTGACATAGTCGTATACCAAAATCGAGTTGGACACCTGACCCTTATCATCCGTTCCACCATAGACCAAGAACTGGTCTCCGGCGATAGTGCAGGCAGAGTTGGCGCGTGGAAGGCCATTAACAACTGACTTTGACCAGAGACCATTAGCGACGTTGAGCTGGTAGAGATCTCCGTTCACGACACTGACATTTAAGTTCTGTCCTCCGTAGACTATCACCAACAACCCATCGTCAGCTATTACATTTTTTGAGAGGGGATAGTGGGGAGAAAGGCGGAAGGTGAGCTGATGAAAGATAGAGTGAAAACGGGTAATGAAGCTGACATCTTGAGAGAGGTAAATTATAATAAGACTTACTCGCAGCCATGCAGTGATTGACAGTGCTAGGTGGCGCGGCGCCGGTTGTGGACTGTTGCGTTTGAACAAAGCGGAAAGAAAAGAGAATGTGTGAAAGAAAGTCGATGTATGTGAGCCTCAGAAACAGACTAAAAATGGGCAAAAGGTTGGTTCTGTGTCGAAAGGCAAATGAGAATGGAGGGAGTCCATCATTTCTTCTACTACTACTTGTTACTTCCTACTCCAGCCGCGTACTCACCAAGGTGGTCAAGTTTGTGATGCTATTCAACACCGTGACTGTATTGTCTGGCCTGATCAATCCATATCCTCCAAAATACATTACACTTTTCGTCGCCTCGCTCCACACATTCGCATAATAAGTCCGCGACTGAAAAACACCAGCAGGTCCCGATGGCGGCAATGGGGGGATAGAGTCTGGAAAGTTAACATACTGCAGCACGGCTGTCTTCGCTAAGGGATCCCAGATATGCACCTTCCCACGTCCCAAATCTGTACATCCACCCGCACAAACGATCGCCCCTGTCAATGGGTTTGTAACCGCCCCGATACCTGCCACATCGCCGGATATGGCGCTATCTGGCGTAGCTGTCCATTTTCCAGTCTTGACGCTGTACTGGAATGTCGACGAAATGGGGGGGCTTTTCGTTGCAGTGATATGGAACGCATAGAAAGTCAAATTGTCTTTTGAGAAGACTGCCGGGAACTTTGACTGCTTAGGTCCAGGCTCGAGTTGGGTCCATGCAGGGGCGGTAGAGGGCCATGCTACAGAGAGATCGAGGGCCATGAACTGGTCGGTGGCTGATGAATTACTGGCTGAACCCGGACTCCCGCCAAGGACGAAGAAATAAGTTCCTGCGCGAGCATAAGCGGGACCGGTCACTGCGGTAGGGGTGTAGTATGTTGTAGCCTGAGCGTCGGTGAAGGTTGTCGAGGAGAGAAGGGTGGGGAGGAGGAGGAGAGCGGAGAGGAGGGTGGAGATCAAGGAAGTGGGATGAGAATGAGGAGGTCGATGTGACCTCGAATGGGGGGCCATGAGATCGGAATGAGGAGGGCGGACGATGACAGTCGAAAAGAATGTGGGCAACAAAAAAGGGAGAAGAGGGAGAGAAGGAAGAAGACGGGGAAAGGAGAGAGAGAGAGGAGAGGAAGTCGACTATCGTTTGGTGGGAAAGCGAGAATGACGATGTGACAAAAGAAGGAGAGAGAAAAAAAGAGGAAAGGGAGGATAGGAGAGGGGAAGGGAAGTTGACAACGGTTGGAGCGTAGGAGGGAAAGGACGATGAGCTAACTACTCCTGATGTAAACCTGTTTATGGAAACAAGGGCAAGAAAGAGGACTGGGAGGAGTAATGAAAGGATGGGGTGTGGAAATGCTACATTTTAGTCGATTATCACTTATTCCCTTGCCCCCCTCCTTTTCTTTCTCTGTGCCATGCATAGCATTGCACCATCAAAAAAGCAATCTTGTCGGGAGAAGTGAGCTCTCACAGGAAGAAAAAGCAACATAGAGTTCCGCTAGTGCCTTTTTCTTTGTAGCGAACTGTGCGTCATGTCAATTTGGGAAGAAAGAAGGAAGGATAGATGAGGAGAAGGACAGAGACACGGAGTAGGGATGGGGTGTCGCGCTGTTCCAATTGGTAAAAACCTTATTTTTTTTTTTTTGGAGGTGCTGCTTTCTCTTCTTCCGCGGACGTACCCCTCAGGGTACCAATAGCTTTCGATAACAAGGGAGGTGAACACAGAGAGCGGAGTAAAGAAGCCAGAGAGAGGGAAAATGCATGCGAGGATGGATGAGTACCATACAAGATGCGCATGTACCCCTGGAATGGAAACGAGGGTACCTGTTACCCACTACCCTCGAAAGAGAGAGAGAGAGAGCGAATTCGTCCCACAAGCCATCGTCAAGCGAGTGGAGAGAATGGTGAGGCTGGGGTGAGAGAGAGTAGAGCACACATACTCTGGAACTGAAAATATGAAAAGGCACTGCTGTCGAAACACTCACGGGCCATGGTCATGGAAAATACCAGTGATTGAGCAGAATCACCTTGTGAGACTAATAACCTCTTGACCAATGAGAATCCTTCCAAATCACTCATTCCTCGTTTTGGATCCCTTGTTCCACCCTGTCACCATTCTCCTCTTTTACAAAAAGACATGGACTAACGACGCTGAAGAAAATAAAAATGAGAATCCATGCTGCTTTTAGTGTGGAACATCCGTGTGAGGATTGTTTGGTATCTGCTTGGGCTCAAGATCGAGCGTACTATACGCCCTATGCAAAATTCCTGCATCCGGAAATGTATGCACCGTGGGGGCTGTCCGAGCATAATTTGAGGATATGTCATCATATTCTTGCCGTGCGTATGGACCGATTGATCCTGTGTTACTATTGCTTGTTGCTTGGGTTGGACGGGAGTAGGCGGAAGTGAGGGTGTTGGTGTTTGTTGATATGGTGCTCACACTGACGACAGATCCCCTATGCCCTTGTCCTCCGAGTTGAGGGATTTGCTGCTGGCTTGATCGTTGCTGCTGTTGATACTGGAGTGCCTGTTGTTGTAATTGTTGGTGTTGTTGCATTTGCAGCTGTTGTTGGAGTTGTAGTTGCTGTTGTTGCTGTTGGTACTGTTGTTGCTGAAGAGGCGACCAAAACTGTTGTTCCTGTTGTTGAAGCACGAGGAGCTGCCACTTTAGATCCAGTTGCTGTTGCTGAATCTGTAGATCTCGCATTCTCATGTCTATGGCACTGTTTCCCGTCTGCACAATCGCCTGTGGTCCTTTCTTGGGAGTGTCGATGACTGAGTTGAAATCAGATTCACCACCACCCGCAGCGAGATTATGCTTGTGCATGAGTGAGATCGTTTGGACGGGTCCGAATCCTGCAGCGTACATTTTGGCGTTGTCTTGTTCCTCGTCATCATCGTCGTTGTTGTGGTTGTTGTTATCGTGCGCGCTGTGGTTGTCGCTGTGGGTTGTCTTGAGAGAGAGTAGTGGTACTCCTTTTTGTGTTAGTCGTTGCTGTTGCTTCCGTCGGTACACCAAGAGCCCGACTGCTGCACTGATCACCGCCAGTGAACCGACCACTCCACCGACAATAGCTCCCAGGTCAGTCGACGATTCCTTGTTATTAGATGGCGTGTTTGTACCATAAAGTGATCCTGACGGAAAGTCGGGTTTTGATGCTGACGATGAGGTTGATGAGGGAGCCGATGTTGATGAAGGGGTAGTCCAGGGACCTGCAGTGGTAGGGATCTTGGGTGGCACAAGACCGCTGTAGGACGTTGGAGGCGTATAAGAAATGAGCCATGTCGAGTTGACATAGTTGTAGATCAACATGTCTCCATTTGCAACTGAATTTGCAGAGTTGGTACCACCCCAGATAAGAAGGAGGTCTCCTACAATGGTACAAGCCGGGTACATCCTCGCATCTGCTGATGGTCCCTGTGTCCATGCTCCTGTTGCGGTGTTGAGTACAAAGACCTCGTTGTTGGGTACATTGTTGACTCGTCCTCCGAAGACCACCATCCTTGATCCGTCCTCGCCTAAATTGTTTGCAAGAGAAAGCTATATTGAATTAGATGAGGTCATACTAGGGCCAAGTATTTGGAGGAGAGTAGACAGTGGAGAGGAAGAAGGGCATACTTATTGCCATGCAATGGTCTGCCCTCATTGTAGGAGGGCTTCCTGTCGTTTTCTACAAGGAAGAAAAAAAGCACTGAGAGTCCAAAATTAGATTGCCTCAGCCTAGCCTTCATCAAAGACACACTGACAGCTGGCAAATGTACCAACATACCAAGTTCGACCAGATCATGGTATCAACGGTCAACTCGGTAACAACATTCTCCGTGGGCATCTGGCCCGTCGGCTGGTACCCTCCCCAATACAAGATACTCTTCCTCGACGCACACCAAACGCCACCATAAAACCACCTCGCCTCAAACCGAACTGTTCCCGCAGGACCAAACGGATCCGGGAGTTTCGAGTGTGTGATATTCTGCGTAGCAGGGTTAAGGATATCCATGGTCAGTCTACCAGGATCCGTGTACCCCGTCGCCAGGTACACAAGCCCCGTCCTCGGATCCGTGACAGCCCCTACACCTTGCCACTTCATATTCGCAAACGCCAAACTCGACTGCACCCAAGTCCCAGTCTCCACCCGGAACTCGTAAACAGCATTCGAATTAGGTAAATGGAACACCAACATGCGTTTCTGGTCGGATGTGAAAGTCGCAGGGTAGATGGAGTTTGCGGGGCCTGGGTTGAGGATTGTCCATGCCGGTTGGGAGGCGATCCAGGGGGTAGTGAGGTCGAGGGTAATGAATTGGTTGATTGGTGGGGTATTTGGGGTGAAGGCTGATCCGCCGAGAATGAAGAGGTTTGTTTTTGTGCGTGCTACTGCTCCTCCTGAGACTGGGTATACCGTGGATTGGGCAGAGGTTTGGTGTAGAAGTAAGGAGGAGGAGAAGAGTGCGAGGGTGACGAGGGTTGTGAGGCGAGTGATCTTCTTAGGCCTCCTTTTCCTTGCTGTGGTCATGATCTGGGAAGGTGGAGAGTGAAATGTGGAATTGGTCAATGGGTGTGGGTTGTGTGAGTTTGGTGTGAAAAGGGAACAAGGAAGTGGGTCAGGAAAGGGGCATGAGGGAATAGGGAGTAAGAAAAGGATAAGGATGAGAAAGAAAGGAAAAGTGGGTAAACAGGGGAGGAAGAAGAAGGAGAATGTAAAGGACGGCGATAAGAGATGAAAGCGACGGGCGAAGACAACTCAGCACTTTTGTGTCATGATCGAAAGAAAGAGAGAGGATCAACTGTCGGTTCACATATACATCATGCAACAGATCATGAGCAACCCTCGATCCCTCTCCATCTTTCCTTCTCCGTTCCCCCTCCCAATCCACACACGACACTGCTCACAAAAACATAAATAAGCTTTCAGGTGCCGAGGAAATCTTTCTGTTTTTTCATTGTTCGTCAAAGCAGTCGACAACAGCCTAAGAAACGCCGAGGAAGGAGAGTAGAGAAAAGACAGAAAGTCAAAGTGGCACTTTGTCACGTTGTGTGTGTGTGTTTGACGAACAATCGATGGTTCTTAGGGACTCTTGAAGTGGATGACTTCCACATGAGGGAACGTGACAGTCTTCCCGCTCTTTGCTGCATGGTGTTCTTTTTTCCTTTTTGCTTTCTGGTGCATTGCTCGTTTTTTGTCCTTGAGGAAGGACTGTGCGTGGGTGTCTATGTGCAGGAAGAAGAAAGGAAGGAAGGAGGGCAAAAAATACAACGACAGCATTGGCCTCCCTTAGGAGCTGCACACCTTTTGGGTGAAAACAGAGAAAGGGAGTGATGGGATGTAGAGGGATTGAGGTAGCAAACCTGAAGGAAGTATCTTTGGGCATGGATGTGACCCACAGAGGAGCGATTGAGTGAAACAGGGGGAATGATCATAATTCGATCACTCTTTTTTTTGTACCGGGACGTAAAAGTTGGTTTTTGGAAATGATTGACTATTACCAGTCTATAGTCCTGATGCTACACAGCAAGGGATAGACAACAGTTGACTCTTCGCCTTGTTCTTCTTTACTCGCCATCCCTGTGTCGTACCTAAGCAAGGGCCATGTCTTCATTGCTTTGCCTTCAGCAAGAGTGCAAGAAAAAACGGCATTTCTTTTTCCTCGCCCTTCTTGCACTCATCTCCCCAACAGCCAAACATTGTGTTAGTTTGTTTGCTGGAGCGGACAAAGTGGCGTAAGCTCAGGATGCGGGGTTCATCGTCTACTCCTGCTTTGCTTTGCTTGGCCACTTGCCCATTCGCCAATCCTGATTAAGGGACAAGGTATTTACTGCATCTTTCATCCTTCCCCTGGATATCTCTTCACCCTCCTTATTCTTTTCCTTTTCGTTTACCCCCTTTTCATTCAAATAGCTGCAATCAAAAAAAAATCAAAGAACAAAAACAAAAACATACCTCCTCTCCTCTTTTACTAAACTTGGGCCATTCACAAACCTTCTTTCCTTTCTTACATTCATTCACTTGTGCCTTGTAACACCACAACTGTCATTGTCCTGCTCCTCTCTTCCCACCCTCGGCCTTCAACCTTCTTTTCAATCCTCACTCAAATATACACAACAGGCAGGATCGGTCCGAACACGGTAGCATTGACATGATGACGCAGTGGTTCAACCGTCCTGCAGCATACACCCCCACACTCCTCCTCCTCAGTCTATGTCTCCTCCTGACCCTCTCAACTCATCACCTCACTCTCGCCCAGACCTACTACACCCCCATCGTCGTCTTCTCAGCAGCAATCGCCAGGACCGTCACCGAACTCTACGTCATCGGTGGCGCCGCAGGTGCAAACCCAGGCATCCGTGTCCCCCAACTCGTCTCCCTCGACCTCAACACCTCCTGGAATACCACCTACCCAGCATGGACCAAGCATGCCGATGGGCCTAAGCAAGATCTTTTCCCGGCTGCCTTTTCCTCAGACGAAAAGATCCTCTACGTCTTTCATCTCCCTGACACTAGTTCTCCGTTTCAGTGGGACTCAAATACTGAGGTGTGGAAGGAGATGACGAATGTCAAGTTTGACAATGCGACTTGGCAGGGGATTGGGGCGGTGACGGACCCGCGGACGGGGTTGATTTATATGGCGGGTGGATATAATGATGACACGAACCTGAGCGACGATCGGACGTACTTGGCGATGGATGTGTTTGATCCGGTGTCGGAGACGCTGAATAGGACGCATTTCACAATGCCGCCGGGTACGTTATTATCAAGGATTTATTATGGGAATGTGTGGTGTAAGGCCAGGAGTAGTATTTTGTATTGGGGTGGTCATTCGTACCGGACGCCTCCCAATTCTAAGGTAGATGTGGTTTCAGAATTCAAACCTGACACCCAGACCTGGGCCCTGATGGTAACGTTTGCCCTCTTTACTCCGTTTTTGAACAACTCGCAAGGATGCTCAGTCGATCAAGAGTTTACTAACCATGCCTTTTTTTTTTCTTCTGTGGCGATGTAGGCGACTACAGGAACCACTCCGGCTATGAGATCCGATCACTGCATGGTCTCAAGTATGATCCTCTCTGCTTGTTCTGTGTCGTCGATCCTATTAATAATACCAGCTATTTTCGTATGCTAATTATCTTTATTGCTCTTCTACTGCTTTTCTGCGGACCAAACTGATATATAGGCGAAGACGGATCAAAGGTCCTCATATACGGCGGTCGTCTCGATAACACGACTGTCGTCGGCGACATCTTCATCCTCGACACTGCCACACAAACCTGGACACCTGGAGCCGTCGGTCCGCCTCGCATGTATCCTGCTTGCGCCGTTGCGGGCGACCAGTTGGTCATCTGGGGTGGAAAGGCTGCCGATAACGTGGAACCACCGAGGGAGTTGATTATTTATAACTTTGTAACGGGGCAGTGGGCTACTCAGTATACCCCTCCGGCAAGTTATAGGGATATTAAGGACCCGCCGCCGTTGAACAGGACCACTGCGCCGTGGCCGATTCCACCGGAGAAGGGGGTTGTGGGGTCGAGTGGGGGGAATGGATTGGATGCGGCGGCAGGGTCGCCTGTTGGGGCTATTGTTGGAGGGGTTGTTGCGGGTGCGGCGTTGGTTGCTGTAGGGGTCTTTGTTTTCCGACGACGACAGTCTCGAGGAAAAAGAGGGCAAGGAGGGCAAGGTCTGGATGAGAAGGACGAACGAGGTGGACAAAGCGGATTAACAGGCTTGATGAGACAAGTTCGAGCACCGTTCACAAGAAAGTCCAAAAGGCAAGAGGAGAGCCACCCGGTAAGCGAGGAGGCCGAACTACAGCGGACACTGCAGGAGTTACAGGATCTCGAGAACCAGCAACAAGAACTGGAACGGAAGCGACTCCAGCTCATCCGACAACAACAAGTTCCCTACCCTCCACCGCCACCTCTGGCCCCTGGCCAGTTGCGAAGACCATCAGAATACTCGGAGCCGTTGTCCGACTACCGCCCTCCGCCCAATAACCCTGAGTTTGTTGAACCTCCGTTTTCATCTTCCGCGGTGGGGGATTCGAATTTTATTGGTTTCGAGGCTGGTGGTGGGGGTGGTCCTGGGAAGATGAGTGAGAGAAGGACAGTGCAGGATACGACGGGAATGTCGACTAATTTCATGGACTGGTCCGTTCGGCCTCCCAATAACCCACATGCTGTTGTCACTCTCTCTGGTGGGGTTGTTCTTGGCGGTGGTGGTGATGGCGTGAGTCGACCGGTGTATTTGCAGCAGCAACAACTGCAACAGCAGCAGCAGGTTCCTAGGGCGATGTCGATGTAGTTTAATAAATGGCTGCGATCGATCGATCGATAGAGAGGAAGAGTTGATTGAGAGTCTGTGGTTCTGCCCGTAATTGGCGAATAATGTCCCGATGCCGTTAATGAGAGTGTGGCGAAGTGTCGTTGCACAGCCAAAGCTAAGAACAGAAAAAGGCCGTTTTTAGAGCAGTAAAGATCACTGTTAGTGTGCAATAACACAGGAAGGCCCTTTTTCCCTTTTCCCCTTCCTTCTCCCTCTTCACTTTGATGAGTGGGAATAGGCACAGGCACGGTGAAGAGCTAGGGCTGGCAAACAGTTTAATCAATGATTCACAACGAGGTTCGTATTACCGCTACACAGACAGGCCACAACGACAGCGTGTTTGCCATTCGGGTTCATTCATCGCCCATGCGCCATTCAACCTTTTCCTTTGGCCATATGTGCAAGTGAGCTTTCTGAAGAAGTCAGCGCGCAAGGGAGTGAGAAGAAGTCAGCACGCAAGAGAATGAGGAGACATAAAGTATGGGTGCGTTTTGAGCTGTTGCTTGCTATGAACCTGCCTTTTGGTTAACATTGTTACCAAGACCATTATCTACAGGTAAACAGCTTTTATTCCGACCATCTTTCCATTTGGGGTTCGAGGGATGAATAGGAGCAGTACGGTAAGAGACCTGTGTGGTATATTTGTCCGGCCTGCATTGACTTTGATACTGCCCCCCTTTCTTTTCTTGAACAGCATGCATGATTGCTTTCCTTGTGAAATCAATCTCACCTACCCCTCAATTTTTCACCCCACAGTAAACCAGACAGCTAACACACAAAAAAAACCAGCAATGCAATCATGTCTGTCCTGTTACGCCCACCAATATTCACACCGTCTTTTCCCTCCTTTCTTTTTCGTCTCGCTTAACGCCCGACCTTTTTAGATTTTGTTTGTCCTCTCTTTAGCCGACGCTACTTTTTTTTCAAGCCTCACAGTCTCCACACCGACATTGACATTGAGACAACAGGACTTCCCGGTGATGACTTGGACAAGACAATCTGCGGCTCAAAGGTTCCTTGCCTGGCCCTCCATCCTCACCGTCCTCTGCCTCGTCTCAGTCCTATCAACACAACGTCTCACATACGCTCAGGCCCAAAACTTTATACCAACGGTCGTCACAGCGCCAGCATTTGCCAGGACCATCACTAAACTATATGTCGCAAGCGGTGCCTTAACCGCAAACCTTGACAGTAGAACCCATCAATTCATGTACCTGGATCTCCTGAAACCTTTTACCAGCACAACACCACCATGGACTCAGCTCGCTAATGGTCCTGTACAGCGGCTCTTCCCGGCAGCATTCTCGTCCGATGAGAAGATTTTGTATGTGTTTCATGTCCCTGGAACCAACTCGCCCTGGCAGTACAGTGTGGCGGATGATACGTGGCAGGAAGTGACGGCTGCCAAGTTCGGGAACGCAGATTGGGAAGGCATTGGGGCTGTCACGGATCCCAAGTCAGGACTCATCTATCTTGCAGGAGGATACGACGACGTCAATGCCAAAGCAGCCTCTATGAAGATTGTTAACATCTTTGATCCTGTGAGTGAGACCATCAATACACAGGATCTGCCGCCGCCCGATAAGGTGTTTCCGATCCGGTGGTATTATGGGAATGTGTGGAGTCGGAACCGGAGTAGTGCTGTCTATTGGGGAGGGATCAATCGGGATTATAAGGTGGCAGTTAGTCCGGTGGAGAATGGTGTTACGGAATTTTCGCCTGATCCGATGAGCTGGTTCACCATGGTAATTCGGAGGCGTCTTTTTTGGTGTTGGATATACTGCAACTCTTGTACAAACATGTTTGGTTGATTCACTTTTTTTTCTTTGTTACTCCAACTACTCAACAGCCTATACAAGGAGTCCCCCCGGTAGTCAGAGTAGACCACTGCATGACTGCAAGTAAGTCTACCACTCAATCCCATTTATTACAGACCTAGTTACAATCATCCTAACTTTCCTCCTTTTCATCATACAGACGACGACGGGACCAAGATAGTAATCTACGGAGGCCGTTTCAGGAACTGGACCGTCTCGGGCGAGCTCTGGATCCTCGACCTCGTCACCTATAGCTGGACCCAGGGCCTCTCTGGTCCACCGCGGTATTACAGTGCTTGTACGATTGCCGGAGATCAGTTCTTGGTATGGGGTGGGAGTGTCTCGCTGACTGAAATTGTGTCGTCTGAGATGTTGATCTATGATATGAAAGGGGGAAAGTGGGTGAAGGAGTATACCCCACCGCCCTTCTACAAGGACCTTTTGCCGCCACCTGCGCTAAGGAGGGTTACTGCACCTTGGCCCACCAAAACGCTGACTGGTGGAGCTAGAAGTGATGGTGGATCTGGAGGGATGGATGGTGGTACTACAGGAGAGAAGGCCAGTTCTGTAATTGTTGGAAGTGTCATTGGGGGGGTGGTGCTGTTGGGCGCATTTGCTGGAATCTTTTTCTTACGACGGAGACAGCATCGACGACAACAACAAGGTTCGAGTGCAGTAACTGGAGCAAGTCAAGCGGCGCAAGGCGGTGATGGAGGGGAGCTTGCGGAGAGAGCACAGTGGAAGGGCCCACAAGGTGTTGCCATCAGGAATGAACCACAAGCAGTAGAACAGGACTACAGTCATGTCGACAGGTCACTCCAGGAACTCGTGGAACAACAACGACAACTAGAACAGAAGCGACAACTTCTTATGCTCAAACAGCAGGGATTGACCACAAACACCACCACTACCACCACCACCAGCAGTCCTGACCTGGTCTCTTCTGAACAGCCTCGTGCTCCTGCTGTGCTCCCGCACACCACGTCCGATTATCTTCCCCCTCCTTCTTCAACATCAAGTTCACCGCCACTGCCCATGTCTTCAACACCGTCGTTCAGCCCCGAGTCTTTGTACGAAGATATATTATTGTCGACCGCAGATCTGACTCCTATACCGACAGTGCAAATGATACCAGGGCAAGTTGAAAACGATGGAGACTATGCTGGTGGGTACGAAGGTGCTCGTCCGGTAACTGGTACGCGGAGGAAAAGTGATGTGGATCTAGAGATGGTTGAGTCGATGCATGGATCGAGTCCGTCAGTGGACGTTGCGGTTCTAGATGTGGTGTGTATGCCATCGCCTGATGTTGGCATGGACTGGGCGACGCAGCCATAGGACAATTACCCCCACGCTACTGTCGTATCTTCTTACATTTAGACACAACAGTAAGCAATACGTGTTTGTGATCTGATCAATGTTGACTCTATCATCTATTTCTCATTTAATTTCGATTGTATACAATTTGGTCCGCAAATGAACGGACTGAACATGTCTTTTTTCATCATTTTATTGTGGCATGGTCTATTGCATTCAAATCTACTTGATCGCACTTGCTGCTCTTTTTTGCCACCAACATTGAATCGTCTACTTTTTGTCATCTTGCACCTCGCCACTTATTATTCAGAGGAGCCTTCTCGCTCTTGATACTCACTCCGCTATGCTCAACCCATTGCCCTTCATCCCGCATGTGCTTGTTTCTCTTTACTTTCATGTAACCTTGGTTCATTACGTTTTGTTCATTCTTACTCTCATTCGCCTACTCCATGCTCATTCATCGCCAAATGGGAGCCATACAATACGTTCAGTTGCACGGGGATAAAGCAAGGGGTCGTTTGGTTTTCTTGCTTGCATCTTCTCCCTCTTGCTTGTCTCCTCTGACACTTTTTTATTTCTTCTCTCACTCAATACAGGATCAAATTCGCCTCGACTTGGTCTCCTTTTGGCACCACTGACCGTGGGATCAAGGATCACATCATAGGTGACTTTACATTGATTTGGCTTTTGTGCATGTATCTCGCTGTGAGTGGTTATTTTTTCTTGCCTCACCTTGTTACCATCCCCTTCCTTCCCATCGCCCCCCTGAAAATCCAGCCCCCTCTCTCCCCCGCTTCCCACAGCAAACAAACAAACACACAAACCATTCATGTCTCTCTCTACATTCAAGCCTTGCGTTTGTTTATTTTAGAACGGTCATCTTTAACGCTTTCGACTTTCTTGCAAACGTCTCTACTTCTTCCGATCCTCAAGAGTCGCCAGACCAACAACAGCGCCGAGCCAACAAGAACAACTCACCCTCTCAGTATGACCTGGACATGGCAGTCAGTGACCCAAGCGCCCCCCTCTCGACCCGCTTGGATCCCAACTCTTATCACACTCTGTCTCTATTCAATCCTCTTGGCACGACATCTCCCATGCACCCAGGCCCAATCCTTCATACCGCAGATAGTTTCTGCACCAGCATTCACCAGGACCATCACCAAGCTCTATGTTGCAGGCGGTACTACTTCCGCAACGGCTCATGTGAACACCCAGCAGTTCATGTTCTTAGATCTCCTCGTCCCTTTCACCAGCACTGCACCAGCATGGACTCTGCTCGCCAACTGTCCCGCGCAGCGTAGTTTCCCGGCCGCCTTCTCATCGGACGAGAAAATCCTCTACATCTTTCGTGTCCCTGGAACCAACTCGCCCTGGAAGTACAGCGTCGCCGACAACACATGGCAGGAAGTGACGGCTGCCAAGTTCGGGGACGCAGAGTGGGAAGGCATTGGGGCTGTCACTGATCCCAAGTCAGGGCTCATTTTTCTTGCAGGAGGATACGACGACATCAACTTCAAAGTACCCTACATGAAGATTTTCAACACATTTGACCCAGTATCGGAGACAATCCACACGGACGATTTGCCGCCTCCCGAGAGGGTATTTCCCATCCGGTGGAGCTACAAGAATGTGTGGTGCAAGACCCGGAGCAGCATTCTCTATTGGGGAGGAATCAATAGGGATGGTCAAGCTCCTTTTTCGCCTGTGGAGAATGGCGTCACTGAGTTCTCGCCCAGTCTCATGGGCTGGTATACAATGGTAAGCTGATCGAACGATATGCTTGTGTCCTTTTGGTATTGTCTAAGACGATGTATTTGTGTGACAGGATGACGATGTGAGACTTGTTGAATCTAACCTTCCCTTTTTCTTTTGATCGACAGTCAATACAGGGGTCATCTCCAGAAGTGAGGACCGACCATTGCATGACTACAAGTAAGTTTCCTAACACAGCCTCGCTTCGTTGTTGTTTTTTTAGGTCATTAAGGCACACCTACATGCAATCACAACACTTTCCTTGATTATTTACAATACCCCCATTTTTTGTCGTCCAAACCTTTTTCTAGACGACGACGGAACTAAAGTAGTTGTCTATGGAGGCTGGGTCAGGAACGGAACTATTGTCGGCGAGCTGTGGATACTTGATGTTGTCGCCTCTACCTGGACCCAAGGCAGATCTGGTCCACCTCGGATATACTGCGCATGCACGATCGCAGGGGACCAGCTCCTGATCTGGGGTGGGAGCTCCGCCTCAAAGGTGATGGCGCCGTCCGAGATGCTGATCTACAATCTAGTGTCCTCGGAGTATGTGAAGCAGTACACGCCACCAGCTTACTACAAAGACCTGTTGCCGCCGCCTGCGTTGAGGAGGGTCACTGCGCCTTGGCCTACAAAGACATTGACAGGTGGAGCGGTCGCAGGATCTGGCGGGGCGGATGGCGGCGATGGCAAGGGGTCTGGTGCTACGAGGGAAGAGACCAATTCTGCGATTATTGGTGGTGCCATTGGAGGAGTGTTCCTGTTAGGCGCATTTGCTGGGATCTTTTTCTTGCGACGGAGACAGCATCGACGACAAGAGCAAGGGTCGAGTGCAGTAACTGGAGTAAGTCAAGCAGGACAAGGCGGTGATGGAGGGGGGTTTGCGGAGAGAGCACAGTGGAAGGGCCCACAAGGTGTTGCGATCAAGAATGACCCACAAGCAGTAGAACAGGACTACAGTCATGTCGACAGGACACTCCAGGAACTTGTGGAACAACAACGACAACTAGAACAGAAGCGACAACTTCTTATGCTCAAGCAAAAGGGATTGACCACAAACACCACCACCACCAGTCCTGACCAGGTCTCCTCTGAGCAACCCCGTGCCCCTGCTGTGCTCACGCATACCAAGTCCGAGTACCACCACCCCCCTCCCTCTTCAACGTCAAGTTCATCGCCTACACCGCCACTGCCCATGTCATCGACACCCACCTTCAATCCTGAGACTTTGTACGCAGATCTATTATTGTCGACTGCAGGGTTGACCACCAAACCGACGGTACAGGTGGTCCCAGGACTAGTCGTGTATGATGGAGACTATGCTGATGAGTACGAAGGTGCTCATCCGGGGACTGGTGCGCGGAAGTAAAGTGATTTGGATCTGGAGATAGTTGAGCGGATGTATGGATCTCGCCTACCCATGAACAATGCGGTCTCAGATGTGGTGTATATGCTATCGCCTGATGTTGGCATGGACTGTACAAGGCAGTAGCAAATTAGTCACCCCCACACCACTGCCGAACTCTCGCCATCACAATCACCCTAGAAAAGAAGAAGTAAAAGAAAAAGAAAAGTTGTTCAAAGTTGGTTAGAGCATGTGGACATCGATTTCATAAAGGATGCGTCTAGAAGTGAACCGGGGTTGGTCCTTATCCTAGTAGTCTCAACAAACACTTTATCAACGGACTACTATACTGAGCCAAAGGAAACGATGATTAAACGCGTCTTTGATGCACATGCTTACACAGAATTTGCTCACTTTTACCCATTGGTATCGCCCGTTAATGACATTGATTTCGCCAAATAAAATGGCGATAGTACTTTTTTGAGTCGATAAAAAGCACCTCGTCCGGTTGCTTGACTAAATGTACGCCGCTCCCAAAGAAAGAAAAAATGAACTCATGAGTTAAAATTAAGGAATGCATGCGTGCATTGTTTGGTTACATTGACCTTACTGCTGTTGGTTAACGCTTTCACGCGTCTCCAGCGCATTACGTGACACGGCATGGCATAGCGTAATGGCGTGGATGGCAAAAGAAAAAATGTTCTCTGGCTTGTGCACCCTACACTGACCGAACTCCAGAAAGAAGGGCTATTTTAGCACAGAGAGACGATCGATTCCAAAGAAAAAATAATCAGACCAAACTTGCTCACTTGTCAAGGCGTGGCGTGACACTTTATGGTTTGAACCACGCAGTGCCACATAGCCATATTTACCGAGTTCTCCCTCAGCCCCTTCTCTCCGTCCTTCCCTCCCGTAACCATTCTTCTTGTTATACCTCTCCTTGCGCTTTTGCCTTTTTCATGACTTCGATACGTTACTACTCTTTGCCCTGCATCATCTCATTCAACATGCTAGAACTCCTAGGATGGTATTGAAAACGCCTTGGACCCTCACACCCTTATCGACTTTTCTGATCTCTTTCTGAGCCTGTACTATGAGATGAGAGGACGATGAGAGGGCGAAGTGAAAAAAAAGCTATGTGAGTTTGATTGTTTTGTATTTTTTTTGCTTTTGTTTGTAAACTTTCTTTCTTGTTGTGTGTGAGCACTTTTTTTGGGCAAAGCAGGAGACATGCCAGGATAACAAAAACGAGAAGCAGGAGACCCCCCTTTCCATGAGCAGCGGAGAGTCAAGGGGCAATAACAGGTGCTATTCGTTGAATCGATGTATTGTCACCACGAAAAATTCGTTGCATCCTTCACGTTTGCATTTTGAGTCAAATTAAAAGAAGCGGGATACAGTTGGATGTATTGTGCCTTTCTAACAAAATGAGTCAAAAAAATTTAAACTAATCCAACAAAGTCCAGTGGAGAGCGGAGTGTACACAGGCGCGGAACAAAATTTTAGTTGTGAACAGCAACTTAATCAAGGTTTAGCTGTCCGAATTAATTATTTTGGTTGCAAGGCGCAATATGCAGTGATGGTTATCCGGGGATTTTTTTGACAATGGCGTGTGTGCAGTGCCAATACTCTATCCCAGGGGTAAGGGAGCGTATAACGGCATGTTGCAGAGGCAAAGGCAGGGAAAAGGGTGGTGCTAAAAATAAAGCTGCTATGAACAAAATGCCAAGGTTTGTTTTGTTTTCAATGGATCCTTTGCTGCGCTTCCATTTTGTTGTTCAAGGATGAACGGAAGGGAGAGGATAGAGGTGATGGGAGGAAAGGGGTGGAAGGAATGAACAAGTGTTCTGTTCAGGTACGATCAGCTCGTCCCATACAAGGATCAAATCATTCAGTTGGTGTTCCTGACTGAGTGTCCCTCCTCTCCTCTTCTCCCTCCCCTTTCCTTCCCGCTCGTTTGTCACCCTTCAACGTACACGTTTGCACAATTGACAGAAATAAACTGAACCCCATACAAGCAGCAAGCAATCTTCCCATTCTCTCTCTCTCTCCTTTTTTTCTTTTGCATCACTTCTTCTTCCATTCGTTCTCTCATCCTCTCTCTCACACTTCCCTTCTCGCTTCCTCTCATCGTGTACCTACACGCAAACACATTCGGAGCCATTCTACAAAAGTCGATTCCAAAGGATCAGGCCGAACTGAATGTACGCACACTGAGTATTTTGCATCGTTATGTACACGTTTCGAGCTTTTCTACTCTCGTTATTTCTCCAACCACCTTTTGTGTACTTCGACAATGACTTCGCTCTCTCGTGGGACGCATTAGAACCAACGACCCATTATGTCCCCCTTAGTTCATCGTCTCAACACATTCATCACGCGACTGCATCACACTTACACTTTGTTTTCCTTGTTGGAAGAGTGACACGGCACTATTTGTTTGTTTGCTTGTTTGTTTGCTTTTTGCAAGGCCGAGACGCAGCATCTCATTTATGTACAGCGGGGGTTACCCTGCAGGTTATGAGAGAGAGGAAGAAGAGGGTGTAACAAGCGTACAAAATATTATCGTTGGTTTGAGAAAAAGGAGAGAGAGGGAAGGAAGTAACTGCAGCCTGCTCTTTTGTCGACCGACTACAGGCAGTGTTTCAGATTTCAAACATGGCCAACGTGATTCAAAAAGCAAGCAGCACCGCCCAGACCACCATCTTTATTTTTCTTACGGCGCTGCAAATTGCAGTGGTGGCAAAGTGCTTCTTTTTTTGGTGATCCTTGGTCACTTGCACTCATGCTTATCTCACCCCTCCTCTTTTTTTGGACAATTTTGTTCTAGCCTTTACTTTTACTCCACTCAGCTAACGACACGACAACTCTGGGTTATACACCAACGACAACAGAGAAAGCACAGGAAACCACCTTCACACCAAGTCAAGGAAGGATGAAGTCCCTCCGATCCATTACAGGGTCCTTGACGCCAATCCACCTCCTTACACCCTTCGTTTTCCTTCTTCTCACCTCCTCCCCACTCGTCCAACATCGCACCGCCTCAGCACAGGCAAGCTATAATCCGGTCACTGTCAGTGCACCGGCCTTTGCAAGGACACAGACAAAGCTCTATATCCTCGGTGGTGCCACCTCGGACGGTATAGCTCTCTCACAGTTCATGTATCTGGATCTTAGCGTGGGCTGGACAACTGCGGCTCCAGCATGGACGAGACTCGCCGACGGACCCCCGCAGTTCATCTTCCCGGCCGCATTCACCTCTGACGAGCAGACCATGTTTGTCTTTCACCTCATTGGCTCGAATAAGCCTCAGCAGTATAATGTCCAGACGAACGCCTGGTCAGTCACCAATTACACGTTCAGCAACATGGCACAAACGGGGGTCAGCGTTGTCACGGACCCGAACACGGGTCTGATGTACCTCGCCGGAGGCTACAGTTCCTTGAATTTCGATAACACTACAATGACCTTCTCAAAGCTGGACACGTTCGACCCTCTCACGCTGAGTGTCCGCCAAACAGATGTGCCGACGTCGACCGATGTGTTCCCTGCGCGGTTGTACTACGGCAATGTATGGAGTCAGGCGAAGAGTGCGGTTTTATACTTTGGCGGGAACAATCCCAACAATTACACGTCTCCCCAACCGTTGGAGAATGTTGTGTCTGCGTTCGCGCCTGCCACCATGTCATTCTTTATTTTGGTACGTTACTTTTGTATGTTTTTGTTGCAAACCTTTTTATTTTTGGATGCAAGTCAACGTAGGCAGGATCTTTTTTTTTTCTTTCGTACACAGTGATGAATGATGGAGAGCATTTGATTGTATTCCTGACAGTGCTATGCATTTTTTTGGGGGGTTATGTTCTATAGAATACTGGAGGAACTGCACCTCCAATGAGATCCGACCACTGCATGGCCGCAAGTACGATCCCTGGGCTTCTCTGTCCATCAAAATCTCAACTGCGAGGGCATTAATGCAGAAGCCAACATGGTACCCAGATACTTAATTTTTTTTCTCCGATGACTTCCTCAATATTGAATTCACGTATTAGACGAAGACGGGTCAAAGGTGCTGATTTACGGAGGACGACTGCGATCGAACACCGTCGGCAGTGATGTATTCGTCCTTGACGTCATTGGCCAGACGTGGACTCAAGGAGTCTCGTCCTACCAGTCACGGATGTACACCGCTTGCACAGTTGTCGGGGACCAGCTCTTGATCTGGGGTGGGGCGGCGAGTGTCTTCGGTATCACGGTGGCCCCAGCCGAGATATTGATCTACGATTATGTAAAGAGGATCTGGACCACGCAGTATACTCCGCCGAAACCGACTCCTAACTCGAACACAGTAGCGATCATCGCAGGCGTGGTTAGTGGATTGGCTTTGGTCGCAGCGGTGGTTGGGATCTTCTTCTTTCGGCGTCGGAGGAGTCGCAGGAAGGATCGCAGGTTATTAGGGGACGCATCGAGTGATGATCCGGAAGAGGCCAAGAGTCATGCGATCGCTGCGGCGTCCTTGGGATCCGGTAGCGGTAGTAGGAATCATGACAATCAAGCCAAAGATCCGATGGAGTCGAGCGAGGAGTATGAACTGGAGCGGACGCTTATGGATCTGGAGGAGCAGAAGCGAGAACTGGAGAAGAAGCAGCAATTGCTGGTGTTGCAGCACCGTGCTGATAATCCGGAGCATGACTTGCAGGATGCGGTGGCGAAGGTGCATAAGCGAGGGCCTATGGCGTATGTCGAGCCTGATGCGGAGTATATACCTGTCCAGCCACCGACTTATCCGGACCATCAACAACATCAGCAAGGAGTACTTTCCCCACGGACCTCAAATACCGCAGGAACGACGTTTTCGGACAGGGGCTCTGCATGGTCACCACCAACAGCAGCAGTTCGGGTAGTGTCACCAACCTACGCCGCAACCTCCCCCCTCTCAGCATCATCCTATATCTCCCCATCCTCCATCGTCAGGACAAGTACAAAGGGAGACATACAAGGCGGACTAGTCCAAATGGAATCTGAGCCCTTGTACGAACTCACTCCAGGTTTCGTCCCAGGGACTCCAGATCTGGTGTATGAGCAGATGACAGGAAGTGGGAGGCAGTGGGCCCGGAAGGCGCAGGGGCCACAGATAGTCATGGATCCTGAGGATGGTACTGTGAGGATCCCACGGTCGCCGGCTACGATACCCCTCCCGTAGGTGGGTGGGGATGTATACAATAGTTTTTGGAAGAGAGTGCGTAAGCTTAGATTCTATGTTTGTAAAAGGGTCTGCTATTGCTACATAAAGACCCATTATTGCTACATTTACTCCTTAATAAGGCGAAGGGTCGTGTAGACGTCCATATCGACATCGGGGACCTTAGGATTGGTGCATGGGACATGGGGGAGGATCGATCAGAGATTCGGGGAGAGTGTTCCGGCCGTGAAAAAGAAAGATAGAGAACAACAGGTCGCCTAGAGTCCCTTTTAATTTCGGAAGTCACGGTTAATAAGACAGACAAATAGCACAGAGAGATGATCGACTCCAAAGAAAAAATAACCAGACCAAACATGCTCACTTGTCGGGGTGTGGCGTGACACTTTATGGTTTGAACCACGCAGTGCCACATAGCCATATTTACCGAGTTCTCCCTCAGCCCCTTCTCTCCGTCCTTCCCTCCCGTAACCATTCATCTTGTTATACCTCTCCCTGCGCTTTTGCCTTTTTCTTGACTTCGATACGTTACTACTCTTTGCCCTGCATCATCTCATTCAACATGCTAGAGCTCCTAGGATGGTATTGAAAACGCCTTGGACCCTCACACCCTTATCGACTTTTGTGATCTCTTTCTGAGCCTGTGCTATGAGATGAGAGGACGATGAGAGGGCGAAGTGAAAAAAAGCTATGTGAGTTTTATTGTTTTGATTTTTTTTTGCTTTTGTTTGTAAACTTTCTTTCTTGTTGTGTGTGAGCACTTTTTTTGGGCAAAGCAGGAGACATACCAGGATAACAAAAACGAGAAGCAGGAGACCCCCTTTCCATGAGCAGCGGAGAGTCCAGGGGCAATAACAGGTGCTATTCGTTGAATCGATGTATTGTCACCACGAAAAATTCGTTGCATCCTTCACGTTTGCATTTTGAGTCAAATTAAAAGAAGCGGGATACAGTTGGATATATGCAGTGATGGTTATCCGGGGATTTTTTTTGAGAATGGCGTGTGTGCAGTGCCAATACTCTATCCCAGGGGTAAGGGAGCGTATAACGGCATGTTACAGAGGCAAAGGCAGGGAAAAGGGTGGTGCTAAAAATAAAGCTGCTATGAACAAAATGCCAAGGTTTGTTTTGTTTTCAATGGATCCTTTGCTGCGCTTCCATTTTGTTGTTCAAGGATGAACGGAAGGGAGAGGATAGAGGTGATGGGAGGAAAGGGGTGGAAGGAATGAACAAGTGTTCTGTTCAGGTACGATCAGCTCGTCCCATACAGGGATCAAATCATTCAGTTGGTGTTCCTGACTGAGTGTTTAGGTGTTTAGAGTGTCCCTCCCCTCCTCTTCTCCCTCCCCTTTCCTTCCCGCTCGTTTGTCACCCTTCAACGTACACGTTTGCACAATTGACAGAAATAAACTGAACCCCATACAAGCAGCAAGCAACCTTCTCATTCTCTCTCTCCTTTTTTTATCTTCTGCATCACTTCTTCTTCCATTCGTTCTCTCATCCTCCCTCTCATCCTCCCTCTCACACTTCCCTTCTCGCTTCCTCTCATCATCATCGGGTACCTATACGCAAAGACATTCGGAGCCATTCTACAAAAGTCGATTCCAAAGGATCAGACCGAACTGAATGTACGCACACTGAGTATTTTGCATCGTTATGTACACCTTTCGAGCTTTTCTACTCTCGTTATTTCTCCAACCACCTTTTGTCTACTTCGACAATGACTTCGCTCTCTCGTGGGACGCATTAGAACCAACGACCCATTATGTCCCCCTTAGTTGATCGTCTCAACACATCATCACGCGACTGCATCACACTTACACTTTGTTTTCCTTGTTGGCAGAGTGACACGGCACTTCTTCCTCCCCTCTCCCCCCTTTTTCTCACTTGGCAACCAACGATTGTTTTTTGTACGCTTGTTACACCCTCTTCTTCCACTCTCTCAGCGTAACCCTCCCTGTACATAAATGAGATGATGCATCTCGGCCTTGCAACAAGCAAACAAACAAGCAAACAAACAAACAAATAACTGCAGCCTGCCTTACCATGACTTTTGTCGACCGACTACAGGCAGTGTTTTAGATTTCAAACATTGCCAGCGTGCTTTCAAAAAGCAAGCAGCACCGCCCAAACTGTTCGATTGCTATTTTTCTTACGGCGCTGCAAATTGCAGTGGCAGCAAAGTGCTTCTTTTTTTGGTGATCCTTGGTGTGCTCGCTTGCACCCATGCTTATCTCACCCCTATTAATACCTCCTCTTTTTTTTGGACATTTTTGTTCTAAACTTTACTTTTACCTCACTCACCTAACGACACAACAACTCTGGGTTATACACCAACGACAACAGAAAAAAAACACAGGAAACGACCCTCACACCAAGTCAAGGAAGGATGAAGTCCTTTCGATCCATTACAGGGTCCTTGACGCCAATCCACCTCCTTACACCCTTCGTTTTCCTTCTTCTCACCTCCTCCCCACTCGTCCAACATCGCACCGCCTCAGCACAGGCAAGCTATAATCCGATCGCTGTCAGTGCACCGGCCTTTGCAAGGACACAAACAAAGCTCTATGTCCTCGGTGGCATCACGAACAATACAGCTCTCTCACAGTTCATGTATCTGGATCTTAGTGTGGGCTGGACAACTGCGGCTCCAGCATGGACGAGTCTCGCCAATGGACCCGCACAGTACCTCTTCCCGGCCGCATTCACCTCTGACGAGCAGACCATGGTTGTCTTTCACCTCGGTGACTCGAACAAGCCCGCGCAGTATAATGTCCAGACGAACGCCTGGTCAGTCACCGATTACACGTTCAACCACATGGTACTACAAGGGGTCAACGTTGTCACGGACCCGAACACGGGTCTGATGTACCTCCCTGGAGGCTACAGTTCCTTGAATTTCGATAACGCTACAATGACCTTCACAAAGCTGGACACGTTCGACCCTCTCACGCTGAGTGTCCGCCAAACAGATATGCCGACGTCGACCGATGTGTTCCCTGTGCGGTGGTACTACGGCAATGTATGGAGTCATGCGAGGAGTGCGGTTTTATACTTTGGCGGGAACAATCCCAATAGCAAGCCGTCTCCCCAAACGGTGGAGAACGTTGTGACTGCGTTCGCGCCTGCCACCATGTCATTCTTTACCTTCGTACGTTTGTTGCAAACCTTTTTACTTTTGGATGCAAGTCAACGTAGGCGAAAGACGTAGGCAGGATCTTTTTTTTTCTTTCGTACACAGTGATGAATGATGGAGAGCATTTGATTGTGTTTCTGACAGTGCTATGCATTTTTTTTTTTTTTTTTTTTTTTGGGGTATATTCTATAGAATGCTGGAGGAACTGCACCTCCAATGAGAACCGACCACTGCATGGCCGCAAGTACGATCCTTGGGCTTCTCTGTCCATCAAAATCTCAACTGCGAAGGCATTAATGCAGAAGCCAACATGGTACCCAGATACTTATTATTTTCCCGATGACTTCCTCAATATTGAATTCACGTATTAGACGAAGACGGGTCAAAGGTGCTGATTTACGGAGGACGACTGCGGTCGAACACCATCGCCAATGATGTATTCGTCCTTGACGTCTTGGGCCAAATGTGGACTCAAGGAGTCTCGTCCAACCAGTCACGGATGTACACCGCCTGTACAGTCGCCGGGGACCAGCTCTTGATCTGGGGTGGGTCGGGTGCCGATGACGTGGCGGCCCCAGCCGAGATGTTGATCTACGATTATGTAAAGAGGATCTGGACCACTCAGTATACCCCCCCCGCGAGTTATGCGTCCTTGACGCCGCCACCGTCTATTGTGCGGACTGTTCCTCCATGGTTCACTAGCGCTCCAACCTCAAGCACTAGAGCTCCAACAACCTCGACCCAGGTCCCAACATCGACACCGACACCGACACCGACACCGATTCATAACTCGAACACAAAAGCGGTCACGGCAGGCGTGGTTAGTGGGTTGGCTTTCGTCGCAGCGGTGGTTGGGATCTTCTTTTTTCGGCGTCGAAGGAGTCACAGGAAGGATCGCGGATTCTTTGTCAAGGCGTCAAGTGATGATCCGGAGGAAGCCAAGAGTCTTGCGACCGCTGCGGCGTCCTTGGGATCCGGTCGTGGTAGTAGGAAGCATGACACTCTAGCCAAAGATCCGATGGAGTCCAACGAGGAGTATGAACTGGAACGGACGCTTATGGATCTGGAGGAACAGAAGCGAGAACTGGAGATGAAGCAGCAGTTGCTGGTGTTGCAGCACCGTGCTGATAATCCGGAGCATGACTTGCAGGATGCGGTGGCAAAGGTGCATAGGCGAGGACCTACGGCGTATGTCGAGCCTGAGGCGGAGTATATCCCTGTTCAGTCACCGACTTATCCAGACCATCAACAACATCAGCAAGGAGTACTTTCCCCACGGACCTCAAATACCGCAGGAACGACGTTTTCGGATAGGGGCTCTGCATGGTCACCACCAACAGCAGCAGTTCGGGTAGTGTCACCAACCTACGCCGCAACCTCCCCCCTCTCAGCATCATCCTATATCTCCCCATCCTCCATCGTCAGGACAAGTACAAAGGGAGACATACAAGGCGGACTAGTCCAAATGGAATCTGAGCCCTTGTACGAACTCACTCCAGGTTTCGACCCAGGGGCTCCAGATCTGGTGTATGGGCAGATGACAGGAAATGGGAGGCAGTGGGCCCGGAAGGCGCAGGGGCCACAGATAGTCGTGGATCCTGAGGATGGTACTGTAAGGAATCCACGGTCACCGTCTACGATACCCCTCCCGTAGGTGGGTGGGAATGTATATAATAAAAACCTGTAGACAAGAAATGGTTTTGAAGAGAGTATGTATGCCTTGGCCTTATGTTTATAGCGAGGGCGATGTCTCCTTTTGCTCTCACAGCCCCTCTATCCTTTAATTACACCTTTAGATTTCTATCCCTACCCTTCTCATCATCTCATCGGACATTGAAAACAGTTGACACATTTTTGAATCGCGATTTCGCACGGACATGAAGGAGGGAGATGGTGCCAGTGCCCAAACTGGAGAGAAGGGAGAGGGAGGCATACTCCCTTGTAACTGCTACATTTCGATACAATTGTGCGAAAGATAGTAATAGCGTGTGTGCGCTATGTTATTTAACATTCAACTTATAACCGGCACAGACAAGGGGAATCTGACTGACTAATTAAAACATAGCATTGCGATGGCCAAAAGGTGGTGTTGACGCAATGTGATTTTCTGCCCAGTGCTCTGAGTGTCTAAAGTGAAGATGTCCAACCGAGCGCGGGCAAACGGCGAAAGTAACTATGACGCTCTTAAGGTAGCCAAATGCCTTGTCATCTAATTAGTAATGCGCATGAGTGGATTAACGAGAACCCCACTGTCTCTATCTACTATCTGGTGAAACCACAGTCAAGGGAACGGGTCTTGGCAAAACCAGCGGGGAAGGAAAGTCCTGACTCTAGTTTGACATTGTGAACAGACGTATGTGGAGTAGGTGGGAGCTTCAGTGCCAGTTTAAGATACCACTACCCGTATTATTTTTTTACTTATTAATACTTAGTTAGATAGAAACGGAGTTCGTTTTCCTTCTAACTTTAAGGTTGCTTTACGTAGCCGATCCAGGTTAAAGAGACTGTTTGGTAGAAAGTTTAGCTGGAGCGTTGCAAGGGGGACTCATCGAGAACAGAAATCTTGAGTAGAACTACAAGGTAAGAATCTCCTTTGATTTTGATTTTCAGTGTGAATATGTGAATATGTGAATACAAACCATGAGGGTATGACATATCGATCCTTTGGTCCCTGGAAATTTCAGGCTAGAGGTGCCAGAAAAGTTGCCACAGGGATACCTAGCTTATGGCAGCCAAGCGTTCATAGCGACGTTGGTTTTTGATCCTTCGATGTCGCCTCTTTCTGCTCCACTGAGCAGAATTCAGTACGCATCGGATTTTTCACCCTCTAAATAGGAGCCCATTGTTGTAAACACGTTCGGATGAACCTACACCTTGAATCTATTTTTTTTTCTCTCACTTACCACTGTTGCAGATTCAGGAGGTCCGATGACGGTTGACCAGGCCTGCAGTTAATATGAGTTGTTGGCCTGTTGCTCCTTAGTGCCTACATTATTCCAATACGATGAGGTAGACGTCAGACGTAAGTGGATGGATAACTAGAAACAATATTTCGTATTTGCAACCCAATGAAGCAATTGGGCCGTGTGAACCCACTTCTCCTCCTCACCATTACTTCTCTTTTTTTTGTGACACCCTGACTGATTTTTGACTCATCGACTCAAAAATACGGCTCTAACCTGTCCTGTGGTGTTGTGAGCATGAAAATGACATGGAGGCGCGGTATTGTGAGACCATAGCGCCAGTCCTGTGGTGATGAGCGTATGCAAAAAGACACGGTGGCGCAGTAACATGGGTAAAGAGTTTCTCTGTTTTTACGAACTGGTTTTCGTCCGCAGCAACAAATAAGGTTACTATGTTGCTTTCAATCCATGCCAAATGATGACTTGACTTGACCCTTAATAGAAACTTGTATTTAAGCATCAAAAAACCAATTGTCTCACCCTTTACTTCATACTTCTTTCCCGTACCCTCGTTCCCACAAAACCCATCGTAGGCCATCACATTCCTTTATATCAAACAAAATGACCTCCCCCACCGCTCATCCTCCGACTCTCTTGACGCTTCCAACAGAGATCTTCGAGAGCGTCCTGCCGTTCCTCAGCCAACACGATCTCACTCAATGCGTCCGTGTATCTCAAGCATGGAACAGAACCTTTGTATCACACCTCTGGCGAACCATCGACTTCCGTTCCAGCCACCGCCTCAAACGGTTCCTAACAAGCGAGACCCAGCAGGCACTAGTCAAGAACGCAAAGTTTGTTCGCAAACTTTCCATCGTCCACAAGAAGTTGTACCATCAGTTCCTCCCATCTCGACAGACTCTCATTGAGGAGCCTGGAGTATCCCCAACTGACGTCTTTACGATGGGTCTCTTCGCCAATCTTCTCACTTTGGAGTTGCACTATCTCAGACATCCGGAAAACGATCATGACCAACGTATCCATGCACTCGTTCGGCAGAACCCGTCCCTTAGGCGTCTTAAGATTGATGTCACAATGGATACGACGGCTCTGATGAGTCTCATCACAAAGCATGTGCCAAACCTGCGGGACCTGGATCTCTCAGTCACTTGGCGCGGCGATGTCAAGGCCCTGCTCGGGAATCTTCCCGAATGTATCCGAACGGTACGGCTGAGAGAGGTCCATCACACGGCGCCAGGCAACGCAGACAAGGCATCCAGAGTTGAGTCAGGCGTCAGTTCGACAACGATGAGGCACCATCATGCCCTCGAGTCATTCTCTATCGGAGGCAATCTCGCAGGGCAGGAAGAGGATGTTTTGTTCCCGTTCTTGAAGAGTTGCAGTCAAAATCTAAAGTCGTTTAGCGGCAAATATTCGGCACGCTTCTTCCACAACGCGAGGATCGGCAGTGCCCTATCTGACTTGGGTATTTTTTACACGGAGCTGAGTCGACACTACTTGCCGCCTAACGAGTCTGATGCCAATATTGCCAGGGGTATCTCTCTTAGCCGCAACTGCACCAGCATCGATCTGCACATATGTCAGGTGGGACCTTTGACAGCTGCCGCGATTGCTGATAACTGCGAGCGTTTGGAGGTACTCGATGTCATGGAGCACGGCACCAGTGGACTGATGGGCTCTCATTTGCAGGCAGTCCTGAGCAAGGCGACGAGACTGAGAACACTTCGAGCACATTGGCTACTCGCCACCGACAAGATCAGCGCCATAGACATTCTCTCGTCAGAGTGGGCTACTACATCTCTGGAGCATGTGGATTTCAAGATCGATGTACCGCGAGTCGGCGACGATACACTGTCCAACAACACCGAGGCCATCCAATCTTCCCGCGACACCCAACGACAAGTCCTCCGGCGCTTTGGTCAACAGACAAACCTCCGGAAGTTGAAGATTGGAGGCATGGCCTTCACAGCTGGTGTATTTGGTCACCAGCACCACTGCCTCGAAATGACTTTGGAGAGCGGTCTTGACGAGCTGGTGGGCCTTAAGGATCTCGACTTGCTGGACATTCATCATATGGACCACCGTGTTGGCATTCCCGAACTCGTGTGGATGTACCAGAACTTGCCCAAACTCCGTTACTTGATTGGTATGATGGACTCCTTCACACCCCCTTCCCCTGAGGTTCGACAGTGGCTCCAAATTCATCGCCCAGGGTGGAGGTGAATGTGTTTTTCTGCGGATAAAATTATAGGCTAGTTTTTTACTCCACTAATGAAGTGCTAGTACAATAGCAATTGAGAATTTTGTCAAGAGGAATCGTTCAGTGGATAGGAATGAATGTGTGGTTTGTATTAGGGTCTTAATCTGATATATCTTTCGTACCAGACCAGCCCAGGCTATGCCAACTACTATGCTGTCTAGTGAACTAAATGCAAAAAATAATAAAACTGGACAAATGTTTGGAAGCGCTGACGTCCATGACCTTTTACCCAAGAATGCTATTAACATCCAGACCTTTCTGGATCTCAGTAACGTTGTATCTCATTACTATATCTACTGGTACAATTGAAATAATGTTTCTATCATCCACACTGAATTTTTTCTTGCAAAGACTTAGAGTGGGTCATTTGTACAGTTTCGTATCGATGATTTTATTTGCATATCAAAATCGTGTGTTGCCTCCTTTGGCCTTAATGACAGCTTACATCCTTTCAGGCATACTCCGAATCTGATTGCTGCAGACCTCCTTTGGCGTCTTCTCCTCCCAGATCTCGCTCACTCGTTCCCACAGGTCAAGCATGCCATCAGGAATTCCCTGCAACCTCGTAAGCAACACACAAACACTTTTTTTTTTTTTTTTTTTTGGCCCTGACGTTCAATATGAGCAGCCCATCTTTCTCGCCTCACAACAGAGCGAACATGAATATAGGCTTTTTTGTTGAAAATCCGCTTTGTCCGAAAGGGCAAGAAAACACAACCCCGCACCCAGGCTCACAAAATTCCATAATGTGTCTTGGTTCTTAAGTAAGCATTTAGCCTACAGTCATTGACTACTCTTTTCGGTTTCGGATGATGTGCACGATTTAAAACAGAGCATCAAGGTCATGGGGCATGCATGTATCTGGCTCGTTCTCTCAACCCAGAGATGAGGCGTAGAATTTGGACAGCATGGCGAAAAGCGTCAATGGTTTTTTAGGCACATACAAAAGAATAAAGATAGTGGCATCATGCAGAAATCAGATATAATATGACAAAATTAGGCAATAGTCGATTCTTCAATTCGTGTACACTAACTTTCAAAACTGAGCAAACTTTCGGATGTTTTGTCTTTGAGGATGGTTATCTCGGTAAGGGATATTTTGTTGCGAGCTCTGTTTATTTCATCCTAAAGGCCAGTCGATGACCTATCTTTCTGTGGCGTCTTGGAGGTAATGCTCTGGGCATGCGTGGAGAAAGAGGGATTGAAAAAATCAATTCACAAGTTAATTTTGGAAGCACACTTTTTGAGCATGATCCTAAGCCTTTGACTCCATATTGCCGCATGCGTTTAGTAAATTGTGTTACCATTTTTTGACCGACAAACAGCCGGAAGCCCGCTGTGCATGCTTTTGACCGGATTCTAACAGAAATTTGGGGGAATGGCGCACCACTCCTTGGCGATCCTTCCTCGCAGCTCCCGGCAGCTCGTGGAGCATTCCCATAGGCAGCAAAGCGGCGCTCGGGCTCCAATCATATATTTTTGATGAGATTCAAGTCTCATAACCGAGACGGTAATGTCAGTAGCGCTCCTTCCTCCTCTGTGAGGTCAGCCGATCGGAGATACTCCTTGACAAACTTGGCCGTGTGCTTCGGATCATTGTCGTGCTGAAACATCCACGCGCCAGGCTCGAGGCCCCACTCATTTACCGACCTGCTGAACCTCCTGAAGAATCGTCCTGTATAGCTCGACGTCCATGGTTTCATCAATAAGCGATATGGCTGGGTCCGTACCATGATATGCAAGACCATACTCTCACGTTGCCTCCATCAAAATCGACAGTTCCTACGTACCGTACGCGATGTGGTTCGACTAGGAAAATCATCTCACTGATATCTGACGCCGTCTAAGCAAATCCGATTAGCCTTAGACTCGTCCGAAAACACAACACACTTCCAATCCTCGAGAGTCCACTTGTGATATTTTGCAATCACCCGCTTTCGTGCAGCCTTGTGTTGCTTTTTGAATGCTGGATGGCGGACAGTCTTTTTTGCACTCATTCGATCTCTCTAAGTGCCCGATGAGCCGTTTGCACAGATTTTTTCGCGGCAAGGGCCTCATTCAGCTGCTTAGTTGCTTGAATTGCTGGCTCGACTCATCTCTCGGTTGAGGTTCAAACGAGCTACTTGAGCGTCTTTCGTCATCAGCTTGTGTGAACGGCCTCCCTTGTTGACGGCGGGGATATTGGTAGCCGATCTCCGCGAGATATTGAGCCATGTAGTGACTTGAGGACTATATTACCTTTCTTGAACAAATGGAGTGGCTCCTTCTTGGTGGCGGAGGAAAGTGGTTTCATATCGGAAGCCTGGATTCCGGCAAGACAAGTGATGCAGAAAAAATGCGAAAGAGGAAGAAAATGAATGCTATTATTGACTTTTTGAGAACTTCGGCAACTAATTAGCGTGTGAAAGCATACAGCTATTTCTATAATTTCACAAGGTAACATCGAGAGCATCTTAGAGCATAGACTGGACAACCAAGATGGACAGTTTTATCAATCAGCGTACCATGAGATGTGGTTTGGAGAAAGTTGCACGCAAATGACACACTCTGGTTATTCGCTTAGTTTTGTAAGCTAGTATATATCATCCCTGCACTCGAAACTGGATTATGCTTGCGTCAATGTGGAATGGACGACCGAGTTTAAACGAATCCCAATCGGTGAGCACTCTCATTGCTTGGAATCCGGAGCCCAGCATTGCCATCCTCCATACTGTACGCATGCAGTCCCTCCCGAACCTGGGCTGCGATTCTCTCAAGGAGGACTGGGGGCCAAACGATGGCCCAAATACCGATGGCAAGGATAAGAGGCGCGGCATCAAGGACAAACAAGAAGACTGAAGTAAAACGAGAGTGAGTATGTCTATTCTGCTGCTTGGTCACATAGATGATATCTATAACAACAGATCTTTGGTGTTACCTTCTTTGCTAATCAAATATCCATCATAGCCTTGTGCGAATTCAACGATGCGATAAACGGATCGGACCTATGAAGCAAGCATGTACAGTTAATTGATCAGGCCGATCAGGAATGGCCCAGAGTAGTAACATGAGAACAGGCACTCAAATGATGGAACTTACAATGATGAACAACGACGAAAAGTAGAGACCACCGAAGATCGTGACTGTACTTCGGTCGAACTCCATCCAGCCCTTCACAGGCAAATCAATCCTAGTCTTCCGTCTCTCAACGACCACGCGCACAAAGGTGATCGAGAGCAAAACGGTGAAGAGACAGTATGAAGCACCCTGGCCACAGACGCCAGCGAGGAACAGTTTGTCGCCGATGTTGGAGAGAGACTGGTTATCTCCTGCGTTGCCTAGCATACTTCCTGCAGTGACTTGAATAAGGAATGTAGTGATGTCCGACCAGATGAAGGCACGCCCGACGATTCGAGGCGGAATGAGAGAGTAGCGGGATTTCTCCATTCTCGACTGAGAGTCGTTGGCGCCGAACTTTGGATCAATCGCGGTAATTAGCCGGCCGTAGAGCATGTAGTTGAATGCGAGAAATGCTGAGGGGGTGGCGATGATGAGGATGTTCTGAACGACAAAGAGCGGCACCTTAAGGTCCTTGGGATCGATAGCAGTTCTGCAGAAGAAGCCAATTGAGGATGCAAAAGCAGCGACGGGCAGACAGATGGCCCACTTGTTCGTGTGACGGTAGATACGCCATGAGAAAATGAAGCCTAAGACCGCATACACCAGGCCGAAGACAATATTAACCGCGACATTTGGCTGGTATTTGATGGGGCCCTCATGTTCCGGCATTTGTGAGATGTAGATGGCTGTGAAAATGGAATGAGTGTTGGGTTGTCGTTGCGGTTATTCGTCGTGGGTGAGCCGGTGGGTTTCTGTTTTGTAGATTGGGGTTTTGTTCTTCTTTTATACATGGTGGTAATGCGCTACAGCCCTCCGAAGATAACCTCTCTAGACATGAATTTGTGCATTCAAGGAAGGTCGTCTAATGTCTATAAACTATTCGGCTTAACACACACTCTCATTTCCAATGGTCGGTCATTGGTTTTGACGTCGTTGGCTTTCTTCTCCTCTGTCGTAACATATGTGCTCAACAGCCTCCACTACAGCGCGGCGTTCCTGCGCAGCGAAAATCAGAGGGAAGGCAACCCAACAGCTGTCACATGACAGAGTCACATTTGATGCGCCTGTTGCCAAGCCAATGCCACGATATCACAATTCCAAGGTAGACACAGCTTAAGACTATTTTAAGGATTTTACCGAGGTCGCCCTCGCTCCTGTTTCCAGCGTAGTGAAAACCAGCTGGAGGAAAGCCTCTCCAACAGCTGCCACGACAGAGCCAAACTTGATGCACGATCACCTCGGTCCGTCGTCCAAGGCGTGTTGCCAAGCCAAAACCGCGATATTGCATCAGTCTTCCGTAACAACTCTGCGCCATAACAATCCCATGGTAGAAATGGTTGAACTCTATACATGAAACTGTGCCCCTGGTTCCTTGGTTCTTGAAAGAACTTGAAAGAACTAATTTTTACGCTTCTTACTTGAACGCGTCATGGATTTGATTTGTGTGGTGCGCTGAAGCGAGAGGAATTGTTGGTGGCTTGAAACCCCTTAAGCCAAGTGGTATAGAAGAAGCCTGCTCGAGGTCAGAGAGAACAGAACCTTTCTTGATATCGAGCAGGTATGTGCAATGCTGTTCTTGTTCTTAGCAGTATTGATGGGAGCGTTTGACATAGCGTAGCCCTAACATTAAAAGCACCTTTCTTTCTTGATATCGAGCAGAAGCGTTGAAAGTGTCAGAGTTTACAGTCGTTTTCCCTTTATACATCTTCTGAGTTACACACACACACATACATATCTACACACACCTACCACACCTACGCACACCTATATACACACACGCACAAATACGTCTTTCTTCCTTTTCCATGAGCGACCAAGATACTGGAGACACTGGGTCGTCCGCACCTCTGCGAGAAGGGACAGTCCTCCCTTCGCCTCCTCTCGATGGTATCTGCCATGACACTTCGACACAGGCGAAGGGAGGACTGTCCCTTCTCGCAGAGGTGCGGACGACCCAGTGTCTCCAGTATCTTGGTCGCTCATGGAAAAGGAAGAAAGACGTATTTGTGCGTGTGTGTATATAGGTGTGCGTAGGTGTGGTAGGTGTGTGTAGATATGTATGTGTGTGTGTGTAACTCAGAAGATGTATAAAGGGAAAACGACTGTAAACTCTGACACTTTCAACGCTTCTGCTCGATATCAAGAAAGAAAGGTGCTGTTCTCTCTGACCTCGAGCAGGCTTCTTCTATACTACTAGGCTCGGCTTAAGGGGTCTCAAGCCACCAACAATTCCAGCACACCACATTCACTATCTTGACGCGACTGAAGTTCTAGCGTACCTTGGAATGAATACACCTGTCTTCTGTCTCTGGCTGGTTCCAGGCCGGTACCCGTAATGGGCTACTTGCTTAGACTTGCTCATTCATAGCTGTTTGTCTCTTACCTTTCTCCATTCCGGTTTCCTCTTCCATTAGAGGATCATTAAAAGGATCCTGTCTTCGCTAAATTGAAAAAATCACTTTTCTTTCCCGTCTCCACTTTCCCGATATCTTTCATGTCTGGGTTTATTTTCTGGGAGACTAAATATAGTGGGCAAGAGAAGGAGATGGAAAGTGGGAAGGGGGGAGAGGGAGGGTGTGCAACATGGAGACGAGCAGAGAGGATTGACAGAGAGGAGCAAAGAAATGGAGATAATGCATGCAGCGATATAAAGAGGTGTTCTTACTAGGCCTTAAGAGGGGGGGGGGGATTATTTGATTCCAGCGCTGGGGCACGGGCCAGTCTTCGGTGCATCGATGGGTACGAACGTTCCATCGGTCATGCTGCCCTTGAGGTTGAAGTACCAGTTGATCTGTCAGCACTCGATACTCCTATTCCGAATACATAGCACACGCCATTGGCAGCCCTCGTTCTGCTGCATTCTCCTTCTCCATTACCTATCTCAGTGATCCACTGGAGCAGTCTAACGCTGGAATGAAGCCAGATTGCGTCTTGAGGGCCGACGTCGACTCTGAAAGAGTGTAAGTGGCCAGCGATGAGGGGACGATGCCCCGTTTGCCAGCCATGTGTAGGTGGGGAGCGTCTTGACGTGGCTCACGATCGTTCGAAAGTATGCAACAGCTTCCGCGACCCGGGCGCTGCCTTTGGGCAAGCACGAGAGCTTTAGGGTCGACATGCAGGTTCCATGGGTGGCCCACTCATTTTCCCAGAAATGTTCGTTTTGACCATTGATATATACCCAGAACTTGCTCATGAAGTCTAATGTGTTTGATGCACCATTACTATTGAGAAGGCCTGCCATATAAGTGTAAGCCGAGAGGGGTCGTAGTTCTCCGAGAACGTACTATCACAGTTGTCGGACAAGAGTCCTTGGATGGTGAAACTGTCCTCAGGACTAGTAGAACGGTTGGTGTCCCAGAGCTGGGTCTGAAGCATCAGACCCCCCGGCGATTCGAAGCAGCACAAGTTAGCAACCACTGAGGTATTAGTGCACGAGGCAGTACCAGTCGTGGAGCAGCCACTACTCTGGCAATGGGTCGGAATGATGAACAGGAGGCGACAGCCAGGGAGGCAGCAATGGACATGACCTTCATGGCGACGATGTAGTTTTTTGTGAAGGGAGAGAGCTTGATGGAGGGGTTAGAGTAAGGATATCAGTGGGGGACCAAAGAGAAGAGAGACGTGAAGAGGAGAGAATGAAGGTCGACAGACGGGCGTGTACATAGCGAGATGGAAGACTGGAATGGCAAGAGAATGGCAATGAGTCGTGAAATACAGGGAGATTTCGAGGAAACAGTTCTCATGCTGTCACACCATGATGCCTTCTATCTTATGGATTCAGTAACATATATTAAGGACAGGGAATAGTTGATATGTTTAAGGTTTAAGAGAGGACGGTGCAGAAAGGAGAAATCCAGGAGACGCTAAGAAGGAGCAGAATGGTGACAAACTAAGTTAAAGGCAACGGGAGTCATGCACAAACATCAAGGGGAGGCTATTAGAGGAGATCGTAAGGAAAGGAGAAGGTACTATTTGTCTTTTATCAGCCCTTTTCTTCCAAGAAAGTGTTAGGGATTGGAAAATCAGGGGATTGGAAAAATCAAGGGTTGCGAAAGCAAGGGGTTGGAAAAAGCAAAGTCATGCCGAGAACAGAAAGAGGGATGCCAATTGATCAGCCAAGTAAGAAAAAAAAAGAGGGACGCCAAAAAAAAATCAAGGGGATGCCAAGTGAAAAGGAACGAAACACCAAAAAAAGATCAAAGGTGGGGTGAGAAATAGATGGATGCTGGAATCACTAAGGTCTTGCTAAAAAAAAAAAAAAAAAAAAAAGAAGAGAGAGACGCAAAAAAGGATCCAGGGATTAACAGACAAAGTCAACTAACCTGTGGTAGCCAAGCGTTCGTAGCGACGTTGCTTGTGGTCCTTCGATGTCGGCTCTTTCAATCGCTGCTTCATTAGAATTTGAGGTCTCGTTGTAATGCTTTGTTCCCTTGTAAGAATCAATTTAATTAAAGGGGGTTGTATGCATACTGCAACAGTTGAGCTTGCCCGAGAATTTAGATCTTCTTAGTATGAAGACTATAGATGATGAGAAGGGAAAAAAAAGTTGGATTTGGCCAGGATGATGGCCATGGGACAGACTGTGCAAGAATTCACCCTTACGTGAAAATATTCGCTGTGTCATGATTTGGGTTCTCTCCTAACCCCATTTTATTGATAACCTTCAAAAGTCGATAAAAAAATAAAACGGACGAAGGGATAAGACAGCGAAAAACAGAGTAATCTCGGAGAACAGCCAGCTGGCTACTTCTCTACTTCCTATAGACCCAATTCTATTTTTTTAAAGATGCTTTGGCTGAACTGTGAAAGTACCATTCTTCTTCAAGAACTCGATGTGCTGCTCCTTGCCAACATCTATGGCCTTTTGGGATTCATCCCTCTACACCGGTTTAGGATCCATGACACAAGAAATGTCGTTCGCGGCGTCACGACACATCCTCCAGTCGTTCAATTCATTGTACACCTCCTCCTGCTCTTGCTCTGTATAGTAACCACGTAACCACGAAAGTCAATGAAAGTGTAGGGCATTTTGTACGTTTTATTATTTTAAAGCGCACGGTCTTCTAATGCTCAGCTTACCTGCTTTTCGATCCATGAGGCTGACACCCGGCTTGCTACAGGGATTGGTAGGTCCTCGTACGAATTTGGCTCCTGTTAATGCTGCGTAGTCTCTGAACGAACACAGCTTTCGTCTCTAGTCACGTAAACGGCAGAGTAATTCGCTCCATGGCTCGAATACCCTTCGAGATTTCCGAGACAGTTCCCTTGGTAGTGGATACTCTGATAGAGGGCGCTGCATCCCAGTGTCCGTCCGCTCACTCCTCATTCTCTATTAAGGGTAGTAGTATTATATATATTCTCATAGGGCTCAATAAAGACCCCAGCTTCTTTCTCACCATCTTCCTCTCCCCAGCTGTTCATATCACACCCCACATGGCAAGCTGATTGATGACGCTTAAGTTTGAGGTCGTGTTGTCGATGCATTTATCCTACTACTATCCAGGTATATTATTGGCACTTGAGGGGTTATAAAGTATATTACGATCCTTCGAAGGCTTCCTTCGTCGATACTTTATCCCCTTGCGAAAATTTACAGTGCTTTTAAGTAGGGCGCCATACTTGTAAAGTGCAAAATCATTTCTGATATCACTAAAATATATACTCTCTCTCTCTCTCTCTCTCTCTCTCTCTTCATCACTCTTGATAGCTCCAGGAGAGTCACGAATGAAGAGGTCCAGAATGGTCACCACTGTGGTGACGTAGATGGGGATCTGCCCTTTGATTGGTATTTTGATGGAGTTCTTGCAACCACCATTTCGTAGTGTAGAAAATGATAATAAAATAATTCGGAACCGAGCAGTTGGCTTGGGGCGTTTCTTTTCTCGTATTCTCTTTGATCCACTCTTTTGATTGTTATTCTGACCAACAAGGACCACTCGACCACCTTTCGACAGGTATTGCCATGAAGGCGTATCCTAGCCATGCGCCCGTCCCCTTCTCAGTCAGCATTGAAAGCAGGATCTCTCCGCCGCCCCTGCGCATTGTCAACAATGAACACAATGCGCACTGGGTAGCACAATGAAGCCCACCGCCGACCGGCTTGTCCATCCTATCCTTGACACTATTTACGCCATCCCTGGTCTCATAGAGATCCACTTTTCGCCCTTCCCACGTTTCCACCAGTTATCGGTCCGACCACCATCGTTGGTACTGGCCGATCTATCGTCTAACGGTGGACTGCGGCGCAACTGTCAACTTATGTTATGGAATAGCCGCTGCCCAGGGGTATGCTTTACAGTTTGCACTCCTTCCCTTTGTTCTCCTCCATCCTTTTTATTTTATATTGCTTATTCTATTGAACTCAATATGCGAACCCCTTGGTCCCCTTCCTTTTTATCTTCACAGATACAGTCCTCTCTCCACGGCCCATTTGTTTAGACTAGATCCCTCACAGATAGTCTTAATTACATCATCGCACTACGGAGTTTCTCTTGATTGCTTCAGACAGCAGCCGAGTTCCATCTGGTCCAATTGAGTTGTGCTGCAAGTCCAAAGTGGTCAGAGTCGAGTTGGTCTTGAGTGTCTCAACCAGCGCCTGAGCTCCAGCTGGTCCAATCGAGTTGTTACTTAAGTACAAAATGGTCAGAATCGAATTGGTCTTGAGTGCCTCAGAGAGCGCCTGAGTTCCGTTGTCCTTGATCGAATTCCTCATCAAGTTCAAAGTGGTCAGAGTCGAGTTGGTCTTGAGTGCCTCAGACAGCGCCTGAGCTCCATCTGGTCCAATCGAGTTCCTCCACAAGTCCAAAGTGGTCAAAGTCGAGTTGGTCTTGAGTGCCTCAGACAGCGCCCGAGCTCCGTCGTCTCCGATCCCGTTATAGTACAAGTTCAAAGTGGTCAGAGTCGAGTTGGTCTCGAGTGCCTCAGACAGCACCTGAGCTCCATCTGGTCCAATCGAGTTGTTACTCAAGTCCAAAGTGGTCAAAGTTGGGTTGGTCTTGAGTGCCTTAGACAGCGCCTGAGCTCCATCTGGTCCAAGTGAGTTGTTACTCAAGTTCAAAACTGTCAGAGTCGAGTTGGTCTTGAGTGCCTCAGATAACGCCTGAGCCCCATCTGGTGCAATCGAGTTGTTACTCAAGTCCAAAGTGGTCAGAGTCGAGTTAGTCTTGAGTGCCTCAGACAGCGCCTGAGCTCCATTGTCCTTGATCGGATTCCTCATCAAGTTCAAAGTGGTCAGAGTCGAGTTGGTCTTGAGTGCCTCAGACAGCGCCTGAGCTCCATCTGGTCCAATCGAGTTCCTCCACAAGGCCAAAGTGGTCAAAGTCGAGTTAGTCTTGAGTGCCTCAGACAGCGCCCGAGCTCCGTAGTCTCCGATCCCGTTATAGTACAAGTTCAAAGTGGTCAAAGTCGAGTTGGTCTTGAGTGCCTTAGACAGCGCCTGAGCTCCATCCGGTCCAATCGAGTTGTGCTGCAAGTCCAAAGTGGCCAGAGTTGAGTTGGTCTTGAGTGCCTCAGACAGGGCCTGAGCTCCATCTGGTCCAATTGAGTTGTGCTGCAAGTCCAAAGTGGTCAGAGTCGAGTTGGTCTTGAGTGCCTCAGACAGTGCCCGAGCTACATTGTCTCCAATTAAGTTGCCCCGCAAGTCCAAAGTGGTCAGTGTCGAGTTGGTCTTAAGCCCCTCAGAAAATGTCAGAAATCCTTTGAACCAGATCGAGTTGCTCCTCAAGTTCAAAGTGGTCAGAGTTGAGTTGATCTTGAGTGCCTCAGACAGGGCCTGAGCTCCATCTGGTCCAATTGAGTTGTGCTGCAAGTCCAAAGTGGTCAGAGTCGAGTTGGTCTTGAGTGCCTCAGAGAGTGCCTGAGCTACATTGTCTCCAATTAAGTTGTCCCGCAAGTCCAAAGTGGTCAGTGTCGAGTTGGTCTTGAGTCCCTCAGAAAATGGCAGAAATCCTTTGAACCAGATCGAGTTGCTCCTCAAGTCCAAAGTGGTCAGAGTCGAGTTGGTCTTGAGTGCCTCAGACAGGGCCTGAGCTCCATTGTCCTCGATCGAGTTGTGCTGCAAGTCTAAAGTGGTCAGAGTCGAGTTGACCTTGAGTGCCTCAGACAGCGCCTGAGCTCCATTGTCTCCGATCGAGTTGTGCTGCAAGTCTAAAGTGGTCAGAGTCGAGTTGGTCTTGAGTGCCTCTGCCAGTCTTTCAAATTCCTTTCCTCCAATCGATCCAGGTGATAGCTCGAAGGATAATTTGCAAAGATGAGATGATGTTTTTGGTTGGACACTGAGGAACTTGATGAACTCCTTTGGAAGGATAATGTGAGTTATTTTCACAGTAGGAAGTTCCCTGAGGCGAAAAAGTGCTTCGTATTGTGCGGATGTTGATAAGAGTCTGTTGCCAAGGCTTATTCGAAATCGTCGGAGATCTAGTCGAAGAACCGATACTCTTGATGTTTTGAGTGCATCCTCTAATTCATCGAGATCGCTCCTTGTACAGTCCCAGCTCAAATCCATGATAAGTTCGAGGACACCCTTGGCTTTGCTGAGGGCATTGTAAAACTCGGCGGCGGCGAACTTGGACGTCAGCACAATTTCGACCCTTCCCAGCTGCTCATAAAGTTCTCCTTCTGCCAACTTGACCACATCGCGGAGCTTCTGGGTGTACTTCTCTTGATAGCTGGCTCGGTAGTGGTCGTGGCAGACCCATTTGACATGGCCATCCGAGGTTGCCATTCGATAAAGGTTGCCAAGAAGGTTCTCATCCTCTGATGTCTTCAAGAATGATCCCAACTGACGTAACTCTACACCCTCTAGACCCTCGACATCGCTCAAAAAGTCGGTCAGGTCCTGTTGCGTCATTGCTGCTCGAGGCTCAGTGCTGATGAAATCACCTGGAGAAGATGCTTGAACTTTGGACAGTTGATTATCGATACATTCGAGCGAATAATCGATCTTGGCCGTGACTGACTCGATAGACTGTTGGACAGAGTCTGCCAGCTCGACAACTTTAAGACTAGCCAAGGTAGGCACAACATGGCCGGCGATACTTGTGCCAAATTTGATTAGCTCGAGCATCAACAAAAGAAACGGACCATATTTCTTGAAGAGCTCGGTTGGCTCACGGATAAGATATCCTCCGTGTTTTGCCAGATGGAGGTGGTGTGGTTCCTTGCTGTTGTTGGCCTCGGTATGCTTGCCGCACTCACAAATGAAATGCAGTCGAAACTTGGTTCTAAACCAGTTGCCAGGGTCATACTTTGCCGGTTCTTCTGGTAGGACAATAAACAACCGAGGAATCGGATACTCGGTCAGCTCCAACTGCTGCGTCAAAATGGCCTCGGTCTTACTCTGGATCAGAATCAGTCGGTCCTTCATCTGCTTTTGCAGCTTCAAAACCTCCTGGGCAATCTGCTGAGTCATAGCGCCTTGGTCGTAGAGCCCATCTAGCTTGTGCATGACTGTTCCCTCGAAGCTAGATTTGGCCGTCAATGCCAGAGTGAACTTTGAAGCAATCATCGATAAGAGAGCTTCAGAGGTCAATGGCTTTCCAGACTGGCGAGCTAGCTCGACGGCCGTGGTGATAGAACTGAGCTGGCTCTGAATGTAAGTCGTGCTTGCTCTGGTCATGGTTGTTTGGCAAGGTTCAGCGGACGAAAGATCAGTTAAAGGCTTCGTGGCAATGGTAAGGCCGGAAACAGACTCATCAAGTCTCGCAGTGAGGCTCGCCGAAGGACTGACGTTAAGCTCATTAATGGTAGCGCCAGGATGGCAAGGATTGATCGGAGCATTGGGGGGATTCTCGGCTCGACTATCGGTGTGGGTCAGTCTTGGAGTTGCCATCGGAGAGTCGTCAAGAACATGTTTGGCAACAGAGGCCAAAACTACGTCCAAAACTACATCCGGGTAGTGCTTGATGCAGAGAGGCGTGATTCTAGAGTAGAGCAAACATAGTCTCAGCATGATGGATCTTATCGCTATGCCATAAAACATGCACTTTCATATCATTTAGGTACCTTGTTCGATTCGAATCTCTCAACGGATTGACACTGACATTGCCGTTTTTGGCGTGCTTGGCCCCAGGAAAGACTTTTTCAATGTCCTCCCAGTAGACGACATAATGCCCGTCAACATGATCGCAAGGGATTTCCTCAATATCCATGCTCCCAATTAAGCGAAACGATTGAGTGAGTTCCATTGTTGACTCTGGATGAATGTGTTGTATATAGATGATAAAGAAAACGGTGGGATTGTGTAGGAAATTGAAAGTGGGGGGAATGGTTGGGATGGAAGAAAAGTTGGAGCGAAAGAGACAAAAGTTTGGTTTTTCCACTCCAAAAAATGGCCGTCCATCTGCAGCATCTGTAGTGCTTCGCCTTTTACTTTGCTGTTTGCTTTGCCTTTTACTTTGCTGTTTGCCTTATTGTGTCAAATCTGTCAGGTGAGCATGGTTGCACAAAGAAAATTTCAAGGGAACTGAGGAAACATTCGAAGGTTGGAGCCGACACAGCAGCGAGCAACAGTTTTGCTCTCTCGTGCATGCTCTCGCAGAGATAACTGGCTTACGACAGCCCAAGCATTCATAGCGACGTTGCTTTTTTGATCCTTCGATGTCGGCTCATTGGCCTCCCTCCTTTATTAAAAATGGCATCGGTTTTTTTGAAATCGGCATCGAAATCCATTTTTAATAAAGGAGGGAGGCTATTCAATCCTTGCCTCATTAGAATTCGAGGCCGCGTTGTGATGCTTTGTTTGCATTAATTCTTAGACCATTTAAAAGGCGCATCTTGCCAATACAAGAACTGCAGTCATTGTTGCTGAGAAAGCTGGTGATGTGGGTCCCGGTCTCTGGTAGGTTAAGGGAACGGGTGGCCATTTGTGTGGGAGCCATACTTGATGTGAATAGGTGTAGGTGAGATTATTAGAATTGGAGGAGCAGAAATGATGGCGAAGGCGGAAAAAGGGATGAAGGGAGAAAAAAAAAGAGGATGTGATGAACGGAGAAGGAAAGGAGGCGAAGAAAGCACAGAGATGAAAAGTCTGTCATTGATTCCATTTTCGTAAGACGAGCGTGTGCATCGGGCACGCTGAAGTTTACGAACCAAAAAAACAACAACTCAAAGTCTTCAAAATAGAGAGTGAAGAATGCATGATTTGCTCTGGAATCTGCTTGTGCACGTTCCGCTTCTCAACACTGACGACAACAACGGCGTTGCGAAAGTCATCTCAGCAGTCTGTTCGGTGATCGGATCAGAGTAATGCTCGGCGGTAGTTGTGCTAATCGCCGTCACTTTATGCTTCTCTTCCCTTTCCCTCCCCCAATCTCGCCTCCATATCTGCCAAGGTAGTCCCACTTGCAACCAGGTCTTCCTCCATATGGCATAGGCATCGGTTATGGACGGCCCGCATTTGTCGACATTCTTGGCAGCTCCAATCCTGTTATCACGGCGATCACTCTATCTTGCGCCGTTGCTCAATGCAATAAGAAAGAATAAATAAAAGAGAAAGAATAAATAAAAGAGAAAGACAGAAGAAGAGGGAGTATGTATACTTGTCCTTCATTCCTGGCGAGTGACCATGCTTTGCCGTCAAATAATCGATCATTGATCATTGATAAAAAATCTCGTTTGTCTCATATGTTCGCATCCAAGGGATCAAACGCAGTCCATGAATTCTTGACATGGTGTACTTTTTCTTCTTCTTGTTCGTTATCTCGACTCCTGTGACTTTCTAGAGGTAAACATCCCCCTTAACCATTACGCGAAGCATAGTTGTCGTAGTGTTCCCTTCCACCACCCACAAGACAATACGGAAGGCTCATATTTTTTTTCTTCTCATCAGGACAAAACATTGATCGGCGTCGAGGGTTTTCATGTGTCCCCCAAAAAAAAATGGAACCAGGAGGGTAAGAATACAAGGTTGATGAATGTGTGCGCACGCGTTATTTTTGATTTATTATCGCCCTCCATGTTTGAAGGACGCCCTGGGCATGATGGTGTTTGTTGATGCGTTTCATGAAAAAAACAAACTACTTTTCTCTTTCTACTCTTCGTCCCCCCTATTTCGGTATGCGCAAGGGGGCGGGCGGGGGCGCGGGTTACTCAAGGACGGCATGAGGGTTATTAGGCTGTGACTTGCCATTCGACCAACTACCTCCATCATCAACATACTCATGTGGACTCGACACCTGTCCCTGAAAATTCTTGACCGGCGCATTCACCCCATACATCCCCTGGTCTGTCACACCTCCACTTGAAGACGCGATCGCTGAAGACATGGGGGGCAAGGGTACAGAGTTAGAGCCGGGCGGGTGGACGTAATCTGCGGGGTTGTAGACATGTGGAGTAGACCCGAAATTGGGTTCTGCGTTGACTTGATAGATCTCGCTATGTCCTGGTCCTGAAACCACGGGCATTGAAGGAGAGTAGGCATAGGAGGACGGGGAGACACCAGGGGCGGTTTGGGCTGTCTGGGCGGCGGTGATCACTGGTGGGTAGTAGTGAGGGGGTTGGTAGCCGTAAGAGGTCGAAGGCTCCTGGTACTGGTGCATTTGGACCATGCCGGGTTGGGAAGCGGCGGCGGATTGTTGTTGGAAGGTGAGGAGCTGGCGTTGGTGTTCGAGTTGTTGTTGCTGGTTCTGGAGTTGATTATGCATCCTCCTCAATTCCTCTTCGTTACTGTTCCCGTTGTTTACTCCTGATCCAGATACGGGGGCAGAAGAGTGGGGGGCAGCACTGGTTTCCTTATCGTCAGAGTTGGTATTGACGGGTGAATGGCCATGGGTGTTGCGCTGTTGACGACGACGGTATATCAACAATCCTGCAATCGCACCAATGACCACAATGCCTCCAACGATACCCCCCACAATCGCGCCCGTGTTACTTCCTCCTGATGCGTCACCTCCTGTTCCAGTTCCAGTTCCCGTAGGCTTGGCTGCCGTGGCGCTCGCACTAGCAGATGCGACATAGCTTGCAGGCGGGACATAATCTGACCCCCAGGAATTAGTGGCGATATTATAAACCAACACGGGGCTGGCTACCATGACATCTCCAGTAGTCCTACCACCCCAGAGCAGCAACTGGTCCCCAGCAATAGTACAAGCAGTATAAATGCGAGGTTGTCCAGGCGCTCCTTGGGTCCAGACGCCGGTGATGGTGTTGAGGATAAAGACTTCTCCGGAGAAGGGGCCGCTTGGGAGGCGGCCGCCGTAGATGATTACTTGTGTTCCATCGTCGCCTATTTTTTGGATGGGAGAGAAGGAAGGAGGTGGGTAGGTGTTAGTTGTTTGGGAAGAGTCTGAGACGGGAAGAACAAGAGGCGTTGAAAAGGGTAACTTACTGGAGGTCATGCAATGGTCAGCACGGAGGGAAGGAGCTGATCCCGACGTCGACTGCCATAGAAAAAAAGTGAACGACAAGCAGGTTTCTTGTTAGCCCATCGTTGCCTTCCAAAAAATTTGCTCACAAAAAATAGCAACTTAAAAAATCGAACCACAAGCAGATCACCTCTTCAGATTCCATCCATAATTAACAAGAACTCACCATGGTGTTCCAAGACGCAGCAGAGGGGCTAAACTCGCTCACGAAATTATTCGCCGCGTTATTGGTAATGTTATACCCTCCAAAGTACATCACAGTCTTCCTCTGTTCATTCCAAGTATTGGTATAATACCACCGCGCCGCAAAGATATTCGCCGGATTCGGGAGTGCCGTGTGGGCGACAGCATCGGTCGCAGGGTTATAAACATCCATTGTCCCTCTATCCGTGTACCCTCCAGCGATGTACACCAAACCCGAAGAAGGATCCGTTACAGCCCCGATACCTTGAGTCCCACCTAGGGGGAAACTCACTGAACTCGACGCCCAGGTATCAGTCGCGACAGTGTACTTGTAAGTCGAGTACTGTCCCGCAATATGGAAGACCACCATCGTCTTTTGATCAGCTGTGAACACTCCAGGGAAGATGGACTGTTGAGGGCCGGATGTGAGGCGTTTCCAGGCTGGGGTGTTGGCGGACCATGGGACGGAAAGATCGAGAGAAAAGAACTGGCCGATGGGAAGAGTGCCGTCGGCGCCTGAGGGTAGGCCGCCGAGGATGTACCATTTAAGGGATGTTCTGGCCGATGATGGACCTGAGGCTGCAATCGGGGCGTCCGCTGATACTTGTGCTTGCGTGAGGGTTAAAGAGAAGGAGAGAGTGAGGAGTGCTGCGGCGAAGAGGCGGGAGGGCGATCTCCGTGTGGTGGAGGAGGAGGTGGTCATTGTTGAAGGGTATGTTTGTGGTACAGAAGGGGAAGGGGTTTAATTATTTGTTTGTTGCTGATGTTGAGGGAGAGCACAGGTGGGGGAACGATGGAGAGAGAGGAGGAAATTAAGTGAGGGAGAGAGGTATGTACGAAAACAATGTACAGAATGGGTAAAGGGTATCGGAACGTCCACAATGGAGAGGAAAAGAGGGGAGAGGGAGAGAGAGAGAGAGAGGGAAGGAGGAAAGGAAAGAGGAGTGGAGGTTAGGAACGAACGAAAAGAAAAGGAAAACAAAGAAGGAAAGAAAGAAAAGAAAAGAAAACAATAGAAAGGAAGGATAGAAAGGAAGAAAAGAACAGAAAAGAGAGAAAGCGGCAAGAAGACGAGGGAATAAATAGGCAATTTAAAATCAATACTCGCAAGCGTGTCTCTTAGCCGCTTGTGCAAAAGGAAAGATGAAAGACAAGGAGGCAACTGTGGGTATGAGAAGGGGTGTGTGAGCAAGCGTGGGCTAGGCGAAAAAACAACCACTGTTGGGCTCAAGGACAGCTTGTTCTTCCCTTGCTTAGCTCTCAAAAATAAAAATCGAGGGAGCGGGCTTGGTTAGTTAGATTTGCGTCTCTCTTCCGTGTCATTTGTGTGTCCGATAGTGAACTCTAGCCACATTCGGATGAGAGGGGATAAGATGCATGGTGCAGGTGAGAAAGGGATAGATGAGGGGGGACCGACGGAAAAACATCGCCCCACTGCTGTTGCTGCACTGGTAAACTGTGCCTTTTTTTATTTGGATTTGTATTGTGGGTGCGGGTACACGTTATGATCATCATCCATTGCCGCCGAAGAGGGACAACAACATTCTTCAACACGTCTACTGATCTTAGGCGCCCTCTCTTCACGCGTACCTGTTTCGGAACATTTTCAATACCAGATTTTCTGTCATTATTCAGGACCCCATTGGCTGTCATCGTGGCAGTGTTGCTCTCTGTCGATGGTAGCTCTCAATCAAATCTGTCGAGAAGAATAGAAACACTGACGATCCATTCCTCTTCCATCCTCTTCTTTTTCTTCGGAGCGGTGATAGAAATAAGAGAATTGAACACAGTTTAAGTTTTCCAACGAACTTTTGCCAGTTTGTTTCTAGTCTATCTTCTATTTACCCTATGGCGCATGTGCATGTGCACTTTGCTTGGCTTGTTCTCGTTCTTCGCTCTTGGATGTTACTCCTTTTTTTATATTTGCTTGCCATCAACCGTCGCCTTGAGACTAAAATAACATTCTTTACTTTTTTCCTTTCTTCCCACTCAGTTTTTCGATCATCACTCCTATTCTTCTGGGTTCCTTCGCCCTCCATGCATATACGCCTATCTATCTTCACAAACCTTTCTTCTGCATTCATTCCTTCGCTCTCCATGGTTGTTTTCTATCGTCCCAAACTTTCTTATCTCTCACTAAATCCTCGTCTTTCGCCAACTCTCTGCCCACACTACCTTCTTTTTTTTTTTTTTTCCAAACACACAAACTCTTCACCGTCCCCAGTCCACATCTCGCGACAAAGAGTGCATACTTGTTCATTTATAAAATCTCCCTATCCGTCCTACCTTCTGCATCGCCACACTAAAGATCTTCCCAACTTGAGCTACGCAATACCTCTTTACTTCGAGTTTTATCTTTGCCACCGACACACCGCCACACCCCACCCACCCCCTACTCCAGTCGATTCCTTTTGATATCATGGGTTACCCAATGCATTGCGTAATGCCCTCACTCGTTCATCTGCATTGCCACATTTTGAGTGGTGAGAGTTCAAGTCAAGGTAATCAAGCAAAAAAAAGAAAAAGGTGTGTCAACTCAAAAGTGTGTCGTTCTGACAGATAAACCACGCGTGGAATAGGGTCACGGAGTTCAGGAAAAAAAAATACCGAATAAATTGCTAGAAAAGAGAACATGAGGAACAGTCACTTGTATCGATCATTGCCAATGGATGTGAGAGGCAAGAAATAACCAATGGGTATAAACACTGACAGTTTATCATGTTGTGTTTTTATTTTTGTTTTGTTGAAGACCCTAAAAAACACGCCGGTCTGGTATCACCCACCTCCTTCCAAAAAAAGGCCAACGGTGAACAAACACAACCATGTCCAGGTCGAAGAATGAAGAAATACAAGTGAGCAAAGTAACAATAAAGTAGCAATATGTTGTGGTTGTGTGAGAAATACAAGAGAGAATGCAAGTAGAGATTGCAAACATCATGAACCCAGTTCAGTAATGAAAGCATTGGTAATGGTGACGGGTACTCTTATCCGTGTTTGTGGCGCAAGACAAAGGGGCATCATGGCAATGATAGAAGAGGAGAACTCGAGAGTGGTAATAGTAAAAAGTGGGTGCGGGGCAAGTGGAGGGAAGAAAGAAAAAAAAAGAGTCACAAAGAGTCGACTCAAGCTTGTGTTACCGCCGCAATGTTGGAACGACCACCCCTTGAACGTCCCCGATCACCTTCTCAAAGGGAAGGGTCGACGGGACCTCGGAGGGGACCGACGGCTTGGATGTATCCGAGATACATTTACTGCTGCGTCATCCGGTTCATGATGTTGGTGACCTCCTTGACGGGGATGACAGGTCCATGTCCCGAGCACTTGGCCTTGGACTTCATCTCCGCGCACAGATCATCAATATCCGCATCGTCAAAGTTGGGGTGCTTGGCAATGTGCTCCCAGACCTCAGGGCAAGGAAGTGCGCGCTCGTTATCATCCAGTGGTGGCAAGCTCTTATTGGTCGACTCGGTGACCTTGCCAAAGAACTCTTGGCTCTCCTCTCGTGCGGGTGTAGCAGCAACGTTCGCAAATGAGTTGGTGTAGTTGAACAGTTGGTCGTTGAACAAACCGCCAATCGCCTCTGGAGGGAAAGCGGCTGCGTCGACAGAATCCTCAAATGTCGGGAAAAAGTCATGGGAATCAGAGGTATCGCGGAAATCCGTAAACAGGGCCTGGGTCTGCTCATAGGTCAATGAAGGGAGTCCCAAGTTGGTTGTCGTGGGTGTGAACGTAATGTTTCCGTGGGCATCAAACAGAGGTGTGCTGTTCACAAGGTCGTCGATTGTGGGCGAGGGAGAGTGCTGGGATGTGGCGATCAATGTACTGGCGGGGCTAGGATGGCTAGCAACCGTCGACGGACTGTAGGCGCTCAGGCTGCTGGCAGTGGTGGTATTAGGTCCAAGGTTGGGCACAACCGAGTAGGTGTTGCCAGCACCGTCCAGCAACGACGAAAAGAGAGCAAGATCTCGGGCCGAGGCCGTGCTTGTGTGTGTGTTTTTGTTAACTCCGGGCACAATTCCTGCATTATCGACATAGGTTGTCCGAGGAGTGGTCGACTCGGGTTCAGGGGTTGACTCTGCGTTCTCCAATGGCGAGTTGGGCACACTGTCGCCAATCGACGATGGTGGTGACCAAGGAAGCTGGTCGTATGTTGGAGGCTTGGCGACATTGGTACTGGTGAAGGAGGGCTTTTTTGTGGGTGCTGCCTTCTTAGTAGCCGCAGTTGTTGCAGTTGGAGTAAGGTTGTTGATGGGTTGTGATACTGGGCTAGGGGACGACTGCTCTGAGCTGGAGCCATTGGCACCCTTGGCGAGGTTGTAGAGTCCTGGTTGAGCAATTGGGAAGTCGAAAGTGAAGGCCTGCTCCTTGAGGAAGTAGTTCTCGGTCTCGAGTTTCTGGACAAGAACCTTGAGGTTCAGGTTCTCCTCTGCCAGCTTGGTGTCAGTCTTGCCTGGGTTAAGTTCCTCGAGTTCCTTGATGCGATCCTCCAACGACTTGACATAGCGCTCCTTTCTGTCACGGAACGCGCGCTGTGCCGCTCTGTTCTGTGCCTATTTGATGAAAGATGAGATGTAGTTAGGTTAGTAAGAGGAAGAAAAAATGACTAAAGTTTATGGTAGAAGTATCCAGCAAAACAATGAAATTACCTTGCGCTTGTTGGTGGGTTCGGTGGTTAAAGGCTTGCGACCAGCTTTCTTGGGGGCAGGTTTACCTTCGCCGGGAGAGTGACCTTCATCTGCAAGAGAGAAATGTAAGAGGTATCGAGAGGGATGGGAAAGGAAACAAAAGAGGGAAGGAAAAGGAAAGGGAAAAGGAACAGGAGAGGACATGTGTGAGCAAAACTGCCACTGCCAGCACGGTATAATACTGCGACAACTGGGTGAGTCGATCGATCAATTGAGTTATCCTCATTGACCGGCGCCTTGACAGTCTGGCTGGGTGCCTTTTGTTATATGTGGCCATGAGTGCACCAACAATGAAAATGGGTCTTAGTAGTAGACTCACCCGAGCTGTTGTCGCCGTCCGAGTTGTGTACTTCCTGATTGCTGTTTGCATATGAGATCGCTAATATGGATAAGCGAAAGTGAATGAGTGTGAGTATGAGGATAAGGCGGAGTCAATGGGTTTACTGTTTGAACAGGAGGACGGGAGGAGGGCAAAATTGACTCTCTCTGGCTGTCTGTCTCTCCTCTGTCTCTCTTCACACACAGACTGGACACTCTCCCTTCTCTTCATATACCAGTAAGACTCTCAAAACAACCCAATGAAACTTACAGGACTGGAGATGGGAGAGGTTGCCTTTGCGCTTCATGGGGTCCTCCTCTCGGTACTGGTCATGGTGGGCAATGGCAGTTGAGAGCAAGTCCTGTGCCTCGGGGTTGTTGCTAAGAATCTGGGCCCAGTCCTTGTCGCCGAGGAAGTTCGAGTATGAGTTGGCGTGGTGCTGTTCCAGCGACATGGCTAAGTGTATGTGTGTATGTGGGTGGAGTGGGAAGGAAGGGGAACTAGGGTGTAGGGTTGGAATGAATGAGTTGTAGAAGTGAGGAGGACGGTGAGAAGAAAAAGGAGGATCGGTGAGGAGGAGGAAGAGGGAGGAAGAAGGAGTGTGTGTTGGGTGTGTGGAGTATGATGTGTGATGGAGGAGTATGAAGGAGAAGAAGGGGAAAAGGATCGGCGGAGAGACGAACAAAGGGCAACAGGGACAAAAGTGAAAGAGAAAGAAAGAAGGAAGGGAAGAAGCGCAAAGAGACAAAACGATGCCTCAGAGGATTATATGAACAAAAAAAAAAGATGACGACGACGCAGTAGCCCCGTGCAGTTGTGTTTCAATCCATCAATCCATTGGCGTAAAACATCCGCTCATCCACTTGGACACACACACAACCTGTTTCTTTTTTTCTTCGTCCTTGTTCTTTTCATTCAATGGCTGGCTTGTGCTTTCTACTATCCACGAACGTCCAATTCATCCTCAATGACGCAGTTGGCAAACAGGAGGAGCACCATCCTTGTCTTGACACTGCGCAGATACACACTCATCCTCTCCCTTAGTTGCAATGTTCGCCCTTGTTATCAAGAAGGAAAAGAAAAAAGAAAAACCAAGTGCGGCGTCCCTATAGCGGGAGGTATTTCTTTTTCTAGATAACCCTTCACTCATCGCCGTTATTCACCGCAGGTTCCTGTATAAATACGTCCGCCCTTCCACCTTTTTCGCAGGTTTTTTTTGCGTTCTAATACTTTGGATGGTCCCCTTTCTTCCGACAGAACCGAGGGAGTATCTACTTTTTTTTTCTTCTGTGCTCTTCCATTTCCTTATGGTTCAGCAAATGTATCTCTCCTTCCCTTCCACAGAACCCCCTCATAGCTATTTCGAGCACAAGAAAAGAAGTTGCTAGTACGGTTCGAGTGAAGGAGACCCTTAACCAGAAAAGGTGCTTAATAATTCCATTGACGCTACCTGATTGGTCAGCTCTTTATGTCTCTCCCTTCACTTCACTCTGAGTGCCATGCACCGTCTTTTCCATTCGTTGTCATTCTCTCCGACCAAAACGGCCGACCACAAAGAAAAGCAACCGACAAACAAACAAATCCATCTGATATGTTATTCCTCGCATTGATCTTTATCCGTGGGGTTCATTCTTCCCCTCCCGCTCCTTCCTTCTCTTCCCTCTCTACCTGCCCTTCTTCAGCCATCCTTCCCTGCTTGACAAAGCAACAAGATGTAAGCCCCTCTTTGATGAACAATGGCCTGACTGAGACGAAGCCAGACAAATGTCGTCATTGATGGCTGATTGTCCCTCCGTCATTGGCTACAACCATCAACTCTCTTTTCTTGGTGCTCCGTGCCTCATCACCGTTGAATTTTTTTTCTCTCTTTGTTGTGTTCAGGCACCATCAGTCCCCTTGCCCACTTGTTTCTTCTTTAGCCTTATTTCTGTAGCCCTTCCTTGTCTTCTTTCTTTTGTTGCACCTATTGAACACGCTTGGATTCTTATCAATAAACAAGAAAGTACAACCAGCAACTTCATCATCATCATCGCCAGCCTTGTCTCACCTGCAGCCTCGTCATTTTTGTTCTTGGTTCACATTGGAGGTTGGACCAGAGGTGCAGGCTGATGGTGTATATGTTTGGAGCCACGGCATGAGAGACGGAGGTGTACATTTACAAGGTGATTAATGAGGAGAGTGAAAATAAGCGGACTTTTGGTTTGATCAAATGCTCTGCTAATGTGTCAGTTGGTAATGGGCAAAGTTCCTATTTGATCCCTAAGCAAAGACATGGGTGGCGAAGAAAGAAAAGAAAATGCTGGCTCCAGGGACAGGTGAGTGAGATTCATCACATTTCCCCTTTCACTGTCTGTTGGTTGTTTATTTTCTTATAAGCCCAAAACTCAACAACATGAACACTTGAGATTGGCACATTCGTGTGCGGCGTGCGTCACGCTGAAACGAGTAAACAAGCGCGGCAAGACGAGGTTGACAAAGAGGCGAAGGCTCAAACCACATTGGCGTTTTCTTCTTCGTCATCCTTGTCACTTTTCCCTTTTTTGTCCCCAACACTTCAACTCTGCCCTCCTTCATCTCCCGCTGACATCCCCTCTTTTTTTTTACCTCTAAATAACATTCTACATTGTCCATTCGCAACGCCCGTCCTTTGCTCATTCCACCAGTCAACAATCACTTTCTTTTTGGTTTGTTCCCCCCTCGTCTCCTTTCAACTCACACACGCGAACAATCCATTTTCTACGCGAGAACCAACACCGCCGCCTTGACTCTTCTCCTTCTCTCTCTTTCATTTTGTATTGATACCGCATTTACTATTTGACGAAAAAAAAAAGAAAAAAAACGACAACAAACAGTTCAGCAACAGCAAACCCTTTTCATCAAAGTATGTCCGTTATTCCAGAAACATAGCCTCCTGGACGATCACTCTTTGCGCTGGATCACACAATCTCAAAAGTTGGCGCTCATACGACGATCGTCATTACTGAATTGAATTACGATTAGCTCCCAATGAGCAAGCAAGTTCACCAGAGCCTCCGCTTTTGTTCGCTTCCATGCACTTAGAGTCTCAGTTTTCCTTCTCTGCCTCCTTCCCTTCCCTCTCAGACATACGAGAGTGTAAAGGTCTTTCAGAAGGTATATTAGCGTGGACACTTCTGTCTCCTTTACAGCGTTATTCTCATGCTCCCAGGTTCATGATGGAGACTAATTTGGACTCTTCCTTTGGCCCAATCAGTCCTTTTGAACATTTTTTGTTAGCATCCTTGTCGAAGGGGTATGTGCGACACCTATGCAGCTCTAATTGGTGCATTTTTATTCCCCCTTTAAGTCTCATCAATGCTCACCATTTTCTAAAATTACTGACAGTTGACGCAGCCTGCATGACTGACCATGCTACATCCACAAGTTGCCCTGATCGGGCCAAGATAACCCCCGAGGGTCGGCTCACACTCAATCGACTCAACGTCTGCGCCAAGAAAGCAATTGAGCCCTGTGCCAAGGCTGATCGCACCTTGTCCAATGCAATAGCTGCAATCCACCTCGAGAACTCCAAGATCATGAGTCCTGTCTTTGTCCACCCCAACAAACAAGCACCCCACAGGAATGGGTCGGTCCTTGGGTCATCATTGGTAACAGCACCTGCAAGACAGATAACTGCCCGTTGCGTTGATCAAAAGACGCCCATTCAATCGACTCGCCGGTCCTTACTTCCCTCCTCCCAATCGAACGACTCGCAGACCATCGATTCCTCCAGTAACGATGCAGGATTTACCAACTTTTTACTTTTACCGAAGTCTGCCACACCCTCGTCAGTGACACACCAACCCTCTAGTCGCCCCTCCTTGGCTAGCTTCTCCCAGACGAGCAGCACCCGGACAACCGTCCCCCCCAGCGACGCTACAGGTCTCACCAACTTTTTGCTTTTGTCAACTGCTGTCGCTCCTTCCCCGTCAGTCGTTCAAAAACCACCACCCATCCATAAGGTATTCCCCAACAACATCGCCAAACCAGAGCTTCGCTCTTGGTTACCAGACCTTGCATTCCACTTCAAGTCAACCCGTCAGCTCGCGTTCGGTCTCTTGCTATTGACTCAGGACCCGACATCATCATCGCCACCCATCGCAACGCAGGACAAGGCGCAGGGATTGGTCCTCACCGATGGCGAGATGGTGTGGGTCACTAACATGAGGGTGGCTACAAAGGAGCACGACAGCCTTCGTTGGTTAGCTGCGCAAGTTGTTACACAATTCTTAAAGAAGCAACACAAGGATGCAGGATCTATCGAGGAGGTCACGCTGCTGGGTGCTGTTCTAGAGCGCAAGGATTATCGTGGAGTCCTGTCGGCCCTCATTGGTCAACTGGAGCGCGAAAAATTGACGGACGTCGATCTGCTACAGGCCTTGGTCCAGTTTCTTCAATCGGCCCCACCGAAGCATCTTGTCGACGATGACTTTGTCAGGATCTTGCGAGTCCTACGAGGACGCCTGAAGGACACGCATAAGGCGTTAAACGACAAGAGGCAGCCAGGATCCGATCACGTTTACCACCTGTCCACCGCTATCGCCCGGATCCTTGATGCGATGATTGCAGGCAAGATTCATGGACTCGATCGTGCAGAGGATCACCTGCCCCTCCTGGATCTGTTAGTGGAGTTGAAAGAAAGTGTTGATCCGTACCTCAAATTCCAGGCAACATACGCCTGGCAGGCTCTTCAGTACGTGGGAGACGACGAGACACCTCTACATGCTGTTCTGAGATTTGGAGGAGGCGTGACCAAGGCTGCCCTGGGAGTCGCCAGCGTTTTCAAGTTGGATCCTGAGCATCTCTTCAACGGCCTTTATGAATTGGGACTGGCAGCAGGACAAGTATACGACGTCGTCAAGGCCGGAGTGGAGGGAGCGCAGGCATTTCGAACTGGAGGAGAAGGAGTTGTTGACAGCATGCTGAAGGGGTTCCGATCTGGGGCCAAGAAAGCGTGGTACCCAGCTCTCCAAGGTGCACGCGTGTTTGTCCGAGAGGGTCGACTTGCCGATTTCGAGCGTGTGATCTATGAGGCGCCTTGCTGTCGGGAACCAGAATTCCAGATGGGTGTCTGTCAGTTGCTGGGGGAGTTGGCCGTGGATCCGATTTGGGAGTTGAAGACCCGCCAACAAGCAGTCAACCTTCTGAGACAGCTGTACACGAGTGACCCAACGTGGGTCGTCGATACTGGTGTCAAAGTCGGCATCCTCGGAATCCTCCTCTGCCTTTCCATGACTGAGGACAACACCATCCAGTTGCAGTCTGCCGTTATATTCGAGGATCTGGCGCATGATAGGGTTGGCGCCCCTCCCGGTCCTTACCCGTTGGCTTTTCGTCTGCCGATACCAACAGCATCCCCTCTTCTGGACAAGACTCTCAAGATCCAATCAATCGAGCGCAACTTGCTGCAGATGAAGACTCTTCGTCTTGCGCATCACGATAAAACCATATACATTCCTCCTCTTGCCAAAGCCAACCCTCAGACACCCGAAGAGGAGGCGACACCACTGATGGATCAAGTCACGGAGTTTCTGGACAGTGAACGACAGGTGTTTTTGGTTATCGGTGATTCAGGATCTGGGAAATCGACCTTCAACCTCCACCTCGAACATTCTCTCTGGAAGGCGTACGAGCAAGGCGACCCTCGCATACCACTCTACATCCACCTCCCTACTCTTCGATCCTTAACATCGATGATCGACGAACAGCTCATGAAGTACCACTTTGACATGTCGACTATCCAAGAGCTGAAACTGACGGGTCGGGAGTTTATTGTCATCTGTGATGGCTACGATGAGGCTCGATTGATTACCAATCTGCATTCGGGTAACGGGTGGAACCGGCCGTTTGGGTGGAACACAAAGATGATTGTGAGCTGCAGGAGCACGCATCTGGGAAGGGAGTATCATACACGGTTTCAACCAATGCCGAGTAGTCCGTATCATGCCCCTCTGCTGCATTTGTTTCAGGAGGCTGTGATTGTTCCATTCTCGCAGGGTCAGGTCAAGGAGTATGTGGAGCAGTTTGTGCAGGACCCGACGATGCATGGGCTGTTTTGTAGGAAGGAGGTGCAGTGGAGTGCGGAGAAGTACCTAGATATGATTGAACGGATCCCGAACCTGGCCGAGTTGGTCAGGAACCCGTTCCTGTTGACACTTGCTTTGAGAGCTTTGCCGGATGTTGTTATGAATGGCGGAGAAGGAGGAGCTGATTCCACAACGACGGATGAGACCGTGACGGCGGACGTTGCCGAGATGACTCGATCACAGCTCTATAAATCCTTTGTCAGCCAATGGCTGGATATTAACAAACGCCGCCTCACCACATCCCTCACCCTCCAATGCCCCACCGCCGCCGACACCCCCACCACCACCACCCCAACCGCTGCATCAACCCTCCAAGACCTAATCGACGAAGGCTTCCAAGAAATCGCCCTCGACTTTCTCCAATCCCTTGCCGCCGCAATCTACAAGTACCAGCGCGGGAAACCCATCGTCGAGTACTGGCACCGCTCCGACAAAACTACCTGGAAGGCGGACTTTTTCGGACCCGAGTTGGATATCACGCTGTTGAGGGAGTCTAGTCCGTTGACAAAGGTGGAAAACTTTCATTTTTTTATCCATCGGTCGTTGATGGAGTATTTTTATTCCTGTCATCTGGCAAGGACGACGAGACCGCGGTATGGGTTCAAGAAGCCTGGGCCAGCAGTGGCTTTGCCAACCATGTTCGCCCACGAGAATTTCTCGTCCAGCGCTACTCTCAACAGTTACTACGACATTAGCGAGGACATTTCCCGATCTTGGCTCAACCGGCATTACGCTACTCAATGGGAAGAAGATGCTCTGTTGGAGTACAACCCTTCCCCATTCCAACACCAATCCCAACCTCACCCTCCTCATCGTCAACCTCAACCCCAAAATTACTCTTCTTATCCTCAAGGCAGTTTTGTTGTCGTGCCACAGGCGTCGGTGGTTGATGTGCCAAATCGTCCCGTGAGCACCGCTCAACCCAATTATCCCAATTATCAATCCCATATCCATGGCTTTCCCAATCCTCAAGGTGGTCGCGATGTCGATCCGCCGCTCATGCACATTTCCCCTCAAGCTGTTTGTGCCGACGAGTCGAGATTCACGGTCTTCTACCCGAATGCATGCCTGCCCCCATCGCAACTTCAGAATGAGCAACAGCATCCGCCTTATTCCTTTCAATGCCTACCTCCATCACAACTTCCGAATGAGCAGCAGCATCCGCCTTATCACTCCGAACACCCACGCCCATCACAGCTTCAGAATGAGCAGCAGCATCCACATTATCCCTCCCAATCCTCGCCCCCGTCACCACCGCTGAATGAGCAGCAGTGTTCATCGTACTCCTTGGAATCACTATGGGAAGCACAATGGCCGAATATGCACCAATACCCAGCTTATCCTTCCGAACCCCTGTTCCAACCACCGCCAATGCAGTATGAGCAGCAGTATGAGCAGCATTACCCATTTTATGCCGTGCCCGATTCCTACCAACATTATCCCAGCGTCATCGGTGGTAGTAGACTCGAGAAACTTCAACATACCAAATCCAAGTCCGAACTCGAATCCGAGGCAGGGCCGTGCTTTGATGATGGGTTGATGGAGAATGTGGACCTGGAGGAGGAACCAGAGATTTTGCAGTTCCTGGTTGAGCGCGCAAGGGAGGATGAGAAGTACCGGGGCATGCTTCGGGGCTATGTTGGTGTTGATGTGACGAAGCTCGCCACCCCCAAGGCTTTGCGTAACGCAAAGAGGATTTTGGAGTTGGTTGATGTTTGATCTTTAGTGCAACAAGACCTTTCTCGAGAATGAAAAAAAAAAAAAAAAAAAAAAAAAAAACTCCATGTGCGAGAACAATAAAAAAAAATTGAAGGGCAAAAGGCAAACATTGAATAGCTAACCCCCGCCTTCGTGTTAGTATTGACAATTCGGCGGAAGGGAAGAGGTGGAGAAGTGGACGAAGACGTGAGCGTTGTTTGTTGGCGTGCTGGTTTGTTTTGCATGGTTGTGAGTGCTGGCTCGCCTGACGACTATCTCCCTTAATAATCCTTCAATGAGCACCTCCTGGAGAATGTCGATTTTCGACAACGATCAGGCGATTCTTGAGTTTCTGGCAGAGCGCGCGAGGGAAGGATGCGGAGTACTCTTCGAGTGTTGCATGTTTTTATGTCCAAGGCTCAGGAGTGCGGTGATGGGGGGGTTTGGTGGTTGCTGGGTTTAGGTCATTGTTATCATTTATTTTCGTGGCAGGAAATCGGTGCAAGAACATAAAAAGAAAACGAGCAACCATTTTTTTCTGCATTCAGTAAAAAAAGTGAACGATCGTATTCAATTGCATGTATACAAAACATATTTTTGTAGAAGTGGGTGGTTTTTGATGGGTACTAGAAGCGATCGCCACAGTACAACCTCCAATATGTGGCCTGTTTCCTCGTTTCTTAGTTACATTTTCTTTACGAAAAAATAGAATAGTACCCGCAGTGTGGACTCTGGAACAAGTGTCAAATGAAAAAAAAAAAAAAGCGGTGGTGGTTGAATATTACATTTCTCTTCCCCCTTTTTTTTCTTTGCTTTTTTTTTATTGACGACAGATCTCCCTGACCATCTTCGAAGCAACTGTGCAATCAGACGGGCCCTCTGGGACCCGAATGCCTATGATTACGCAACTTGGGTCGCATGAATGCCCTAGAGTGGCCAGCACCGAGCCAACCCTCCGCATCCCCTACGCGACCTGTCGGGTCCGATGGGTTCTCTGTTAGTGAAGACTCGGGTCGAAGATTTTATGCGGCAGTCCCCATGTACGTGCTGTGCTCTACACTCCTTTTCGATATGTTATTCAGCAGCCTTATCTATGCTTGGATTTACGGATCGAGGGTGAAGTTGCGGTTGACAGAAAAGGAAGAATCCGTAAATCCAAGCATAGATAAGAGTGACTGAATAACATCTTTGTATTTTTTTAATTCAGTAAGGTTTTGCGTTTTCTTGCACAGCCCTCTCGTCCGCCTCACTCAGACCTTGTTCCAACAAACCGACTCGTCGCCGTGCCGTGCCAAATTCGGTCGGGTTTCCTCCTTTGCTCACACCCGCCTTCTCGAGCTGGGTCCTCTCCTATTCGACAGTTACCCTGCAACGTGCGTGCCATATCTCCGTCTATCCAAAGTCCTCAATCGTGCTCACAAACAGTCCTTTTTTTTCTTTGCTTTCCCTCTGCCAGGCGGTCACCGCATGTCACGGTACTTTTGCGCAAATGCAAGGGCATTGTTTAAGGTCCGTGTGTTGGCCAAAAAAATCTTGTGGAGAGAGGTGTTTACAGGCCATATAATTCAGCAGGGGAAGCTACAATGACCGGCATTTGGTATTTGACTTTTCCTTACAAGGAAACATATGCAGAAACGTAGATTGGCAACTGTACGTCCGACACGCTCACGTCCCGACACGCTCCCGCGTATTCAAAAGAAATAGTTGAATCAGTATAAATGTAAAGAAAGATGTAGAAGAGTTGTAGGTGATATCGTAACTGAATTCGTTACCTCTATCCAATGTAAAACACTACAGTGAGAGCAGACAACGTTCATCCGTCCTAAGGTCATGTACTCTATATCGTCATGTTCCATAATAGTAGCTATTCCATTTCCAAAAACACGTAGATAAGCAATGGCAACAGGAGCAGCAGGGACCTTGGAAGGAGTCGGAGCAAGAGATTCTACAACGATCATGCGCTACCTATTCATAAGGCAATTTACGCATGACTTATCCAGTGGTAACCAAGTTATCCTCAGGCATTACATTTCATAGAAGAGGACTGAGGAGCATCAGGCAATGCGATGGCAATAGCTCGCTCATATCACTTAAATGGGTCGGAATGGTTGGCTTGGATGTGTGGCTGGTACAATCTGCACGTCAGAGTATCCACTCTGATACGACTGTCATATCAGAGTGGATACTCTGACACTGCTAGGACAACTTGCAAGCTTACTGTCTGAACTCTTTGGATATGAAGCTTGAATGGCCGGAAAGGATGATTTTCCTAGGAGAGGCCAAAGCTGGCTGGAGCAGAGGATTGAGGCTGACCGCAGAGGGTTTTGATCATGCTGTAGATTAATATTGGGTGTTAAAAACTCGGGACAGTCCATGAGCTTGGGAGATCGTTTTCTACTTTTTTCGCGTTTTCAATTCATACTTTTCAAATAGCTCTTTGTGCCGTAACATAATGATTAAAGAAAAAAATTGCAACCGCATGAACAGGAGTGGAAAGAGTATTAAACCCCCTTAATCGGATAGAAAGAAAAAAAAGAGAGATAGGCATCCAAATTCATATTACCCTCTATCCAGTAGATATCTCCAATGCCAGAACACGCGATGCAGTCCCCAGACCATTATTTTCCCCTCCACTACCTTGTTGTTTTGATCGAACTTGGTAAGGCAGGTACTGTTGTTGTCAGGGTCTGTGGTAGTAGCACTTCATGATGAAAGACCCAACGCGACTGAAGTCGCACTCATCAGAGATTATTACGTCCATCAAGTCATCCACCGTCCAGTTTATGTGCTCCTTGTCGAAAGCGAGTTTTTTCGCGATGTTTTTGGCGTGTATTTGGACTTATTCGGTGCTGAGTACGCCCAGATTCCTTCTGATGTACAGTCTTCTATACAGCGGTAACATGGACATGTTCTCCTTCGGTCGATTAAAGAAAGCGGAAAGCGTTCCCGATCCTTTAGTGAATTCAAGTCGCCTTTAGGAAATGGCGCGCGGGACCCGACCTTGCCTATTTTAAGATCATCCTGAGTCTGACCGCATGAGGTTCGGGGGATCTTTTCCTTGTCCTCGTTCCTGCTTCTGGTCGCTGACGAAACAGATTTCCGAAGGTTGCGTGCAACCTCCCCTGGTCGACTTCTTGCCAAAACTGTTTTGTGTCAGTCTGTGCAGTGGATTGGGATCGTTGAAAAGGAAAAGAAGGGGCATCTGAAGGTGTGTGAAAGGTAAATCAGGTCACTAACAGACGATAAAAAGGGGGTGCGCCTATGGTGACGAATTAGAAAAAAATTGCATTGATCGTTCACGATCTAGATGGATCATAGCTGCGGCCTACGTCTGATTTCGCGTCAGGATTACGATTAGGGAAAAAGGACCTATTTGGACATCGCTAGTTGAAATGGACATGAGTCAATGATTGCTAAAAATTACAATTCATTGAATCGGTTATTCTGATGATTGTCGCCGTAGTTATCGATACTACAGTACATTCAGCTTTGTCCATTAAAACGAAAAAGCAAAGAAATTCCCCGTTCCCTCGTCCACCCATCCCCCCCCCCCCCCGTCGTTTCGGTCCCATCTCGTTGCATGGCGCAAACCTTTATTCATACCCCTGATTATATGAGTAGAAACATCCACTAACATGGATCTGAGTCAAATGGAGCGTGCCATAAAACCCCGACGCAGTCGTTACTTTCACAGGTCATAGTAGTGGCCATCATTTCCGACACTGAAATATTGTTGCGGCCAGTTCAGCACAAAGCCATTCCCCTCGAGTGCATACGACTAAAAAAAAATTATAGGCTCATTCGTTATCACCTCAACCAATGACAGTCGAAGACGCATGGTCCACTTGTTGTTAGAATGGTCTTGTTTCAGTTTTTCATTTTTTTCCCCCTACCAGCCAATGATATGCACGACCCCTATCGTTGGCGGCCAACCAATAACTGTGTGTGTTTGTTTATGGCGATCACCTTCCTTTGTCGTGCGCGTATGACCTCTATTTTCCTCTTTGGGTCACTGCCTTAAAATAAATACAGATGGTACAACGCTGTTTGACTCCTTATGGAATAGAAGAACTCTCGGCTGTGCGCGAGCTAACTTTGCCTGTATTTGCCTGTATTCACGGACAAAGTGGAGGGAGAAATTGTGACACAGTCTTAACACCCCGCATGTGTATTACCCAAGTTGGAAATGGGAGGTCTAGACTATGGGAGTTTCTGGGATTGAATGATGGCCTTCCTTCTCTTTCACTAACCGATAGCGGCAAGAATGGATCACCGTGCACAGCCAGAGAGTATCCATCTGTAATTTTAGGGCATTGCGGCTCTACTACCAAAGGCAAAGAGGCAGTTCAATGGAAACATCCAAAAGAAAAATAAAGGTCAGACGAGCACGAATGAAAAAAGTAGGCTGTCACCACAAATGAAACACCTATGATTGGATGTATATATAGCACTGTTCTCCTTTGTCTTTTTTCTTCCTCCCCTCTCTTGTTTGTGTATGTTCACTTTCGATCACAACATTAACGACGACAAGTTGCTGCCTCAATTCCTTCTCGCTGCCGCCCACATCCTTCCCCTCACCACAACCATCACGCATCTGCTCAACATATAACTCCCCTCGTCCTCTTTGTGACCCGAACATATAGATCACATCCACTCGGCTCGTTTACACACAAGAAACATGGCGGCCTCTTGCCAAGTCGATCCTGTTGGGTGTATGCTCAAAAGGGGCTCACCGGACTCCCATCTCTACAAGCGCGCCCCTCCCCCTTCCAAGGGCTCATCCGACAACGTCATTATCATTGTCTTGGCGACTGTGGGCTCATTGCTGTTCATCTTGTCCCTCGCACTCTTTTATTACTGTGTGCGCAAACGACGTGCTTCGCAGAGGATCGGTCGGCTCCAGAGGTTCCTGCCCACGTTCATGGATCAAGAAAAGACCGACCTGTATTTCCAGAAGCAAGGCTCATCCGCGACTCTAGTTGGCACCGATACTCCATCAAAGGAACTGCCACAGCCTTCGAACATTCATCACAAAACATGGTCAGCTCCGATGGCATTAACAAAGGATTTGCCATGGCTGCAGGAGCATGACACGTTGTTGGGACAGTTCCAAGATGTACCTCTCGCCTCTAACGAGACTGTCGTTGAGACCGAGAAATCTGAGCCGAGACGATCCCTGTTTGGCATATTTACCCGTACTCCAGCCGCCACGGTCACGACCCCTGCCCTCATCAAGAGCTCATTACACAGAAGCGTCGGTCTGAACAAACATAGCAATCAGAGCTACGCCAACAGCCGCTCCGACCCCATGGTGGAAGAAGACATGAACCATCTGGGCATGTTTGCAGAGGGTGAAAGCCTTGTCGCGCCGAATCAATACCCCACCTTCTCTGATATCAGCAACCCCGACGGCAACTATGGCGGCAACTACAACCGCTTCTCAGACACGTCAATCATCGGGATCGACCCGGACTTTGATCCCACACGATTCTCAGACGCCTCGCTCATGTTTGATGAATCGAAGATCCCGACTATATCCGATTCTTCCTCGGACCAATTGCTATCGACCATCAGGACGGATGAATCGGATGTCACACCTGTTCACGATAATATCAAATGCAGCAGTAGCAGGAAAAAGGAAAAGAGGAATAGCGCGGTTGCATCAGCCTCAGACTCTACACAAAAGGACTACAAAAGGCCGACGACGTTCAAGGAGTTCTATGAGCATTGGAAGCGTCTTCTGCCATACATCTGGCCGTCCAACTCGCGGAGACTTCAGTGCCACATCATGATCTGTTTGGGCCTACTGGTCGCCGGAAGAATCGTGAACGTGTTGGTGCCGCGGCAGGTGGCGAACGTGGTCAATGCGCTGACAATGGTAGTGGATGGCAGCCCCGAGGGTTTGGATGAGAACGGCAACCCTCGATTTGTCTGGAGGGAGATCATGGTACTTATTGCGCTCAGGGCTCTTCAGGGCGAACTCGGTGTTATCGACACCCTTCAGGAATTGGTGTGGATTCCTGTGGGACAGTTCAATGAACGCCAGCCGGCTGTCAAGATGTTTGAGCACCTGCTCAACCTCTCCCTGCGATTTCACCTTAACCGCAAGACCGGCGAGTTGCTGCGCATCCAAGGTTATGATCAGCGCTGTGAACACTGGGAGTGAATGCGAAATAAATATCAGACGGGAATTCGATACTAACACTTGCTATATCGTTTTATTTAGACCGCGGTGTATCATCAATCGTGACGCTGCTCTCCACACTACTGTTCAACATCCTGCCCTGCTTGGTCGACATTGCGGTTGCCTGCGTTATCCTGACGTACGCTTTCGACATTTACTTTGGAGTCATTGTCGGAATTACCATGATCTGTTACATCTACACTACCATTCTCATGACGGACTGGAGGACGCGCTACCGCCGAGAATCGAACGATTTGGAAAATGCAGCGGAGGCGCGTGTAGTCGATTGTTTGCTCAACTATGAGACGATCAAGCTCTTTGCGACAGAAGAGTACGAGGTCAAAAGATATACGAAAGCCATTCTCGCGTACCAGAAGGCTGACCGCAAATCGCAGTACACACTGGGTACCCTCAACACGGCTCTCAACATCGTGATACAGGGAGGTTTGACAGTGGGGTGTTTGCTCTGCGCCCAAAGAGTCGCTCAGAAGGGGATGGCGGTTACCGATTTTGTCATGTACTATACATATATCCTCCAGCTCTATGGACCGCTCGACCAATTTGGCGCTTCCTACCGATCTTTGCAGGTGAGTCTTTGTAAAATTGTACTACATTGGAGTGGTATACCATGCGATGGGATGAAACTTGCGCACACTAACGACCCACACTTTTGCTGTCGGCTTTGCTAGAAAAATTTTATTGATTTGGAAAGGCTGCTGGATGTGTTCAAGGAGCCAGTCGAGATCCAAGACAAACCCGATGCTGAGCCTATGGTGATAAATGGGGGAGAAGTTGTCTTTGGTATGTATGAATGAACGCAAACAAGCATCCCCCCTCCACAAAAAAAAAAAAAGTAAACGGCGCACTGGTCTCAACCTAATTTCATCCATTTCCTATTTTTTTATCTTTCACACACAGAAAATGTCTCCTTCAGCTACAAACCTCAGAATCCGAATCTCAAGTCTGTGTCGTTCAAGATCCCGCCTGGCAAAAAACTGGCCCTGGTTGGTCCATCAGGCGGCGGAAAGTCCACGATCCTACGTCTGCTCTTCCGGTTTTATGACCCAACGCAGGGGAGGATCATGATTGACGGTCAGGATATCAAGTACGTAACGCAGTCCAGTCTGAGGAGGTTGATTGGAATTGTGCCGCAGGATACGGCGCTATTTAACGAGACGATCAAGCACAACATTGCCTACGGCCACATTGGGCAGGACCACAAGTCTGCGGAATCGGGATGCGGGCTAAATTACAAGACGGAATCGACCTCGCCACCAAAAATAGCAGATGTTACAGAGAGCAAGGATGCTGGTTGTTTGGACGACGAGGATTTGGAAGTCGACAGTCGCATTCAAGCGGCTGCTGAGGCTGCACAGATACACGAAATTGTCACCCGCTTCCCGAACGGATACGCCACTCGTGTAGGAGAGCGCGGACTGCTTATGTCCGGCGGAGAGAAGCAACGAATCGCCATTGCTCGAACCATTCTCAAGAACCCACCGATCTTGCTCCTGGACGAAGCGACCAGTGCCTTGGACACCCACACGGAGCGAGAGATCCAAAACTCGATCGACGCCACCTCCAAGGGCAGGACGACTCTTATGATTGCGCATCGTTTGTCGACAATTGTGGATGCGGACGAAATCTTGGTGATACAGAGGGGCGAGATCGCAGAGCAGGGTAGCCATGAGGAACTCATGCAGGCAGGAGGAATCTATGCTTCCATGTGGATGCAACAGCTTCGTGAGGGCCGAACACCTACCGGAAGCAATGGTGTGAGCGAGAAGGAGTCGTCCAGGGGAGGGAAGGACTCGGACGAAGATGACTCTCCAGTTGACGACGCTTCCTCTCCCTTTTCGCATCACCATGTCATGGTTCCCTCGTCCTGCCGGCAGCATACACCACCGTAGTGCCTTACCTTTCCCATATCCCCCATGTCGCCGATTAATCGCTGTCTCTAATTAATACTGGCACGAATAAAGCTGCCGCTCTCGCGACGGAACCCTTGTCCAATTTTATTGTCTCTATGCCTATGAATATCGATGATATCAGTCCAACTGCTGGTATCGAAAGTATTTATGAGCATATTTACGCCACCCTCCCGGTACGTCGTGAGAGCCACTATCATTGCGGGGACACCTACCGGCGATCAAGTATTACTTTCCCGCATCCGGGTCCATCCTTCTGACCTCGATGTGCCGTTCAAGTTCCAGCGGCTCCAGTTTCCTATCCGGCCTGACTTTGCAATGACTATCAACAAGTCCCAAAGTTAGACTTTAGACACTGTTGATGTCTATTTCAAGAAGCCGGTATTCGTCCATGGTCAGCTTTACGCCGCCCTATCTCGAGTGACGAGCAAGAACAATGTGGATGTGTTGATTGAGAGGGAGGATCCTAATATGCCTTGTGGCTGTACGACAAAATATCGTTTACCCAGAGGCTCTTGCCCTGAGTGACTTAAAAAAAAACAAAAGTGACACAAGAGAAAAGGAGAGTGACGGAGAGAAATAAATATTACGGCACAAAGCCACACCCACATATATATTTTTTTACCTACACATGCTCTACACCTCCGCGAGCGAAGCTGCGGGTACTATTATAGTGCGAAAATAAAGAGAGAGGAGGAAAAGAGAGCTGGTAATTATACCTGTCCTTCCCAGTAAATGAAAATGGTTTGCTGTCATATCGTTGATACCGATAAAACGCGTTTGTCCATATGTTCGTGTCCAAGGGATCAAACGCGGTCCAGCTTTGTCTCAATCAACGGCGCGTCCTGTTTAATATGCATCGCGTGAATGCTAGACGCCAGATAACCTTCTTTCTTTCGTCTCGGCCCCGTGACACTCTGGAAGTGAATATACCCTTGCTCGCGAAACAGCGTAGTCGCAGTGTTCCTTTCACCACCCGCAAGACTATACGGAAGGTTCTTTTATTTTTCATCTCATCAAGACAACGACAACGACAACGACAAAAAACGGCCGATCCTCACAACCCTTTCTCACTTTCCTTGACGATCAAGGAGACATACACTCACAGAAGGATGGGAGTGAAAACAAAAACAAAAAAGAAACAAAACATTAACACCGTTACATCGATGTGCAGGGCAGAGATGTAAGAAATAAGAGAGACAGAACAAAAAAAAGCCAGGAAATGCGGGATGTGAGGATGAACTGGAGGGAACTATGGCTTTTATGGATGGGGGCATGCGAAGTAGAGAGGGGTGAGGAGGTGTGGGGTATGAGGTATGAAGAAAATTGAAACAGATGGGGTTCTAATTCATACACAAAAAAGACAGAGGGGTCCAATCTGTTTGTTTAGAGTCGACTGTGCCATGCGTAGGAACACAAAGAAAAATAAAGGGAAATGCTCATGTACAGGTTCTTCCCCTTCTTCTCCATCTGATAAAATTGAGATATTCATTGATCAAGTAGTCTGAGACGAACAAGCGTCGAACTGATGACTTGGTCTCCTATCTACAGCAACAGATGCCGGTACCCGTTTCCATCATTCGTGGACTCCTTCTCTCTCTCTTCATGTGTGTACAAACGGATGTATTCTCCCCTTCTTCACTAACCCCTTCTCCAACCCCCTTGCCCGTATCTCTTTTCCTCCGTTGTTGTCTGTGCGACGATCGATTTTTTTTTTTTGATTTTCCTGGTCCTATTGGCTCGACCCCTTTTCTGTTTTGTTTTTCCGTCTGTCTGTTCCTTTCTGTGAGTGTTTTCGCTCACAGCCTTGTTCCCCCTTACCCCTTTCTGATGTCGTCGACCATTTACACGCAATGGAACTACCTCTCTTCCTCCCCCAGTAAGGGCCTAGGGCCAAGGCCCAAGGGTCGCATGATTTTTCTCACACACGCTGTACGCATAGACATACAACAACAACGCCCTGCCCGTGAAGGAAAATTCAACATCCTCCTCTCTCTCTACCCCTCTTGATCTAATCCCTACACTCATCAAATAAAGACGAACAGCATACACTCATCACCATCATACCCTACTTCATACAATCGCCCATACCCCGCTCTTGATCAATCAGCCGCACACCTTTTGTCTGTTATTGGTAATTAACCCTTCTGTTGATTTGGTAATTAACACAGTTGCAACAAGGCAGGCTGATGAACCCGGCCTCTTGTAACTCGTCCTGACTCCACGCGTGGTCGTTGTATTGTCTTTAACTAACGTGTACATACTACAATTGTCACCACAGGTCAAACACCTGTCTCTAAACAGACAAAAGACACAACGACCGTTCGGACCACTAACACAAGGACGAACAGTATTTTTCACATAAGAAATCTCCGCGATGCACAACGCGAGGCAGGACTGTGAGCAAGAGCCAGCCCTTGACGACCTGGTCAGAGAGCCTCCACCTTCAATTGACGGAGCAGAAGAGGAAATCTTAGCAAAGGAGATGACAGCGGACGTTCAACCTACCGAGAGTGAGGCAACACCGTGCCTTGATGCCCAAACGGAAAGCACTTCTGCAGCGACAGTAACATCAATTCCAACAGTACCAACACCTACCACTTCAACAGCGACCGCGGCTACGCCTATTGTTGTAAAACGAGGTAGAGGGAGACCTAGAAAGTCCGAATCAGGCACCGGGGCTCCCAACACGCTCTGTACCCAGGACGAAATCACAGGTCACCCAAGTGCCCTGCTAGCAGCTACCGGAACTTCATCATCGTCTCCTCTTGGATCCAGCCTGTCTCAGCAAAGACCCACAGCACACCTGAATTCAACCAACTCGATCAACTCGATCAACAACCAATGCGAGTCATGTATGTCATTCGACACTCGTCTCTACAAGTTTGGCAAGTTGAAGGTCTGCAAGATGTGTGAGAACCTGATGCGGACCATGACAGGCAGTTCACGGCGGCAGACTGTTGTCCCTCCTACACCTCCTACTGCTTCGAGTTCAAGTTCTTCGGCCTCTACAGCTCTGACGAAGCAAGGACATAATGTCTCCACTGCGCCTTCACAGAAGCCTCAGGTTGACCCAAAAGGTAATAATTACGTCTGTGTTTGTGCGATCGAATGTCTTGCTATTATTTTTTGATATATCACTTGCCAGAGACCTAATTGATTTACTAATTGGTGTAGGTTATTTAGCCGCAAGCAAGTCTAGCAAGCAGGATCAGATCGGGGTCAACACCATCTCCCATTTTGCCACTGTCCCTCACTCGACGTTTGATCCTTCGATTACGACTATATCCCCTTCTTCGCTGGTTTTGGTTCCGGAGCCCAAACCAGTGCGAGTCATCCTAACCAAGCGCGGAGAGATCGCCAAGAAACGAGGTCGCAAACCCAAAGCAAGGGACGAGTCTACCAACCTTGCTGCCAAGGTTGTACCTGTACCAGGTATGGTTTTCGTGCATGGATGATTATTTGCATGAAATATTTTCCTTTGCAAACTATAATATTGACCTATGCATGTTTCATGCATGTAATCGTAGCTTCTCAGAGCCCACAACAGCCGACAGCAGATCCAGCCTCAGAGCAGGTGGCGGTCAAGAAACGAAATAGGAACCCAATGGCGCTCTACCCTTACAATATCCTCCCAGTTACCGATCCTGCCTCAGTGGTCGTCTTCAAATCCAAATCTGCGACCTATGTCGAGGCCTCCGTCACAGCAACTCCAGCAGCCTCCATTACCTTTCCACCACCAACCGACCCTTCAGGCTCTTCCGTCTCCCATGGCGACAATTTCCATTTCCAGACGACGGGCGCTTTTCTGACCCGTACGGCATCTAAGCTGCTGGGCGGTCAGGAAGTAATCGGGGTGGATTCAAATATTCATGGATATGCGCATGGTCGACTCGTTAAGGTGCAGAACATTGACAAGACATGGCACTTTGGAGCTATGGTAGGGTTGGATCGAGGAAAGATCAGGGTTCATTTTGATGGCTGGGGGCCAGAGTGGGATGAGTGGATCGCGTCTGATAGTAGGAGGCTGAAGGTATTAGATGCGGAGGAAACTACTCTTCGGAACTCGTTGCTCTTGCCACCCACACTACTCCCCTCACAGGCTCCGACTGCTGTTGCTTCTGAAAGCCAGCATTTCCAACAGCTTCCTATGGACAGCACTCCGATTCTGCAAGCTGTCTCAGCCTTCAAGGCCATCCGTCCTCCTACTGTTGCACTACCGATGAAGCCGCCCAGGGTCTTGAAACCGATCGCTGTCAAGCGCAAGTTGGCACCCTCGATGGACGATGTTGTTCCTGCGTTGATGCTTGTCGATCCGGACCTCCCGAGACCCTTCGCCAAGATGGTCAAGAAACCCAAGACGTCTGAGACGCTGGATCTATCCGGCAAGTCACTGCCAATGCCGACGTCACAGATTGTGCCACAGTCAAAGAAGCCCAAATTGGACAAGTCGTCTTTGATAACTACAGCCACGTCCGAGGGAGGCGCCCCGGCAAGGGCCGCCATCATGCCAGCTGCGACCACTGCGACAAGAATAGGAGTAGCTGCGAGCAATGGCATGTACATTGACTTGAGTTCGCCCAAACCATCGACGACATCGGCACCCAACAATCCAACCCTAGTGCTGTCCTTCACAAACTTGAAGGCCGCTAAACCTAAGGCTACTTCGACCAAGGATGTTCCCAAACCGCCCAAGTTGATCGCCATAGCTCCGAAGGGATCGACTACAGGAGACTCATCAACAGCAGCAGCAGAGGCCGCAACTCCGGGCGCCGACAAGCCGGTCAAGTTGTCACTTGCTGACGCTCGGATATTGTTGCTCGGGATCGAGGTCGGAACCAAGGTGCAGGCACAGGACAAGCATGGGCAATGGCGGCCATCGACTGTTGTGCAGGTCAAGGCTCGGAGGGTTCTTGTCAAGTTTGACGAATGCCCCAACTTGGCGGACGAGTGGTTCATTGTTGACAGCAACCGACTCATTCTCCCTGAGCGACCACTGATGGGTCCTCTGCATGAGGATAGCCAGATTCGTGCTACTCCAAAGGCCATCTCGACGAATGATTTGAAGCGACGAGATTCAGCTTGGTCTCCGCCGATTGACATTGAGGGTCACTCTCCTATCGACTGCCCGGCTACCTGCAGCCGCTCTTCTTCCTCCTCCAGCTCTCTGAGCACTGCCCAGTCGTCTCAATTATCTTCACCAAACACAGCGGACCTCTTTTCCACGAGCAGCGATGACTTGTCCGAGCCTGGATCTACAGTATCATTACCTGGTGACCCTGCGGACAAGGAGCCAGCCAAAGATGACGAGCCACCACCACCACCGCCTGCGCCACGACCTCCTCACACTCTTGGGAACCCGATCCTTTTGGACCTTCCTCCCTACGAGGTTGTGGCGTTTGAGTTTGAGGATCAGGAGAAGGAGCTCCTAAGGATCATCCATCAAGTGTTGGACACAGGTTTGATCAAGAACGCTGTCGTCGAGTTCTCGCCAGAAGAGTACATCCCAACTGTGCGCGTCATCAAGAAGAAAAAGAAGGTTGTAGAGGGAGTCGGTGGCGAGGGTGCCGCAGAAGGAGAGGATGGCGAGAATGAAGGTGACGATGATAGTGAGGCCGAGGTTGAGAAGAAGGTGTCCAAGAGAACCAACGACAAGACCAGGGAGCGATTTGAGGCGCTCATGGAGGCTCGCCTGGAAAAACGGAATCACCGCCCGTCGATATTCTCGCCAAGGAAGACGCCTAACGCCATCAGGAAGAAGGATCCGGATGTCTTGCAGAGGATTCGTGAGGAGGCAAGAAGGCACATGTGCAATATTCCCGTCCTGCGGTACGTACGACAAGTCATCTACAAAGAGTCGGACCGACTGGAGGCCCTGAACAGCAGCTTTGAGCGTCAGAAGCAAAAGTATGCTAGGGCAATATCAAATCGGGCTAGCTCCAGTAACAGGATGAAGATCAAGCGGACCTCGGGGCCACTGTCGAGGAGGATTTTTGGACTGTCGAACCCGAACCTGACAGGAATAACTTTCAACGAGGCAGGATACATCGAGTCGGCGAACATTCCTAAGCCAGTCGTCGTTCCCTCACCCGAGGCGCTCAAGAAGCTGAAGAAGATGCAGAAGAAGAAGGAGCGGCTGATGAAGATGAAAGCGATGGAGAACCCAAACCAGGATCTGCTACCGGACACAACCGTCGACGACACATTCCAGAACCTCCGCAGTCTAACGCGCGACAACAAGAAGCGGAAGCGACCACTGAAGGAGGATCATATCACCTTCCTAAGGCGGACGATGGTTGCAGGAACGCGGATCCGGTCTAGGGATCGGCAGATGGAGTGGCTGACGGCCGTAATCCGGGATGTGAAGAACAGTCGTGTTTTGGTCCATTATGAGGGGTTCGCAGAGTTCTTCAACGAGTGGATCGATATCAACAGTGAGCGCCTCAAGTTTGATCCCACTATGGAGCAGTACCCAGTTCCCCTCGAGGGAGTTCTTGCCCCGATTGTCAACACTGAGGCTGTCGTAGCGCCGACCCCACAAGTTGAGACAACAAGTTCGGCGGCAGTCCCGGCAGAGACGAATGAGGTATTGGCTGAGAGCGAGGTGGTTGTATCCAACTTTGAGGCCATCTCGGACAACGTCCAGCATGAAGAAGGCGGAAAGGAAGTCCACTGCGTCCAATGCCAAGTCAAGATCAGCCAGTTCCGGTAAGTTCGATGATTATTAGATGTTGCTACCTTATTGTATGAGCGGAATAATTAACTAACATCAACTACTTTTTCATGTATAGGATCTATTGCATGTACTGTGAGGTCGAGTCCAAGGTAGAAGGGTCAGAACAGAAGCCATTCAACATCTGCCTCTGGTGCTTCTCAAACGCCTACCCAGACTACCACGATCATCCCCGCTCCTCCTTCGCCACAAAAGTCATCGTCGGGCCCCGAGGAGTCCGCCCCGTCAAAGGCGGTATTATCACCCGGTTCGAGAAAGACCTCATGGATCTCGAATACAAAGAACCCGAGCGTCCCGACACCGCCCTCGTCCCCGATCTTCACTTTCAAGCCATGATGGGTCTCGAAAGTGACCAAGGGTTCTTGTACCTCGACCAGCAGTGGAAGGACAAGAAGGTCTGCGCGTTCTGTAATGATGATGGCACGAGCAAGGATTTTTTTATTGGGCCGCAGCCGTTCTTGTTGGCTTCGACGAATCGGTATGGTGATACGAAGAAACGTAATTTTTGGGCGCATGACGCTTGTGCGAGGCACTCGCCCGAGGTTATTCAGGCTAAGGATGGGAGTTGGTATAATGTTTCTATGGCCATGCGTCGTGGGCGTACTGTGGTATGTATCCCAAAACTTCTTTTTTTTGTTGGCCAGATTAATCTACGTGTCGATCAAAGTAATTTACTCGACGATCGTTAGTTTACGCGGCGATCAAATTCTTAAATGTCGATCGCTAACTAACCATTCAATTTTTGGCATCTCCTTAGAAATGTACTGGATGCAGGGAGAAGGGAGCGACGATCGGCTGTTTCGACCCTAAGTGCGGACGCAGCTTCCATGTCCCTTGCACCGGCAAGCCCATGTCGCACTTTGAAGACGGTGTCATCTTTTGGTGTCCCCAACACGAACGCGCTCTCATGCAACGAGGTACAAATATTCGCATACAATGTTATGGATGAAATGTGTAAGTGTCGTTTGCTCCACACACTAAAACTACACCTCTTGACTTTAACGTAGACGCCTATGATGATACTTTCAGCTGCGATCGATGCTCCAAGGTCCTGGGAGTCAATCCTTGGCACAGTTGCAGCAAGTGTAGCGAGGACTACTTCCATACCTTTGATCTTTGTCGCGAGGTAAATTATTTTTCTCCTTAGTTAGCCTCGTCAACTCTGCTAGATCAACAATTCTCTGACTTTTTTGATTGGTTTGTTTGTTGTTTAGTGTTTCTCCAAGGACGACATCAATCATGAGCACGACAAGGACGATTTCAATGTGACATGTAAGTACAAGCCGCGAATATCTTAATTTTCTCATTCTTCTCCCCTGTGTAAGTCCTATTAATAACGATCTTTGTTTTTTTTTCATTCTGACGATAGCACTGGAACTTATGTACAAGGAGCAAATAGAAAAGGAAACTGCGGCCGCACAGGCGATCGAGGCCGAGGAGTATGCACCAGTCAAGAAGAAAGTGCCCAACTACAAGGCCAAGATGCGAGGACTGTCTCGGCTTGTTTGCTCGTACTGCTGGTCCGGAACATCCTCCAAATGGCGCAAAGGTAACCCCTTCAATGGCTATGATTTTTGAAACCTTTGACAGCGCTTTTCGTGACTAACGCTTACTCGATGTATGGTTATGTGGAATAGGATACAACGGCGTGCTCATGTGTGAGGACTGTTTTATGGCTGGACCTGTAAACGACATCCCTATGCAACCGCCCATGGACATCGAGACCCTACCCGACGGTGTTGGATCCGTCCCACTCTCGTCAGTTTCCGTGTTGGCCGCACAGGAAGAGTACAGTCGGGGCGTTGGCACATACGCAACTTCGGCCGAAGATTATTCTCATAGTCCGTACTTGACGCGCACTGCGGTTTCTTCAGTCCGGTTTGATCATTCGTCGTCGCAGGCGGTATATCTGGATTCTTATGGTCCTGCAGAGAACCAGCTGTTTTCATTGCCGATTGATACGACTTACTATGATATCCCTGGACGCGCGCCGCGATGTAAGCGAACAGTATGAGTGCATTAGGAACGTTTTATGTATAGTAATGACTAGCTCGCGTGTTAACGTTACTTGTTACTTTTGTTGAATTAGGGGCTACGCATTCGGGAACAGATTATCATGGCACTTGGCTCCCACAGACCGTACGAAGGTAACTTTCATATGTGGCCAACTGTTTTGCCTTAAGCTTTGTTCTGCAGGAAGGCTGAAGCATCTAGGTACTCATACATGAAATGAAACTTTATCGGCTCTAGGGCTGTGACAAAGTTCACGAACCCGAACGACAAGATCCTTTCCAACTTTTTAGGTCGTGGCACTGACGCCATTGAGTGCTTTCTTCTTGGCCGATGGTAAGAGCAATGATCAATTGTTTAGTGTTTTTCTTATTCAACTTGGTCGCAGAAGCTAATAAGCGCAATCTCCTTTTCTTCTTCTGGAAATTACAGTTGCACGGCTGTAGATATCAACCCTGTAAGTCAGCGCGCCATCTCTTTCCTCTCCAGCGACGACTACCTTCTGTTTTTCACTGTTTATCGAACACCATTTTCTAACTCTTACCAAACCAATTGTCAATTTGTTCTAGGCGGCAGTGACACTTTCTATCAGGAACTGCTCGTTCGCCATCCCTCAGGACGGATCGATCAAAGCCGAACATCGCCCAACAATCCTCCAAGGCGACTCTCGGCGGCTCACAGGACCCCTCTTCGAAAGTGAAACCTTCGACCACGTCCTCTCCCATCCACCCTACAAAGACTGTGTCGCCTACTCTACCCACATCGATGGCGACCTCTCTCGTTTCGGCAACGCACTCGAGTTCCAACGCGAGATGCGCTCCGTCGTCCGCGAAACCTACCGTCTCCTCAAAATGGGCCGTCGGTGCACTTTGGGCATAGGCGACAACCGTGAGCATTGTTTTTATATTCCGGTATCATTTCAGTTGATCCGGCAGTATATCAATGAAGGGTTTGAGTTGGAGGAGTTGATTGTGAAGCGGCAGCGGTACTGTGCGATGTTTGGGTTGGGGACTTATTTGTGTGTCCAGTTTGATTTCTTGTGTTTTACGCATGAGTTTATTGCGACGCTGAGAAAGGTGCCCAAGGAGGAGATCGATACCATGATTCTCGAGCCAGGTATGTGTTTTTTTTGGCATTTTAACCATGTGTGCGCTATGGATGTTGAGATGTATTGAAAGTCTCTTGCATGCCACTGACGTATTTTTCTTTTACCGTCTATTGATTGGTGCATGTAGACTACGCGGTGCTGGATGATGTTGGGATCACGAGTACAGTAAGGGCGATCCCGAGTTGCCCTGTCGAGCGCAAGAGTGTGGTCATGGGCTCCGTTTGGACATTCAAGCCAACCGAGGAGTACGACTTTCCTACGCTCTGCGTTTCCCGAATGGTAAGAACCGCCCATTTTTTCTTTCTAAAACGTCCTGCCTTCCTAGTTGAAGATACAATACTTATCATTTCTTTAAATGTACCTGCTAGGTGGAGAGATTCGGAAGGAACGATGCCAACTGGGAAGAGTACAAGCTGAGCTTCAAAGTGGACAATCCGGATGAGGCAAAGTCAGAGCAGTGGGCTGAGCATGCGGTGGAGATCTTGCCGCCTGTGGAAGATGACCTTGTCTCCTATGAGCGTGATCGCCTTCAGCAGATCCAAGAGAACAATCGGATGCTTCTTGCCCTCGTAAGTTTCCTTCATGTGTATCGTAAACAGGAACTCGATTGCATCGTTCCGTTTTCTTTTTAACGCCTATGTATTTTTTTCATTGTTCATACGAACATACAGGGCCTGATCACGGATCTGAGCGAAACGTCCGACGACCTAGGCCACCAAACTAAGATCTCAAAAGACGCACCCTGCTACCCACCCCCTGCACAAACAACCCTCCGCCTTATCGCACATATCCCATGCACTACCCTCAAAACTCACCAGATCACGGCCTATCGAACCGCGATTATGCATTTGGCAAAACAGGCACTGGATCAGTTACCGGTGAGCGGGATCTTTATTGTGGGCGCACAGGATATTAGGACGGAGACTGGCAAGTTGTTCCCGTTGGGGATGCTTGTCATGGAGGATGTTATTAGGGCCGTTGGGGAGGATTGTCTCAGGTTGAAGGAATTGAGTAAGTGTGTTTTTTTTCTTGACATATTTTTCTGTTCTTTGCGTGAATGTTCAATCTGGTTCATGAAACTAAGATCAGTTTTTTTTTCTGATCACAACAGTTGAGGCGGTGCCAGATGGTTACCAGAAGGACAGACGCAAGATCACAAACTGGGGCGAGTTCAAGGAAGAACCACGGTGGCCTGGTGATGGAATACCGACACTTCATCTGCCCATCGTCCACGTAAGTCACCCCCTCCTTCTTTGCTCCTTTACTCGCACAACGTACTGAACTTACTCAAAGAGCTGAAAATTTCAACTGATAGCATGTTCTTTTTTCTTGTCCTACGATTGACAAATAGGCATGCTACTTGGTGTTCACAAAGGTCAAGGAGAGAGTTGTCCCTGCTCAAGGAACAACTACTCATGCATAGAATGAGGCTGTGTCGTCAAACTATGGGGACAACCCCTTGGTCATGCTGGCGCTTATGGGCCAACAATTATTGTCCTTCATTTCCACACATTATTCAAGTATTAGAATAGAAACGATTGTATTTATTGCTGTGATGAGATGGGTTAGCTCTGTTCCATTTTGTTTGTTCTGTGGCATGGTGCAATGCTTTGAAAACCCTATTTGATTGCATTTTCTTTTTTTTTTGCCACAAAAATTGAAGCGTCTGAAAGCTCCTATCTTTTTTGATCTTTTGTTCGGTCCCTCTTCACCTTGCACTACTCACCTCTTCTTCTCGCGTCAACTCCTTTCTTCATACCCATACCACCTTCATTTATTTCGTTTCTTCGTACTTGTACATTTCTTTGTTCATCCATCTCAATACAGCCTCGTCACAATCGATTGACCATGTCCATGTTAGTCTTTGAAGGAAAAAAAAAAAAAAAAAAAACAAAAAAAAAAAAACAATAACGTACTCAGAGCTTGCGTTGGTAGCAGTTTCTCTTAGCCTCTACTACCAGTGAGCAACTCATTACTAGACCTAGCGTACGAGCCATCCCCGGGTGTTGGCATGGACTAGACGAAGCAAACAGCAAGGCAACCATCCTCATGCCCTTGCTGACCTTTCGTACACTGCGATACAAGAATGGGTCCATCTTTTATAGAATTTTCGTTTTTTTGCGCTCTGCAGGGCAAAGATTTGGTATTTAAATGTAAAAAAGAAAACGACGTGTATTCGAAAAAAGCGAAGGAAAAAAAAAGCGACTACGGCAAAGCTAACAACTCAGCCAAGTTCTCCTTCAGCACCTTCAACTCTTCCTCCATCAACGCTCTCTCCGGACTGATCGAGTTCAAGTACGCAATCGCGTCAACCTCCTCACTACCTTCATCTTCGTTACTGTCGCTTCCTGAATAATCGTCCTCCTCAGATGTGGACTCGATGCTGGCCTCCTCCCAATCTTCCTCAGTCTCTTCCCAGTCCTCTTCTTCGTCCGCACTGGCCTCCTGCGAGCCTTCATCATCCTGGTTATCAACTTCTGATCCGTGCTCTGAGGACTCTTCCACCTCAGAGTCATCAGACCCAACTTCCTCGCTCTCCTCCTCCTCCTCAACCACCTCCTCGACCTCTTCCTGGGCCTCCCCATCATCGTCACTCTCCGAAGGCACGTAATCCTCATCATCCTCATCATCCTCCTGGGGCCCCAACGTCCTCGACTTCTTCAAATCCTCCATCAAAACCAAAATTTCACCCTCAACATACTTGACGACGCTCGACTTGTTCTTTGCAATAAACCTGTCGCAATGCTCCCTCACATTCTCCGCCTGGTTACGCTCAGCATAGGACCGGACGTTGAAAACATTGCTGTGGATGACCTTTTGACCCATGACGAGCTCTTGGGCGATCAGGTCCTTGAGTCGCATCGCGTCAAACTGGTTGGCGACGCCTTGGAGCCCCATCAGGTACTGGACTCGCTCTGCCAACTTGTCCTTGGTCACCTTGACCTCTGCATGGTTATCACCTTCTCCTCTCACCCAGCCGTCATCCTCGCCACCCTTTCCCGATCCTCCATCAACCTCATCGTCAAAGAGCGGCGGTCCATTGCTTTCAATCAGATTATCCGAATAAAAGTAATACAACAACCCCCAGAACCCCTTCTTAATATCCCCATAACTCGACAGATCAATAACATGCACTCCCGGATCCTCAGGATCCCTGGTCAAACTCGAAGCCCAAACCCCCGTGAATCGCCTAAAGAAAAACTCGCTCGCCCTCGCCAATACGACCTTGTGCGCTAGGATATCCGAGCCCGTTCGGAACTTGAACCGGACATCCATGAACCCCGTATGCTGATCCTGGGATTCGAAACAGTTCCGGATCTGATCCTCCATCTCACCCTTCTTGCGCCCGTCCGCCACATCAATAAACCCCTCAACATGCTCCATCTGCTCCGCTCCGAGGGTAACCAAAAAGGTCTTGTACTGGTGCAAGGATGGGTCGACGACTTGATATGACAAGATGTTCTGGTCAATGTCGAACATGAGATCCGCCGGCCAGACCCAGGACTTCGTCTCGCTCGGATCCTTGTTATTCCCGTTCAGGATGTACGGCGTCGTCATATACTCTGCCATCTGCTTCGTCGTCTCTCGGCACTCGTCGTTCCTCGCGGCAAATTCCTCAAGCTTTCCGTAGATCCGGAAGAGGTGGAGCTTGAGAAGGTGTTGCTGCTCCGTCGTTTTCCATTTTGGAGCAATGTGCTTGACGAGATTGTTCAGATGCTGGTAGGTGTCGTGAATAGAGTAGGAGTACACCTTGGTGAACTTGGTCTGGAAGGCAAGCGAAGGTACCAGGTCAGCTGGAAAGAATCCTCGTCGCGTCCATATGAAGTTCCGGAACCGAGGGTTGGAGAGCTGAGAAAAAGCCATATACGCGGGCAGGTCGGGTGCTAGTATATCGTACGGCGGCTCTAGGTTGGTCTCTCGCGGTACAAACTTCCACTTGGGATCCATCCAGTCGACTTCACCGGCCTCAGGATGCTCGTAGATATACTTCACCAACTGAACAGCCCGCTCCCGTGTAGTTGCCGGATTAGCTCCTGTATCCACCGTCTCCGCCAGGACCTTCTCTGCACACTCCACAATCAAGTCAGGATGGCTGCTCAAAGAACGAAGACTTGATTTCATGCCAAAGCGCAGCATGATATCCGTCATCTCCTGTTCGGCAAAGAAATCCGTATGATCCGCAAATACAGACTCCGTCAATGCCTCACCAGGAAGAGCCAGTATTCCCCGCCCATGAAACGTTCCATCCCTAGCCATGTAGCACCGTGCAGTCTCCAAGACCTTCTGTGGGGCTAGCGCGACAAATCCTCGAAGTGTACTGGCACGAAACAGGTTTGATAGCAGACTGAGGTAGGTGGTCTTGATGGCACCTTCACACAAGAGTTCTCCACTGTGGAACTTGGGGAGGACAATGTCCGTTATGGCAACGGCGATCCTAAGGGGGGTGGCTCCTATCAGCTTGAGGATTTGAACGTTGTCCGAGCTGAGGACCATCGGGAGCACTCCAAAGCCCCGCAAGGAAAAGTGGCCCTCTAGGTAATAGGCTCCACTGGCAGCGATCAACGGAGAGACATCTGTGGATCCTTGGGTCGTCCATATCGGGAGATTGCCAATACCGAGGAGCAAAGTATTCGTGACCTTGCCGCTGAGGTTCGATAGGATGTTTCGTATTCCCGCAGCCTCATTCCTGCTGAACGCTCGAGGCGTTGGCAACGCGTTCCAATGAGAGACGATGGCCTCAAGAAGTCGGACATTAGAGTACTCTGGGCACGCTTCCTTGAAATACTTGTGGTCCCTGTGCGCTGCCGACTCGTAGACCACAACGCCGATATCTCGAAGCAGATCCATGAGAACAATAAACGTCTGCCCCGTCTCATATGGGAGTCCCGAGATCTGGAAGCCCGTTTTCGCCTTACCGAGTGTCGTTATGGTGCCATAGGATGTCTTGAGGATCGGAAAATCACAGAACGTCTGAAGTCCCTCGTAGTCCTCAGCGATGTAGTCCCAGAGCTGCTTAAACTGCTTATCCGTCACTCCACCAGGGTTTTCCTTGAGGAATGTTGCTGCGAAAATTTCAGACGGGAGCTCTTCAATGTTGTAGTTGCCGCCTATGATCAACCGCTCCAAAACATCTCCTAGCTCCTTGTTGCTGAAGACGCTGCTGTCGATTAGGATGTCCGTTGCTCTGAGAAGTCCAAGCTCATGGTTCGTCGCCACGTAATACATCTGCTCGGAACTCCCAAGGCGCCTCCACTCTCCGTTGAGCAACGGAATGACAGGAAGGTTGTAGTACAGTGTGGACACTTGCACGTTCGGATGCAACACAGGCTGGAAAGCCCATCCCAGGAGCCACTCTCTCTCCTTGTTGGTCTTCATCTCGTCCTTGAGGAACTCTGGGGAGTAGTAGAGGCGGTCCCGAACAAAATTTCCATCGATCTGCGCGTATGACAACTTTGGCTCCTTACTCCATTCCGTCTTGATGGCCGACATGACGGGATCTGGAACAATACTGACAGCTCGGGGGGCTCCTCGGCGCAGCCACGGAAGGACCTTCGACTCCAGTCCAGGAGGGATAGTAACAGGCCCAGGCAGGGTGGCGTCCCGTCCTGCTTTCAACTGGATGGGAAACTCCGTAAGGGGATCGGGGCAAGGAAACACCGGAGAGCAGTAGGCACGGCGCAAGAACGCCCTGAGGAATGGTTGAAACTCCTTCATAGCTTTAAGGGGCCAGTGATCAAAATATGCCTTGTTGGCCGAGTTGAAGCTTTGGCGGCCGCGACCCAAGCCCGTCGGATGTGTAAAGCTCACTGCAATAAGTTGCTCCATCGCGCGAATAGCGGTGTCTGGCAAGCACATCTCGGTAAGGAACGAGTTCCACATACGCTTCTCGTTCTCCTCCTCGCTGCCTCCGGCCAGGCTCTTGCGGCTCGACGTTAGGGCAAAGTCTCCATGGATGTGGAAGGGCAACTCGGTCAGAATGGGGGTCGGAAGGTGCACAAAGAGTTTGCCATGAAAGTCCGGTCGGTTTGTTTCCTGGATCTGGATCGCAACTCCGCGATGTGGGCTCCAGTGTCTCTTGGCTGCAAGTTGTTGGACATCATCAGACGTATTAGAAGGGAAGGTATCATCACAGCAGACTAGCCACAGCGAGTTCGCTGCAGTTTCAGATGCCGAATCAGCGGGCGAGACCTCGATCTTGACAATGGAATCTGAAGGACCAGATGCATCGCTAGAAGGCTTAAGGAGGTCACTCTTGACCGACTCCGACTTTGTCACCGTCACCTGAGGCCTGAACCCATCCGAGATCCGGATAGTCTTGACGTTCTTCAGGAACAGCATCCCGACCTTGGCATCGGCGACCCACTTCTCCATCATCTTCTGAATCTGCCACTCTGTCCACTCAACGCCTCCAAATCCTGATCCTGCAGCAGCATCAGCGGTCGATTCGACAGTCACTCCCACTTGCGACGCAGGGGATTCGGTGGGTTTCATCCTCAAAGGAATTCTGAACAGCGTGCCCTTGAAATGTGACCTCATATCGCAGCCAAGAATACCCTTGTATGGCTCCAACTGGTCCCCCAGCGTGTCCATGCTCAGCTTCCGGAAGTCGCATCGATGGCCGCCTTTGGCGATAGGGGCTCCGTTGCGGTCGCGACTTTTGGGGAGGTTGGTCATGTGAGGGTCGAAGAAGCCGATGTAGGGTCCGCTGACGATGCTCGGTACATCGGTGAAATGGTAGACAGAGTTGAAGCCCAGTCCGTGACGCCCAATCTTGGAGGTATCCTCCTCTAGTATAATGTCAATGCCGCGTTGTTAGTACGCTTGCTAGAATAAAAACATTATTACAGCTGAAAAAGAATGAAAACATGAGCAGCAACTTACTCTTGTTGCCGACCCCAAGTCTACAGAGGGCATCAAAATCCTTGTCGGAAAACTCGGCATCGTTGTAGATCATCAATGCAGGACCTTGCCATGCAGCCATCTGCTTGCTGAGCACCGTCTCCGTGCCAAACGACCGTGGTTCCAGCCAGAACCGACACTCTGTCGCCCCGGCATCAGACGCGTTCTGCAAAAACTCGTTAAAGATACTCGAGGGATCATAATCGTTCAAGATGCCTTTGATGCGATCCACAATGTTCTCCTGCTGGAAGAAAGGTTCGAACGAGTTGTCCTTGGTATCCTCCCAACAACGCGCCGAGAACATGGTAATTTTGAGCCGGTCCGCCACCTCGTACGAGATCCTGCGATGTACGAATGTGTAAGGCAGGTCTCCTGCGGCGAGGTCGCCTTGTCGGATGTTCACATCGTCATAAACGACATCTACTGCCCGCTTTAGAGTCCCATCCTCGGTGAGCATGAGGAGATTTGCTGACCATGTTGGGTTGTCGCCTTTGGCGATTCCACAGAGAAGGCGGTAGACCAGATCCGCGTCTGTAGCTGAAATGGGTTCGTCAGCCTCGTATTTGGATCCAACGGAGGCGAGAATTCCCTCTATGTCTTCCTGCCGGATTTGCTCCCGTACACCAAGGGCCAGATAGAGGTCACCCTGATCCGAGGCAGGGACTTGAATAAAATGCGGCTGCAGGTCACAATGGATCTTGAGTGCGACTCGATCGACCGTATAGAACGCGCCAGAGATCAGGATCCAGGCTTGGTTCCGTAATTTCGACTTGATGAACTCTAGCGACTCGGGCTCCGTGGTCTTTTCGGTCAGGTACTGGTATATTGGTGTCAGGCTCAGGCTGTTGAGGGCCTTCTCCCGCTGCTTTGTAACATCCGAGGCGGCATCTGTGCTCTCGCCGTCCTGGGTCTCGTATTTGCTAGCAATCGAGAGTAGATTATCAAGCACAGTCTCCAATGGCGGCGGCGACTTCCACCCAACACAGTCAAGCAGTGCATCGTTCATGAAGGTGAACGCAGCGAGCGGCATCTTGTCTCCAACCAATACACGATCCTCCTCTGGTCGACATTCTGCTGGAGCGTGCCACCCGCCCTCAGGTCCAGTATAGACCCACGGCACTTTCGTCAAGTCCTCACGGAGACCAGGTGAAAGAAATGTCTCAGAGCATTCAGTGTTCAGTCGACCATACAATGCCTCAACAATCATCCGATGCTCCTCCATCTTCAAGTCTCCAGAACCAAACAACGTCCTGATACGTTCCTGAACAAACGCCGCATCAAACGTCGAGCGCATCCCCAATTCCGACAAGATTCCAAACAAAGGAGCCTCTCCATAAACTCCTGCCGGGAAAACAACATCCGTGTCCTGAAAGAAAGCCGCGAGGCTCGGATGAACCACCGACTCTGGGCTCAGGCGGCATGTGAGTAAAGGTTTGGTGTTCTCCGCCTCTGACACTGATACCGGTTTTGTTGAAACGAAGAGCACACTACGGAGGGCGGAAGCCAGGTCGAAGGCCTTACTGTGGACATGATACGCAGGCGCCAGCTTGGTCATGATCGCATCCCACTCGCTCTCGTCCTGGTTGGTGAGGTTGGAAACGATTAGGTGCCAGTACTCGGACTCTGTAAGCACAGTGACCCCCAACAAGTTGACTATATGCTCCTTCAACGGCTGGTCGTCTGATAGAAGGCTAATCGATGGTGGCAGCCAAGGGTGCTCCTGGTTGCCGTATCCTCGAGCAAGTCTCCATGACTCGGTGGCCATTGTCATGGGTGACGACGACGAGATGTTTGAAGCGTCCAGGGGCTCCATCTTGCCGCTGCTGTACAGCTTGTAAACCGGGAGGCGTTTCAGAACGCCTTGCTGCTCATCCGTGATCTTGGTGGTCGTCTGTAACACCTCCGCCAAATAATTTGCCAGATCAGCCCGATCCTTCTGTGATAATCCGACGAGTTGGTCGGCCCCGGTCTTGGACAGCAGCTCCAGAATTCCAATACCGTCCGAGATTTCGGCCACAAACGGTCGAAGGGATGCGGGTGGTTGAAACCATGACCTCAAAACGTTACAGCCAAGATGCAGCTCCAAGACCGAGCACGCCTTCTGCATGACGCCGACATTGCCCAAGGATATCCTGTTGAGATAAACGGCGCGTTGTTTAGTCGACAATGGTGCCAGTTGCCCTTGACCCACAGGAAGCAAGTGGACCCCGCCCAGTCCTGAGAGTAACTCCTTGCAGCTATCGAGCTCGCGGGCCATATCCCAAAAGTCCATAATCCACTCGTCCGTCGGAAATCGATCCGGCGTCTGAGAGATACATCCAGCCGGGACGGTGCCATCCCGATAGCAAGACTGTTGAAAAGACCAGCGAACCCGTTTGGCGATTGACGAAGGCGACATTGGGATCCAGAACTTGGTATCTTTGGAGACGGTGTTAATCTGCTCGGAAGGAAAGCCCTCTACGTTCAGATCCACCAATCCCGCGTTCGCCTGCGAGAGAGTTTCGAACACGAGGCGAGGCACATAGAACCTACCAACATATCATTCAAAGTAAATATTAGTGCTATTTCACTTTGCGTCAATAAGGGTAGCCATGGTAAATTGACAATTGCTTACCTCTCTTGAGCTTTGCTTTGAGAAAAGTCAACCCAAATATCTCCATCGAGAGGAAGCAAAGGAAGGCCTTCTAGACCGGCAACGTTGTTGTCGAGGAGGCAGTACTGAATCATCTCAATGCGCGTTGCAGAATCTGCGGTTGATGACCACTGCTCCTCATTGTCGAAGAGGATCTCCCTAACAAGCGCAGGGGTGAGGATAACTTTGTCGAGTCCAAGTGTCGGAATAAGGGAGGCGATCTCTCTAAGGATGACATTGGGAATTCCTTCCGCAAGGTTGACCATTGTGTGAAGCGACTCCCTAAGATGTGGGTACCGGTCAATGTCGCGTCCTGCAATGTAAAGTGTCGAGTATTGGCGGATATAGCAACTGTCCTTGGCCTTGGAACCACAAACAAAGACCTTGCGATCCTGAGTGAGAACAACCTTGAGAACGTCCTTGAGCAGGTCCTTCCAGATCGTATCCAGTCCAATACCTTCACCGCAAGAGGTAGGCCACAAGTCATAGCCGGTTCCATGGTCCAGACTCACATCCTCCAGAAACATGGCATAGACCTCCGGGACCTGCTTCTCGAAAAGATGAACGTTCCAAAGCGACTTGATGTTGGCTGAAGCTTGGCTCGAAAAGTCGTTGTCTTGGTTGGTCCAGATCTCGCGTCGGCTCTGCTTGACTGCAAAATGTCCATTGATGTGAACCGGGAACGGCAGTTGGATTCCGATGGGTAGGAAACAAAAGAGGCGAGAGGTGTCAATCTTGACATCTGGGTCCGTTGGTGCTGCGATACCCACCCAGGGGATCAGTTTGTGGTTGTTGATGTTTCCATCTGTCCGCGCCACCATGTACTCTCGTGATTTGAGCATATTGCCGACCAGTGTGCTGATGTGCCATGTTTCTTCTGTTGTTGAACCGTCCTCCTGGGTGATCCTGTAAGTCGGTCTCACGGAGTAGTTGAGAATATCCTCATGGCTTGCTGACTGGTCTGGATAAACGTGTGCCCTGAGGCTACTGAGAAGGTTGAGCCGCTCTTTCCTGACCTCCACTGTGTTGACAATCTCAATCTGGAACAGTTTTGTTGGCTTGTCCTGGTTCTTCTTGCGCTCATAGATGATAATCTTTTCCACATGCTTCAAAAACAACAGGGCCTTCAACGCCTCCTCCTTCAACTTGACCAACATCTCCAGTACCTATCACATGAACGTGAATATTGACTTGTAAATAATTGCGCTCCTTATTACATGCGAAAGGGATGGCGAAGAAGAACGTATGGTGACTTGCAGTTACCTTGTTGGGGGTATATCCATATTTGGAGATGTCGGACTTCTCTGCCTGTTCCTCTGTCCTGAGCGGGAACCGGAAGACAGTTCCAGGGTAGGGCTTTGAAAAGTCGATGTCCTCCAGTACTGAGAATGTCCTAAGTTGATCTGGAAAGTCGTTGACTCCTTGGCTGTTCTTGACAAAGTTGCCTTTCACCGCACCCTCAATGAATTTTGACTTCTTCCCATTGAAGATACGCTCGTGGGGCTCGATCACCATAAACTGGTCCCCAGTGATGAACGATGGGCAGTCTGTCAAATGGTAGATACTGTCCACCATAATGAAACGATAAAGTATAAGTTAATTGCATCTCCTACAACTACTTCGACAACAGTAAAAAATTCGGAGGAAACACGGAATGCGTACCTGTTGAATCCAATGCCCATCTGTCCAATCTTGGACTCGTCCATGAGTTTCTTGCTTGCAGCCAAACTCTTCAATGAGTCAAAGTCTCTCTCCTCAAAGACCGAATCACTTCCAGCAAGGAGAGCTGGCCCCATGTATTCCTGAAGGTCGTCATGGAAGAGTCGCAGCTTGGACGACTCGGTGCCATTCGCCGTTTCTGGTGCCTCCTTGTTGTAGTCATGATGGTCGAGGAGGTACCACTGCACGGTTGAGCGGGCATCGTCACTGTTTTGGAGTAGTTCTCGGGCAATCTGTGTACCGTCAGGATACTCGTCTAGGATTCCTTTGATTCGATTGGTCAATGGCTCACGGATGCCATGCGACATGAACCCCGAGTGTTCTGGTGACATTGTCCGCAGGTGCGATTGAAAGGATTAAAAGTGATAGCGTTGGGAGGATGGTGCGTGTGGATTTTTTTTACCTTCGCATGCTCATTTTAGTGCTGAAGAAAGCCATCTAGCCCCTTAATTCGCTCACTCTCTTTCACATGCTGCTCCCTTGACCTTGACTCGCTCAAACTGAGCATATGGCCTATCAGTTCACGTCTTGTCAGCAACAACTCTCTTCTTCTTCTCACTTACCCTCGCTCATATCCACAAATCGACTTCAAGTCTTGAAATCTGCCCATGCAGCGGACAAGTTGACAGTTGACCTCTTGGCTGACAACACACGACTAAGCTATATGCCACGTTCTTACTGCTTTAAGGTCTAAACTCTAAACTGACAGTTGGACTACCTGGCGTCCTCTCAGTTTCGAGTCCGCTGCTCCCGAGCCACCCGCCTGCCAGCCAACCAGAATAAGGACAAGCGCCACCCTTTCTCCCATTTCCCTCTTCATTCTCCGCCACCACTCCTTTCTTCTATGTCTCTCCCCCCCTCTCTCTCTCTGCTTCTTCTTCCCTCTCTTTTCCTCTCGCTGACTCTCCTTCACCATTTTTTTCATTCCTCCCCAGTTTTCACCTTCATCGCTTCTTCTCCTCTACTCACAGTCACCTTTCTCACATTGCAATTCAAAACTGGTCTCGGAATCAACTCTCATCACAATGTCGGAATCAGCACCAAGTTTCATGGACAAGCACAAGGCAGCGACAAGACAACAGCAAAGCAAGTTAATGGGTTCATGAGGGGGTGCCATATCTTTTGGTGAGTATTCTCTGTTTAGGCTTAGGGGTGGGACCTCAAGAGGGCTGCTCATTTTTCAAGGTGTCTGGGTGTCTGGAGGGAGTTGGGAAATATCCTGGCATAGCAAACGTGGGGCAGGACCATGAGGGGGGGTGCCATGGATGGGACGACTCTGGGAAGAAGGAAGTTGGCTCCGTTTATAGTGGATTCTTCTTTTCAATGTTATACCTATGCGATATTGGAGCTTTCGGGTTCTAGTATCGGGGCTTCAGCTTAACTGTTTGGGCTCGGTTTGCAAAACGAATGTCTTGATGCACTTCTAGGAGTGAGGAGTGCTACACACCAGGGTAGAGGAGAAAGCTGGCCTGTTTGAAATCGAGTTAGTGGTTCCCTCATGGCCCGACATATTCGAACAACTCTTTACTTTCTTTTGTCGGTCAACGGAACGTTCTTATGGCTACTCCCAAGGGTTATTTCACTTTACAAGCAATCAAGGTCTCCAACCGCAACGCTTTAATTCCGGAGCGGAAAACCTGGATGATCGATTTTTGAAAGAGTAATGTGAGGAGGGTCCTTCTGGAGTTTGCATAGAGAATTAGAGATACATCGAAAATCTGGAAGGTTTGGCCGATCAGGGCGTTGAGGCCCTACGAAGAAAAATAGTTGTGGATCATAGAACGTTTCTCGCTGAATTTGGAGCACGGAACCTCTTGCCAGAAGCAGGACAAGACTCTCCAAACCCTTGAGCTATTGTAAGTGTAACTTGTGTAACCCTCGCCAACGGTCGTAGATACGTTCGTGCTTTTAAAAATTGGCTGGCGAATAATTTGCTCTTTCATTTCTCTTTGATCTTCTTATTCTTTAGGTGTAATTTATTATGCATCCATGGTTTTCAAAAGAAGAGCCATCAGAGTCCGACTGCTTCCACCTTTGGACTTCGGTATTTAGCACTTTGATGGAAAAGATACAGACCAAGACGTAAGTTCAATATATGTGCTCCAAGTTGTGAACTTTGTTGTAGCACCAAGAGGACGATTGAAATGAATATTGCGTTTTCTATGTGATCGTAGTAATGAAACGACCTTAGGAGCCTCCAAGGTTATGAAGTGACTGCAACACTTGGAGCACGAAGAAGTGTCCGAAACTGGCAGAAAAGTTGACTGTATCTTTGTGGCGGAGGGTGTATGAATATCTAATATTGAATTTAAGAGGCCTAGCATCAGCGGCGCAGAGGTTGCCATTCAAGACAGAAAGAACTTTAGCCTCGCCAGATGCATTCAGGAAGGTCTTTGCTCGCTCAGTGTAAAGGAGCCAGTGGTCTACATGGCCGATGTGCAAGGTATGAAAGTGAAACTAAGATTCCTGCTCTGAAAAACAAGCATCTGGCATTGAGAGGCTGGAAGATTTACTTCATCATCTAGGGTATACAGGAGTTTTTTACCCCGTCTGCCCCATGGGGGACATCGCAGTCGCGGGCAAGACAACTGAGTAAATCGTGTGCCTTCCTTGCACTGCTGGTGGCCTATTGGAGTTCCTGGAGGATTGGTCTTTGTCGATTCTTTAGAATTACATCCTACATATTGATCCTTGTGATTCGCTTTTGTCCTTATCATTTTTTGTACAAGTCGCACTCACCTCAGTGAGCCTTTCTGTCTGTAACGTAAGACAAATTGGAGGCACACGTGTCACCTCTCAATATTGCAAAGGAACGAAAACCAAGCTCGCCAAGAAAAGAGAGTCATGGCCACAAGCATCTCTCGCTCAAGCACACATTCCAGAAACATGTGATGTTGACGCATACGAAGAAGCGCCGGATTCGAGCAGCACAATACACATCATAATTGTCCTCCTTTGTCAACAGCCTTCGATGTCCATGGTTCTTTCTTGGGATTTTTCGCCCCGGGCAGTGCCGAGAGCCGTCAGGGTATAGTGACCTTTCCTAGACAAGGCAGGGTGAGATATCAGGGGATGGAGACAGGTGCAGTGAGACGTTTAGGTGGGGGTTAGAGAGTCAAGGAGACGAAAAATGATGTTTATTCGCCCATAGGTGCAATTGGTAAATAAAAAATGGGTATACACATAGACCTACATGACACATCCAAATGACGGCGCAACACCGCTTGGATAAAAAAAATGGGCGCATCAAATAAAGAGCCCCCTCTCCTCACTCATTCTCAGCGAACCTAAGCTGGGCTAAACTAAGAGGGAAACCAATGATATGTATGTTGCTGCTTATGCTAATTTAGATTATCTGTGTCCTTGTCCGTGCGGGCAAAGACATCAGACAAAAAAAAAAGAGCCGAATGTAATAGCGGCTAAAGCCTATTATTTTCGATAGCGCCAGGGACTCTAGACATGCGTGTATCCTTCTTTAATGAGAATGAAAACCAAATAAACAAAAAGGGGACTCTAGGCGATCTCTTGATCTCTCTCTCTCTGCCTGCTAGAAAAGAGCGGGTTGTGTGGGACATCTAGAGTCTCTGGTGTTGTCGAATGATAAGCTTTAGCCGTCATTACATTTCGGCAACGCTAACAATTAAGTTCTTACGGGGAAAAGCAATAAATCTACCGCTCAACATCATCACAAACTTTGTTAATAAGCAAACGTTTTTATTGACGCGCTTGATACCATTTGTGCTCATCAGGTGTTTAACCAAAGAGTTTGCAGCACGCTTGGTTTTTGTTGTCGCAGTTTCCTTCATAATTGAAGGCAGGCGGAGGGCATCGCCTGTCAGCTCCTACGTTAATACAGGTGCCTGCATACCACAATCCACAGTTCTCGGCTAAAACGGCCGGAAGAACGGAACACACAAGTAGTGCAACAGTGTATATCTTCATTTTTCTTGCCTGCTCCAATTTGTATAGAAGTAACATTATGTTAATGCCAATTGTGAAGAAGCCGGCAACGAAATTGCTGGCACATATAAGCAATACGTGCTTACTTTTGTTTTTTGGTTAGAGCGCGAGAGTCTCTAGTCAGGATGTGTGAAGGTTCTTGAAGGTTGTGAGCGCTGTTGTGAGTCTAGAGCCTTGGTAGCAGTTTGGAAGTGCGGCGGTTCTCGTGAGAGGTTTCTTTGTCTTGAAAAGGGCTGGTTGAATTTGATACAGGCAGTCTGGATGCGTGGCTCCTTTATATAGTTGACAAATTCTACTCTTTCTCCGCCAAGATTATCACGTACTCGACCTTTCGGGGATATTGCAAAGGGAGGGATGGACGCCGCTAAAAGATCATGGGATACTGCAAAGGGATGGACGCCGCCGCTAAAAGATCATGGGATACTGCGAAGGGATGGACGCCGCCGCTAAAAGATCATGACACTGCAAAGGGATGGACGCCGCTAAAAGGGATTGTACTTCAAGAGAGGGAAACCCACTTCATGTCTAACGTGACAATCTTTATTTTCTCTAGATTGTCACATTAGACATGACGTGGGGTTTCCCATCTCGTGCAATGTTTATTAGCCGTCGGACAAGTCCTCGGCGAAAAGATACATGGACGCCGCTAAAAGATCATGGGATACTGCAAATGAAGGACGCCGCTAAAGATCAAGGGATACTAAAGGAGGGATGCTGGAAAAAGATCAATGGGCTGGAAAACGACCAAGGGACAAAAAAATATCGAAGGACAGGAATGATCAAGAGACAGCACCAAGGTCAACAACAAGTGACAACTTCAATGTACAACGCCAAGCGACAACGTAAGGGACAGCATTAAGGAAAAACACAAATGGATAACAAGGAAGGGATGCAAATGTGAAGGGATAGTGGAAAAGGTCAAGGGATGAGAAAGAATAAAGAATGTTCTGCTGTCATAGGATCAAGGGATGCTAAAAAAAACGCTAGGATAACCCAATAAGAATTAATTAGTGCACGTGTACGTGCGCTTCACCCAAACAAACACACTCAATTTATGCATGTTTTTTCCTTTTCTCCTAATGTTATTTTTAACTTTTCTTGTCCTCTAGCACCTTTCCTACTTCTTTTTTCCGACCCCTACGTAGTTCACAGTTAAAGTCAAAGTCGAGAAGTTTTTTCTTCTAAGAATTTTTTTAGTTAACAATAGTGGTACACAAGCTCAATCTTTTTATGAATGCTGTTCATTCCTCTTGGTCGTCCTGTCTTGTTCCCCTTCATCGTTCTATTTCATCCCTTTGCCTTTGGTCACCATTTCCCTCCCTTACCCTTCGCGTGCATACTTTTGAGGTTTACAATATTCCGCACATGTGAAAGAATTGTATCTGTTCTTGGGTTTACGATCAGGCAATGCCACAGCATCAATCTCCCCAAAGGCGGCACTTAGGACTTCTTCCTTGGTCATTGACTTGTTGTTCTTTCTATCCCTCTCCATCAAAAACAAGACCTGATCCTATGTCCTCTTTTTGTTGTTCAGGTTCTTGGTTGCGGCGCCTGAAAGTGTTGTTGGTAGTCTCCGGGCTTTCGTTTCTGCAAACAATTTGTCAAACCGCTCAAGCCCAACAAACACAGCCTTTGTGTTGGCGAGATAATTGTTCTTGATAAGCCATTGCTAGGCTTGAACAGGCGCTGCTGCCTGGATACTCGTTAATGCTGCTTGATCTCCAGAATCATTTGGCCCTGTATTGCTGCGTTCTCTCCCTGTTGCCCTGAAGGATGCGGGCAAAGATCCTAACGGCCTGGATCTCCAAGTCGTATGTATTGGTGTTAGAGGCGCTTGTGCAGCTGACAAAGCTGGTCGAATAGCTTGAGGTTGGTGATTGCCGGGTTTGGAGGATGGTGGCAGCTGTAAACCAAGATGCACGGTCGACTGTCGGTGTTGCTAATGCTGGAAACATGGAGATGATTGGCCCCGGCATCTCGTGACTGAAGAAAGGTTGATTTCCAGTGGAATATGGCTGGAGCCCAACAGGCGGCGGTCTGTCAAGCGCTCTCTGTATCTCCTTATACATCTTCTCGATCCCGTCCAACCCATCATTCACTCAGTTGCTTTGGTAATGCAGGATTGTGAAACATTCTGCAAAGGCGTCCAGTCTCACATGGATGTCGGCCTGTGCTCGCTGATATCTGCAACTCCATTTGCTTGCGCCGAGTTCCAGATCTGGAGTGCTACCATCAGGTGGAAGATCGGTGGGCACGTCTACATGTATTTCATGCCGCTTTAGAGATATCGCAACGTCCTCCATGAAGGCATCAAACATTGGACTTTCGAACGTCTCAGGACACTTCCCCAGCGGCGGTGACAGGGCTATATTAAGGTATCGATAGAGACATTCGGCAGAGTTCTACGACAGCACTCGGCGTAATCGGAGCATCAATCGCAGTGCGATGATGCTATCAAGAGACTATCTGGGAGGGATCTAGTCTAAACAAATGGCTGTGGAACAAGGACCATGTCCTACTGATGAACGGACTGAGGGAGTTCCATGGAGTTCGCATATGTGGGATTGATAGAGCAAACAAAATACCAAAAAAAAAGGAAGACGAAAATAAAGAGGGAAAGGAGTCCTAACAATAAAGTAGACCCCTTGACGCCGGCTATCCAATAATATACGTTGACTGTTGTGCCGCAAGCTGCCGGTAGATGATAGATCGGCCAGGATCGATGATGGGTGATCGGATCGATGTCTGGCGGAAACATGGACAGGGCGAAAGGTGGATCTGTATAAGATCAAAAGGTGGTACACGGTGTCAATAATAAGATGGATAGTCCAGTCGGTGGTGGGCTTCCTTGTGCTACCCGATGCGGATTATCTCTGTTGCATGAGTTATAACGTCGTTAGACAATATGTCGGTCTGTGGTCGGCTACCGTATGGCGCATTGAGTTTGGACAGGACTTGTGGACAGGGCGAGCTCGTCAGCAGGTTGGGCTCGGACGATACATCCAGTGTTGATAATGCGCAAGGATAGCGGATAGATCCAGCTTTCAATGCTGACTGAGAAAGCGAACGGGCACATAGCTAAGATACGCCTTCGGCGGCAATACCAGTCGAGTGGTAGTTGAGGGGTCCTTACTGATCAATATATTGTTACAAAAAGATGTGGTGGCTAGGCAGTGGCGGCGATGCCTTAGGTTAGCAGTCATATCCTTTAGTAGACATAGTATTAGTAGTGCGCCGAGCCCTCGTGTCTGCTCTTTGTCCTTTTACACATCACTTGGACGAGAGCAGTATTGACAAGAGTTTCGCTGGCACGCTGCAGGTAACAACCCCCTCTTTAATAATATGAATACAAGGTCCTTTTACACATCACTTGGACGAGAGCAGTATTGACAAGAGTTTCGCTGGCACGCTGCAGTGTATCGTTTTGTGTGATTCTTTTAGGACGCTATTATCACTCTCCCCCCCCCTTCAACCTACAACCCCCCCTTCCCCCCCTCCTCCGTACCAATTGAGGACCTAACAGCGGTCCTACAACTCTGGCCGTCGACCCTCTCCCCTGAGTAACAATATCAATCAAAACGCATCAAATAGAATGAGAGAACTGAAGCACCTCAGTTTTCATACTACGAAATTGTGGCCATGAGGACGTCAACTCAAAAGGCAAATCCCCATTCACATTTCCACAATCTGATGTCGACTCCTCTCCCTATGCCTCCTCTTCAGGAATCTCCTTATGGCACCCCTTAGATGGAGACAATAGAATAGACTGCCCTTAATGTTATGAAAAGAGGGAAGTATTATAATATTACAATAAAATACTGCTAAGAACAAGAACAGCATTGCACATACCTGCTCAATATCAAGAAAGAAAGGTGCCGTTCTCTTTGACCTCGAGCAGGCTTCTTCTATACTACTCGGCTCGACTTAAGGGGTCTTAAGCCACCAACAATTCCAGCGCACCACATTCGCCGTCTTGACGCGACTAGAAGTTCTAGGGTACATTACAAAACGAAAAAAAATAAAGTTCTAGTGTACCTTGGAATGAATACCCCTGTCTTCTGTCTCTGGCTGGTTCCAGGCCGGTACCCGTAATGGGCTACTTGCCTAGACTTGTTCATTCATAGCTGTTTGTCTCTTACCTTTCTCCATTCCGCTTGCCTTTTCCATTAGAGGATCATTAAAAGGAACCTGTCTTCGCTAAATTGAAAAAATCACTTTTCTTTCCCGTCTCCACTTTCCCGATATCTTTCATGTCTGGATTTATTTTCTGTGAGACTAAATACAGTGGGCAAGAGGAGGAGATACGAAGTGGGAAGGGGGGAGAGGGAGGGTGTGCAACATGGAGACGAGCAGATAGGATTGACAGAGAGGAGCAAAGAAATGGAGATAATGCATGCAGCAAGAGAAAGAGGTGTTCTTACTTGGCCTTGGGGGGGTATTTGATCCCAGTGCTGGGGCACGAGCCAGTCTTCGGTGCATCAATGGGTACAAACGTTCCATCAATCATGCTGCCCTTGAGATTGAAGTACCAGGTGATCTGTTGAAAGAGAAAAGCGAAAAAAGGAAGCGCCTGTCAGCACTCGATACTCCTCTTCCAAATGCATAGCACACGCCATTGGCAGCCCTCGCTCTGCTGCATTCTCCCTCTCCCTTACCTGGCTAGAGTTTCACGGGAGCAGTCTAACGCTGGAGTGAAGCCAGATTGCGCCTTGAGGACCGACGTCAACTCTGAAAGAGTGTAAGTGGTCGACGATGAGGGGATGATGCCCCCGTTTTCCAGCCAGGTGTAGGTGGGGAGCGTCTTGAAGAGACTTACGACCGTTCGAAAGTATGCAACAGCTTCCGCGCCCCGGGCGCTGCCTTTGGGCAAGCACGAGGGATTGAGGGTCGACATGCAGGTTCCATGGGTGGCCCACACATTTTCCCAGAAATGTTCGTTTTGGCCATTGATATCTACCCAGAACTTGCTCATGAAGTCCAATGTGTTTGATGCACCATTACTCTCGAGAAGGCTAGCCATATTGGTGTAAGCCCGGGAGGGGTCGCAGTTCTCCGAGAAAGTACTATCACAGTTGTCGGACGAGAGTCCGTGGATGGTGAAACTGTCCACAGGACCAGTAGAAGGGTTTGTGTCCCAGAACTGGGTCTGAAGCATCAGACCCCCCGGCGATTCGAAGCAGCACAAGTTAGCAACCACTGAGGTATTAGTGCACGAGGCAGTACCAGTCGTGGAGCAGCCACTACTCTGGCAATGGGCCAGAACGATGGACAGGGAGGCGACAGCCACGGAGGCAGCAATGGACATGAGCTTCATGGCGACGATGTTGTTTTTTGTGAAGGGAGAGAGCTTGATGGAGGGGTTAGAGTAAGGGTATCAGTGGGGGACCAAAGAGAAGAGAGACGTGAAGAGAAAAGAATGAAGGTCGACAGAAGGGCGTGTTTATAGCGAGGTGGAAGACTGGAATGGCAAGAGAATGGCAATGAGTCATGAAAAACAGAGAGATTCCGAGGAAACAGTTTTCATGCTGTCACACCATGATGCCTTCTATCTTATGGATGCAGTATCATATATTAGGGACAGGGAATAGTTGATATGTTTAAGGTTTAAGAGAGGACGGTGCAGAAAGGAGAAGTCCAGGAGACGCTAAGAAGGAGCAGAATGGTGACAAACTAAGTTAAAGGCAACGGGAGTCATGCACAAACATCAAGGGGAGGCTATTAGAGGAGATCGTAAGGAAAGGAGAAGGTACTATTTGTGTTTTATCAGCCCTTTTCTTCCAGCAGACCAAGAAAGTGTTAGGGATTGGAAAATCAGGGGATTGGAAAAATCAAGGGTTGTGAAAGCAAGGGGTTGGAAAAAGCAAGGTCATGCCGAGAACAGAAAGAGGGATGCCAATTGATCAGCCAAGTAAGGAAAAAAAAGAGGGACGCCAAAAAAAATTCAAGGGGATGCCAAGTGAAAAGAACGAAACACCAAAAAAAGATCAAAGGTGGGGTGAGAAATCGATGGATGCTGGAATCATTAAGGTCTTGCTAAAAAAAAAAAAAAAAAAAAAAAAAGAGAGAGACGCAAAAAAGGATCCAGGGATAAACAGACAAAGTCAACTAACCTGTGGTAGCCAAGCGTTCGTAGCGGCGTTTCTTGTGGTCCTTCGATGTCGGCTCTTTCAATCGCTGCTTCATTAGAATTTGAGGTCTCGTTGTAATGCTTTGTTCCCTTGTAAGAATCAATTTAATTAAAGGGGTTCGCCTGAGAATTTAGATCTTCTTGGTATGAGGACTGTATAGATAATGGCCATGAGAGAGACTGTGCAAGAACTCGCTCTTGCGTGAAAAGTTTCGCTGCGTCATGACTTGCGTCCCTCTCCTAACCCGCTTGAAAAATCGAAAAAAAACCAAAACGGACGAAGGGATAAGACAGGGAAAAACAGAGTAATCCCGGAGAGAATAGCCAGTTGGCTACTTCTCTACTTCCTATAGACCCAATTCTATTTTTTTAAAGATGCTTTGGCTGAACTGTGAAAGTACAATTCTTCAAGAACTCGATGTGCTGCTCCTTGCTAGAATCTATGGCCTTTTGGTATTCATCCTTCTCCACCGATTTAGGATCCATGACATAATAAATGTTGTTTGCGACATCATGATGCATCCTCCAGTCGTCCAATTCATCGTACACTGCCTCCTGCTCTTGCTCTGTATAGTAATCACGTAACCACGAAAGTTAATAAAGTGTTTTTTGTACGTTTCAAATTCTAAAGCGCACGGCCTTCTAATGCTTATCTGCTTTTCGATCCATGAGGAAGATACTCGGCTTGCCAAGGGACTAGTAGGTCCTTGTATGAATTTGACTCCTTTAATACTGCGTAGTCTCTGAATGAACACAGCTTTCGTCTCTAGTCACATAAACGACACAGTAATTCGCTCCCTGGTTCGAATACCCTTTAAGATTTCCGAGACGGTTCCCTTGGTAGTGGATACTCTGATAGACGGTGTTGTATCTCAGTGTCTGCCCACTCACTCCTCATTCTCCATTAGGTAGTAGTCATCATTCCATATTGTATATTATCGTAGGGCTCAATAAAGATCCCCAGCTTCTTTCTCACCATTTTCATCTCCCCAGCTGTTTATATCACAAACCTTAATGTTCTCTTACTAACCTAATTCAATGGTACCCCACATGGCAAGTTGATTAATGACACCAAAGTGTGAGGCCGCGTTGCCGATGCATTGTTCCTACCACTAACCAGGTATATTATTGGCACTTGAGGGGTTATAAAAGAGATATTGGCTGAAACTGTTTATGAGTACAATAATAGAGAGGGGTTATGCGTGACAGGGTCTACAATTGGAAAGGGCAATGTAGCAGTGCTCTACTAGCAAACGACAAGGGAGTCCCTTCTCTTCTATTTACTACTCAGAACGCTGATCACTAGGTTTGCGGGCGACGAAGAAAAACATGGGCGTGTATATACCGAGCTTGCCACTCTCAGCGAGTGAGGTGGCTCCAATGTCAAGGAACTGGGCGACTTGAGCACTGCCGGAAGCGAAGAGACCGACCTTCTCGAGAGCCGCGCACATAGTGTTTGTCACCATGCGACCGTAGGTGGAAGAGCGGAAGACGGTAAAATAGTCCCAGGGCGTTCTGGCATAACGGAGCTCGCCCGAAAGAGGATAGTACCAAGGGACGGCATCATCATTGACAGCACGGTCCTCGTTTTCCAGTATCTCAAATCCAGCAAACTCCAGAGCATCGAGGCACTCCTGACGGGTCACCAGATTGACAAGACTGCATCCGAGCTTGATACCCTTGGCAATTCGCTGGTGCTCAGGGTTGGTGGGATCGTACTTGTCGGTCAGGACCCATTCATAACAAGCAAACACACCGCCAGGCTTAAGGACACGAAACGCTTCAGCATAGACACCCTTCAAGGACGACGCATGAGGAGTAGCCTCGATGGCATAGCAAGCATCAAAGGTGCTGCTCTCCAGCGGCATGTTCATAAAGTCGCCCTTTACAAAGTCCTGTTTGCTCTCGAGACCGTGAACGACCGCGTACCGACGAGCGCGGCTGATCTGGTAATCGTTGATGTTAAGGCCAGTGATACGTGCACCAGTAAAGTGCGCAATTTCGCGGGCCGGACCACCGACACCACATCCAATATCGAGAACATGGCTGCCAGAATGGATGCCTGCACGCGCCGCCAGGTAATGCTCATAGCGCGCCATGGCTTGTGGCACGGACTCGCCGTAGTGGAAACGGCAGAAGTGCCACGAGGTTCCCCAGGCATACTTCAGACACAAGCAAAGTCGATCGTCAGTACATGTTCTCCTTTTCACGTCTTCGAAGGTGCGCATTTAGAAATGGTGACATAGAAAAGGGGGGAGGGAGCACCATATCAAAATTATTGATATGCCCAAAATTATCCCCGATTACGTTCCATGTCCAGCGAACATGGAGGTCGTGGAGTGTGTGCATAAGGATCACTCCGCTGCGCAAAGCTTGGACAACCAGCACGCACCACATATTATCACACCATTACACCATCGCGCTTCCCTTTTTTCTGTGCTACCTACAACATCACCACATTTGGACGAGCCAACCAGGGCATAGAGACCTAAGGCATTTATCGCGCAGCAATGGACAGCTGTCTATTGAAATATCCGTAGCGACTCTCCCTTCGCGGCACAAAAACAGCCCGTCGCGCCCTATCCCACCCGTCCGTGGTGAATCCGGCTGAACAATACTCCCACCCCCCGCCACTGCCACTTTTCTATCCTGACAATCGAGATTACAGCTACGCTGTCAGAAACATCGCCATTGCTTCGTTCCCTGCCCGAGCATACGCCTGACAGCGCAAGGAAACAACTCTTCTGTGATCCTCATTTGTCTCAAAACGATTCCATTGTTCCCTGCTTTCAGGTTTGCTTGTCGAGCCTCAAGGTTTTTTTTTTTTTTTTTGGTCTTCGTAGCTTCGCCCAAGTCCCCATACTATCCCCAGGCTGAAAGATAAAGACAAAAATTTCTCAAACATACCTCATAGAAATCCGTGGAAAGCTCGAAGTAAAGGTTCGTGATGTCGGAACCGTTCTCGACCACGTTCTTATCGGCCTCCTGACCGGGGCTGGTATTGGTCTTCCAGTTCTTCATGTAGTTGTTAACGACCTCGGGCAGAAACTGGCGGTTCTTGCCCGTGAGCTTGGATATGAACGAGTCCTGGTGCTTGGTGTCGTTCCATGTCGAGCCATGTAACAGCTTGGATCGGTCAAGATCCTGGACGTGTGCGGTATTAGTGGCGGTGGTCGTGCTTTCTCGTGTTGGCGACATTGGGTGGGTCTTCTTGTTGTGTTGTGTGTGTGAGGAATTGAAGTATGTATGAAGGCTTTTGAGATTGGGCGTGAGAATGAGAGTTGGGAAAATAAAAGAAGCGAAAATGAGAGAGATGGACAGACGGTCGCACAGTTGATTTATAAACGCACTTGAAGGGTATCAGATGACCTGTCCTGTTGCGCAGCTCGTGCCGTTCTTCATCGGAGATTTTTTCCACGCTCCTTTTTTTGCGAGGTTTTGCGCGTTTCTTATGAAACGACGCCAAAACCTTACTGAACTAAAAAATATAGGGGGTGTTATTCAGTTAGCTTTATCTATGCTTGGATTTATGGATTCCACCTTATCTGTCAACCCCCGATCCGTAAATCCAAGCATAAATTAGACCGACTGAATAACGCCCCCCTATATTCTAATTCAGTAAGGATTTGCGTGTTTCTTATCAAAACAAATCTCACAATAAGGAGCGTAGTGTTCCATTCCAGTTCACACTTGGACTTGCGTGGTCGAAGCAGTAATAGGTGAATAGACAGAAATCATGCAAAAAAAAAAAAATCAAGGGCACGCTGAGGCAAGAAAAAAATCATGCAAGATAACTAGGTCAAGCGTTCATGGCAACGCTTGCTTTTCGATCATTCGATGTGCAGCTCCTCCTATCATACTGAAGCAGAGTTCAGTAAGAGTTGGATTGTTCACCCATTAATAGGAATGAGTTGGGCTTAAACAGACGTGAGACAGGTTGGTTTTACCTTACTGATGAAATGCTGTTGCAGTAGTAATTGGACTTAGTGTACGAGAGGAATCGTTCAATCGGTGAGCAGGCAATGACCCGAAAACTATCATTCGTTGGGTTATGGCTGAATGTCTCTAAGTCAGAACCCGTGCTAGAATGCGACGATTACAGCCTTTTCCGATTTTTAGTTGAATACAAATAGATCCTCGGATCCTCTCTCTCTTTCTTTTTCTTTCACGCGCTGTACTTAAGGGCATTAGACCCTTTGCATTAGCAGAAAAGTGGGCCCACACACGCTCATAAGGGACCAACTCCTACATGTAGTAGGCGAAAAGTCCATACTTTCTTCCAGCCCCCCCCCCCCCCCCCCCCCCTCTCCTCTCCACCACCCCGCACTAGTCACGGACCCACTCATACGTATGGTGGCGATAATTCCATATCTTGTGGGGAAATAACTTAGGCACGCTAGCGAAAACTCCCACACGGTCTCTACTAGACCGGCAAAGCTCGAGGAAGAGAAAGAGGCAGTGATGTCAACTAGATCACAGACGACGATAGAGGGTCCGGATCTTCAGGCGCACGACCGACAACAGTTCTGGGTTCTCAACTAGAGGAACATGATAGACAACAGGGGGAAGATGCTGTTCTATCGTTCACTCTAGTCCTCCTTTTATGCTATCTGACTACACTACTGCTACGACCACAACTGAATAAAGAAGAATATAAGTAAAGATGTGAACACAATGGCTCGGGGTTGGCCACAATAGTTGGGTTGTTCATCAACATGATAATTATGAGGTTTAAGAATAGAACGTGAAGAACAAAAGTGGACGTGAAGGGGGACATCGGCGAGAGAAGAAAAAAGAAGGGAGATAAAAAAAAAAAAAGAACAACAAAGAGAATAGCTTCTTGTTTGACTCGGGGCTGTCAAACGCAACGAATGGGTGGTCATCCGGGTTCGTGATCACAACAAAGGCTCTCGGGGTCGTAGGAAACGTAGAAAGTGGCAACGTGAAAAGAAAGAAATGTCGCGGAATAAATAATTAGAACAAAGGGTGGGAAGGAAGCGCAATAGAGAAAGGGTTAAGGGTGGTTAAATTGGTGGCGTGGACAGGAATAAAAAGGTGGTAATTCACGACAGTATCTATGCTACGGCCATACACAACTAAACCCACCGCATCCCGTCCGATCTGCGAAGTTAAGCAGTTGATGGCAGAGTCGGTGGTAGTGGGGAGAGGCATGACTAGGTTCAGGAACGACCTTTTATGGGCCCATGTGAGTGGTTGTGCTTACTCCAAAACAAGCGAGGGAAAATATTAAAAAAAACCCCCCTCTATGGCACATAGTATTTCCATGTGGTTCCCCACCATAGTACTGCTCACCCCATAATCGTGTTCGTGGACGGAATGTCCGACTACTTTGGCCACCGCACAATCCGCTTCCCCCGTGATGCTCTCCGCAACCGTGTAGTATCCACCGGGATAAACTTCGAATGCCAATGCGAATGCACCCCCACCCGAGTCATTGTCCAGAAAGGCCTCGGCACCCTCAACCTCCACCTCTCTACCTCCACCCTAACCTGTCTAAACTGCCATCAATCCGACCGCATCACTCCCCCCCGCGTCGCCATCGGCCACCATAAATGCAAATACCGTCGCTACCTCCTCGCCGCCCACGAAGGCAAGCAGATCACCACAGCCTGGTTAACAATCGTCCCCGAGAACCATTACGATCTGGTACCCAATAATTATAGCAAATGTTTCGATTATACGGTTGTGGGTAAGTGAAGCTGTGGGGTTAGATGAGAGTGAGAATTGCACGGTGTGTTTGCACCCGCTGGCATTGCCTGTAGCTTTGGAGTGTGGCCATCGGTTCCATCCGGTGTGTGGACTGTTATGGAAGGGTGTTTGCCCTAACTGCGAGTTCAACAAACGCCTCATCTTCCCCACCGATACCCCACTCCTACATTGAAGTAGAGGAAGTGTTGGCGAAGAGAATAAAACGCCTTTTGATGGAAGGAACATAGTGCTGGCAGAGGAGGAAATGTATGTAGGATGTTCTTAAGGGGGGGTCTTTTTGATGTTGTGTCAGACAGTACACGGGTTACCCCTATCATTGTTTCCCAATGCCTCTATGATAGCTTGTGCATTCAGAATTAGGTGGCTAGGAGCGAATGAGCAAAAGAATCATCACTAGGAAAGCAGACACGAGCGTATTTTTAGGGCCTTATTGACTGTTGACAGAGCAGGCAGGGGCATGGGATTACGCGTTTCAGGGGGACGAGGGCGAGGATGGCCAAAGGGCTTTTTGGATGCAAGTGAAAAAAATAGATGGAGCAACTCCTAGGGCGGATCGAGGGGAATATATGAGGGAGATGTAGGGGTATGGTAACCTGCGAAGAGCAGTGCAGAAAAAGATATAGAAACAAGATATTATATTTTTGAGCGTGCATGTGCGCAAAGAAGAAAGAAAAGAATTGGCTCTTGCGCATGCAAGGAAAGAATGGGTGAACAGAAATAGGATCCGTGCCTTTTGTCATATACCCATGTCAGACACCAAGAAAAAGAGATATTCAGGAACAAAACATGCACCTTGTCACTTGGCTATTCATTTCATCCCTCTCGCTCCCTCGCTCCCTCGCATGCCCAAACTTCATTCGTCCTACTTCTTTTCTGCGCGATAATGCGCCTGAAATCTTCTGTTGGGGAAGAGGAGAAAGAAGAGAAAAGGGGATCAGAACAACGTTAGGGACAAAAAGAGGGACCTCTCATTTTAGCAGGGGCAGTTATAATACAAGCCAGTCTGCCTACCCATGCTCACACACGAGCACAACTACAAAACTTCAAAACATCAACTACAAAACTTCAAGAAAAGGAGAAATACGAACGAACAGACTGCTCTTGGAGCGCTTGGCGGGAGCAAAGTGAGCCCGTCGTGTTATTTTTGTTCGAGAGAGGGAGGGAGGACATATTCGAATTGGTTCGAGCGTCAGAGTGCATCTGTTGTTGGTCCGAGAGTCAAGAAAAAGACCAACCTTCCCTCCCTTGACAACGGCTCTCACGCTTCGTATGTCGTTTGCGATGAAATGAACGGAATGAAGGGTTCGTTTTGATACACTTTGCTCTCTTACCCCTTCCCTGCACACCCCCTCACTGTGGCCACCCTTTCCATCCCTTTTTCCTCTCTCCCTTCTTTTTTCTTTTTTTCCTTCCGTGTGGCCTCACCTCTACGCGCGAATGCAGTGGTCGTCCCTCCTTTATCCGTCTCTCCTTCCTTCCTCCACCATCTTTCCGCGGCCATAAATACTCCTTCTTATTCTTATTTTGTTCCCTCGAGTATCTTCACCAACAGTTCTCCCACTCCCCTTCCTCTCTCAGAAAGACACACCCATCGACTCTCTTTCCCAACGTTCGTTTCTTTCTTTCTCTCTCTCTCTCTTCACTTATTCTCTCTACTCCACTACCACCTTTCACCCTCTCTCTTAATAGTAACATACTCTTGATCCTTTCGATCCTCTTCTTTTCAATCACATACCTCTTCCCATTCACCCTCGACCAACCTCGGCAGCAAAGACGACCATGTCAACCTTACAGAGACACCCTCGCCATCGCCATCGCCTCTTGACTTCTCGACGACATACCTTCTCCTTCTTTACAACTAGCACCCTACTCCTCATCGCTTTCTCTTTTCTTCTTTCCTTCCTCCTCACACCCTCCCTCGCCCTCCCAGTAACCCTCGAACCTAGACGCAACCCTCTCACCCTCGACCTCGGTCTAGGTGGCGGAAGAGGAGGCGCTGGACTCTCCCTCGGCGGCAATGGAAACACCCTCTTCAACTTTCACCAACGCCCTCGCCGCAACCTCCACACCCGAGCATCTGCCGAACCCGAGACCGAGGCCCAGGCAGCTGAGAAGAATGAAGCAATCGTCGCCTCCCTCCAGAAACGATCCTCCCTGTCTGGGCCCCCCAGCTCGGGCGCAGAGGCAGATAGTGATACCCTCAACAATGACAGACCTCTTGGTAGCTTTGATAAAGGAAATCGCCGCATCCAGCCCATTGATCCAAACCTGACTAAACCCATGGAGGGTGGTTCTGGTGAAGAAGGTGGGGTGGTGAGACGGATGGTGGAGAACAAAAAACGCCAGCGTTTGCCAAACAACTCGCCTGGGTCTGGAGGCAACTATAATAAGAATGATCCCTTTGGGCGTCGTTCTGAGGAGTGAGCGAGGAATGAGTGGCAGCGAGTGCTGGATAAAGGAGCATTGTTTGATACAAGTCTCCTTTTGGTTTTTTTTTTGGCTGAGCCAAGAATAAAAATAAAAAAATAAAAGAGCGAAAAGTAAGCGATACTGCACCAAGTCATGACGCGGATGATGATGGTGATGGCGGCAATACCCCGTAAGGAGGAACGAATGAAAGGCCCACTTGCCATCAAAAGCGCAAGGACGGGGGGCTTATGATGATGGATAGTGACGACTCCTGCTGTGCTCATTGTCATATAAAGAAAGGGCTAGAGAGCTGTTTTGCCCTGACATGAAGACCCTTCTCCCTAACCTTATGCTCACACTAAATTTTTTGATCTGTGACTGGGGCCCCTAGTCCCTTTCGCCATCACGCCCAAAATTATTTTTGTTCCTTCTCATGTGTCCATTCACGCGTAGAGTTCGTGATGGACCCATGATTATAATGAGTTCTGCCCTTGTGCTCTTCTTCCTCTTTATCCGGCCGTTACCGGGTATGCCATTGCAGCAAGAAGTGATCTGGTACTGGTTCCCATTGGAACATTTCTTTTACTATTTCCTCCAGAGAGAACTATGGAGAAGAAGGAAAAGGTGAGGAATCGCGAAAATAGATGAAAAGGAACAATGTTTTTACCGCGTGTACCGAAGATGCTGTCCATATCGCACGGCGCACTTCTTGCCCCCTTGGCAAATAGAAAAAAGTAGCAGTAACAGTACTTTAGTCCTTGGTCTGGGCTAAAAAAAATATGCGAAAAGGCCATGCTCGTGGTTGTGGGTTCCTGCAATTGTATTGGTATTGGCAGTTGGTTGTGTTGGTCTGATTCCAGTGTTGGTTGCTGTGCATTGCAGGAAAGAAGCAAACTGATAATTTGTTACACATAAAAAAGGGACGCCCTCTCATCCTTTCTCCCCTTTCTTTTCTTTTTTCATTTCTTCGCAATACCGAACTCTTCCTTGTACCTTCAAACCCCACACTTGCCACCACTCACTACAGCTACAATGAAGACTACCCATTCACTGCCAATGGTCGCAACCATCTCTCTCATAATCATATCTATGCTTTCCCTTGTCCTCCTGGCACCACAAAAGGCTTTGGCCAGCCCAGTCCCTCTTTTGCCTGGAGAAGAAAAGAGCGCAGACACATACCCGAACTCTAACCCTACGCTGTCCGAGGTCATGAAAAAGAGGGGTGGAGTCCGCCCTCTACCTGGACCAGGCACTGGTGGCACCTACGACAAGAACCAGCCCGGCAACCGTCGCTAACCACCCCTCCTTGCTTCCATAGCTTAAGGAAAAAATAAATCGATTAAAACCAAACAATAGTGAGCCTGGAAATAACGTCCCTCATACCCCCTTTTGACTCGTTCTCTTTTTCCCTTTTCGAGAGACGACGCTCTTCGTTCCTCTCTCTCTTTCCTTCTCCCCCTTCTCACTCAGACACAGAAGACACCGACCTGACCTTCCTTTCTTGTAAGTCGACAACCAAATGTGGCAGACAATCACATTCAACTCACTTTCTGGCTGATGGATGTTTATTCTTCATTCATTCATTCACAACGAACAAGTACACACGACAACAGCAGGAGAGCATTACTTACAAGGACCCAGCAGTGAGAGAACACAGACAGGCAGGCATACGTGTCTGGAGGATGGGAGAGCAAAGGCATGGAGAGACTTTGCCTCCAAAGCAATAAGGACAACGACGCGACCAACAAACGCAACAAACAATCACTCGCACCTGTCATCGCAGCGAATGTCAAGAGTCAGTGTTCATCATCACTGACATTCATTCACTCCTTGTTGGACTTGGGGTGAATGTAAACCACTGAGCACATCTGCGCAGGACTGGGACAGGGTAAAAGAGTGCCGAAAATATAACAATATGAGGAAGACAAAGAGCGTAGCCGGACAAAGACATATGACAGAGAAGGAATGGGAGGTGGTATGAAAGAACGAGATAGGGGTGCGTTAGAAAGAGGAGCTAGTCGGAGGCGAGGCGGAGGCGAGAGGAGAGCATCGCAGGATGACTGTATTTTGACCAATCCTTGCTGACGATGATAGACAAAGAGAACAAAAGAACGGAAGACACTCCAAGAATCGACAATTTGTTCTTCTTTCTTGTCTTTACTCACTCGCTTTCTTTTTTCGCTCTTTCCCTTTTTCATCATTCACCCTTCCTTACTTCCTTACTTCCTTACTTCCCTCCCTCTCGCTCACACACACTTGTGCTCGCAAACAACGACACAACACCCCTCAACCGTCGATTCATACCTCTAATCCCTTTTATCTTGTGTCAGCATCAACACCCACTCACTACCCGCCAAACAACAAGAAAACGACGATGGACAAGAGAAAATATGTTGAACTCTCACTAGAGGAAGATATGCGTTCTTCTCGCCCACGCTTCAACAACCACAACAACGCTTCAACAACTCCAAGCAAGTCCAAACCCAAGCCCAGCAGCCCAGTCTCACAACCCATCAACAATACACCTGACCAAAAAGTGAAGGAAGACCCTTTCAAGCAAGTGCAAGGGGACGAGCTGGAGGACGGTGACGACGACGATGACGATGAAGATGTTGTTAAGCGACCGGTGAATGCCAAGCGTGCAGGCCGACGCAAAATCAAAATCGAGTACATCCAAGAGAAGAGCCGACGCCACATCACCTTCTCAAAGCGCAAGTCCGGCATCATGAAAAAGGTACTTTTCTCTTTCCATGTCTCAGTCTGTTTGTCAGTTAGTCTGTCGGTCTGCGTACATACACTGTTCGTACTTTATGTAAACAGGCTCAGTTGACAAAGGGGCAAAGCGGAGGCGAAAGGAGGAAGTCAACAGATAGGGATAGGATAATAGGTTTAACGCAAGGTTTCCTTCTACTTTTGGGTTGGGCTTTTTTGGACAGTGAAGGAAGAAAATTATCGATTTTCGTCGGTAATTGCATTGACATGGCACGTTGGTTGGTTGGCATATCTTTCCTTCCTTTTCGCCCCTTTCCGTTCTCCTCTTCGGTCACACCAAATAACGAACAACGCATGCTTTCCTGTTTTCTATCTTATCCTCCCCTCCTTCCCTTTCCTTTTTACATTTCGCTCATTTGGCTTTGCTGGTTTGTTTTGTTAATATCGCCACCCATGACGCACCATGATCATGTTCACCCCATTTTACCAAACCTTCTTTTCTTTGGCACTCAACCATCTCACCTTGGACAAGTCGGCGCTAACATTACCATTCTTTATTCTAATTTGTGAAATTAACATAACAACCCATTAGGCATTTGAGCTAAGCACATTAACGGGAACACAGGTGCTGCTCCTGGTCGTCTCGGAGACAGGACTGGTGTACACGTTTACCACCCCGAAATTGCAGCCCATTGTCACCAAGGATACGGGACGGAATCTTATCCAGGCCTGTTTACATTCTGCGGACCCTGCGACTGCAGAGGCTGGAGCATCAGGAGCAGGAGCGGAGAGCGACGACGGGGATGACAATGACGAGGTAGAATAATAAATCCGATCGACACCTTGGTAGCTTGCTTTTTTTTTTTTTTTTGGAGGGTGGAGTAAATGAAGGTGTTTCTCCTTTTTTCTTTTTTTTTTCAGGGCGGTTTTTGTTGATGTCGAGGGGCTACGGAGATATTTTTTTTCTTTTCGGGGAGGGGGGAAGGGGTGGGTAATTCCCACACTTTTTTTCCCGTTTGATTTGCCATGGGTGGGCAGGACAAGGCAAAAAAAAAAACAAAAGAAAAACTTAAAATGAACCTTGTTTTCCGTTTTATTTGTTTCTCACTCTGTCATATCTCCCTTTTTTTTTCTGGCGAATGTGCGGTTTCATTTTACATAGCCACCACAGGAAGACCAAGAAGAAGAAGATGAAGCAGGTGAAGACGGGTTACAACAGGACGATGACGAAGGATCCACAACCCACAAGGAGGCAGCAAGTCCATCCATCGCCGCCGCCGCCGCCACCTCGTCAAATCGCCCATACACTTCTGGACCTTACAACCATTCGCGGTACCCACCGCCACAACACCCTCAGCATCCGCATCCGCATCCGCAGCAAGGACAGACAGGGCCGTTGATGTACCCGCCACCGTACAATCATATCCCATACCCTGTCACCACATCTGAGGCACGTGGACCTCCAGGACTGGCGGGAGGACCAGCAGATGGTGGTGCGAGATCGTATTGGGACCATCCGTATCCTGGGTACGGGTATGGGCATTACCCACCACCACCTCATCATCTTCACCAGCACCCTCCGTATCCTCATCCTCATTCCCAGGCTCATCCACAGCAACAGCATGGAAAACCTGGTGGAGGTAATGATGTGTCGACTGGTCAGGACTCAAAGGGTCTTCTGAAAGAAGAGTGAAAAAAAATATATCAGATCATCGCTTCTTTCAAGTCTTATCTGAGTAGAGATTGGGGGGGGGGGTTTGTACTCGACATTTTTTTGTTATCAGAGATTTACACAACGCACCCCCCCCACACACACACACACACAACCAAATAAACAAAAACAAACACCAGGCAATGAACGCACCATATTGAGCATGACCTACCAAACAAGAATGGCCAAAAAAAAAAAAAGTGAAAATACAAAATCGTGGTATTATTCAAAAGACTCATAAGATAAACTACTGAAGCTTCCAGTGGATGAACCAGCCCGCAAAAAGATCCATCTTCAACCCAGTGAGCGTCAAAGACCCAACAGCCTCATTGACCTCCCACCCCATTCCTGACACAGGATCAACTCCCTTGGTCTGGTTAACAGGCGCAACACCACCCTGGCCACCAAACGAGACTGGGACACCGTTAATGTTCAGTTCCTCAAGTGCGTTCACTCGTGCGGCGACGATGGGGCGTTGAGCTGGGGACTGTGCTGCGGCTGCCTTTGCGCCAGTCTCATCCCGACGCTGGTGCTTCTTCTGGCCTTGACGGTGCAACTGCTGATGCGTCTGCGGCTGCCGAGGTCCATTCACGGCACTGGTGACATCAAAGACAACCTGTCCCGCAACAGCATCGACATCTACATCTTGCTCCCCTCCAAACCGCGCAAAGTTCAATCCCAAAATCACAACCTTCTCAATCAGATCCGAATGCCCGACCGAAGCCCTAAACGCCTGCACCTGTGACGCCGTCAACGTACCAGCACCTTGCTCAGATCCCACGAACAGCGCATTACTGATCAACTGCTGTCCACCATGCAACTCCCACGAGACGTTCGCCTGCGCGTTGTTGTTAACCGAAGTACCATCATCAACAACAATCTCACCCTTCGCAAATCCCAACTCATCCAATGCAACAATCAACGACAACGGCTGCAACCTCGTCTCAGCAACCGTCAACTTGGGTGATTGGTGGATCGAGATAATATGTCCACCTTCGATCGACATGGGGATCGGATCCGAGTCCATCTTGGCTGGCAAAAACTTGTACCGATGTGCTCTCTCGTCATCTCCATCATCAGCTCTAGCCTTGACCTTGGGAGATGCCGGTGCCACCGCCTGACTATCGCGATCAGCCTCAATGACAATTTGATGCGTCCAGAAATCAAACCACCGTCCCTTGCCCGGGAAGTACGCCTTCACCTGGATGAGGCCCTTATACAACGCCGGGGACACCATAATGGCATCCCCCAAAAGGAACTGTCGATCAATCTTCAACACAAACGCCGGGTCCTGCGGGAACCTGAAGAACAACGGCTGCCAAAGTGGCTTTCCTGTCTTGTGCGCCTTATCATGGAGGGTATAGAAATAAGGAATCAAGGAGTAGCGAATCTCAAGGGCCTGACGGGCAGAGGGGAGGACAGTGCTAGGCCAGACGTAGGGTTCCTGTGAGGCGGCGCCGATAGTGTTGTGGTTCCTGGCGAAGGGGTAGAGGGATCCGAGTTGGTGCCAGCGCAAGCAAAGTTCTTCGGTTGTGTTGCCGATGAAGCCACAGATATCTGCGCCCGTGAAAGGGACGCCAAAGAGGCCGAAGGAAAGGATTCCGGGGACTGAGAAATACAAATGGCTCCACTCTGACCAGTTATCTCCTATTGTTATTAAGAAATGAAATGAGGAAAAGTGGTTAGTAATTGCACTGGTAAATAACTCCCGTCATCGTGTCCTTAGTGCGCGAAACAAATAGTAAACTTGCCTGTCCACTTGGCAGCATACGATCCTATTGAAGGAGGATGTGAAAGAAAGCAATCGTCTTAGTAAGTTAATCCCAACATAGGAACAACAAATGGGAGCAGATAGAGAAAGAAGATGCGTACCAGTGCCGGAGAAAGAGGAGCGAGTGAGGATGAAGGGACGTTGGTTGGGGTTGAGCTGGAGAAGAGAGTGGTGGGTGGCCATGGCCTCCATGTGTCCGTACAGGTTATGGGTATCGGTGAGTCGGAGACCGTTCTTATGAACCGCATTCTCGGCCAAGGTCTTCTCGTCCAGGGGTGCCTGTCTGCCGGCATTGTTGATCGCATACTTCAGGTTGATGGGTGCAGCTGCTTCCTGACGCTTGGCGAGGTGCTCGATTTCAGAAGCGATGCGAATGTCCTTGTCCCTATCCTCGGGTGAATTGGTCAAGTAAGCGTTGGCCGAAACCTCCTTGTCAAGGGCGGGATTGAATCCAGGGCTGTCCTTGGTACAGGGTCCATTGCAAAAGTTGCTGGGCTCGTTCATGTCGATCCAAGGATACACATTGTCGCCGATATCTGCCCTCGTCTTGGCTAGCTGGCGCTGCCAGAACGCCCATGTCTCGTTGGTGTTCATGAAGTCGGGAAAGTAGGTCTGACCAGGCCAGACACGACCCTCGATGGGCTTGCCTGTTAATGTCTTGATGAAGACGTCCTCCTTCATTCCAGTGTCGTAGGGTTCGTAACCAGGGGCGATGGGAATACCGGGGTCAATGATGAGAACCATGCTCTGGTTATGGGCAGCCAAGTCACTAGCGAGTGCGCGGATCCTAGCCTGGGGGAAGCGGGCCTCATCGTACGTAAAATCCTTGAACGAGTCCATATAGTCGATATCGATCCAGACTCCATCCAAAGGCAAGTTCTCCTGACGGTACCTCTTCACAACCTCTTCGACCTCTCCAATGTTGTTGTATCCATAGCGGGACTGGTGGAAGCCCAAAGACCAGGCTGGGGGCATGTGGGGTCGTCCAACCAGCTCAGTGTACTGTTGGACCACATCCGTTGGCTTGGGTCCCAAAAAGATGGTAAAGTCGAGGATGCCTCCAATGACCTTGTAAGTGATCTTCTTTGGCGTGATAATGACGTCCATGCCGTTGCTGTTGCGCAAGAAAACACCGTGGGCGAGACCCTTGCGCATCTCGAGATGGAAGGGGTGGCTGCCATAGAGATTCTCGTCAACGGGTGTGGCAGCATCGCGAGCCCACATGGTCTGGCGGGTGCCTCGGGGGTCTCTCCTAAAGGCCGTGACGACCTCTCCCAAACCATAGATATTGGCATCATCTGGCAGTACTGATGAGATCTCGAGGTACTCGTCCTCGTAAACCAGGGAGTCCATGCCCGCGACCGAAGAATCAAAGATAACCTCGCCTGTCGAGACCCGGGTTACGGAGAAGGTGAATGGGCTCTTGGTGTACTTTACAGTATAATCCCTCTTGGCGACATTGCGACGGGCAGACGACTCTGGATTGGGCAAAGCAAAGGCAGGAATCTCGTAGCGCTTTTTGTCGCTGTCGATGATCTTGACGCGGACACGAGACTCTGTCTCATAGTCGATGTGCACCGCGAGGTTGGGGATGTCTTGGCCGAAACGGGAGCAACCCTGGGAGCCACCGAGTAGACTGAGATGGATAAGAGTGCCTGTGGCGGATTCTTCAGTAGACTTGACTTCGTAGCCCTTGCATGTGTGTTGCTTGAGGAAGCAGAAGGGAGCATTAAGGTTGTTTGGCTTCGGATCCCAGCAGCAGTTTCTATCAGAGCTATTAGGATAAGGCGAATGATTAGTGCTCTGCGGAATGTCAAGTATGTACTCCCTTCCCACACACATACAACGGGAACGGTATGTATGCAAGCTTGGTACTATTCATGCATTGAGAACAGAAAAGGAGCAACGATGCATGGATGCATCGATGGGATGGCGCAAGGGCGTATGTTACTAACCACTCCTTCGAATCAATGCCGACGTATCCGCAGTCACGCCGGGTCACAACGTCCGCCGCACACAGGTACTCCTCATTCTACATTGACAGAAACAAAACATGTTAGATATGCGAGACATGGTGAACACCACACAGGTATGTACCGGTACATAGTAACAAAAAGAAAGAGTGAAAGGGTACCTTCTTCTGGAAACACCACGGAACAGGGACAAGAGTAGGCGACCAACAACATTGACGCTGCTGACATCCATCCTTGGAAATCCCCACGAACCCACATTCTTGACGAGCCCAGAGGGTGGCACAGACATCGTCGTCTGGTGGAGGAGCAATGACTGGTGAGGCAACGGGTGAGGAGGGTTGTGCTGGTGGTGCTTGGGGGGATTGTGGCTTCCCTCCTTGGGCGACGAGTATTGTTGTTGAAAGGAGGAGGAGGAAGGTGAGAGCCAGGGAGGGTGACTTGACCCAAGCTGTTGGGCTCATTGGTCTGTTTCGTTACGTTCTTTTTTGAATGGGAGGCTGGAGTGTGGATGACCGTTGGTGATGGAATTGTTTCCTGTTGACAAGCGAGAAAGAAGGAGAGAGAGAGAGAGAGAGGGAGCAATGAGTTTCAATGAAGAAGAAGAAGAGGAGGAGAGAAGTAGTAGAGGAGTAATGAATGACAGACCGAGCGGTGAGGGAATGGAAGAGGGAAGGGTCTCCTCTTTTTATGTGAGCGAAGGGGAGAATGGGACAGGTGAGCAAGCAGTCCCTTCGTTCATCGTTGGTGTCAAAGAGCGCCCCCGTGCGAACATTGAAAAAGGGGCAAAAGTTGGATAATTGGATACTGTGCACTAGCTTTATTTGCTTACAACATTGCTACCGCCAGCAGACAGAACTGAAAAAAACAAACAGCAATAACAAGCAACGACGACCAAGTGGACTGATAATGATACGCATTGGCATTCTACACATTGACAGAACGCACTAGTGTACGCGCTTGTAGACAAAAACAACTACTAACTGTTGAGAGCACTTTCTTCACAACGACTAAATAGAGAAGAATATACTACCCTTAGCAAAGGGCTGGTGGGAACCAACGACAGGCGCCGATTGCCCCCCCTTTACCACATTTGAACTACTTTCCCCTCTACAACAATAAAAAACAATGCTATCTTGTCAAACCTTCCCCTCCTTGTCCTCCATTCCGCTATCGCGCATTCACCTCTCGCCTCTTCATGGCATTTGCCAAAAAGGCACTTGCATTGCGCAAGAGAAATATGAGCCAACTCTAACGACGACTCGGCGGGTAACCGATAACGGTATTTGCACTCCACAGGCAGGTACCTACACGTACCACAGCACGAGTACCTTTGACAGGCAACAATGCGTTTTAGTCGGGTGTGAGCATCCCACTTCTCTCTTTGGTTGTGCTATCAAGCCACCATAGGAATCATTGCATTTTCGATCGAATGCAATTTGTGCACAGAAAAATTAATTTCCCCCCTCCCCTTTTTTCCCATCATTGAACGGACGAGAGATAACAAAAAGGGACCGTCGACGGGAATTACGCGAACAATATCCCTCCCCCTAAGCTTACCAAAGACTATAGTCTTCCACTCCTCTTCATCGTTGCAAAACAATGCTATCTTGTTCGTTCGACTACTGCAATGTTCCCTTGTCAATTCACTGCAAATCCTCTTAAATGCCATTTCCCTCTCTCCCTCTCTCGGTCCCTTTCCCCAAAAAGAATTTTTTCTGTATAGCAACTGCTTGTTTTGTGAGCCCGACATGGTGGACCTTCCCTCACCCAACGAAGTACATACCTTCACTCTCACTCCATTCGCCCTTTTGTGGACGTCCATTGGGTACCACTGGTATATCGTGTTGACTCCGATCGAAACGCTTGCAAGTACATGTACTCCCCAATCGAATAAAAAAAAATGCTCATTGCAGTAACACACTCATTGTCATAGTGAAAAGTACACGGATGCGCCTAATATCGACAACCATCTAGCCCTTCTCTCGGAGGTGATACCCCGCACACGACAAAGATACACTAGTCCACAGTAGCCCCACAATATCGACGTACACCATACCTTCCCCCGCCCATAAGAGTTTGCCTCCAAGCGCGTGAAAATGCTCTCTTTTTTTTGTTCACACGAAAACAGGGATACCGATACATGGCCTTCTTGGTGATCGGTAGTCTCAAGTTTCTAGAGACTAATGGTCCTTACATACACGCATGCCAACAAAACGACAGAGATAAGAAGAATGTGTACAAAACCACACACGGCTACTTTGGCGTGTTTTTTTTTTTTTTATCTTTATTACTATTACGAGAGTACCTCCTCCTTGCACCCAAAACATCACCAAAACATCGTTATCTCTTTCTTTCATTCCTCCTTCGTTTTCTTCTTTTCCCACAAAAAGAAAACAGCAACCGCTATCGGCTCCAACAAAGAAGCTCGCATTTGGGTAATAAGATTGCTAAAATAAAAAAATAAAAGGGATACGTAGACCAGATCTTGGTACATTGTGGGGGGGAAACGTCTCTTCCATTGAATCGACTCCTTCTCAAAGAGAGCACGAGAGAAGGATGGATGTAATGGAGTGGAAGGCGGGGATCATCCGACGACATCGATGATATGGTCAGGTCGGGCCTCGAACCTGATCGGCTGCAGCCTAAGTTCAGACCAAAGTAATAAAAGGCGAAAAAGATAAGAAGGCAAACAAAAAAAAATTGTCAGTACAAACAACGCGCTCACAGTTTCGTACTACTCCTTTCCTACCACTTTCCACCTAGACACCTCCTTACCCTTTCTACCATAAACTTAAGCGATCCACAGCAATAATACCATCAACAACAAAAGACCAAGACTTACTCTTTGCGATCCATACCAAGACAAACCGCTAAATTATTCTCTGCGATCTGCAACTGCTTCGCCTTTGGAACAAACAACAGGATATCATCCAACAGAACAACCTTGCGCCCAGCAATGGCACTGTCGGAGAGGATGGGGATACGGAACTCTGTCCAGGTCACCTTGTGGAGCCCCGGGTGGAATTCGCCCTTCTTGAGACGGACGGTTTGGTACTCGAGTTTATGGTCGTCAGTGTGGCCCATCTTTGGTCTTTGGTGGGGGGATGAGTGTGAAGAGAGGTTTGTGTTTTTTACAGGTGAGGGATGAGGATATGGTGTGTTGGATGCTATGAATGTGTGGGGGTGTGTTTTGAGGGTTTGAGTACAAAGAGATCAGAGAACAAGGACAAAAGAAAAAACAAAAAGGAAGAGAGTCAAACAAAGAGAGAAGAAAGCAAGTTACCACCTTCAAAGAAATGGAATCGTCATCGATAAATAAAGATTCTCGACGCATGGCGAAGAGAGAAACCTTTTTCCATCCCCCTTTTCTCCCCAGACTGTTTTACCCTTCACTGTGCCATACGGCGGACAAAGGATGAAGACTTCTTTGCCAGCTGCATCAGTCCCGCCGGACCGTGCCGGCTGACTCGTCTACCTACTTCGCTCGAAATCTTATTTTATTTTCCGTTGGGGGTGGGGAGGGGTCCCTTTTTTGCTTTTCCCGCCTAGGAAACGGGATTCCTACACTTTTCTTAGCCTACTTCGCCGTATGACACATTGCTCTTCTCTCGATCAGCTCGATTAATCCCAGCCGTCTGGCACAGTAGCACTCCCCTCCATGCGCCTTCGAACCCTTGACAAAATAAAGTAACAATCCCTCCTTCGCCTACCCCTTTTTCTTTATTTTTGCCCACAAGTCGACAAAAAAAGGGGGCCCCCTCAGCCCGTTCGCCACCCTCCTTCTATTCTTTTGTTACACTATTACCACATCAATGCATAGCCATGGGCACGAGTCAATGTGTCATTAAAAGAAGAATGAATGTACGTGTGGCCAAGCAGGCGATCTAGCCGTAGTGTTTGGCAAAGCATGACGTCCTGTGCCGTGTGCGAAAAATAATAATAAACAAGACGATCTGTTACTCTCCAATAGGGCCAATCAAATCAACAATCGGTGAAGGCATAATGCTCACTTTCTAGCCCCCTTCTTTTTTTTTATGTAGGAGAGAGGAGGTGAAGTATATCTCACGCATAGGGGGAGGAATGGCATGAATAAGTAGAGTAGAGGACTACTTTCGTAGGAATGAGAGGCAAGAAAAAGAGCTAGAAAAAAGGGTGGGGTGGTGTAAGAATGAAGGCGACAAAAGGGGAGGGAGGGTGGAGGGGTGTATAGATAGAGAGAGAGAGAAAGAGAGGTGAAAACTATTGTGTGGGAAGGTAGTATTCCCGAGTGCCTAGCCAAACCGTCTTCAGCTTCTTGAACTGCATAAGCTGATAACAGACGCGCCCGCCAATCAGCGCCCCATTTTTGCCTGGTGCGTCCACAACTCCTGCGATATCCCGCTTCCTTGCCGATAAGGTTTCAAGACATTCATCCACCAACACTGCGGTTCCTAGTCCATAGAAACGCACTCGAAGTTCCTGCAGGTCCATACACGCTACGATCTCGTCCTCCAAGAGGTCAACATTCATCTGGTGGCCTTCAACTGAGAGGATTTCGAGACAAGCGCAAGACTTCAAGACCAGGCGAATTATCTTTTGGGAAGTGGGGACTTCGTCAGAGGTGGATGGCTCGATCCTCGCGGTTGATGGGACGAGAATGATCGATGTAAGTGTCGCTTGGTGCTCGAGAAGACCCAGAAGAACAGTCTGGTTCAAGGCGGCATAGCCGAACGTGACCCTCTCCAGCCCATGGAAGACATTGTCGAGGTAGCTGGCGACACGGTCTTGTTCAGTCGTGGTAAACTGCACTGCCTTCAGACGGGGGCATCTTACCGACAAGCTGGCCTTCAGCCTCCTCAGTGTTCCCTGAGACTCGACAGGGGAGTTAAGCATTTCCCATGTCTCAAGGGATGGGAAATGCATCAAAAGAGATTTCGCTCCAGGAAGCAATGCCATTCGAATAAACTTGATGACGTGCCGCGACTAGAGTTTTGAGGTCTGTATGGCGAAATCGCTCTAGCATCCGGTTGTAGGCCAAGAAAGTGACATTCAACAGCGTGAGAGAATGCAGGCATGGGCAGAAGTTGAGAACGGACGAGAAGGCCCTGTGTGTCATGCAAACCTCCGCAAGGGTCAGCTTCGTCAGGGTACAACCAGGAGCGATCGCATCCAACGACAAGTAGACTCCGGTTATAAGCTTCTCGTCAAAGGCTGCCATACGAACCAACTCGCCCGAGACACGGAGGGTCGTCAACGAGTTTCGGTAGTAGCGAACGAGGTCGTAAAAAAGGACCAGAGAGAATTTGCTCTTGGTGGCGAGGAACTGGAGTTGCTGGACGAAGTCGATATTGGGATTCTGGAGGAATAGGATATACTCCTCCTTGGCGATATTGACGACGTTACGGATGAGGTGGCCGTATTTGAAAACAACCTCTGGCGGAACCTTGGCGAACGACTCGTCATTGTCGAAATCAACAGTGTGCCAGAAGGGTACCGCAAAGTCCATGTGCCATCGTCTAGAGACTCTCATGCACGACAGACAGTCTTTGTTGCTGAGGAAGCCCGCGATTAGGGTCCTTATCTCTGACAGGTCGAGGGGATGGGTAGCTACCTTTAGATGGAACATATTGAGATGGGTTTGTATGAAGACAGAGTGTGCGTGAGGCCAGGGGTGAAGGAGAGAGGCGTGGAGGAAAGGAAAGGATAAAAAAAGGCTCGTGAAAGAAAAAGAAAAGATGTGACCGGGGACGGAAGTGACGCAAAGAAAATGATGGGAGTATGATTGATGGTCTCAGGTGCGGCGATGAGAACAAGGAAAGACGGTGTGAAAGGCAACTATTATTATAGGGGTGAATTAGACACCAAAACATGTTCGCTGTGTATGTTGTTACAGCGGCTTGACAGATGAAGCAAGCCTTCCTGGCCCAACACTTTATTTCGTGATTATCACGCGGTTAATACCCTGAAACAAAAGAGCGCCAAGAAAATGATCAGTCGATTCGAGATCTCGACTTTTTTTTTTGGAAATGCTCCTTCACCAATGTTCCGACTGGCTTTCCGATTCCTGTTCATTCATTCTCTTGATTCATAAACTCATTCATCGTCTCTTGCCTTTTTTTGCATGGACCGACATTGGATCATCACCGGAATTGAAATGTCCAATGTCACATTGATCAATTAAATGGATCACATACATCATGATTTTCTATTTCAACGTCTTAGCGAGGTCTTTTTTTTGTTTCTACCTATCTTCGAACTTCAAAGAGTTATTCCCTCAATCATAGATGACCTTCTTTCAAAGTTTGGAGTTCCTACTCAAAGTCTTTTGTGTTTGACCTTTATGCATGATTTTACATGGGTTTAGCACGCCTCACGTTGTTTTTGTTATATCGCAAGCTCAATGCGCTTTCTACCGGCAAACTGAAAGCTGACCCATGTGTAGAATATGGTGTGAGATCTCATGGTCTTGAATGTAAGTAGACAGTTAGAAGGTCATACAGGATTGAGGATAGTTTAAAGGTAGTTAGGAACTACGGTCGTATAAAGACCCCACAAGTTGGAGAAGAAATTCGTAATGCATGCGATCCATTTAATTGATCAAAGCGGATTAAGGCGTTTCACTCCAGCAATGGTCCAATGTCGGTCCATGCAAAAAAAAAAAAGGCAGGTGGTGATGAATGAGGTGACGAGAATGAATGACAGGAATCTGAAGACCGGTAGGAACATTGGTGAATGAACATTTCCAAAAAAAAGTCGAGATCTCGAATCGAGTGATCATTTTTTTTGGAGTACGCTAGTTTGATAAGGCAAGAACAAAACAAGAAAAAGAGACAAAAACAAGAGACAAGAACCAATGACAGGAGAAGTTAATCAAGGGAAAGGTGCCATGGATATACGATCTCTCATCGCGATCGTAGAAAGGAGAGAGCAGATGGTGCAAGAATGAACCAGAAGAGAAAGAGAAAGCCAAAACAACAGAACAACTACAGAGGTGTGAGAACAAAAACAACTGATAGAACTTGAGCCTAGGTTCGCGGCAGAACGCTTCGCTACAAGCCAGTTACGCTATCACCTCCAGCATGTTCTGATACCGGTAGGTATCGCGCCTACCATCACGTGACTTCTTCGACATTGGTGATGTCGTTGTTGTCCCTTGGTGTTGACCCTTGACGTTGTCCCTTGGTGATGTCCTTTGATGTGGCCCTATGATAATTTTCTAATATCCGCCCCTTTATCTTTTCAGTGTACTTTGATCTTCTCCAGTGTCCCTTGATCTTTTCCAGTGTCCCTTGAACTTTTTTTATCGTTTCCGGCATCCCTTGGTCTTTGTTATCGGCAGATAAGCAGCACCAAGCGACTCTTCCTTCAATATGATAGGGAAGGCTGACATCGAAGGATCAAAATGCAGCATTGCTATGAACGCTTGGCAGCCACAAGCCAGTTGATTCCAAATCTAGAGATGTAACCTAGAGATGTCTAGTATAATCGCCGAGCGCGTTCCATTTCCAGCTTCACCAGTTGAGCTGTCCATTTAGTGTTACAAGGTTAGCATGCACCTCCCAAATTCATGCATGCGCCATTTTCTGGAGTGCTCTTAATCTCTTCGACCCCCTTCTTTTCGTACTATGCTTTGCTTTTTCGGCCTCCCGGCTTTGTAAAGTCACATTTTTTCTTTCCTTAAAGATGTATCCAATGGTCCTTTCGAAGCATGTGGCCCAGGGTTCCCGCGCTCTCGCTCTTTTCTGTGTGAATATTTACTAATGAGAGGCTTTTTCGTTATTAAAAGCTGTAAAATAAAATGTGAACATATAGCATTGCAGAGTCAAAAAGCAACGTTACTATGGACCCTTGGCTGCCACATACCAGTTGTCCGGACACGTGTATCCTTCCCCTTTTGGGTGTACTGTACTTTCGCTGTTTACCTTTTCTCCTCCCCTTTAATTCAACGGGTGTACCTTATCAGCCATTCTGTTTCCTGTCCTTTTAAGCATTCCCCTTCTTTTTCCAGCATTCCCCTTCTTTTTCCAGCGTTCCCCTTCTTTTTCCAGCGTTCCCCTTCTTTTTCCAGCGTTCCCCTTCTTTTTCCAGCAATCCCCTTCTTTTCCCAGCATCCCCTTTCCTTTTCCAGCATTCCTTTGATTTTTTGCGTCCCATCACTTCCCGAATCGTCCTTCGTGGTCTGGTGCCGAATGCCCTAGCTACTCAGAGGGATAAGGTGTTCAAGGACGTACCAGAGAGCATTACCCAACACGAGAGCCGCCTCTTTTGCCGATATGTCGAGAAGGAGGCTAGGAAGCAGTTATGGTAGCCGCGCTGTGAGAGAACCATTAGGTGCGAGGAAGAAAATAATATCAATAGCAGCATGAAGCGCACACTCGCCGCCAAGGACCAGAGGGCACAGTGGACACAGAGCTAGGGGTGGCATCAGACCTATGGGCGAAAGCTCCGAGAGGACGAGTGCCTTTGCGGATGAGCCGTAGCAGAACACAGGGAACAGAGGTGCCCAGGCGAACAGAGCGATACTCAAGTGACTGACCGAGCAGTCACCGACACCCTGCAGGGCTTGAGGCGCATAGATATTATGGAAAGGAAAGGCAACATGGGCATCAAGGAGTTGGAAGAAGAGCACACTTAGGTCCCTTGAACGCATCCCACACAGAAACAAGGGCCGTCCGGACTTGCGTGCGTCGTTCCTGAGCCGGTAAGGACGGGTTGTACAATTCTCATGTGCGCTGTATGGTTTAAGATGCTTTCCTGAGCGAGGTAAACTATGTGCACGTACGAAGAACACTTAGACAGCTCCACTTTCAATTTGGATAAAATTCATGTGTCGCCACGGAAGGGCATTCTTACCTTGAAAAAAACCTTCCCGAATCGCCCTGTTCTTTACAGCGTCCTGTCTCTTCTCGACATCCCATTCCTATTCAGCTCTCCAACATCCCGTGATCTTTTTTCTGTCTCAAAAGGATGGAAGGAGTGGAACTGTTTTTACACTCCACTCACGTTGTATCCCCCTTCCCTTTCAGTGTACCATATTGTTCTCCGTGTTCTTTTCTACTTACATCATTGGTCACAATGTTCCAGCAACCCCTTCCTTCCAAGGCCAGCGACATCTCTTTTTTCCCAGCAACCCCTTTCTTTCCATCAACTCCTTACCTTTCCAGCGTCCCCCCTCTTTTTCAAGCATCTGCCATTCTTCTGACTGATCCTTTTGTCTCTCCTCCCGTTACTTAGGTTAAATGGTGCCGAGTGTTAGATCTAGAAGTTTCCATTTTCTGTGGGAAACTGTGAACAAGGGAACACATTAGTCTATTAGTAGCCATTGTCTCCTCGATGTATGCCCGAATAGAGCCCATGTAGTCTCCCCTTAGTTCGTGTTGTTGTTTGGTTATAATAGCTGGTCAAATAAAATTGCCATACTGCTGGCTCTCCTCTATTCTCGATTGTGTATAAAATGCGCCATTTCAGCTGGTTTGTTCCTCTATATCCATCACAAAAAGCCCATCACCTTCTACTAGCCATGCGTGTTCTCTTCGTCCATTCCGCTCTCGCCGTTTTTACCACCGCATTGGCCTTAATCACCCAAGCTGCTGCGGTAAGATCACTTTGAATAAAAGTACATTGGAGGCTACTGTATCCCCATGGCAGAATGTTGCCATGAGAAAAAGTGTATCAGCAGAATGAAAAATGGAATATTGGCCCAATTATGCTTCCTTCACACCCCGTGCTGTGTTGAAGTTTATGGACTCGACATCAATCTTGAAGCCAATGATCTCCCTACTACCGCTTTATCATCTGTATCATTACTAATCCATTACCGTAACGTGCATGTACAATCATACTAGCAAACTGTAAATTGGAGGAACAACGCAACATTCGTCAGTGGTTTTATTCCCTGTGCGCAAAAAGTCGCCGTCATAAACCTCACACCAGCAATGCGAGGACCTTTTACAGCACTTGGTCTTAGGGAGTATAACTCTATGAAGTCTCTCTCACCCTCAGGATCACGTTGTGAAGAGTTCCACGTTATAGAGAGTTGGATACTTCAAAAGGCTGAGCGGGTACCAACTCTTTCCACGGCGAGCGGCGATACAAGAACGGTAAAACCCGAAGTAGTGACTACATTACAGAATATATTTGAGGTCTGTGCCGGCTGCTAGTTGCATTTCCCAGACAACGCCACCAAGTCAACGCCATCAAGTTCATCACTTTTTCATACCACCCTTAATTGCGTAGGTAGCAATAAAAGGACAGATCTTGTCAACGCTGTGGGATCCCTCTCTGATTTCACTTGAGATTTCAAATCCCCTTGTTTCATTGCTGGTGATGTTAATTCCTAAATATTGGGGGAGACAAATCCATTGCAGCCGACTTTAATAAGCGATACAGAAATGAAATCAAGGTCATTAGTAAAGGATTTTAAGGGTTTCACTACTGGCCACTAGGTGAGTGAGTGGATGAGAGGAAGAAGAGAGGACTGAGTGTTGCTGTTGATGATTGAAGAAGAAGAAAAGAGCAGCTCGAGTTTGG